ATACCTCCTCTCCACGTTGAATTTCGCTGGACAGGGTCAGAGCGAACGGCAAAAGTGAGTATGATCACATACCTCCTATCTGAGTCTGCTTCATGCTCGGATTCTGCTCGGCCTCAATGCACATTTGGCGACGTTCCTCGTCGGTCAACTTGCGGCGAGAGGAATTCGTTTTGGCACTGGTTGGTGTTGCATCAGAACCTGTACCTGCCGACAAAGGAGTCTGGAGTGGCCCAGCAGGCAAGATTGGCGGCGGGTAAGGCGCCTGAGGTTGACTAGCCAACATACTCGGCCACAAAATGTTGTTAGGCACGACCAAGGGCGGTGGCATCGGTGCGTGCGAAGACGCAAATGGCGACGGCCGTTGTATGGGATAAGCCGGTTCCAATGGTATCGGCGTGGTGTGGTGGTGGTGGTGGAGGTGGTAGTCGAATTGCGGAAACTCCTGCATTGGTGAGATCGTCGTTTGAGGGCTGGAGGAGTAGCCGTTCGGGATGCCGTTCGGGACGCCCATCCAGGCATTCTGGCCGTAGCCCGAGTGTTGCGAGTCCTGGTTCTCCGGTGGCATGTTCAACAAGACCTGCATCGATATTCGAATATTCGGGGGTTACTATGCTGAACTAGGCGCTGATATTGTTTGGCGATGCATGCCACTTATTCTAGGTGAAGTTCTCACACAATGCAAGTGACCAGCGATCCCAGAAACCTGGCTTGCACGACCCTAAAGCCTTGAGACCTTCAAAACAGAAAGGACCAAGGTGCAGAGGGTGTGCAGAGACCGACGGATGTGAGCTGTGCAGACCTGAGGTCAAGCTTGAGGGGGAAGAACGAGCATATGAAAAGAGGAAACGTCTGAAAGTGGGTGTGTGTGGGGAGCAGACCTGATAGTGAAGGCACAAGCCCAGACAGTCTGCAGGCGAGCCCAAGCTGGACGAATTGAGGAGTTAATATCAGACTGGTGTTGAATTTCGACCGGGGCCCGGACAGGCCTCGAGAACAAAGTCGACCAGGGCTTGCTTGAAGGCGCGAGGGGGCGTTGTTTGGTGAGCTTGGGCCGCAGGTGTGGTCAAAGCAGGGTTGTTGTGTGGGCTGTCTTCCGATATTCCTTAGTCCTCGTTTGGGTCGTGATGCTGCACAAGGCGTGGTGGCTCTGTATCTGCCCACCCAACTCGAGAAGTCTTTGCTTTGGATAGCCACTGAGAGGAAAGTCTAGATATGCTTTGGAAGGGGTCGTTCCGTTGGGAGGGCTTCCGAGTGCAATCCGCAGTCTGCAGGTGGGAGGCTAAAAGCCTCAGGGCGGTACTCGAGCCTATAAAGTAAAGGCTTAGGGAAGGTTAGCGGCAGCCCGGTAAAGGAACGGCCCTCACAAACTCTGCCCGCTAGCACTGGGTTAGCATTGAGGAGGAGGGGGGGAAGACTCGCAGGCAGGCTTAGGGACGAACATGGGCATGCGTCGGGGCTTGCCCAGGGTGTAGCGCACCGTCTTGCCAATCCTTCTTTCTCACCTGGACCCGCCCTTCTGCTCTCTCAATCCTTAACACGCCACTGTGAGGTGCCCCGTAGCGTCCACGCCGGTCGGTAGAAATTGGCGGTTTATTAGTGAGTCGAGATCGTCACCCGAAGAAGGACAGGGCCCTTTAGGCGTCGCAGTTCCCCTAGGTAGAGATTTGCGACGAGGGGCGAGGGGCAAGCCGAGAATTTGGTTACTTGAAGAGATGGGTCGTTCTTTTTTCAGTGATGTCGGGGGACGGGTACCGAGTAGAAGTGAGAAAGACAAAGCAGGAAAGCACGGGCAACCATTTGTACAAATGCAGACTCGGTCGACGGCGACCCAAGTAAACCCAAATCCTGGTAGGCGTGTCGTGCTTCTGTATCCCTCTGGTGCATCTCTCCATTCAAGGACGACTCGAGATTCATAAGCCCCACGCTGCTCGCAAAAAAACCGAGCGGCGTCGAATTATAGCGGAGCCAAATGGACAAGTCGAGGATAAACTGCTCGAATGAGTCGGTGCAGGTGCTGCAACGAAGGCTACGGCGCTCCGGCTAGCCTCGTCCCTTCCTGGACGGTCCGCTAGCTACCGAGCATGACGCGGGTGATCTCAGGGCCGCAAGTGATTCCCTGCGGTCCATAGGATCTCCCATCTGCACAATCGCATGGCTCGACCCTCTTGCTGAGGGCAAGTCGTTGAGGGACTGGCCGTCACTATTGTCGTGGCGTAAAGTGTTGCCCAGGGAGAGGCCCCAAAGCCCTCTCCCTGGGTAACCCCTGTCGTTTTTTGGTACTGTACAGTAAAGCCTGACAATCTGACGGTACGGGTCAGCAGGCGAGTGTATTATTGAATCTGGTTTACCCGTGGGGGGAGAGGGGGCATTGAGGACGTAGGCGAATCCGAATGTCCCCTGTGCGACTGAGCGTGGGTCCGTGGAGAGAAGAATGCCTAGACTGGCTGGGTGAGTTTTGGCGAGTGAGAAGAGACAGAAAGCATGTCAGGTAACTCGCCAATCCTCATATTGGACTGGATCAAGGAAAGGTTGAAGCCACCCAGTGGTGCTTTGTGCCTCTTCACTCGCTGTTGGCTCCACGATGGCAAGTGCGCCAGCTCTCGTTTGGGCGACCTTGGTCCACCTCCCTGGCCGAATATGGGCGGCGCCAGAGGTACTGGGGAGAAATGACGAGGAGCCAACAGGCACAAGAAACGAGTGCCAGGCGTCATGGTTGGCGGGGAGGGAAGGACTCGGCGGCAAGATAATGCCCAAAAGGACAAATAGGACGGAGGAGCCAGTGGGTATGGGGAAGCGTGTTTCTGAGACTCCTGGCCCTGATCGTGAAGCCGAATTCGGCAGGCGAGTGAAGATCCCAAGCATCAGTGGAAGGAGAATGATCATGCAGTGGACTTTGTATGAACCTGATCAATCCCTGCAGTTGAGGGCAGAGCTGCAAAACCTGGAGAGCAGAGAATGAATGACGTTTGGCAGGACTGGCTGGTCCAGGTTGTGAAAGGCGCAGTCAGTCCTTGTCATTCAATTGCCCAGAGCTGGCTACTGTGGCCACGATGTACCAAGTACTCCCTACTGCGAACTCTGCACTTCTCGACAATGGACATAGTCCGTACCGAGCACAAGTCGTTATAATTCGTTATAATCCGCATTGCATGCTTCTCGCAGTCTTCTTTGACATTCTGTCTTCATTCTATCCTGGCCCTGGGACTCTCAATCATGTAGGAGAAACAACCCTCCCAACCCTGCTACCTTCCTCCTCCCACGACGTCATTGGCGCCTGCATCGTCTAGGGCTTCCCTACCCTGCCTTGCAGTACTCCGAATAGGACCACGGTTGAGGAGGGCTCTACGCTTAGCATGGGAACAAGGTTGCATGGGAGAAGCAGCCGTGTGAGGCACCCCTCCAGCCTCTGGTGGCCTCAAGTAGCAGGTCGGTACGCGCACAAGTGCATGTCCTTGTTCGAACCCTAGGTAGAAAGGTACGGCGGACTCGGAAAGCCTCCGAGCGTGGTCGTGGCGCTTTTAGGAGAAGGCCAAATCGCAAAAAGAGCTCATGAGTGTCAAAGCAAGCACGACCAGGGTTTGCCATTGGGACTTGACCTCGTACACCCCGCAAGAATCTCGGGCAATGGACTCAGTAAACAGGGGCTCGCAGGGCTCTCAGGGCTCTCAGGGCGATTGAGCTCTGCTCTCACGCGAAGGGCTGCAAATTGGCCATCGAAACCCTCTACCGGTCCAGCCAAAGTACCCAGTACCCAGTATCCCTCCTCCCAAGCAGACGGAGCTGAATGCGCTTCCGCAAGAGAAGAGCGAGCACCACGAATGTTGCATCGATGGGGCATGCTTCCAGGACCATCAACGCAGCCCGTCGACAGATGATGTGGAGGCTCTTTCCTCCCGCTGTCGACTCCTCTACTGTACTGGGTATACCTAAGTACAAGTATGTTAATGGTTGCCGAAAATGTGGTGCCGGGTCACCGACAGACTCATGTTCCGCATATCAGAAGCCGCCCTCACCCTCCATAACCAACGTCGTTTCCATGCACCTTGACCCCCTCGGCCGCCTCCCAAATAATCCCATTGAGCGGTCGTATTTGCAGCCTGACCCTGCAGCTCGTGCCCTCAAATGTCTGCGTGCGGGCGGAGAATTGGCCGTTGGGCTCATGCCAGGGCAGGCCAGGCCAGGGCAGAGAAACAATCCCAAGCCGCCCCTCCCAAAAGCATGGATCCTGGTCGTCTCCCCCGTCCACACCACCACCTTCAAGCAAGTTCTCCGCACTGCCAGTGCAGGGATCCCCGATTGGGACATTCCAACCGCCCATTAATCCATGAATGGTTTCATGCGGAAGTGAAAAGGCGCTCTTTCTCGACATCTCTCTTCTCTGCATTGTTGTTATTGGTTGGCGACGAGGCGGGATACATTTTCCACCTCGCCGCCTTTACGTGCTGCATAATATTCAGCCATGACGTCGGTCGCCCGAGGGAGTGTATATACTACACATCCTTCCGCTGCTCATGGGTTGACTTTTTTGCCAGCGAATCCCGACACAGGTTCGAAGCGGGCACGTCAATGCGTCTCACTGATTACTTGTACATTGAGACGGACTTTCGGGTTAGATGGGAGCCCCATTAATCGAGCCCCCGTCCATTGTAAGAGGTATCGGCGTGGAATCCTCTCGGCCGTTCTCGCCGTTGCATTCGAGGTAGGACTCACGCGAGGTGGCCAACACTCATTGCCGCAGCATGGTTCTTTCTTCCGTCCATTTTGGCAGTATACTCCTAGCCCCTAATGTTGATCAATGATCGAAGGCTAAGGGATAGGTTGTTCTCGATCCGAAGACGCGGGGATGGCGGAAGGGTGAAGTATCTAGCCTCATTGAGCGGAAAAAGGGTCCGTGGCCCAGGGGCTCAAACCTTGAGGCGGCCTCAATCATCCAATGCATTCTCATGGGGTTGATAGGCGTTCAAGGCTTCTAGGCTGTAACAAATCCGGGATCGACTGCGTCACTTTTTGATGATGGTGACTGGGTGGGTGAACAGCGTCAGCATCATGCGGATAAGGATTATGGCAGGGATCTTGTTGGACTCACTGATATCTTCGTCGGCCAACTCATGTGCAAGACCAACCCGTTGGGGCTGATGCTTGACCGACCTCCCGTAGACAATCGCATGCTTGAACTGCTCAACAATTGTCTTGTGAATTGCATTGCACTAAGTGAACGATCAGCAACCGAAATTTCCAAGGATGGTTGTCTCAGCTTACAAAGTCTTCGACGGTTGACGCATTTTTTCTCAACACGACGGGGGCAGTGTAGTCAGGCTGCTTTCCCTTTGGTTTGGTGTAGATACGTTTTAGTTGTAACTTTTCCCACATCTGTTCCAAAAGCTCATCAACGTTCCATCCGTGCTCGGAGCTGATAGGCACGGCGTTCGGGATGCGATAGAGCAAGTCCAATTCCTCGATGGTTATCGAATCAATTTTGTTGAGCGCATATATGACCGGGATGTAGCTCCTGCTCTTGGCTTCTAGGACGTCAATCAAATCGTCAATGGTGGCGTCGCACCGGATGGCAATGTCGGCTGAGGAAATACGATACTCGTTCATAACCGCTTTGATTTCGTCATGGTCAATATGGGTCAGAGGGACCGTGCTTGTAATGTTCAAACCCCCTTTGTCTTTTTTCTTGAAGACAATGTTGGGGGGCTCCTTGTTGATGCGGATGCCGAAGCCCTCCAGCTCAGCCTCAATGACCCGCTTGTCAGTGAGGGGTTTGTTCACATCGAGAACAATGAAGATTAGATGGCAAGTCTTGGCGACGGCAATGACTTGACGGCCGCGCCCCTTGCCATCCTTTGCACCTTGGATGATCCCGGGCAAGTCGAGCATCTGAATAGCGGCACCATTGTACAGGACTTGGCCTGGAACGGTGGTGAGGGTAGTGAATTCGTAAGCAGCAGCTTCGGAATGTTGGCCCGTCAAACGGCTCATCAGGGTAGACTTTCCCACCGAAGGAAAACCAATAAAGCCGACTGACGCGACGCCAGTTCTGGCGACATCAAACCCGCTGCCGCCGCCACCACCGGACGACGAAGGTGTCAAGAGTTCCCTCTTTAATTTGGCCAGCTTGGCCTTGAGTTGGCCCAGATGAAAAGATGTGGCTTTGTTCTTCTGAGTCCGAGCCATCTCGGCCTCGATCTCCTTGATTTTGTCCACTGTTGTCGCCATCGTGGGCAGTCCGAGTTCGATGTCCGAAGGGGGCAATTACCGATCCTGGAGGACGAGAATGAGGCAGGTGATCGACTACTGCTGAGACAGGAGGGTGGGTGTGTTGAAGGACTCTGGGCACTGATATTTGGGATCGAATTTCCACAGTGGGCGCTAGTGGAGGAAGAGGGGATGGCAGCTCTTGAAGGATGGTCGAAATGGACAATATGAGACTGTTGTGTAACAATCCTTTGCGCTTTTAGTGACGTGAAATGTTGAAGAACGGTGGATGCGAATCCGTGGCTGCTGAAATGCTGTTGTACAACCGCCACCGCATGGCGGTTCGAGGCAAAAATTGTGTGGACGAGAGCCCCGCAGATGGACAACGTCGGGCATAAGTACAAGTAGGCTGAAGTAGGGCAAGCGTAGGGTTAGCGAAAGGGCGGGGGGGCGATGAGGTAATGGTAATTGGCTCTTTTGTGGGTGCTTGGTGCCCTAAGTGTCCATTGTGACTGTCCTTGGAGGTTCTCCGTCGTCCCCTCTAATTATTGACTGGACTCGATGGCCCTGGCTCCTTACACTCTTGGTCCCGTGACTTTGGTTGGCAGGTAACACGTGATGCCTGTGCAGACACTCAATTAGGCAGGCCTTCACCCTCCTCTTTTTGTCACTTGCCACCCACTGCGCAGAGCCACCAGAGCCACTCAGAGAGCAGAGGGCTCGATCACGCAATCGCTCACACTCACTCGAGACTGGACAATTCCTCTTCACCAGGCTTTAAGTAGCCAAATATCTGGTTCTCTAGGGCTGTTAGCTCTCTTGTATATACATAGCAGAGCCTTGTTTGCTAGCCTTGTCATCATCGTCGTCGTCCTCCGTCCTCGTCGTCGCTGGCTTTTCTACCAAGCTCATGTCGCGTTATCTGCATTCTCTACCGCTCATTCTCGTTTAAGCTTTGGCTCGCCACTCCAAAACTGCTGAGCGGGCCTCCCACCAATCTCGATCCTCGTCCAGGACTAATCCTTTGCTCTCCGACGAGCCCGAACCACCCGCTCTTGCCCGTCACCGTCTTTGAACAGGTAAGGATTGATGGACACGAGGTCACAGGTTCTCATTTGAACCGGCTGCACGGCTCTCCGGACTGGTCTTGAAGACACTTGGCCATTCCTGTGAGTTTGTGAGTCGATCCCGCCTTATTATTACGTCCTCATCATGGCTTTCATTCCTCAGACACCCTGTCATGAGACAGGACAGCTGAGTCTGCCGAGTACCTGAAAGGAGAGAAGTACCTGAATCTACTGCATTCCTACACGCTACCAAGTCCTGTACATGCAGGACTACATTCTTATCTGAAGGGGAAGCTTCATTGGTACACCGCCTCGATTGTCCCTCTCACCGTGCTTTTAACCTCGTCTATCTTCCATCATCAAATTTCCATCACTCTTTTTCTCTTCTCTCCGTATCTCTTCCTCTTCTTCCGTTCTACTCTTTCCAAAAACCACCGATTATCCGATATGCTATCATACCAGCAACCGCCCAGTACCGCTGGTGCTTACATCCTCAAGCCTGAACCAGCCTATTCATCCCACCACTACGACCGAGTCGGCCTGGTCGACCCCTCTGACGAGTTCCACCGCCTCGTTCGAGCTCTCTCCGACGTCCTTGGGCCTTCCTCAGGTATCAACTCCGACGATGTGGACGAAAATGACTTGATACGCCTCATGGAACAATATAGTTCCCAGCAAAGCCATTGGCGTCATTACGCCTTTGCCGACCTCAGCAGGAACTACACTCGCAACCTCGTGGACGAAGGAAACGGCAAATCCAACTTACTAATAATCGTCTGGAATCCGGGAAGGTCTAGTCCGATACACGATCACGCAGACGCCCACTGTGTGATGAAGATCCTCAAAGGGAGTCTCAAGGAAACACTGTACGCCCTCCCGCCCTGCTTGACCGAGAAGACGGATTCGAATGGCGCCTTGACCCCGCCACAAATTGTCAAAGAGTCCGTCTACCACGAAAACGAAGTCACCTACATCTCAGACAAGATCGGTTTGCACAAGATATCCAACCCTTCCAATGACGAACCGGCCGTGTCACTCCACCTCTATACCCCGCCTCATGCGGCCAATTTTGGCTTCAACCTATTCGATGAGAAGACGGGGAAACCTACGCACATCAAGCAAGCCGGCTTCTTCTCAGACCGTGGAAAACTCGTCGAAAAATGCAAGTTCGGATCTTTTTGAAACCTGGTATTCGATCGGACCCGACATCCCCAAGGTTTGCCTCGAAATCCAGGTAGACCCTTCAGGGCCCCCATGGGATGCCACATGTCTCAACAACATTGGCGACGGTGTGACAGCCGGATCTTGTGCTTCCATGGACTAAGCGGCCTCGTGAGAGGCCTGGCCACCCATTCACGACAATGTAGGGAGGAACCCAACCTCGTTTCTCGCTTGGGGTCGATCAGGCGTCCATATTATATTCAACTGCTGTGTGGAATCTATATACGATGCTACTACATTCGTATTCCCCGCGAGAACAGAACATGGAATGGAAGGGAGTTGGTGTTGGAATACGGAGTAATGTTTAGTCAAAGCCAGAAGACCTGTTCGGTACCTCTGCAGGTTTGTCCCAAGAGGTTTCTTTCTGGTCTAAAGGAAATCATCTTGTCCACGCCTCTGTGGGCTGATGGCAATTGTGGGATTACGAACAACGCATTGTGTTACACTCTGGGCTTATCTCGTTCCACCCTTCACCCTCAGGGCGTTCTGGCCCCAAGTTTGCTCAGTCTTGGGACTGAAACCCTACCCAAAAGGATTTCTCCGTCCACCCTATCAGGATATTAGGCATTTCGCGTGCTGCTGAACTTGGGTCTCACGTCAGGCGGCCGCTTACTTCATCCGCCTTGTCATTTCCTTAATCAGCCCGCCAGGCTTTCGCTCCCTTTCCTCATCGAGCCAACAACTACTACCGTAGAACATTCCCGCCCCATGAATAGGCTTGTGTGTCGCTTCCTTCTCGTGCTGTTTTCAGGATGTATGATGGGAGGATCTGCGACTCTCCTACTGTATTTGTGTTCTTGATCGTCCCATCATCTTCTCACAAAGTGAGCGTGTGTATTGTGTGGCCGAGACGGTCAGGCCTGACATATCACCCGTCTAGTCTAGCAGCTGTCAACCTGAACTCTTTCCAAGATATTAAGGAGCCAGCTGTCGCTTTCGATCCTTGTTCTGTAGGTCACAGTCCTTCAGTGTTCACTCAAGGCTACGCGGCAAAAAGGGTATTTGAATAACAAGTCACACTCCAAAGCTTGATGAAACGCTACATGTATATCACCACCTGAAGAGCTTCTATGCAAGCACCTTTCCTTGCAGATTCCGTCTTCCGGAATTCCACTGCAAGCCTCCCTCCAAGGACTACCCACCATCAATATCAGAGCCCTGCTACGACGGGCCGCAAGAGCACAAAGAGAATGACATTCATGTCCACCTTTCCATCCCATCTCCCATCCCAGCATCAACCACATACTTTCCCAGAAGTCCAAGCTCAACCACAACCTCAACCACAACCACAACCGCGACGCAGGACAACCCGAGCGTCGACAGACACGCAATCCTCCAGCTCGTCAAAATCCCTCAAGTTCTTCCGTTCCTCGACGACAAGGTCATCCTCGATTTCCTCGGCATCCAGTGATTCGATCAGAGAGGAGAGACGAGTGCGTCGCTGGGGCCGCAAGGCACTCGACGGTCTCGGACGGGCCTTCAGCGCCTATCCTCAGGGGCGTTCGGTAGGGGTCGTGTGGTACACTGGCTTCTAGGGGACTGGAATTATTATTTTCTTTCTCAAGAGGTCAAAGAAGGTCAAATAGAGACGAGTGACGAGTGACGAGTGACGCGTCAGGATGGTGACGACAGTAGTGGAAACAGGGGCCACGGACACTGCATCCCAACAAGGATTCCGTGGTGGAAAGGACCTTTGGAGCAAAATGGTAGACGTGATGTGCTTCAGCTGCTCGGGAAGGAGAAAGAACAAGAACAAAAAGAACAGGAACCAACTCGCTCCGCTACCGCTCGAGGATACGAAGGACATGAACTGGAGCACCTCGACTCTCGGCGTGGAAACCGATTTCAACATGGCGGATGCAAGAGACATCCCGCTCTCCTCTATGCCATGGTTTCCTCCCCCACCGTCGCCCGCGCTCCTGCCTTCTTCCCGAAACGGCCGCAGACGCGCACATGCAGGATCCAGTACGTCGCCAGCTGACCGGCAAAGGGGAGATCGCAGGGGAAGGAACTCCACCCTCCGTGCCTGGAGCCAGATCGATCCCCTCTATGCCGGGTGGATTGTGATATGATATTCGGATACAACGGGGTGACCTATGGCTTTTTTTCTGGCTGGTCGTGCCGCAAGGTCAAGCAATGTCGGTTTGTGTTGGGATACGGACTGAATTTTCTCACACCACGGACAGGGGGTAACGGATGATGCATGCGGTATTCATTCCTTGACACTGTTTTCTTTTGTGAACAATAAATATAAATGGGGTTCGCCTCCAAGCTCCATGCAACTTCAATTCCTCCGATTCTACACCTCTGTGCGATCTCAATCCCCCTGTCTTGCGCTGTTTCGATATGGTTATCGAGGTGAATGGAACATCTGCTCCCCTAGAGTCCGACTCACGCTGCACTCAGCAATGCCACGTCCACGAACCTTAGAGCTGATAGCGATTATGGTGGAAAGTGGGCAATCTCCACGATGATTTTGCCATGATCCGGAACAGAGTTTGCGAGAGGTGAGATGATGACTGAGAAAGGATGCGGTGGCAATTGTTGCGCACCAGGAATGGCATCCTCGCTATTACCATGACAAGATTCATGTGGTCGCAGGGGCCAAAAGGGCCTTAAGGTCCTTCCTTTCTCGTGAGTGATACAGTTCATCTATCTCCAAAGGTAGAAATGTGATGCAACCTCGCTGGCCTGACTTGATAGACCTTTTGCTGGTAGTAAGACTGTGCCTGAGGCAGAGCATGCTGGCGATCTTCAACACTGTTCGTGGAGGTGCTTCTGTTATTGTCGAGAGAAAAGGGTCCTGATCCCTTTTCCGCCAAATCCTCAATTGGTCGCAATGATGAAAGATCTCCCTTTGAAGGGCTTGTGTGTCCCGAACAATGCCAACTTGTCCTCTTTGAAATGGGACATGTATACCTTAGCCACAAGCCGAAGAACATTATCGTTCGCTCCGTAGCCATTAGCAGGCGCTCAAGGTGACAGCTCAGCACGCATGATTCGGTCATGTCAGGAGCTGTCACAGAATCAGCATCCAGACTAATCCACTTCATCTCGCGCCTTTGGGTCAATCTCTTTCTCGTCCACAACGGGCAAATCCAGATCAATCACGACGGGCTTATGAAACTTCTTGCCACCTCTATGAGGCCAATTCGACCCCATGTAAGCTGCGTTGACCATACAAGTTTCCACCCTTCCTTCTCGACCGGAAATGGCCTCTTGGTCAGACCTAGAGCTTGATGCTGGACCGCCTTGACCACCGGTCCCGAGATGTTTGACGTTCGGAGAGTGGATCGTGGAAGGGGCGGGTGTCTGTGCCTTTTCGAAGTCAGGGAAGGGAGGTGTTGGGGGAGATGGGACATTTGGGAGCGATCCGGGTCCGTCTTGCTGATCTGTGCTGGCATCCTCAGCAGTACCATCGACTCCCACGCCCCGAAGTCTTGAGAGTTGTGTTGGTGGGATTAGATTGCCAGTGCTTCCGTCATTGCGCAAAGCTAGCGACTTGGCTCTCGAAGACAGATCCACGGTGAATTGCTTCTTAGAACCTGGGTCTGGGTCGGCCCACCTTCGGACGCTCTGTTCTTTGTATCTGAGATTGGGAGAGGATAGGTCCCATGTAACGGCCTCTACACCATAGGCCTCGTGAATGTGCCCACATACGAACAATCTGGGTCGAACTCTCCATAAAGCCTCGCGGAGGATCTCGCATCCTGCCGTGCCGCGTTTCCCGCATTCATCGCAGTGAAACTTGGCGGGCGTGTGCGTTACCACGATATCCGAGTCCAGAGGGATCTGATCCCATAATTGAGGAGCAGTTTCTGGTGAGTAGCCGAAAGCCCAAAAGCCATGTGCTGGCGAGTATGGGGAACCAAAGACCTTGAGCAAGGACACTAGACCGTCTGCGTGATTGATGCGAACCTGCGTGGCCTCGTGGTTTAGGAAAACAATTGAAGGGTGGGAACGGAGCAAGTCGAGGCAGCGTTGAGGATCTTCCCTTCTCTTATTGTGGAAGTAGCCTCCGTACATTTGATAGAATGGAACATCGCAAGTGACATCGTGATTCCCACACACGACGATTTTGATCTGAAACTGTGCTTTCTTAATCCAGTCAACAGCCTTCTGAAGCTCTGAATAGGTGCCTTGGTTAGTGAGGTCTCCAGCGTGGATAAGAATGTGTCCAGCCGGCAGCTGGGGAGTCTGATTGTGAGTATCAGATATACAAACAATACGCGTCCGTCTAGTAGTCATCATTGATGATAACGATGTCTCGTCGGAGAAGGAAAAGCATGTCAAGCACGAGGAAGATTTTTTTTTTTCCTTTTTCTCCCTTCAGATCAAATGCGCCAACCAGGCAGCTGCGAGTGTATCACGTTGCAATCTGAGAATGGCTCTCAGCGTCCTTTTTTGGTCGTGGCGCAGCGCAGCCTTCTGCCATTCTTGCATCGCCAGCCGATTCTCAGAGTATGTCTCTCACTGCAGTTCTCATTCCACACTGCCTCGTACAATTCACGACGAAACCGAAAGGATCGGGCGAGTGGCGACAAGGAGGGGTAATTGCATGGGGGTGACTTTCGTTCCTTGCATTAGTTTCCTCGCTGAAGAGCCTGCAGATCCGAAGCCCAACCGAGCAACGACGGAAGGTGAATGTTGCTGCGGGGATGAAGGGTTCGGTGAACTGCTGGTCAGAGTGCATGAGCAGGGAACAGTAACGGCAACAGATGATTGTTGTATGGGACTCTTGAGAAGGGATCAATGGGATTGTGCCGACGGGGAACCAGTGAGTACCAACCTTTTGGGCTGCCTGGCGACTCTGGAGATGTGATGTTCCTGGATCGTGCAAGGAAGAGCGAAGAGCGGAGACACAATCAATAGGGGGTTGTTTGGGCCTCTGGGGGGGCAAGCCTCGGACATCCAAGCCTGAAGGGTCGGTCTCAGGCGCTTGGCTTTAACTGGTAATAGCGCTTGTGCCCGAGGCTTTAGTGCCCGCTGGACCGGGAGATCAAGCCTGGACACGGATTTAGCGGGTCGAATCATGGGCAGCGCAGTCCGTGCCCCTTTCCCACACAACAAAGACGCGACACTCGCGCAGCAGCTCCAGCAGGCCACTACAGGGTACCCGGTACAGCACCACCAAGAGCAGCAACTCTTCTGAGATGTCACACTTCCATCACAAATCTTCCGACGCGTGCTAGTTGCTGGGGGACAAGCCTAGACGAGCGAGAATGAGGCAGCTCACACAGGCTTGCAGGCTCACGGACCAGACTCCTCCCTCCCCCATAGATTAAGAAGTAGCTATCCCGTACCGAGTAGAAAACACTGCAAGCTTCTCTCTTCCCCATTGCATGGAGATTCCATGCCCTCTGGAGAAATGGACAAAGAGAAACAAGTGCTGAAGGTGCCGTTGTAGGGGATTTCACCATCCACAAGCGAGACGAGGCTAGCAAGGATTGGATGATCCATGGATCAAATGAGCCTCTGCCAGAGCACATGGACGACACGCTCACCACCACCACCACCACCACCACTACCAAACCTTCAACCTCACCTTCGTCTTCACTCCCACCCCAGATCTCGACTTCTCCTTCCCATCAGCATCAGCATCATCATTTTCTGCCAAATTGTACTTTAAATCCCCCCGACACACGCCATGGTCTTGATGCTCGCACCGCAGCCGTTTTCCCACCGCGCTCTCCCTATCCCCATTTCCATCCAGCCCGCATTGCAGATGCCAACCATGACTTGACGTTTTCTCGGCCTCCGCTCCGCAAGAAACCCAAACTATCCTCCAATGCCCCCGATCCCAATTCACCATCTGTGCCACAGCCGTCCTCTGGAATGCGCAAGCCAGTAGGCATCTCAAAAACCCCGAGTGTTCCCTCCTTCAGCATCTCCCTCGACCCCGATCCCAACGACAACCGACCCTCTTCGTCCTCTGGAATCAGCCAGCCCTCCACCCCTTTACATCGAACAAACTCCCACACGCTCCAACGATCCCCTTCGCAAAAAAGACCTCCTGCCTCACATAGCAGCTACGGCGTCGAGACCATCTGTGGCCCTCCTCCGTCTTACAGCACTCAACGAACGCTATCGCAAGACCGCATCCGACTGGATCGAAATCCGTCCACGAGATCTACCAACGACACAACGCGCGATTTGTCCCCTTCTAAGGTCAATGAACTTCCCTCGGCCGCCGACTCTAGTCCAGCGCGAGCGTCGCCCGTGAAGCCAGATCAGACCCCGTCGACGACCGAGTCTTCGACCGACGAGGCCACCACTCTAGAAGCATCTAGCCCAGACACCGCAGATACAGAAAGTGTGCTTACTCCCAACTCTACCATGAGTAAAGAACAAGCTGCCGCTGTGAACCCAATCGATCTGCACCAAAAGGAGAACTCGGAACCGAGACTACTCAAACCCATAAGTTTAGACGAAGACAGCAAAGGTTCAAGTAGCGACGAGAAGAAAAGCGAAGATTTGTTCTTGAATATTGCAAGGACCGACGCGTCTCGAGGGGTTCAAGTGCAGTCTAAACTTGACAAGAGACGGTCGAGGGTTTCACTTCCTTTCTTCTCAAGTACCCGGCCTTCCACCGGCTACAAATCTTCTCCCATACAGGAGCGATTTGACACTTCGAGCGTGGCCGGTCGATCAGAGGCACTGAATTACTACAGCAAGCGATCTTCCCTCGGGCAACATGTGCCGGGAGCACTCTCACGGACGTATGCCCAGGAAGGATCAGTGCGAGATGGGGCTCTTGACACGCAGAGCTCCCATCCCGCGGATTTGCCTCGAAGGGCCACATCGAGACGATATTCCACTGCAAATTCGAACACTAACACCAATACCGAACCGGTGCGTACGTTTTCACGCCCTAGCACGGCTCGAAACAGCGGCCGCTTGGTCTCGGAGTCTGGCTTTCTTGATCGTCCCCGCGTACCCGATCACAATGCCACCGAGTCAACGATCTCCACAACCGCTCCTTCGACGGTTTGGGACGAGCTAGATGACCTCAAATCGAGGATTAGAAAGCTGGAGCTTACGGGGAAGCTCCCGCCGTCTTCGGCTGCAGCAATGACGACGTCAGAGAGACCAAAGACCGCCACAACGGCGGCGACGACCATGTCGTCCTCTCCAAAACATAAACCGGCAGTGGCCCAATTGCAATCCGCGATCGAAGGGATTCCGTCTAACATCCACCCGAATCTCCATGAGGCACTTGGTAATGCCAAAGCTGTCCTCAGTAACGATGTTTATCAGAAGCTACAAGCAACGGCTCAGGATGCCTTGCAATTGTCCATGATGATGAATCCAGAGGGGCATAGCGGCGCTGCCAGCACCCTTGGGATGTCGTCAGTCTCGGAACGTCAGATACGTCGACGAACGGAAAGCATGTGCAGAAGCCTGACGGAGCTGGCTATTGCAATCCTAGCGGACCACAAACAGCCTCCTCAGCCTGTAACGAGACCCGGTAGTCGCGATGCATTCCAGCCGGCTTCTGCTGGACTACGGAGTCGTCGATACAGCAATGAGCCTAACGATCGTCCTCCAGTCACGTCGCGAGTCCAATCCCGCCTAGAGACCCGACGAACCAGCGCACCGCTCGGGGCTGCGGTGAACCCGCAGCCAACGTCACCCGAGAACACATATCAAACACCTCCTACAGCCTTGCCTCAGATATCTAGCTCTTCGTCAGCGCGGCTAGGACGAACTTCTACTACCTTGGTACGTAGCAGGCGAACTCCTGGGTACAATATGGATGGCACCACGGACGACGAGGAAAGTAGTCCTTCAGTCAGACCAGTGAGCCGAGCTATGACGGAAGTGAGCACGTATCGCCAATTGGCAAGAGATCGAGCAGCGTACTCGAGAGAATACACCGCCCAACACCCCATGCCTCAACACCCCGTCCCTGCGGCGCTTGAAACTACCAATGTGACCAGAAGTCAGCTTCCTTCCCATATCAGTACGCATCTGGTCCCGAGACGCAAATACGCTGCTCCTTCCTCGAATGTGAGCAACGTGGGTGCTCAAGAGCAGACCCCTGTGACGCCCAAAGAGCCTTGGGGACGGATAACGATCGTCCCAGCGGCTGCATCTAGTCCGATAGAAGTCACACCAGAGAGTCAGGTAGCCATTCGACCTTCAGGAACGCGAAGAAGTCTTGGATTCACGAGCAGGATCAGCAGTGTGAGCAGTCGACTTCGAGCTGCCAAAGCAGAACGGAATGCAGCGACAAGAGAAGCCACCGACGCACGAGGAACGAAAGATATTGCACCATTGAGGCAAGAATTGGATAATACCATGCCATTGGAAAGACAGGGCTCCGGCCAGAGTGTTGAATCTTGATGACCATGTCTCATCAGCAGCTCAAATTGTATCATACTTTGTACAATGGATAACCCGGGAAGGCAGTCCTTCTCCATTGATTTCGCCGACACCAGCCGGCGAGAGCTTTTTGGCAGGTCAGGAACGAAAATAGAATGGGCTACTTGACAGTGGCAGTTGTTTTAGTGATTGCTAGAACCGCGTTTCTGGATGTCGTCCCTTCTACCACTGGTCTGTACCCGTGCAAACACGCCGATTGGCAACGAGCGATGACAAGTGGTCTAGGATGGAATCAAGGCTGCAGTTGGAGAATCGACAAGGATACCCAATAGAGATATGGATCATACATATCAACAGGCAAATCATCGACGAACTCGTCCACGTGCAGATGAAATTTTCCTTCCGGTGGCCACCTAGAGGACCACCAGAGCCCGCTACCATCATGCCACACCAATTGCTCGGACATGCACCTGGGATTATGACTAAAAAATATCACGTTCTTGCCTTCTCTCTGGCTCCCGGCATGGCTCGCTTGGCACAACAAATCCAGCATTATCCTGTCCTGAACTGAGGGGCAGAAGGCGGTGGAAAACATGCGGACAAGACGCCATCGACGATGACTCTTGAACAATTGTTGAGTGGACTCCGTCAAAGGCAAGGGAGAGGAAACTGAGCACCTTAAAAGTCCGCAAGAAAAGGATAAGGTGAGTGTACCTCGAGTCTAATTCGCCTCTTGGATGTCGCCATCACCAATCGAGATGACATGTGTCTAAGGCACACTTCCTTTGTCCTCACTCTTCGGCCTTGTCTGCATATGCCCCTCTTGCGTGTGACAATATAAGGGGACGAGGCATTTCCTCCATCCTTGAAGTTTGCAGAGAATCCCCGTCCAACTCGAGGGGAAAAGTGGCTTTGGCTATCCGATTCCTTCCTTTCGGCAGAGCACTCGCTGGCATCACACGTAAGACTCTCGAAGGCAGATCCATTTCGTCTTGGAGTGTCCCTGTACCTGTCCCGGTTGTGGAGAAGTGTCCGGGAACACGAAACACCAGTGACATCAAAGCTCTGCGCCTTTTTGCGTGCTCGGTCCTGTCCATTGTCTGTGTACAGCTGATCCCGACTGCCTACAACCGAGCCAGTATACGACCTCGACCAGACCAAATACATCAAGCTGCCTCGACCTCACGCCAACCTGATACCCTTGGTTGTCAAGTCGAGGCTTCGAGTTTGACACGCGATATTCTGTATATATCTCGAGAGCCACCTTCTCCGACAAGTCCCAATTGGTCCGTTCAAAACCATGGCAGCCTTTGCAAAGCATGCCTCCGGATCGCCGCCACTACATAGTCCGGGCTCGATGGATTCGGATTCCGGCCGATCGTCAATGGAGAGAAAGACGTCCACGTCGTCGTCTAGATCTACACAACCAACAATTCCAATCTCACCTCGCCTGTCTCCCAAAGTTCAACTCGTCCCCTATGCCCGCACCGCCAGCTTCGACATATCGCTGTCAGAGACGGAGCGAGAACTCTTAGACAAGGCCTCGACCAACTTTGATGCGCTCGACCTGTCGTCCAAGGACTTTGACTTCGAAGATATTTTCACATATGACAAGCCTCAAAAGAAACTCACCAAAGGAGTGGTCGAGGTCTCAAGGCCGACTCGAGACTACCGAGACTGGTCCTCGTTCTCCTTCTCACACTATTCGGCGGCCATGAGTGCAAGGCAAAAGGTCAACAAGGCCAAGTCAGGGATAGGGGAGCTGTACCTGAAGAATAAATCAGATGCACGAAAGTCTTAAACAAGAATGGAAGGGATGGCAAGTGAGCGCGGCAAATGGGCGATGGTTCTTGGGGACATAGACGGCAATCCCCTTGGTCTCCTGGGTCTTTGTTCCCTCATCATTCTCCCTGTCGAAAGACGCCCGTCCGCCCTTCGACCAGACATGCAAAGGCGTTTCAAGTTGTATACCGGCAAACTTGCAAATGAAGGGATGGGCGGTCAATCTCCTGGCGGCTTCGGGTGCACGCTGGATCTGGCAACTGGGAAGCATAGTCATGACACAAAAAGTCGACGGCGTTATGGGTTCCAAAAGCAAGGAAACATACCACAACAAGCGATTGGAGCTTGGATTGATGTGAATTATTTCGGGATACGGGGGTCAAACCCATTTAGGAAGAACTGGCATGATAGACACGATACTCAGTCACTTAGAGTTACAACCTGCAGAGGTTGCACTCGCATGGATATAGGCCTGAAAATATCAACCTCGTCCGAGAAGGGAAACAAGCATGAGGCCGTGAGGCCGTCTAGGTCAAACCCCCCTTGGATGCGATTTCGCTTGAGCATGCCCTATTTTCAGCCCGCAACCACGCTCCCTTGCGAGACACTGGGTGCCACATTTTGGTGTTGATTAAATGGTGGTCGGTAACCGAGCACGATGCCTAGAGGCTGAAGGCGTGGCTTCACGATGTGGTTCAAAGAATGAAATGAGTAAGAAGGACTGACGGGTGGGAAGCTCGGCCATGCAAGTGTATCTAAGTAAACTTGGAGGGATGTAAGCAGGTAATCAGTGTGCTAGTCAGGCTCCAGCTTCTGGGTAAGGGAAGTATGAGGTTTCTATTGTTAATACTCGGTCCTCGGACAGTTATTGCTATGTACTTGCGACGTCTGGGTCTTTAGATGATAGCGATGGGGGGGGGGGGGGGACACAGTCAGCCCACCAGCCTCCAGCCTTCAGCCTCGGGGGCGTGGCGCACAGACAAGTTGATTCTCGCGCATGTAGCAATCTGAAACGCGGTGCAATCTTGCAGGTCTCATGCCGCGTGACTCGAGTGGGGAGGAGGGGAAGGTGTCTTCGCTTGTTTCTTTGTTTCCTTCCTTTGTTGTTCTAACGAAGGGACGTAGACTATGATGTTATGCATGCAACCAAGTGTCTTTCTCTGGATTGTTCTAGGATGCTTTTTTGGGGGGGATTGCAATCTGACTATTGAGATCGGAGGAGCGCAAGATGCGTCTTCTTGGAGAGTATTGGGCCAGAGTGCGTATACCCAGTACTCACGGAGTACATTGCCTGTGTACGAGGACGGAGTACAGGGACCTGGGCCCTTGTGCTGGCTCTGCGAACGTGGATGCGCGCGGCAAATTTCCCGGCTCGAAGCCAGAAATAGAAGCAAAGACGGGGGCCTCGGCAGCCTTAATGGCCGCTGGTGGGTGTCTTTGGGTGTCCTGGGGAGTCTTGGTGGCCTGGGCAATTGGCATTGTGTTTCAGGTTGGTGGCTCCCGCATGCCCCCAGCCCAATCGCTGTCTGATCCTTTGGCCCCCCCTACCTCCCGCCCTGCCTCAAAGGCACCCTTTACCCTTTCTGCCCTCCCCCTCAATACGTCCCATACCAGCGCAAGTAATTGTGATTCGCTTCTTGTGCCAGGAGGTGAAATCTTGTCCAGGCGCCTAGGGGAGACACCACCACAACTTGCAGGCGCTGACTGGCAGGACTCGACTTCTTACTCTGGTGGTACCTACTCCGACCTTGTGTGCTCCGTCAATTCACCTTCAATTCAGCTTCAAAGAAACCTATGACCACTCCGTCCTCCTCCGGCCATCGATCGCACACCTTTTCCATACCCAGTACGCAGCCCATCTCCACCCCAGCTGCTTCCTCGTGGACTCGTGGACTCGTCTACCCGGCCAGGCTCAACTATTGCGCCATCCCGCGTTCCTCCTCCTTGCTCATTTGCCGGTCGGTCAAAGGAAGAGAGGTTCCTAGGTTCCACTCTGCGCTCGAAACTCGAGACTTTTGTCCACCTCCTCTCAAATACCAACTACCCTACCGAGTCCCCTGCCTATCCTTTACCCACCACTCCTCGAAACCTCAAGCCTCAACCTGTCGCAGAGTCCACTTTCGCTTTGCCGCCAGTCCTCGGGTTCTTGGATTTGAAGGAAAAGCCGTCGAATTGCTATCAACTAATCGTCTCTGGTCATCCCCCTCCTTTGCGACTTCAACCTTTATTGACCTTCAGGTCGCATCCGTCTATTCGGTTTTCCCGTTGCGCATACACTCTATAACTTGGTGCAAGAGGAGGTAGTCTGTTGCTTGTTGCTCCCAACGGAAAACCCACAGTCCCAAATCCGTATTACAGTCTGTTACTTTAGTGGAGCCATCCTTGTCGGAGGACGGAGGAGACAAAGGAGGAAAGCCTGACTTGCTGCGCCGCACACTTTGGATACGCGCTGAAATCTGAAACTGCGGAGGAGCAGGTTAAGCAGACAACCACCACCGTCCCCTCCTCTCAGGGACACTCTAGGGACCTGCTGCAGCAGGGACCAGGAAACATCTTGCTCATGTTTTGTGTCGCATGTCTTCGCCGTTTGTTGCGCCGCGATTGACCGTTCCGGGCTCCATTAAACTCTTCTGGATTTGTTTGAGACCTCAACTTTGACCATTACCATTGTACGTCAGTTCCAGACCCTCATCACTCGCTGTTGTCGTCTACCCTTTTGCAATCCATGCGGCGGTGCAATGGTTCTTCGTCGCTCCTCGGTCACCACCTGTCGTCGCCATGTTGAGAGACTCAATGGATTACCTTGCTAACAATCACCAGCGCAAGAGGTCATTTGACTTGGCCAACAACTATCAAGACGTCACGAGTACTATACGCCGTCGAGTTCGCCATGGTTCAGCTTCGATAGCTTTGCCAATAGGCCCCCGCGAATCCTCCCAATTCCCCGGCCCCTCCAGCAAGAGACGACCGCCTCTTTACCCGACCAAATACTCGAATATGCCCCCGGTCGAGGTGGGCTCGATCATGTCAACACCATTTCCGTCCTTCATGTCAGTTGTTGGAAAACCCGATACAAGTATTTTGAAGGCTATGGAAGAGTTGACGGCCGCTCCGGAGACAATACCTGAGAGTGATACCCAAATCCTCGTGACCGACGCAAATCCTTCAAGGGACTCGACTGTTCAGCGCTCGGATCTCTGCTTACACCATCGCGACAGCGTCACCTCCATGACATCTGCTTCTACGGAATCCTCACCTACAACCACCAATTCAACCTTTGATTCTCCTTTGATAACTGACTCTTCGCCCTCTTCATCTCCGGAATCAGCCTCCTCGACTGCTCCAGTGTCCCCTTTCCGGAACATAATGGTTAGACCTGCACTAGAACCACCTCGAAACCCTCCACAGCAAAGGCAACCACCAACGGGAGAAACCACGGACGACCTTTCAACGAAGGCTTTTTTGGTGCCAGAAGTCCCCAAGAATGTCAAGAATTTGTCGCTGAATATGAGCGCGGTCGTGCTACCCCGCCCTGCGACTTCACATGGATTCGAATCTCATGCATTCTCCGCTCCTACATCGCCCTCGAAGGACACTCCTCGAACAGGGCGGAAAAAGCCGACGAATCTCACCATCCGGACTCCTGGGTTTCAACAGTTGACATTCAATCGAGCATTAGACGTGCCCCCGACACCCGGTTCCAGACCGTCGCTACATCATATGGCTTCGTCACCCGCCCTTGCCTCACTTGCTTCTCCTACGAAACCTCCTCCAGGAGGCCTATTCCTTCATTTACCCGCCACTGGCACTGTTCCGTCCGGCCCTGGTTCAGAGCCGAGCAATTCGGGTCAGTCGGGCAATCCTCAACTCCCGGAACTGAAAGAGGAGGACGAATTTCACCCGCAAAAATCACAGGAAACTCAAGAGAGGGGGTATCCCAAAGGTCCTGTATTGATTTACGACAGCGGAGTCTATCTGTATCTGGAGCCAACGGCGCAGGAGGCGAGTCAATTCGATATGGTCATCAATGTGGCCAAGGAAATTAAGAACCCTTTCGAAATAGAACCACCGAAACCCGAGATAGAGCCACAGACAGCCATTTCGGAGCTGTCGTTCAAGTCGGCGTGGGAATGGCCACGATCCAACGAAATACCGACGCCTACGACTCCTCGGCCGAATTCCTTCGTTCAGCGGCAGCAACCCGAATACTTGCACGTACCATGGGACCATAACTCGGAAATATTGGAGGATTTGTATTGTCTATGTCGGCTAATTGATGAAAGAATACAAGCGGGGAAAAAAGTCTTAATACACTGCCAGTTAGGTGTCAGTCGCTCTGCCTCATTGGTGATTGCATACGGCCTGTACAAGGGCTATCAACCGGATTTCCACTCGATGTACATGGCGGTGAAGCAGCGGAGTGAATGGGTAGGACCCAACATGAGCCTGATCTATCAGTTGACGGACTTTCGGGCAAAGGTTGTCAAAGGAGTTTATGGTGATCACTGCAACAACCCCAAACCGAGCTGGTGGAAGATACGGTCGTCAAGTTCTCCTGTTATGGACACGCCAGTCGCTCAACAATCTTCCTGGCGTGTCCCGCACTGGACGGATAGTGAAAGAATGCCGGCTCCTACGGGCACATTTGTCTCCGAGCCTTATGCGAAAGCTCTGCCGCCGTTGAAGCTCAACAAGGCACTTCCCCCAGTGCCCCTATTTCCCAAGGATGGGCAGACAAATGCGATAGCTACGCCAGTCAAATTGAGCCATATCTTGGGAGGCATTGCGCAGCAATTGCCGCAGACGACGAAAACACCGGACCCGGCACCCGTTACTGAGGCCCGTAGTCCACCACGACCTCAGAGCCCTCCACAGAGTGTGTCCCCCCGGCCACTGCCGTTTCGCGAGCGATTCGATTCACCACCTCCTCAACAGCAGCAGCCACGCAATCCCTCCAAGACACCTAGACTAGGGATTGTTACCAGCTCACCCAAGATGGATGCCGCCACGGAGGAACCCGACGGGTCGTCGCTCTTGTCACCGAGAGCCACGGAGTTCATGGTGTCTCCATTTGGGATCACGACTGCCGCAGACCTGGCCATGACTAATGGCGGTGGCAAGAAGGTGACAAGAGGAGTCTTGCTTCCACGACAAATGCAGCCTCCGGCGTCATACACAGTGGCGGGTCAGATACCAGCACCCTTTGATCCCCGAAGTCCACACCAACAGGGTGAAGCACCCGAGATATTTCGGAACATTGATGACTTCTTGTGAGCAGAAGCTACGCATGCAGGACAGGCGGGCAAGGCACGGCCTTATTCTCTTTGGATTAATGTCTGAAATAGAATGGACATTGTGGAAACATTTTCAACATAGCATGGCGTTTTTCTGGCAATGGGAAGCCAAAGGGGCAGCAAAACCATGAAGATAATGGGTCAAACATGCATGAAAAGGGGCCCCCAAGCCCAACGAAAAGGATGGTTAGGAAATGTCAATTTCCGAACAATTTGTACAACTAGTCATGACCGGAACGGATGGTGTTGTGGTTAATGCAGCAAGAAAATGGGCAGAGCTCGGATATGACGCCGTCAAAAAGAGCCACGGATGAATGTCATGGGTTGGATTCGAAAGACAGTGAACCGGACCGTGTTGTTCCCACTGAGGGATGCGTTGCGATCGCATGTAGTGGGGACGAAGGCATACGTTCCTTGCACAGCTGAACGAGCAGCCACTGTCTTGTTCACTAGACGGTCGAATACAAATTTCATTCATAGATCACAAATCCTGTTTGTATTGTCTAAAGTGGCGTCGCAGAACCCCTATTGTCTTTGGCGACGTGTATCTCTAGCAGCGAGTACATACCTCATAAGTGACAAGGCTGCGCTAAGAGAAACGCGGAGGAAGCGGCGGGCGGCCCTGGTCGCTCGCCCTTTTCCGTTTGACGTCGATTGTGGATTTGTTTGTTCGACCTGATCGTGTATCCTCCCTGCCCTCCACACTCACCGTGTCTTTGTTCAAATACTTCAATTGTTAGTCGGTCTCTTCTTCTCACATGTCTTTTGATTCTACAGAATAAATAACCTGGGTATATCACTGCCCCGGTCGTCGCTTAGTCGCCATTTCCCAGCAGCCCCGCCCATGGTTCGGCAAGGCAGCCGCCTGGCCTAGCACAACGCCAAAATGGCCATGGAGCGCACTCGCATTGCGAAGGTTGTATGATCCGCTGGCTGTTGCGCAACATGCCTGGTGCCAAAGAGACTGACAATGTCTCCTCCACAGGTCGACGACGTGACTCTCTCACGCCGCGGAATCCAGGTCAGCGGAACATTGCATCTGACTCCTCATCACCTCATCTTCGTTCACGCCGCTCCTCCCACCGCTGACGGCAAGCATGCCCGACCCCGAGAAAACTGGATAACATACCCCATCATTCATTTCTGCACCCTTCGGCCGAGTCCGACTGCTTCCAGACAGCCCTCGTCCATCCGCCTGCGCTGCCGCGATTTCACGTTCTATTGCTTCTACTTCAATGATGATCGGAAAGCTAGGGATGTCTACGACAGTGTCAAAGCTTGGACATGCAAGTTGAGCGGGATCGAAAAGTTGTATGCATTTTCGTATCATCCGACAGGGCCCGAAAAGGATGTCGGGGGGAAAGGTTGGTCTCTGTATGATCCCATGCGCGAGTGGAGGAGAATGGGTCTCGGTGACGAGAGTCGTAAGACAAACTGGAGGATTTCCACCATCAACAAGGACTACAGCTTCTCTCCGACATATCCTGCCGTCCTCGCCGTCCCCGCAAATATCTCAGATAATACTCTGAACTACGCAGGACGATATCGATCTAGAGCGAGAATACCGGTTCTGACCTATCTTCATCCGGTCAACGATTGTACCATCACTCGTTCATCTCAGCCACTTGTTGGAGTAAGAGGAAACCGAAGTATCCAGGATGAAAAGCTCGTTGCGGCAATCTTCAACACCACGAGAGCTGAACGGCCACTCTCTGCCTACAACTCTCCGCCGCCGGAACGCGAGGATTCTGGATCCAATAAAGACACCAACTGCGCAGTGGTCCTGGATGGTGAAGTCTCACAGGCAGACGCCGAGGCGGTCGAAGATGCCATCATTGCCCGGTTTCGAGGTGACGATGATGCGCCGGAAGGCTCAGATGACAGAAGGCCTATGGTTTACGGAGCGCAGCAGCGAAATATGATCGTGGATGCTCGTCCCACCATCAATGCGCTGGTCATGCAGACGCAAGGCATGGGCTCCGAGGATATGAGTAACTACAAGTTTGCTACCAAGGCATACCTCGGGATCGACAATGTTCATGTCATGCGAGACAGTCTCCAAAAAGTCATCGACGCCTTCAGAGATTCCGACCTGACCCCCTTGGGTCCAAATCAGGAGTTGCTGCAGAAAAGCAATTGGTTGAAACATATTGGTCTTGTTCTGGATGGCTCGGGACTCATTGCCCGACAAGTGGGGCTGCAACACAGCCATGTCTTGATTCATTGCAGTGATGGCTGGGACAGAACAAGCCAACTTTCGTCTCTCAGCCAGATATGTCTCGATCCATACTACCGAACTATGGAAGGGTTCATGGTACTTATCGAAAAAGATTGGCTGAGCTTTGGTCACATGTTCAAACATCGATCGGGATTCCTGAGCTCGGAGAAGTGGTTTCAGATCGAGAACGAGCGAATCAGCAGAGGCAGTGAAGATACGGATGGCAAAGAAGAGAAGAGTGGTCCCATGGCGACTTTCGAAAATGCCTTTCTGACTGCTAAGGGATTCTTTTCCAACACCAAAAACAACGAGTCGAGAGAGTCCATCAATGTTGACTCGGACGCAGATGCGCCGGGGAACTATGACTCGGAGTCGCAACCAGGGAGACGGATTGTGTCTGCGAGTGGGAAGAAGGAGAAAGAGAAGCCAATCACAAAGGTCAAGGAGACATCCCCGGTCTTCCACCAATTTCTGGATGCCACATATCAACTGCTGTACCAGTATCCCACCCGATTCGAATTTAGCGAACGATTCCTGCGGCGTCTCCTCTTTCATCTATATTCTTGCCAATATGGAACATTCCTGGGCGACAACGAAAAGGAACGCAAAGAACTCAGGCTCAGCGAGCGCACCCGGAGTGTATGGGATTATTTTCTCGCCCGCAAACAAGAGTTTCTCAACTCAAAGTACGACCCAGTCATCGACGACAACGTCCGCGGCAAAGAACGCCTCATCTTCCCAAGACCGGACGAGGTGAGATGGTGGAATGAACTCTTCGGCCGCACGGACGACGAAATGAATGCCAAACCTCAACCCCTTATCAAACCTCAAACCAATGGTTCCGGTGAGGCGGGAGTGACTGAACTATGGACGTCTGTCTCGGACGCTGGTGGATCACAAGCTGGCTACTCGTCCTCCGTGTCGGCGCCAGTTTCCAGGGCTAGGACCCCTGTGCTTGTCGGTGTAGAGACAAGTGAAGGGAGTGTGGGGTTAACGAGCTCTCTTTCTGGGAAGTTGAGTTCGAAAATGCATGAGCCGGCGGCGGAGAGGGCGAGGATTCCTGGTCTATCTGCCCCTGCTCTTGACATGTCGCGGCCGGGATCTCGGGCAGCATCGCCAATGCCGAGAGAATCATTTTCAAGATCAAGGACGCCCGTCCCCGTTGCGCCATCGCCGAAACCCGAATTCAGAAGTTCCAAATCGCCCCAGGATGAGTTAATGATAAAGAAAGACCGTGACGACGATGTGAAAACGAGCGACCGCCTCCGAGCCGTGAAGGACGACTCGTCTGCGTCGAATATCCTTTCTACGTCAGATCAGAGCACGGTCATGATTCACCATTTCCCCGATGAGCAGCAGGCGCAGTCAGTCCCGCTCCCAGCGAGTCCGAGTCTGTCTCCTTCCATCACACCCCGGGATCTGGGTCAGGATAAGGAGGGGGCGAGAGAAGCCAACCAAAAGCAAGATCAGAACGCGGAAGGGAATAGAGATATCGAACAAGATGGACCCGATAGCAAGATTAGAGATCCTGCAGAGACGTTGGCGGATGATCTGGATCCCTTGGGCATCGGTGAGGCTAAAGACATCCCGATAGCGCAGCAGAGTCTGTCAATGTCCATGCGCGCAAGGAGAAGAGAGCAGATGGAGTTGTTGATGAAGTAATTCTCTCATGGGCAGGAATGCTTGTGGTGATCTTTCTTGGTTATGCCGGACGAAGAAAATAAGAAGGGGGTCTCACGCACGCACACTTTGAAGAACATACATGGCGTGGTGGTGTTCCGGGATGGATGGGCGCTGGTATGCATGATTGCGGCACGCGCTGAGGTGCGTTTTCTGTTCCAAGGACAAGGCACTACAGCCCAGAACGGCTTTGCACGGGAGGCAAGGAGAACCAGCGCTACGGTGATCGAGCAGACATCTTCTATCACGAATCACGGGCGGACGATGCGCTTGCGTAGAAGTTTGCCGAGCAAGAGCTTGATTGAAGCTGCCAGCGAGCTTAACATTGCAAGATTGGATGGTTTATTAGAGCATGCCAGTAACCCAAGCAGCCAGGCAAAGATGAGCAATGAAGCAATAGAGAGAGAGTCGTTGCTTTATGCCCCGTTCAATGTTCATTCTCCTTTTGCCTGCCCACGAGCAGACGTTGCCAATTGTCCCATCCGCTTTATCCTCGCAGAATGAGAGGACAAGAAGCAATAATCCAACTCGGGTAGGTCAATTTATCGATGCCCAATCGGCATGTTTTCGGGTGGAACAGTGCAAAACAGTGGTGTCAACGGCTTTTCACCTTGCGTCTCATTTCGTGCAGCAAAGTTGATTGAGGCTCATCATGAGAAAAGCGTTGAAAACGGCGATTCACGCCATTAGAGACTCGGTGGATGGGAAGAAGGAGAATGAGACTGTGAGTACGTCTTGTCCCCTGCACGCAGCACAGGGATGAGAAGAGAGGCGTGAGGAGAGAAGAGTGGGAGGTGAGAAGTAATAAGAGTTGAGAAGTGTTGAGCTGGCGAGGTTGACGTCCCGAGCTTTCACTTCACCTGCGCCTTCTTCTTCTTCTTCTTCTTCTTCTTCTCCATCTCAGCCGCCTGATACAACTCTCCTCCCCCTCGAATCTTCACGACGGACGATCCCCCAAACCAACGGTGTCCCTTTGGTCGTCTGCCCCTATCTATTCTTGAGTCCAAAACATAGCACTTATACTAGGCATCCCTAGCAGCTTCGACACCCTCCATGTCCTACCGACAACAAAGTCGACCGACCCCTAAGGACATCCTTCGATATCGCTATCAGCATGGCACCAATCTAGGAAGCATTTTTATTTTGGAACAATGGCTGTTCGGGAGCATGTACGATCAAGGCGTTTCAGGGAGCAGTGAACTTGACGCGGTTGTTGCGTGAGTCTCGTCGTTCTGCCTCGCCCATTCCCACCTATTCACAGTTCATTCGCTCAGATCCATCAATGTCCGTGGCCTCGATGCCACTCGCCAGAAATGGGAGGCTCACTGGGCCAACGCCCTCACCGACGCAGACCTCGACTGGCTCGCCAATGCCGCACACTGCAATTCGATTCGATTGCCAATCGGCTATTTCACATTGGGTCCGGCCTTCTGTGCCAACACAGCCTTCGCTATGGTACCTTCCCAAGTCTATGTCAACGCATGGCCTGCCGTGAAGCGCCTCGTCCAGCGATGTCTCCAATACGGCATCGGTGTCCTCATCGACTTGCATGGCGTTCCTGGAGGCGCTAATCATGAATCCCACTCGGGCACGAGCAGCGGTAAGGCCGAGCTCTGGGGTAATTCGTTTAACCTTGAACTTGCTACCCGATGTTTGATGTTCGTTGCGGAAGAGACGCTTCGTGACCCACAACTGGCGGGCGTCATTGGTATCCAAGTTTGCAACGAAGCCATAATCGATCCGCCCGGAATGTACGAGTGGTACAACGATGTCATACAGCGGATAGCTGCCGTGGATGCTTCCTTACCCATCTACATCAGCGACGGATGGGATTTGGGCCGCGCGGTGCGGTTCACTCGAGCATACAACAATCCCGGTACGCCGAGATGCCCGGTGATTGTAGATACACACAAATATTGGGCCTTTGATGCAAAAGATACCTCGCGATCACCCTTCGAGATCATCGAACAAGTCAAGACAGAGCTTCATGAACTTGATTCGACTCTTGTCGGGGATGTCTTCTCCCATCAAGCCGCCGTGGCAGTATACGTTGGCGAATACAGCCTCGCCTTGGCGCCGCAAACATGGAGCAGAGCCCCCTCCGGTCAGAAAGATGAGCTGATGCGGCAGTTTGGACTGGCTCAGAGTCAAAGATGGCAGAGTAGAGCATCCGGGTCGGCGTTCTGGACCTTTAAGATGGACTGGATGCCTGGTTGGGACTGGGGTTTCAAAGCATCAAGCGATAATGGACAGGTTGTGTGCCCGAAGCGGTTTACGTTTACGGTCCAAGAGATAAAAGTCAGGCTTGCGCAAGCGGATGAGAGGAAGAGCCAGCTTCTCCACGACGCATTGAACGGTCATATCGGGTACTGGACAACCACGAGTCCAGGAGCAAAATTCGAGCATTGGCGGTACGGCGATGGCTGGGGTCTAGGATGGACAGATGCCCGACAGTTCTTCGCTGCACGGTTGGAAAGACAAATTCCTTCTGCCACTGGGTCTGGTCCGAATTCCGTCTTTCCAACCGCGATATCAGCTGGAGGCACGGGCTTGGACGGCACTACTGCTAGTCATGAATCCCCCATTATGGACGAGAACCTAACCATAGGGACAGACATGATTGGTGCGTTAGATCTCTGGATCCTCAAGCGCATGTGTCAGGAGGGAGTTGCAGATTCACAGAAATGTCCGTTTGGTTGGGAATTCGAGCACGGCTTCCGCAAAGCTGTGAGTGATTTCCAGGGTGTTGTCTGTGCCTGAAGAGTGCAAGAAACAATAAAGGTGATGCTGCACAGGATTCCTGTTTGCAATTGGGATATCAGGACTTTAAGCATGGGAACCACTCTGGACACGATCTTTGGTCATCTTGCTCGACTGTCGCCTCGTCACAGAAATGGCTAGACCACCCTCTCAACACTTACAGTTTAGAGCGACAGCCTCATTGCCCTCAAGGACAAATCGACGTATCGAATAGACCTCTGCCATCTTTCCACCGCCGCAAATCCACAGATCTCTGCTTTATCAAGGTGATGTTAGAAAAAGACGCATGAACGTTCTCTTACGGCGATGTCCTCTGACGCACTCGGATTTGGAACTCTCAGGGCACTCAGACGCTCCGCGGCTTTTCATTTCTCCTCCTTCAGCTGTGTTTGCTTTTTACTGACTTACCATTGGGGGGCATGAATAAAACCTACTTCCAGCAACAGGGCTCACGTCGCTGAAATCTCTAGGTTCTCGGCTCTTGATGTCAATAGACACATTGCATCCTGCCTGCGCACTCTCCAAGACCACTGCATCCCATCTTCTCCCGGTGCCAGTCTCTTTCTCTGTTTAAGGCTTTCGCAAGTTTGCCGATACGTTGTGGCTCAAGCTAGAACCTGTCACCAGAGCCTGTCGCCAGTCACGTGGTCGATGAGAACCGGTGGTGTGGGCTTGAGCTGCTTCGGGGTTCGGTTTTGTATAAAAGAGAGGAACAGACAGTTGTTTGTCCCTTTGTCATGTCCCATGCGGATTGATGGCCATTTTAGCAAAGGCGGTCGCCTGAGTGCGCAGAGGATACCGTCATCCTGAAGAGAGTCTATCATGCATTCGTCGATTCACGAAAACCCAGATTGCGAGGGTCGGGTCCAGCCTTGGATATTGTCCATTCACCGTCAGGTCTATGTCTGGACGACGTCACTTTCTTCGTCAACCTACGAAAACGCCGATTAGGAGCGTCGTCAAATTCACTCTCGGGCGGCGGCGTCACTTACTTCGCCGTCGATCGACAAAAACGCCGATTTGGAGCGTCACATTTACTCCAGAACGGTGGTGTCACTCGCTTCGTCGACCTAAAAAAGTGCCGATTAGGAGTGACACATTTACTCCTGAGCGGCAGCGTCACTCACCTCGTCGATCCATGAAAACGCCGATGAGGAGCGACAAATTCACCACTAGACGGCGGCGTTACTCGCTTTGTCGTCGATCCATGAAAACCCTGATTAAGAGTATCAGCCTTCAGGTGGGGGCCCTAGATGGATACCTATTGTCCTGACAAAGCTGAAGGCCATCATACCAACTGATCTACGCTGAGAAAGTCGTGGCAACCTTTTGTGCAATCTATTAAGGACACTTGTACGTGGTATTGGAGCTGCCTACGCTGATCAGCCTGCGATGCGGATCTCCTGCTATTCGCAACTATGGACAATACCATGCGGAAGTTGGGAAAGTCAGATGAGGTCAAGGCGGCCCGGCAGTGGCAGCAGGCTGGACTGGAGAGTTAAAGACAGAGCAAAAGAAAGAAAAGAAGAAAGGCTTGGGTGAGCCTTTTGACTCTCGAGGTAAAGCAGAAGCGAGATTTTAGCCGAAATCTGAGGAAGAAAAAAGTTAAAACGTCTCGTTGCTGTCTACGGCAGCAGTGTAAAAGGAGGATTTATGCCCTTTGTCTCTTGTCCCGACTTGAGCTTCTCCGATCCTCTCGTCAGCTGCCTTCAGACCTGAGCTGGCCTCCAGGACTCCTTACATATATTGCAGGGACACATCTCATTACTGGCACATGTCGTGCCGTCGCAAACCTTGGTCTGGTGACAGCGGCTGATGCGTTTCGCTTCAGACCGCAAGCATTTCTTGTCCAGGATGTTGATCAGGTCTATGAGAAGGTTTTGCAGCCGCCTCAGTCTCTGGTCTGGAGGGTTGTTTCCTTGCCTGCCGGCCTCTGCGAGTAGCTCGACTGCTTGGATGATGGGTCGGAACCAGTGTCGAAAGTCGCCGCTCCAGTCGATCAATCAATCAATCTACTATGTACTACCTCGCTGGCTAGATGCACTCGCTGCAGAGCCTTACGCGGCTGCTACATACTAGGGTATATTGGCAGGCAGCGAGAGAAGGTAGGGGCTAAATACCAAGTATCAGAGTGAAAGCATGATGGGCTTCTTTTGTGAAGGAAAAAAAGGAAGCCTAGGTGGTTTTTTGCTTTTTTGGGGGGGAATGGAGAGAGGTGACCATGATCTTGAGCACGATCACGAGCTTCAATGTGGCTTGCCACGCCAATTAGAGCTCGTATGTCGTCCGCACTGCGGACGTCGAGATGAGTTTTAGACATTATGTAGAGGACTTGAATGGCTGAAGGCTAGCTGGCTAGCTGGCGGCGACGACAATAGCAATACTAGCGACGGCGATGGTGATGGTGGTGATCGCAATAGTGAGGTGATGCGGCTGAGCCTTACAGGGCTTACCACTCGTACTCGTACATAGCTGCGAATGGCTTCTGCAAATGTGTTCTACCGGTGTCTTCTCCCGATTTTAGATTGCATCGATGAGTTCCACCTACTGCGTCCGTCGTACCGCGGTTGAAACGCCATTGTTTCGTACGAGCCTACCGCTTGTGTCGATTGCGAGGTTTCTACCTCCATGCCGCAGAGCCTCTTGTTCGCCATTAGGCTGAGACGGAAGAGCCTTTCGATGTGGTGCGGCTGGAAGAAAGAAACGGTGCCTAGACCATCCATGCAGCCGGGCGTAAACTGCCACATCGAGCAGGAAGATGAGACGAGTGGTCGGTAGGCAGGCCAAATGTAAAAGAAATCTTGCATGGTCTCCGGGGATGTCCAACATTTGTTTGGCATCTCCACCCTTCGCGGCATTGCGTGGCGCTATCAGCCAACTTCCTCTTCGTTCCCGGAATTGCAAGTCGCCCTTCGTGGACAGCCAGCCATAACATTGTGTTAGAGTTTCTGATAAACATCAAGGGACAGGAACGTCCAGGGGTGTGCCCAAGCGCGAAACAGGGGTCTGCCACCCGGGGAAACGCCGACGAGCATCAAGGGGGTATGAACAGAACGTCCCGCTCTACGCGAAGGGTGTCCCAGTCGTGGCTGCAAAAGGCAAGACAAAGCACCCCATGCGCATCATGGTGGTCAAAGACAAGGCAGCAAACGTACGTATAGCTTAGAAAAAAAAAAAAAAAAAGGGAGGTAGGGAAGACGTAAGGATTGGCTCACGAACCTACCCATGAATTTCAAGCTATCTTCCAAGCTCCCGTCGTATATCACTCAAAACATCACCAATGAAGCTGTGCAGCATGCCATAGCATGAGAGATTTTGATGGCGCCCTTCTATTGTTCGCCAAGGATTCTTTGTTCACGCTTGGTCTACCCACGCGTGTAGCTGGGGAAGGGGAAGCTAGACGGTAGTATAGAGCGCCTTACCTTTCTCTGCCTCCATTGGATTTTGGCTGGGTCAAGGCAGAAGGTTGTCGCGTCCAACTCCAAGTCCGGCCACTGGCCCGACCTGTTTCATTGAGCTTGCGAGTCGTTCGATGGATGGCGACGGCGAAGGCAATGTCGAGGTAAGAATACCTGCTTCCCTTGCTTAAATCGGGCAATCCATTCACATTCGCCTCTGAGGCTGGGGCGTTCAGCCAGGAAATCGTTGTGGAGCACCCCAAGACTGTTGCCTATCCCGCCAGCTTCCCCGCAAATGGTTCGCAAAGTCAGCCTTTCAACGTCGAAGATGATGTGGATATCAGATATGCGTTTGAGAGAGCTCGCAGAGGGGCTGAAGAGGGACGGACAAACAACGAAGGGACGCCTGATTGATAGTCTAAGTGGCGAATTGGGAGCAATATTCGTATTGTGAAATATTGAACAAGGTGATCGTGAGGGGAAATAACTGACAGTGTTTGCCGATTGGCGTCGGTGGCCACCAGTGTAGAACTGGAACTCAGAAAAAAGGCCTCTGAAGATAAGGTCTCGAGACCAAATACTGTGACTGTCGGACATTTCCAAATTGATACAAACATGGCCTGAGATGTACTTGTTACAGGCTCGGAGAATCAGGGTTTTCTTCGGGATTGTTCTCAGGCATTCCCATCCTGGAAACTTGAAGATCTTCCGCGGGCGGGAGTGTTGAGAACGATTGTCGGTCCAGGGGCAGATCAAATGGGTATCCATTGTCGCAAGTGCACTGTAGTATCATGTGATGAAGGTTACAATTGCATGCTTGCCTCCACCGAGAAATGAGAGTATCGCCGTTCAGAACATTTCGGAACATTTTCGATCCATTTGCCACTACCAGGCATCTTCTCACCGTGATACAATATACTCCGAGCACAACTACCGTGGCGATGGCGGCTTTGAACCATGCTATCCACCTCGCTAGAGATTCATCTGACCGACGTTGAAGCTGTGAAGATACCATCACCGGCCAGGCGTTGACTCAGGCATGAGACTCGAGCGAGAAAAAGAACGCATCGCCCTATGGAATGGAATTGACCAATAAATGATACCCGCGGACTCGGTTGGACAGTCGCGCGCGAGACGAGAACTCCACATCTTACCAATAGCTTTCATGTTCATGAATTCATGCACACGTAAACCGTGTTCTCAGCCACAAGGCAACCGCGGACATATCAAGTAGACCAATGACGGAAAGAGGGAGCGGCAAAACGGCTTCGAGTAACGGGTATGTCGACCGCTTCGGAGTCCTGCAACAGTCTGCACAAAACAGGCATCAGCCACAGACGTGGCGAGTGATACCTGTCAAAGCTCGACTTTGCAAATCTCGGCCCGAGCTAATTTTTGTGTGCTTTGATGGGTTGCCCTTCGGGTTGGGCTGCTTGAACACTGCAAAGGTTCGCTAGGTTGGGTCTCGAAGCCTCTGCTGGGTTGAAATGAGGCTGAAAAATGATCGAGTCTCGTGGAACTTGTAGCGAGGACTCTCTTTGTCACAAACCATGCATGCCTTGGTGCCTAGTGATCGTGTTGACCTGGGGGTTTGCAACAAGACAACACTCTCGGCTAGACATCCTCGGGAACCGGTTCGGCGCTCTGCGAAGAGAGCTCGATGCTGACAGGCTACATTCCTGCTTGGGGGCCATGTTCTGGAGGTCTGCTCAATCAATCCGAGTTGGGCATACCCGAACACGACATTGGGAAGGAGGCAGAACCTCTGCCAAACGTCGGATTCGCTGTGAGACTAAGCACAATAATGCTCATCCTAGTTTGTGATCTAAATTCTGTGCCAGGCGCGAACAGAGATACTTACATGTGATCGACATGAAAGTGTGACACGCAAGGAAGAGGGCGGTCATGGCTTCATTTGTGGGGGTTTGATTGGCGAAGGAGGCGCTTTATGACATGTCTGCTAAGGTTCGAGAAGGGGTCTCAGGAATCGATCGGTTGTACAGCTTTTGGGATGGCGCATGGGCACTGCTTCCTGGTTAGACTGCATGTCTGAACGATTGCCTTGAGATATTTGTGGGTTGGTCAGGCAGGAGTTTGGAACAGACGTCTGAGATCGGTGCGGGGATATGGGCGAGATCGAAGATGCCGCCAACCCCCGAGCTCAGACAACCTCAGATCGCTGAACAAACCTTCCTTGGTTATTGTCTTGACTTTCCCTCAAGTCTGCTCCTTGGTCGATCGTGTGGGATAACGCGTGCTGCGCGTGCTCGTAAAAGTTGGAAAATGGAAGGAGTGCTCCACCAATCATGAACCGGCACATTCTCTTGGTCGTGTCTTCCCTTTGACTTTGTTCGGCGTCTGGACGGGTCTGGGGGTGCGGTCCGCGTGGAGGGCCGCTCGGTTGGCTTATGGGTGGAGCGGTGCAGGGCCCAGGGGCTGTCAGGACTCAGGAAAAAGCTCCTCAGCGCCACGGATTCGCTGCAGTGGCTTTTTTCGGCGCTTCGATTTGGATGGGTTGAACGGACAGAACCTGCTGAAAACCCCCAGTTGAAGACACACATTCATGGCCATCTGCAAGTTTGCCTAGGGACAACTTCCCATCGGCCTGGTCTAGTCCTGCATTGGGTCTTTGCGACGAGTAGGTAGGAGGCCGTTTGGGCTGCGCCTCGTAAGCTAGATTGGATGGGAGATGTACACCAGAGGCAAAATGATGGATTTGTCCAATGCGACATCACCCATCTTTTGTTTGAGTGGAGGTATGGGGAAACCTCATGCAGGCTTTGGGTCAAGGGCCAGGCGTGACTTGTGGCACGACGTGGGCGAGTAAAAACAGGGTCACAAGCGTGGTCGAAGTTCCTGGTAGTCGACACACGATGGCCAGCGATGTGCATGAATCAAAGATGGAGCTTCGTGGGGACCGGCGGGCGACCAGTAGAGAGCTGTGTTGGTGATGTGAAAGCGTGACACATTGCACACTGATGCAAGCGGGCGAGTTTTGGCGACCAGGACGTCAAATCAAAGTCATTGAGGCGGGGGAGGAAGCGATGACTTTGTTGCCTGGCGTCACGAAGTGCCTTCGAAGCCGAAGCAGATGATGGGGAGTGGGTTGGTTGGAAGGTTGGTGATGAGAGGTGAGAGATACCCAGTACAGTACCGAGTACTGGGTAGACAAGAGAGAGAGCAGCAGGACGGGTCAGCTGGAAGGGGACGGACGACCACCGCTGTCTGTTCTCCGTCGGTAACTCCTCGGTCGTTGTTCTATCTTTACCTACAAGTATGCCACCCCATGTGCTGCCCCCCCCCCCCCCCAAAAGCCCCCCAATAATGCGGTGCAGTGGGACACGGCGAGCAAAGGACGGGCAATACGGGTCAATTGGAGCTGGGCTGACCGTATATCGCTTTCCCACCTGAGTTATGATGGAGTTGTGTCATGACAGCTCGCAGCCACCACTGGCCTGTATCTAGCCTACGTATGTACTTGGTATGTCCTCGATACTGGAGGTATTATTGAAACGCAGTCACCACAGTGGGCACTGGTGGTACCACATTCACATTGCCTGTTGCTCATATGCCCGCAAACCTCCCCCCTCTTCCCCTGTAGCATGTAAGATCGACAGGCCACCACGCCACGTTTTAGGAAGATGGCAAGCAGAGATTTTCGCAGGCACGCAGGAACAGGCACTGGATGGTGTCGATAGAACATGCATCAACCCTGGGAAGCGGAATTGTTCGGGGGGAGGGGGGTAATGGAGGGGAATGGTCGATGTTCAGCGTTGCTTCTGAGGCAAACAAGGGCCGGGCCCGGGTAGCCAGTGCGTGCTTAGGCCGTTGGAGAAATAGCAAGGGGAGGCCAGGAGGGTGAATGGGCGCAGATGGTGGATGATGGATGGTGGGTGTAAAGATGCGAAGGTGCGAGGTTTGCCAAGCAGAAGAGAAAGAAAAAGAGGGCCAAACCGCCAACTGGGCGAATAACGAATGACGACACGCCCCAGCCGCGCCTCGTTTCTGACGGCGGGCAGCTCCACTTTGGGCTTGTTTGGCTCATTTGGCTCTCTTCTCCGCCCTCCGTAGCATCCAGCACGCAGCTTTTGTTGGTAGTGAGCGAACAGCGAGCTGCCAAACTGCGTATCCGGTACTGGGTACTGGGATTGAGTTTTTTTGGCCTTTCTCTCTCACCTCAGAGTCCGAGCCCAGGAGCCCGTGAGCCTAGGAGCCCAGGAAGCCAGGAGGCCAGGAGGCCAGGTGCCCGCGGCTATACCACTTCAACTGCAAAGATGCAGGACCACACAGACACATAGCCATTCATTTCGCAACAACTGACCAGCCATTATTTGCCTCTCGTCACCCTCTGAAGGGTCTCAGGTCAAACCTTCTCTCTCTTCTCTGTTGACTTTTCATCCATCTGCTCTGCTGTATCTCAACCCAACCTGCTACGTCCTTGGGTTTCTGCCCTTTCGACACGTCGACCACAGCCCCCCCTTCGGCGCCCGCTGCTGGTGCCAGTCAAACTGCCGCATCGAGCACGGCCCCCTTTACCTAATCGTCCACGCGGATCGGGAGCACCAGGAGCAACCAGGCCTTCCATCGTCGATCGCCTAGGGGCAAGCCGGCAGCGGCCATCAGCCAAAAAGCCAAAAGCCATCAGGGCCAGAAGAAAACACCGTTGCTGGCAAACACACCACGCTCTCACAGACCACCGCATCGGGACACCCCCGTAATCCGTGACTCGGTGCCTCCCTCGCTCCCTTGATCCCGTCTCGGTACCGTTGGTTTCCACCCCTTGAACTCTTTCCTTCCTTTGTCCCAAACGTCAGCGGCTTTGACGCTGCGCATCCGCCAAATACCAAATACCTCGACTGGCACCTGGACCTCCTCAAACAAAGAGAGAAAAAAAAAAAACACCACCACCACCACCACTACTTGTCGATTGCTTCCACGCCTCTCTGGAACCTGTTCACAGCATCATTTGTTATTACTATCATTATTATTGTAATTATTTTTTGGTTCCTTGTACGGTCTTTTCTTCACCAGCCACCTCACCTCACCTCACCTCAAAACTTGCCAACTCAAAATCCCGACCACCGACCGAGGCCAACACAATGCACGCCACGACCGCCTGTTGACCGCCCTGTACAAAAACAACAACACCACCACCACCACCGCCGCCACCTTCGATCCCACACTTTTGCTTAAAGTCCACCCCTTTTACCACCTGTACTAGGATTGAACACGACCATGGCTTCACCCGTTCCACCAGATCCCTATGTGGCCTTGGGTGTCTCCAAAGATGCTGATATTTCGGCTATCCGCGCCGCTCACCGGAAACTCGCCCTCAAATACCACCCGGATCGGATAAAGGACGAAGCTCTGCGAGAGAAAGGCAAAGATGAATTTCAAAAGATCCAGCAGGCCTATGAGATTCTCTCCGACCCTGCCCGCAGGCAACGGTATGATGACCAGGTGCGGTTAGCTGAGCTTCTGAAAGAGACGATGATGAGAGAGCCCCCACCGTCAACCAACACTCGTACCTATCCCACAAGATCTGCACCGCAGGCTGCGACATCCCAACCTCGCGAGTACAATGACCCAGGCAACTACTTTGAAGAGGTCCGCCAACCTCGCGATGCCTATGATTACCGAGACCTGTATGATGAGCAACCTCCACGCACAACCTCGCGAAAGTACCCCGACTTTGAAAGACGCACCGCTCCACCTCCCAAGGCGTCCGAGAAATCCAGAAAGCCGACGGGCGTCTGGCCTGCGGCAATGGCAGCTGGCAAATTCAAGGCTCAAGCGGAGAAGATCAGGAATAGCAAAGCAGACGAAAAGAGAAACGACAAGGAGAAGAGGCGCGAAAGAACCGACAAGGCACAGACGAGAAGACAAGCCAACTTTGAAGGTACCGACAGCGACTCCGACGACCACCCGGAAATTCGTCCTTCGATGAAATCGTCTCGCTCCAGGACCACCTCGGCTTTCGATCGTCCTTCAGAGAGACCGAGAACGTCCCCACGGACCGAGCGGCCTCGCGACTTTGATGAGGAGAGCTTTGATGAGAAATGGGAAAGACACCACGAAGAGAGCAAGGCCTATATGGCCAAGGCAACAAATCGCCCCAGCCTGGATCGGAACGGATCAGATGCTTATCAGTACTGGATCGGAGAGTCGAGGGGGGGTGGTGGTGGCCGCAAGAGTGGTTCAGACAATGAAAAGAGACCTGGCTCGTCCAAGGGGCGGCGAACATACACCGACGACTACTTTGCACCACCTTTCACCAAGGCTACATCCTCTCCGTCCAACCTCCGAGCTCATGTCGAAGAGCGCGCCCCACCGAGACCCACGACACGGGAGCGTGAAAGGGGGGAACGTGAACGGGATCATGACCGAGAGCGCGACCGCGAGCGGGAAAGGGAGCGAGATCGTGGTGACCCCCGACGAGCGGCACCTCCTGGTCTGCATCGTTCTCAGACTACACCAGCGCCCAAAGTATCGTCGTCATCGAGAAAAGACACTGCGCCCGCCAAAGGCTCCAACTTGAAGCACGGCGAGACCAATGTGCATGACTCTGGATATGGCAGCAGCTCCAGTCCGCACACACCCGAGATGCGGGAAGAGAGCCCGCCAAGATCTGGCAAGCCCCGATATCAATCGACAACATCAACCAAGTATCAGATCGTGGATCAGGACCTTGACGCCGACGAATACGGAAGGACTCCTCGCGTACGGGAGGTCTACGGCGACGATCGTTCTCACCGACGATATCACCGTAGCCCAGAGTCCATTGTTGTCGAGCCATCACGGGAACCCGATCGCCGAAAGGAAAGACCGGAGCGTCCTCGGGTTGACACCAACAAAAAATCCTCTCGTGGCGCATCTTTGATGCAGGACTTTATTCCCCCCTCTCCTACCGCCCGACGAAGCGAGTCCGCACGATACGAGGAGAGACCATCGCCGCGCTCTCCCCGCGACACGCCACCCATCTCGCGCAACAACAGTGGTCGTGAAAAGGCATTTGCAGAGTCTCCCGAGGAACGAGAGTCCTCGAGGTACACCCGGCCATATCCTGCGGACAAGGTCCACATCACCCCTCGTCGAGAACCACAGTATTCGCAGTACGAGTATCGCGAACCCAACGATCGATCTCAGTTCCGTGAAGCGCCCCGAATGGCACCTCGGCGGCCTTCGGTAAACGCCTATTAACGACCTCAATTTCTTTGGCCTGGCCTGTTGAGCCAGGCTTGGTCGACCACGAAACAGATGCCGCTGCTCGACATCACCTTCGCTGGGGACAAACTTTGCAGACCCCTCTCTCACATATATATCATGAACAAGTTCACTCATGGCCGTCTTCGGATGTGCCGACTTTGTCTAAATACAAGTTTTCTGGGCGACGGTGGGGAATGGATTGGGCTGAAGGAGCATGGGCACGGTCCACGGGATATGGAGAGACGTATGGAATGACATCCGAGTAATATGCATCCCTGGGGAGGGGACGGGTTTAAACCAGACAGAAACCACAGGTCGACAGGACTTATCAACGCCTCTACACCCCCAAGGGTAGTGCTAGCCTTGAACAAAGAGAAGGATTTTGTCTGATTTTAGAGGGACGACCGGATTGTATAGCTCGTATATGACAAATAATTCCCCAGAGGGAATTGACGAAATGACGAAACCAAATTGCGTATAAAGACATGATGCTGAAAGGTGCTGTTTGCTCTCGGAATTGGACACATCGTGTTCGCTATGAAATTGCCTGGGGGGTCCTTGTGTGGCTAGTGAGTGTCAGTGGCCGTTTTTCTTGTTGACATGGGACGTGGATGGAGAGTTGAGTCGGATTAAGCGAGAAAACGCCCCCGACGTTCACGTTCGTCAAGCAAAGGTCCTAAGGTCCCCAAGCAACAGCACACCTACATACAATTCTGCCCTCACGCCCTATCGATTGTGCTCTTTATTCCTTTTGTCTGGCAAAAGCATAGTTTCTTTCCCATGATATTGTAGCATTGATCTTCTATTCACCATCCCCCGGCCAGCGCTCTTCCGCCTAGATCCTGAAATCCCGCATTCTCGCCCCCTTTGCAGACCGCCATTCTGCAAGCCCCTCGATACGACGCATTCTTCCTGCGAACCGCGCCCACCTTCGTTCACCTTAGGGTCCGTCGAGACTTTGTTGTTCCGACTTCGTCCCCCGTCGCGCCGGTCAAGGCTGGGTTTTTTTTTTGGGAAGGGGTTGGTTCGCATGGGCAGTTGGGTCTCACGGTGGTACATGGCGCATTCCCATTGAGAGGAGGGGAGGCCGAGCTCGCGCACGTCAATAGTGGTTAATACTGCTGATGGCAGGCATAGCAACTGCAGGACCTTCTACTATGGTGGTGAACGGGGCCAGGCCGCCATATGATGTAGTGGGTTCCGCAAGTCAAGAGGTGAGTTCGCGCTGTGCTAGGGTTACGCGCTACATGCACGGATTGGACGGCACTGACACAAATGACACGCCAGAATACGACCACAAACAAGAATCGCCCTGGAGGACTGCGCCAGAACTCCTCCGGATCCACGCGTACACCGTTATCCGCCCTGGCGCCAAACCGCAAAGACAGCACTGGCGTCAATGGGCGACCAGTCTCTCACAATAGAGTTGAAGAGTTGGGTCAGCGGGAAACAAGCTTGATAAGAAGTGGAAGTGAGCCTGACAGCTTGCTTGATCTGTACAAGAGCAACCCAAGCAGTGGTAATGTGAGTCAGAATCATGCCGACAATGATATCCCCGAAAACATGTACCGGCCCGCCGAGGACGATCCCGAGGGCTGGATTCATCGGGACAAGTTGGCCAAGATCGAAAGCGAGGAATTGCAAGCGGCCGGTATTAACCTGGCCAAGGCAAGGAGGAATGTGACCAAGGGTGGGCAAAGAGACACAAGTCGAGGTCGACGAAGTGAGGACCGCAATCCGTCCGAATATCGCAGGGTGGAGTCAGAGGAGACGAAAACACGGCTCCCCGAGCCTCTACCAGAAGCAGAAGAGGACGAAAGAGCCAACTGGGATTTCCGCACCCCGGAGGAGATTGCGGCCGAGAACACGGCGTCTCAACTATACTTGAGTCCGGTGCTGAGGAAGTCAGGCTCAAAAATACCAGTGTTGACATCGAGTCCTCTGCCCATACCGCAAGAAAGAATTGAACGAGACACCCCGCTGGTCAGGAAGCGTACTATTAGTAACAGTATGAGTCCCGAAGATGGAATACCTGTTTTCAAGACCAGAACCAGAAAGGGAAGCACAGGAAGTCAGACGATGCAGGACGAAGGCGATTCTACATTCCTCACGACACCGGTTCCCAGCAAGCAATTGACATCCAAAACATCATCTCCCACCAAAAATCCACCCAAAACAGCCCAAGGCTCACCGCCAGGCACGTCAGCCGGACGCAAGACATCTGCCACAACAAGAAAACCTTCGACTAATGCCAAACCCGGCGCCGCACCGTCCACAAATCAAAGACCGGGGACGAGATCAGGAGAATTAGATCGGCCTCGAACAGCAGTGAACCGGCCAGAAGGTGATCCCCCGTGGCTTGCCACCATGTATAAACCAGATCCTAGACTCCCTCCCGAGGAGCAAATCATTCCAACGCACGCTCGCAGACAACAACAAGCACAGTGGGAAGATGAAGGCGCGGTTCCGAGCACGTATGACCGGAATTTCTCGCCTCTGGCGATTCATACGGGTAATGGACAGGTCAAGTCGCCGTCGCCAATCATTCCTCAGTCGCCGCAGTTAGGCGAAAAGGAGGCTGATGGGGCGGACGGCGGGAGCGCCTGGCCTTTGAAACCCGGGCCCGGCGTCAGGAATTCTGGAGCTGGCAGCATGAGACCTAGCACGGGAGGAAGCCAGAATGGCGGATACAGTACGATGCCCCGGGTCTCGAATCCCGCACAAAACCCTGGGATGGGAAGTATTACGTCTGTGCCCACTCAACCGAATACGAGGATGCAGGTGCAGCGGATGCAGCAAGATGAGACGGAAGAGAAGGTCAAGGAGAAAGGCTGCGGGTGCTGCCTCGTCATGTGAGGAGATGGGCAGAAACGATACCACAACTTTCTTCTGTACAGATTCACAAGACGTGGGCTTCAATTTCATTTGTGACAGGGCTTGTTGGCAGTGTGTGACCGATGCTTTGCTTTTTTTCCATGATTGCAATTTTAGCGGGAGTGAACCGATATTTTTCCTCGTCGGCTTGTGCTGGGAGATACTCAGGGGAGAAGGTGTTTCGCAAAGAGCTGTACGAGAATGAAAGCAGGCTTTTGACTATCTTTCACATCATTTTTGTTTCGATAGCAGAGACAGGAGAAGGGAGGGCGCAGATTGGGCTGAGGGTGCTGGGAGCGAGGACGAGGTCAGTTCTCGAAAGAAAGATGGATCTGAAGTCATACCGACTTGACCAACTCCATCTCCCTGGCAGTCGCGACGCTGGTCGACCCAATTGTCTCGGTTTGAGCGTGTCAAAGGCGGATACCCCGTGTACAAGCATAACAAGTCGAGATCAAGAGCACGCCCTTGCTTTCCATTTTGCTTTGGGTGACTGTGGAAGGGAGTGGGCGCAGCCTCGGGCAGCCTTCAGCCTTGCGGCGAGAAAAGCTCAGGCCCAAGGAGGAGGAGGTTCCGCGCCACTTTTAGCAGCTGATGGATCTAACCGCATTGGGACTCCCGGCTTTTCTCCTGCCCTGATGACTGATCGCACATCAAACCTCCTCCACCAACTGCACCGAACGCACCAACTACCACCATCTCGCATCAACCCCTACCGCCGGCACCACCAGCACCGCCAGCACCGCCAGCACCAAACTGGCCCCCCGCTGCTGCCATCATCGTCATCGCCCTCCAAGATTTGTCAATCTGCATCCCAAAAAGCCTCTTCGCGCAACTCTCATTGATTCCCAGTGCTGATTTCGCAATCGCTGTCTTTTCTCCAATTGGTAATCCTCACCGGGTCATCACCACCGACTAGAGTCTAAAAACGCACGGCATCTCTGGCCCCTGCTGCGACGGCTACATATACAGGCCCATAATCCTCTCTTTCACCTGAAGCCCTTTCTTTAGACTCATAACCCAGAAACAATACCGCCACAATAGCTTCCTCAATCTTTTCCCCGTTCCGCGCCTTCGTCCGCGCCTTTTTCACCTCTCCATCGGTATCACCGGCCGCCATGTCTGCCGCCAAACAAAAGGCCCAACAGATCATTGACAACAACGCCGTCGTGGTCTTCTCCAAGAGCTACTGCCCATACTGTCACGCATCCAAGACGTTGTTGAATGAGTTAAAAGCAAAATACTACTTGTTGGAGTTGGATGAAGTTGGTACGTCTTACTCTGCGCCCATTATGCGCGCTCGAGCCCCTCGCCGGCGGGATTTGCTGACTGTGTGTTTTTTTTTCCCCCCTTGTTTAGACGACGGCGCCGCAATCCAAGACGCCCTCGAAGAGATCACGGGCCAGCGCAGTGTCCCCAACATCTTCATCGACCACAAACACATTGGAGGGAACTCGGATTTGCAGGCGAGACGAGGGCAACTCAATAAGTTACTGAGCGCTGCTGGTGCTCTCTAAACGACCACCCAAGATGTGTTGAAAAAAGACACCACGTCCGCATGCAATAGGTTGTTTGACACCCGGGCTAGATCAGATTCCACGATCGATATTCGCAGCGATCGGTATCGCAATAGAACTGCAGCGCTGCAAGTCGCCGGCCTCGGCCATCTGGAAGGGGGATAGAATTCACGATAGAATGGTGAACCCAATGGCTGGTTCAAGACTCGGATAGATGATCAATACCATACCTCTTTGGCGAAGAATGTCTTTCTGCAGAGACGCCATTTCGTTCGACCATGTGCGGAGATATCATGCTGTCTTGTGCACACACTTTCCGTTCCTTGACCGATTGACCGGAGATGTCGTTTCGAGGAAATCAAAGACAAAGCACACCCTACAACAAGAAGCCCGGCGCAACAGGCCGACTGATTTCGACAGGATGGTAAGCTTTGCACATACAGCCCAGAGCATGGATGCATGCATGGCCTTTTCGCATTCTTCATATAATTTGTACACAACTCCTATCCCAGAGGGTGCTTTTCCTTTTGTTCCTCACTTTGTTACACTTTAGGTCTTGGGAGTCGAGTATGTAGGTCGCGCGACTCCTCAATCTTCTTTCGCATTGTCAACCGTTCGCTGGCGTGCCCTGCGGGATACATACCGCCCTCTTCAATCTCACCTGAAAAAAGGTCACGTCCATCTGAAGCCCGAGGAGACGCAGCCATTCTGCAATGCACCTTGGCCCTTGGTATCGCTCATCTGACCTGGATCTCGTTCATACAACCTGCGTCGCCACAGTCCCAACTGGCCGTTCCACAAACTCCACACAGCCTTCTACGACATTCCGCCTCGCGTCCTCGCTACTAACATTCTTTCCAGCCAAGTATCCCAACCACAATAGTCGGCCCACTCTCTCATCTGCCACAACCCCCATTTGAACTCTATCCCCCTTTTTGTTGTCTTCATTCCACACCGTCATCTTTCCCTGTGCATCTCTCACCAGAAGAAGGATGTCGCCCTTGGGCAGTTTCCTCCGTGCACTGCCCCCAAACGCGGATTTGAATTCGTTGAGCGCGGCGCCAAATGATTCGTCCTGGAAGGAGTCGTCGCTTTTAACTGAGGCGAAATGCGCCGAGCGCGCAGTAATACCGCGAACAAATCCGTCCCGTAGATGCATGAAATCGGTGTTTCTGGTAGGAACGATCCTGAATGCTGTGCGTAATTGGCCATCTTTGATGATCTCATTCCAAATTTGTTCTCCGCGCTCTGGATCGAGAAGTAGTTCTTTGAGCTGGCTTTTCTCGCTGGGCACGAGCGTCGTTGCGACGCTCTCGCTTGGAGGCACGGCTGCCTGGACGAGGCGTTGCTGTAAGGCGGCAATATCCGGCACCGCGATATAGAGGCCTACAACGTATACCTGGATGCTGAGAAGTGACACAGTGCGGATTCCCAACCCGATGAGCTGGAATTCCACGTCGGATTGACCACCTTCATTGGCAGACGTCGGAGTGGATGGTGGTACGTCGGATGCGATGTGAATGATTCGGGGGAAGAAGGGGATGGAACTTGTGCCTGTGGCTATCTGTTCGACGTCTTGGGGCTTGGACGAGGGGTCGATGATTGAGCTAGTTATGGAAGGAGGTGCGTCTAATCGGACGACGTTCGAGGTAGACTTCTCTTCCGTCTTTGATGGTTCAAGACTTTTCTCTTTCCTGGGATCCGGGTACAGTGAAATAGTACCAAAGATCGCCAAAGTACAAGCTGCAATCCCGTACCCCGCCCAGCGCATGCGTTTTACTGTTCTGGCTTGCTCGGCTTTGTCTTTCTTGATGTCGGATTCACGGTTGTTCTTTTGGTATTTTCGACGGAGCAATTCGGAGGAGCCATAAGTCGGGATGGGGGAGGAGAAAGACGACTGTGGGCTTGTAGACTCGTTGTTTTGGGCGCTGCTCGAGAGGAGTCGAGTTAGGCGAGGACTTGATGTGGGTGTCCATGTTGATCTTAGCTTCGAGGATGTGCAGCGGCACACTCGCCGGGAAAGGAGAGTACGCGCTGGTGAGGCATTCATTGCGGGCTAGTCACCACGAAGATGGCTAGGTAAAGAAGACAGAGCTTCGGTGATTGTGGAGGACATTGGACTACAGCAGGTGACAACTGATGGTTGATGACGCCAGTCGAAGCTCGGGCGGAGGATTTTTCCGGCCAAGCCAGTAAAATAGTAGCAGCTCAGCCTCGTATGGACATCCGACAGCCTTTTGCACTCAGCTAGCTAGACAAATGGCCTTCGATCATGGTGCTCTCTGTTCCTCTTCGGGCAGCCAATTCCGTCTTGCGGCTCATTCTGGAGACTTCCTAGCTCCTCATGTTGCTCCAGCACACTTGCACCCGAGCTCCCGGAGTACTGATGCTCCCTGTCCAACGTGGCCATGCCGTTGGACTATACCACAACAGTCATACTTCCCGCCTTTATTCTTCTCACCCAAAGTGCTCAATAGCTGGATACCTGTGCAAGTCTCTTTGAAGCGGTTGGGATTTCTCGCTGGCGTCGTGGACTGCTCATCGATATGAAATACCGGCCAACCCTTGAGCCAGCCATTACCCATTCGAAGGCCCGTTCTCCTTCCCGTCACCGTGCTGTAACGCCATCTGTTCGTCGCCATTCGCCATTGCACCATCCTGCTTATTAAACCCAGCATTCTTCAGTACCCGATCCACCTCCCTACTGACGCCTGGAATCCCTTCCTTCAGCTTCTGCGCAAAAATCTCGGTGAACTCCTTAAACGCTTGTTGTTTGCCGTTGATCACCGCATTCCCTCTCTGAACGTTCTCCACGAAATCTCGGGTGAAAATATCTGGATTGCGGCCGTCGTCTACGTAGTCCACTATCTCAGGGGCTATCGCGACTTGGTGGATATAGTTGTTGGGGGATTCGGTGGGCGACGTTAGGTGTTTTAATTGGGAGAGAGAATTGGCCAGATCGGTAAGTTTGTCAACAAGCAGGTCTTGGGTGGCAGGGATGTAGCCATGGGTTTGGATCTGGATGTCTGTAAGATGTTGGATGATATCTTTGATGGTGTTGTGCACGTTGCTGGTGTCCTTGACTGGCGCCATTGTGGTATCGTTGGCGTTGGAGATGCGCAGGAGCCGTTCCGCGACAGGCAAATCCTCAAAGTCGGAGCGGAATTTGCTGGAGAACGCCAACAAATCTTCAAAGCTTGTAGATGCAGCCGGATGTCTGGTATCGTGACGAAATAGTCTAGGTTGATCGTGTACGATGCGGGATCCAGTGGTGGTAGCCAACAGAAGTTCCGTCTCAGCACCCCTGCACTCGTGACCAAGATGGTCGGTTGGCCAAGTTCCCTCAGGTGAAGACTCGTTGGTGATGGGAGTGATGAGACCGGAGTGGCGCCCTACCTCGGAGAAAATAGAGGGAGTTCCCGACAACAGTGTCCCAGGAGATGCTGGCAGAATAGTTGCTGAGACTGCTGTTGCAGATGTGTTTATTCGAATCTGCCCACGCCCCCCGTGAAGAATGGTATGTAGCGGAGGGACCTTGAGCGTCACAAACGGCCCATTCCCATCATGCAAAAACTTGCCGACTTTGCCGTTATACCGTGGGAACAGTCGCAATTTCTCCTTGGGAAGGCGTATGCCAATTCTGTAGACGTATGCGGTCTTTTGGTGACGCACAACGCGTTGTGTGCGATCATTTCGAAAGTTTCTGCCAACTCTTCCAGCCCTGGTAGAGGGTGTCTTGGGTGTTCCGGCGCCATTCCCAACGCCCTTGGCTTGTGGGGGCCCGACTCCAGCTCCATGATCCTTGTCGTGGTCAGGGTTTGAGGGTGAATGTGGATTGGTCATTTGAGCGTCTGAAGCCCCACGCCGAGGGGTTGAAGCCTTGTGCAACGCCATGCTGAGCCTCGAGTGCTGGTGAGAGGGGGGTCACCATGCAAGGAGTACCGATGGATCGAAGGGTTCTGCGTAAAGAATAGTAGAGGTGATAAAAAGAAGGGGTTGCTACCGTCGAAGATGGGAGTCTGGGGATGAAAGGAAGCACAGTGTTCGGTGTGGAAATGGCAGGCTTTATTACCTGCTGCGTAGTAGCCACCCACTTTCACTTTACTTTCATTCACTTGTTTGACGCAAATCACACCAGTGCCGCCTTCAACAGAGACACGTATGCTTAGCCGAGATTCTACATGTGCTCTACCTCCTCGTTATACTTCTTTTGTGCGCACAGCCGGGCCACTCTTTGGCCCATCTATCGAGGTTTCCACCATCTCAATTCCAGCAAGGCTCGGATACCTCCTGCTGAAGTTTGCCTCCCAGTCATCATCCACGTTCGTAGCAGGAGCATGCGCCTCGCTCGTAGTCACCACAGCCGACTCTGATATACCCCCCGTCCGCAGCACCTTTGGTTTCGGCGGTGCGCTCGGCTTCTGTCCTCGGGAATCTACCCTGCTGAGATCTGTCATAGAGGCCGGTGCAGACGCCACAACTTCCGGGGCGCCGTGTCTGTCCATTTTGCCAGTCAATTGAGCCTGGGGCGCCCTGGACGGTTGCGATAACCGCCTGTCATCCGCATGCGCTTGCTGAGGCGATGTTGATTCGGTGTAGTGGCCGTACCCCGTTGCCGTCTTTTGTGCAGGTCGATCATTTTCACTCAATAGGGACTTCACCCTGTTCTGAATGGTAGCCGACCTTCCAACCCCTCCACTACTCCCTACAGCCCCGCCCCCTCTTGCTGCTATTCGCTGCCTGTACTCTGCGGCTGCTTGAGCTACTCTTCTTTCTTCGGCCTCGAGTTTCCGCTTTTCCATCTCTCGTCTCATCTCAGGCGAAAGATCCTCCATGTCGTCCCATGGCTGGCGGTCGTCGCTGAGGTCTGTGGCCTCGGAACCTGCAATTGGGGTGAGAATGTTGATGGGGTCACGGGAGGGCGAGTCACTCCGCTGCCGGTGATGAGTCGGGTCGTTGTTGCTCTCAAACATCTTGAAAGCGTCTCCAAACTTGCCTGCCAACAATCTGGTCGTTCCCGCGATATTGGGGACGATTGATGGCAGACTGGCTCTTTTGAGATGCCTCGAACCACTGCCCAGCCTTCTATGATGCTTACGTGACTTCTCCTCCTCCTCTTTAGCTTTGAGGAAGTCTACGTCCGAGGCAATATTTGTTGCGGATTCGACATGCGCCAGGGGCGCCATTTCAGGTTCTGCACTCTTGAACGTCGTGTCATAGTCAAGGCTTTTGATTTCCTTGTCTTTGATGTGAGTCGGCCTCGCCCCGATATTAACACTGGCGGGCCGATTTCGGAAATTCAGCGACCTTGACCTGCTCACTCCAGAATTGAGCTCCCGCATGGTCGGACGACCACCTTCCAAAGATGGACGTGACGAAGTTGGCGACTTTGGCTCCATCTCCCCAGCAAGTTGCGACCTATACCCATCTTCTCTGAGTAGATTTGCCAACCTCGATGCGTCTTTGTTGCGAGAAGAACGCGGCTCCCTAGGAGGCAACTCCATAGTCTCGTAGTTCTGCGGTGCTGCAGCAGGCTTCAGCGGTTGATCACTGGGAGGAAATCGGTGTATTGGGCGATCTGCAAATGGTTTGGCGTCCGTTGTTGGAGGTGGTGATGGCGAGGTCATGGTGCCGATGGACACCATAGGGGGTTTGGGAGCAGTGACGGGTGGTGGGTTTGCTGCATTCGCTCGAGCTTGTGTTTCTTTACTTTCTAGGGACTTCTTATGCTGCAACACAGTCTGCGATTTGCTAATAGGCGCTGGCTTGTCTGTGGGTGGTTTCGGCTTTGCAGGGCTAGGTGGCCTTGCAAATGCATCATCCGCTAGAGCATTGGTGACTCGTTGTGCAAGATTCACATCGACAGGCTCTTTCTTCTTCTCAGCTTGAGGTTCAAACGCAAATTTTTGGCCCTTGTCAGTCAGTAACGAGAACTGATCTAGTGTCGGGAATCTTGAAGAAAGCTCGTCTTCGACAGAAGCCTTGCTCCCGTCCAGTGCCGCAAAGGGATCGGAGGTTGAGTTGTCCATCATTCGCAGAGGTGAGGGGCTCGGTTTTGCTGAACCATGGTGAGATACAGGTTTGGTTGGTCGTCCCCGCCGCATCGGCTCGATATCAGGAATAGTTGGGGGAGCTGCCGGTTTTGGAGGAGACAAAGTGGCCCCAGTTCGAGATTGCGAACTAGATGGCTGTGGTAGCACTTGGTCTTTACGACTTTCGGATTGCGTCCGACGAGCATATATGTTTTCGAACGTTAATTCACGGCCGTCCAATTGACATGCTTTTTGTAGCACCTGATATATATTCGGTCGGTCTGTCGGCCGTTCCCGCAGCATGGAAGCAATCAGCAGCTTTAGTTGGTCAGAGAATCGTGGATAGCCAGGGAATTTGAACTTTGCGTTGAGTATGGCCATCTGCCCAACATCTTCGAAGGGCGTCGTGTAATAGCAAAGCTTGTACAGGAACACCCCGAGAGCCCAAATATCCGATTTCTCGTCAATGGGTTGTTTCCTGTAGACGTCGATCATTTCGGGGCTGCGGTACTGTAGGGTCGTGTGGCGGTTGATATCGTCTTCAATTAGGCGACCTTCCGCAGCGGTTGTAGCAGCCGGTCTCGCAGGAGCTGCAGAACCAAAATCACAGAGTTTATATATCCTAGATGAGCCACTCGTGGATATAAGGACATTCTCAACCTTCAGGTCTCGATGCATCAAAGGAGGTTTCAGGTAGTGCATGCATGCGACACCCTCAGCCACATCGGTAAAGATCTTGAGGATTTCGGGCTCGGTCAACCTGTTCTGTAACCGGGTGTTCATGAAGTCAATGAGTCCTCCTCCCTGGCAAAATTCCATGAGCAAAAACACCTCGTATCCACTGCCCTTTAGTTGGGAAGCATGCGAATCAATGTACTTGACGATATGCTTTTGGCCTCGCAGTCTTTTCATGGTCTCGACTTCTGTCCGCATGTTGGCCAGATGCTCCTTGTCAGGGACGGCCACTCGCTTGAGCACAGCCTTCTGGTTTCCATCGACGGGCCGAGGGAGCCGGACAACGTAGACGTGGGCAAAGCCGCCCTCGGAGAGATACCGCTCGATGATAACCCTGTGATCGCCCACCTGGACCTTGGTGCCAGGCAAAAACGTGCCGGCTGGAGGCGCGTGGGTTGGCAGAACGGGAGCATGGTTTGTAAAGGGCCCTTTGACACCGAGCTGAGAGGCGTAGACTGCCATTGCAGAGCTGGAGCTGGGAGTCGGAGGGGGAACTTCTGAGACGTGGGATGGGACAACGTCGAGCGTCCTCTTTTATCTGTCAATCATAGCGGAGAGATGAAGAGGGGAAGTCGAGGGAATGTGGCCGCCAGAGCGTTGACGGACCAAGGCAGAAGGAAACGGACAGGACGTTCTTAAACGTGGATCTCAAGGCAACGCTGAAAAGGAAGGAAAGAGGGTTTGTACGCTGTGCCCTCCCCCCGTGTACGCTGGCCAGGTTGCGCTGTATCAGGTAGGCATTTTAACCGGAACTTGGAGTCGACGCATGGGGCAATGCTGAACAGTGCTTGAGAGTCACCCTGTGGCTGCCCTGCGCTTCAGTGGCGCTCAATGTGCCTACGAGGTTGAGCGAGGGAAGACCCGTGAGTGGTAGGTTGTCGGCTGCCTCGGGGGGGCATGACGTGCCCTCCGATCTTCCCTAGTGACTTACTTCAGCCGACCAAGTCCGCAGACCAATTTTGTCCCCCCCCCCAAACCCGCTCAAATTTTTCAACGGTGCCTTGAATGACCTTTTTGGTCGCCAGATTGTGCACTGACCTGCTCTTACTAAGATTTTTTTCCCTGAGAGTATCCAAGAATGTCCAAGAAGAGAAAGCGGGATCTGGCCCATGATCACGATCAGGATGACTCGACCGTTACCCAAGAACAGCCACACCCTAATCCTCAGACGGCGGTGTCAGACCCCCCCGCGAAGTCGAAGGGACAGCTAAGGCAAGCGAAATCGGAGAAGAGATCTAAAAAGCAGAGAAAGTCGAGGGAGCAGGAGACGGGACAAGAAACCTCTGTCATTGAAGGCACGGCCACTTCTGCAGCCGACGCAGTTTCGACGGCGGTGGACCGAAGCGATGATATTCCCCAAGCGAGTGTAGGAAAGACAGGCGAGAAAACGAAGAAACCAAGAACTCAAAGGGATGACGGCGAAAAGAAAACGACCACTCCTACTCGTTTCATTGTCTTCGTTGGCAACCTACCTTTCGAGACCACACCAGAGCAAATAAAGAAGCACTTCTCGAAAATCGCCCCGACTTCTGTGCGCCTCTCGACGGACAAGAAAACAGGGAAGAGCAAGGGTTTTGCGTTTGTGGAATTCGACAACTACGACAAAATGAAGACTTGTTTGAAGTTGTATCATCATTCTATGTTTGAGCCAGATGGCAAGGAGAGGGGAACAGACGGAATAGATGGCGAGAGAAATGAGGGAGAGCAGTCACCGCAGAGGCAGGCAAAGAAAGGCAAAGGGCGAAGGATAAATGTTGAACTGACCGCCGGAGGTGGCGGTAAAAAAAGCAAAGACCGCCAGGCCAAGATCAAGACGAGAAATGAAAAACTCAAAGAGGAGAGGGAGAGGAGAAGGATCAAGGAGAAAGCTGAGCGCGAAAAGGCCGGGTTGAAGAAAAAAGGTCCGCCCGAGACGGGTGCAAATGCAATTGCTGTGGCCGACAGTGAGGTCAAGGACGACCGTAGGGACATCCATCCTAGTCGACTGTCTCGGGTGATGCTTTGAGTGATCGAGATCTTGGTGGGAGCGGCTACAAAATGCAAAGTTGTGATAAAGTAGGCCTGCTGCTGCTCAAGATATTGGATGTGAATCCCGTCCTATATCAACGCCTCCTTTCCCGACTAGATTGCCGCTGTATTATTCGTATGCGTGAGATCGCTCCCAGGCCAACCGTGTCTGGTGTGTGTACAGAGGCTGGCCTAGGAGAAGTAAGGCAAAAGTGTATGGGAACCAGGAAGCAGCGACTCAGATGAAGTCTATAACCACCTTTTGCGATGCATCCCGAGTCAGAAACGAGGCAAAATCCCAGATAACTCCAACCCAGAAACGTGCTCTGAAGACGACTAGAGGATGGAACACCTCGACTTCTTCTTGGATGTCGTAGGTCGAGGGTTGAGGACAGCTCTGTGGCAAGGTGAGTAGAATGTACGTCTCGCGCTTAGGGAGAGGTCTCCCACCTGATGGCTTCGTCAAAAACACTCTTCAGATTTCGCTGTGTGAGTGCCGAACATTCCAGATATTTGACTGCTTTGATCTCTTTGGCTACCCCCAGGGCTTGCTCATAAGATACAGGTTCCATCTTTTTCGCCCTCAGATTGTCCGCTGTTGCTTTGTCTTCCCTCAAATCTAGCTTTGTCCCAACAAGGATAATAGGTACATTGGGAGCGTGGTGTTCAATTTCGGGGTACCACTACACCCAAACCATTAGTGGCAACATTACCAAAGTTGAGGAGAAAGGGGTCTTCTACCTTTGCTTTGACATTGTCGAAGCTCGGCGGTGAAACGATGGAAAAGCATATGAGGAAGACGTCTGTCTGAGGGTATGATAGTGGTCGCAATCTGTCATAATCCTCCTGACCGGCAGTATCCCACAGTCCCAGGGAAACGGGCTTCCCATCTACCATGACGCTGGCGGAGTAATTGTCAAAGACTGTGGGAATGTATTCGCCAGGGAATGCATTGGTGGTGTACGATATCAACAAACAAGTCTTCCCCACAGCACCGTCGCCAGTTACCACGCATTTTATTGATTGAGTTGGTTGCGCCATGGTTCGTAGAGATTGATCGGACTTTCAAAGACGACCAAAGACAGATCGGGCGAGCTTGAGATCGAACTGTCGACGTCGTTTGAGTAATTTCTCGCTCGCAGCGCAGGCCAGGTGCTCGTCTGGTTCGGCGCAGGTTCAACAGAATGAGCGCAAGATGGGCAAACGCGAACCGTGTCCAGCGGTCAGGCGCGTTTGTTGAAATCTTTTGTCGAGCCCGCAGTGTAAAAGTTACACGGTGGTTACGGGACCTGCAGTTCGGTGAAAGGATCGAGCTGGCTGACAGCAGGCAGAGACTAGTTTGTCGACACCGCTTGATGCAGTGTAAAAGTAAGTGCACAGTAGTTTGCTGCAGAGGCGCAGGACGATGGAGTATGGGCTAAGAAGGAGAAGGACGAGGAAACTCAGGGTCCAGGGGGTATTGGATGAGCACACCACTTGACGGCACCGTCCGCGGTCGACGTCCCCGGGGGGGGGGGGTAGTTTTGGGGTTTTGGACTTGAGTTGACTTGGGATTCAGATTTGAGATAGGCCACCAAGGCGACGAGTCAAAGAAGCCAGCCAAGCAGTATGACCGATGGCTGAGGCAGGTTCTGAGACGCTGGGAGTGTTGGAGACCTCGCTGGAGAGAACCCTGCGACAAGGGAGCCAATGGCTGGTGGAGGTTTGGCGAGAGCGGCGAGCGCAGTGAGAGCGAGGCAGAGCAAGTGAGCAGAGCAAGTCAGAGCAGAGCAGAGCAGAGCAGAGCCAACAGCGCAGAGCATCCCGTTTCAGAATCATCTGCGGGCAGGGTGTCCCACCGCTTGGTCTCCTTTGGCTCGACCTGGACATGGGCCAAGCTAATATTACTCGGTACTGTCAGGTTGGTAAGCTGGGAGTGGCCTTGTTGACCTCACCCTTTGACAGCAGCACCGCGACCCTCGCGCTTCATGACGAGCGTGCTCCTTCTCCAGACTTCGTAGCCAGACCCTAGCAAGAGATGGTGATATATTGATAAAACAACGCCTCAAAAGGGAAGGGATAGAGAGAAAATACGAGGTAACACTAGCAGCCGACAGATATGAAAAGAGGCACATCACATCAACAACCAGGTGGCCTTTTCCCATCAAGAGCGATGACCCAGATTCTTGTTCGTCAGAGGTCATTGTACTGTACTTGTATGCACAAGACTTCAAGTCAGCAACGGAAAACTAAGAGCAGTCTTTAAGAAGTCGCCATGGGAGGCAGCAAATTGCCATGGTATATATCTACATCTGCTTCAAAGGGGCCGCCCACTGTCTCTTTGCGTTCCTTTGCGACCCTCATCTCAGTGGTGTTCAGAGAACGACGAACCACAAAAGTACCATCCGTGCATGTCCACTGCCCGCTGGTACCCGACTGCATTGATACGAGGAGCTTTCGGACCATCAATTCGCTGTCTGCTGTTAGTTATTCCTTCCCCGGGTGGTCATCCTCTTCGTATTATACTCCCAGAAGCCCCAAATGCAGCAATGCAGTTCTAGGCAGAGTCATGCTCATGCCTTGAGGAGCTTGGACAAATATCGATCCTATCGTTGCGCAAGATCTAGCCCGGTCTCTGGGCCACAATGCAACCAGTGTTTTCTAGAGCAGGACTTTGTCGTGGAGCTATGGCCGATAGGCCGAGAAAGGACGACAAAGCTGGGCTCTTACAGGGCTCACGAGACTGACCCCGGAGCAAATGGGCCTACGAGAACACCACGGGTGGTTCCTAAGCCTTTGGTAAGCCCCGAAAACAGATAATGATGAACAAGAAAAAGGTGCACCAAGGCGCCTGACTAACATCAAGCAGCAAGCCCCAGGGCACCGTTGGTGGCCTGTGCCCACTGTCTGCGAGGGACTCCACGGCCTATCCGGGTGTCTGCTGGGCAGTGACCACTGAAATCCGACTCCCGAGCCGCCTGAAAGAGCTAGCAGACACGCCCATTCCTTCTAGACAACCATCATCATCATCCAGACTCGCTGTAACAATGACAGCCTGTCCACCTATCTACCAAGAACTTCGCAGACACCAATTGCCATTTCGGTTGACCCTCGTGTAGCGCCCCGGCGACCGCCGAGAGCTCAATTACGAATTTGTATATTGCTCGCTCAACTGCCAGACGGCAGGCTTGCCAAAACAGAAAAAAAGGCAAATTCCCGGTCCTCAAAAGTCTGACAGTCCCTGCTCGGTCGCCTCCTTTGCTTCATTGTCAGAGGCAGACGTGGAAGACTGGACTTGAATGTGCAAATAAAAGTTGCTGAAGGGCTACCAGAACGTCATGACAAAGGTGCCATCCTCTTCAACCAGCCTTTGCCTCTGCGGTAGAAGGGCGCCCACGCTCTTTTCCTACTAAATGCGCTTGGAGTCGTCCTGTCTCTATTCAAGGCCTAAAATAAGGCTGTGGACTTGCCGTCAATACAGACTCCTTGTTCCCTCCTGTGGCTGTCTGGAGCCTTTGCGGCTTTGGAGACTAGGGCGGAAGCACTGGAACCTCCTGGATCTCACAGAATGGCACCAGCTATAACGCCGACTGTGTCTGCCCCTGGTTCCAAGAAACCACAGCGTCGGTTTCAATTCATCGACAATAGTGATGTTGCCTCAATGGGATCCAACTCCACCCAAGTCCGGCGCCATGTAATGCAGGAATATATGAGGGAGAAGCGATGGGAGGCTCGCTCTCACTCCAACACCGCCGATGGATCTGAAGGACCGACTCGAAAGAAGCCAGACAAGCCTACATCGCGACCGCGATCGCGCCAGAGACGTCTCCAGGGTAGAGATGCGGTTGCGACCGATGTTCGAGAATCGGCAAGGACTATAGCGGCGAAAGCGACTGCAAATGACAACGTTGACGGACAGAGCTATCTAGACGAAGCCGTCGAGGAGATTGATCGTCAGATCCCACACCTCGTGGTGGGACGGACGAAGCCTACGACCACCTTTCGTCTAGGTTCTACGGCCTTTGCCACGTTGGCGGATATGATCCCCAACGCTCCATTCACTCCTCCGTCCTCGACCAAGTCCAGTGATTCGTCACCACCTCATAGGCGGCGTTGGCCATCGAGCGGTTCTTCGTCTCAAAGCCCGGAACCACAATCGTATCTGAGTGCTGCGCGCACCGATCCGTTCGCCTCTCTGCCAATGGAACTAAGCCCTCAAGATCAGGAACTATTCGATTTCTATGCGAACGTCATGCCTGCCTGCTCATATGGGTTTGAAAGACGCAGCCCCCTTGCACACAATTGGTACCTAACTGTGTTCATCCCGGAGGCCATGAAAGGTGCCGTGTGCTTCCAAAACACCATTCTTGTTCACGCCGCCAATACGCAGGCTTGGGTCCAAGGTCTTTCAGAAACACGTCTCGCCATCGAGCATCGGGCTAAAGCGTCGCAGTTGCTCCTCCATCACTACCAACAGTACCCACATGACACTTCGGATGCAACCATATCGGCCACAATCTCTGCTGCGGCGCTGGAGGATTTTGACCCGCGCATAGAACGCCGTATATACGCGTGGATGCACTGGGACGCGGTGGTGCAAAAGATCAGAGACCGAGGTGGACCAGCAGCCCTGGTTCAAAACAACAGACTACAGATGTTGATAAATTGGTCCGATTACATTTTTTCCGGCTATAAAGGCCATGGCGCGACATTTTACTTTGACCACCAGTCATCACCGAGTCACTCATCTGACCAAGAGGCTGAGGCTATCGCTCGTGCTGAGATCGCCGAGCAGTGTGAGGAATTCATCACCTTCCTCAAATGCGCCGAACATCTTGCCCTTGTCCAAGCCGGCATGCAGGCCAACCCGATCTCACGAAACCAACAACCCTTGCGCTACTCTGTCTTTTTACCTGGACAACCGCTTTATAACCTCCTTGCAAGCCCAAATGGCCCACGGTACACGGAGACAGGACAATTCAAACAGATCATTTCCAGGTTAGCGTCTCTGCTGACAATCAACACAGCCGTTTGGGAGTATCGTCATTCAACGGAATACAGCGAAGCATTCTTCGCTGAGCTCATGGACAACATCATACATAATGAACTAGATCGACACATTTCAGTGGAAGCACTGATACAAATATTGTTGAGTGGGAGCAAAAACCCTGTCTTGTTACATACGGAGAGACCATGGTTTGTGGGGAGAATGCTCAAGGTCTCTAAGCGCTTGTCCCGACCGACTTTTGAGAGGCTGAACGAGTTACTCCTAAACTTCCTGTGTCTGGGGCCAGGGCTCGCACCCGCAATGTTGGGCTGGGAAGACGAGCTTCGTGCAGAGATTTTGAACGCCCCTTTGGTCAGCTATCGGTCCCGGTTCATGCTGGAACCACCATGATTTCTCGCTTCTCTCGCAACCTAGGCCGGCCGAAGATGACCCTTCAGCTTTTCTCGCTTGTTCTTTGCTTATTACCCATCTGCGGGGCTGACCGCAACAGCTTTCACGAGGTGAAAAAACTGTTTTGGCACGGGCATCCTTGGATTTCCGGCAGCCTGAGCCGAGGACTCACGGGGCTCTCGCTGGCGGGCCCACCTGTTCAAACACCTGACGGGAAATATACTCGCCTAGGTAGGGCCCAGCAAATGGCAGGCTGAGCTCCCTACCCTATTTGTCTTTGACCCCACGACCTCCCGAGCAACGTACAGGACCGTTGAGTTTTGACCATTGGTAATTTGCTCCTCAAAGTCGATGAAGACCTCTAAGCAGAGGGTTTTCGAACACGAAACTGTGACCTCAAGGGTGCTGCTGAGATTGGATGCATTACTCAGAGAAAGAGCTTCACATGTGCGGCTTTTTCGGGGGGTGTTGGAATCGCAATACGAGGCCCAGGTCCTTGCTGGCCTTTGGTCGCTCTCAGTGGCTTGTCTGAGTGGCCAGAGTTATCCGGGGAAGGCTCCAATTCTGCCCACCGCGTGCCGATGGCCCCCTGCCTCTCGACGCTTTGCTGAATTCGACGTCCAAGGCATCAACCCCGTCCCTCAGTCGGTCAGTTCGGAGACTTTTCCAGCACTTTGACTGCTTTTCAAACTGCACTGTTGATACCGCAACATTTGGTCAATAACATAAGCAACTCTCTCACAGGTACTGCTGCCGTCCGGCAGCGATCGGATGACAGTCAGATGCTCTTAGTAGGCTTTTGTTGTACTTTTGCATGCTTGGGGGCTTTTCTCTTTGGTTATGGTGAGTGTAATAGCAGTTCTTTCTCAGCAACGCTTCTCGCAGAATCTTGTTCGCATCAAACTACCACCATTACCCGCGGCACACACACACGCGAGCAGAGCCTACAACTGCAACGGCTTGGTACGAGATGGTGAAGACTCTTGTTTTATTTTGCAGACACGGCAGCATTGGAGATCATTCGCTGACAAGTAGCTGCTGAAATGACCAGATTCTGGCATCATCTCCTCTTCAATCGCCCAGACTGACTTTGTCAACCGCTTTGGCAATGGAACTCTAGCGGACAATACAGCAGGCGGAATTGTATCATCCTTTACAGGAGGCGCCATTATTTCGTCACTCTTTCTCAATGTGCTCTCTGACAAGTATGGCCGACGTGCTGCCATCTTTCTTGGAGCTCTGTTGGCCTGTTTAGGAGGCGCACTGCAGGGTGGTGCAAACGACGTGGCCACTATTATTGTGGGCCGGGTAATCGCTGGGCTGGCTATCGGGCTGCTATCGGCCACGATACCAAACTACTGTTCAGAGGTCGCACATCCCAAGTTTCGAGCCCTTCTTGCTGGGTTGCAACAGTGGAATATCGGCCTTGGGTTCGAGTCACAATCGGGCAAGAGTCCCTGAATCTGCTGGCTAATTGGACGCTAGGTTCGTTTGCGCCCAATGGATCGGTTATGGAAGCTCGTTGGTCCACGGTCCTTTCAGCTGGAGATTTCCACTTTCATTCCAAGTGCTGCCGGCCCTCGTCCTCGCAGCGGGAATTTGGTTCTTGCCCGAGAGTCCTCGATTCCTCGCCGAGCGCGGAGACACAGTCCATGCTCACGCAGTCTTGGAAAGACTCCATCGCAATCATGAACTCGTCGAAGCCGAGTACAAGCGCATTCAGGACAATCTAGAGGCCGAGCAAAAGTCTCGCATGGGGTGGCTCGACATGTTTCGAGAATCACGCCTCCGACGACGAGTGCTGTTGGCATGCGGGATACAGCTTTTCACGATAACGTCGGGAATCAACGTCATCAACTAGTAAGTTTCCTAGAAAGCCGGCGCTGAAGGGTGTTTGCGTCAAGGCCCTAACCTTGATGATGAAGCTGCTCGATGCTAATGAGCGACTAGTTACGGACCCAGGATTTACAGTTATCTTCATTTTAGCACGACCAGGTTAGCGCTCGCTGTCAATTGTCCTGGGGTTTTTTATATCCAGTTCTGATACGGAGCAGGTCTCTAATGATTATTGGAATATATGGTGCCCTTGCCCAGGTCTACAACACGATCTGCATCGCATTTGTAGACCGAGTGGGACGAAGAAAACTTCTAATTCCGTCCATGATCGGCATGGGAGCAGCACTATGCGTCAATGCGACCCTATCGCATTTCTACATCGACGGAAAACAAGGCCCCGGCCGCAACGAAAACGCCCTGCGCGCGTGTGTGGCCATGTATTTTGTCTTCTCGGTCTTTTTCACCAGCCTTGGGTGCATTTCCTGGATTTTCAGCAGCGAGGTGTTCCCAACGGCAATCCGGGCCAAAGGCACTTCGCTGTCCACATTCACCAATTGGGCAGTCAATCTGATCTTCGCACAGTGCTCGCCCATTGCACTTTCGAGGATGGGTTACCGGTACTTCTATATTTTCACAGCCTTCAATTGGGTCGCTGCAGCGGTGGTCTATTTCTTCTATCCTGAGACACAAGGGCATACTTTGGAGACCATGAATGAATTGTTCGGTGATCTGCAGCTTCGAAGTTCCGCAGAGTCACCTGGGAACATCACCTTTGCTGCCATGAACGAGGATAAAGTTGTGGCTGAAGAAAACACATCACCGACCAGATCAGATCCGCTTTCTGAGTCGATGAAAGCCTTTGAGAGGACCGGGGGGCGCCCCTGCAGTCGACAAATTGATCCCGCCTGATCCCGTCTACATACAATAGTCTCTGGGCCAGGTGGGAAGACGGGCGTCTAGGATGTGCCTGAATACGCCCTAGTGCGAGGGACTGCATCATCTCGGTTCGTCTGCAGCCTCACGTAATGATATATTTACGACATCTCCATCACGCCGCATGACGACCTTGTTTCTCGACTGCCCTACTACCTCCTTGTACAGAAGAACCAAGTGTGGCAACAGGTGGGTCGTTGGGTACAGCGAATAGAGCTTTTCTAGCAACCTCCAATTGAGGGATTAATCCGCCGGATGTATTTGTGATAGTCTGCTAGGCTATACAGCCTGGCCATGTTCTTCTGCATTGAAGAGCCCATGTCTCGGCCGCCATACACCGCTTGTTGATAAATGGCATATTGGGTCCTGGGGACTGCATCTGTGCCGTGACATGAGCAACACTTATCATCACCATACCCACCACCGGGGTATATTGAGGGTATCCGACTGGCCCTGGAGCCCTGAGCGATCGGCGGGCCTCCAGGGCTCACTAGACCGGAGTTAAGCAAGTGGTGGGAGGGCCAGCCACGCGATAGGACGATTGGTCCCAAACGCCACGCGAAGGACGAGCATGGAGGTTGGTAGGGTTGACTCGCGAGCGCCTTACTGACCGAGGATAACGCGCGGCGTCGATGGGATAGAGCAAAGTCGGACTCGAGATACACTGTGGACAGAGTCTCTTGCAGAATACGGCGTACACGATATACATATAAACACAACATATTCAGCTGATTCTCTTGTTTTCGGTCTTGCAAGAGCGGCTGCTCGTCCGGGGATAAAGCGGCTGCAACCACCAGCTGCTAGGTTAGAAGGAAGAGAAGCATGAGTCAGTAGTACCTAGGTAGGTACCCCCTACCTACCCAGCACTCTAGCCATGCATCCCCTCCAAAGGCGCTGGACACAAGGGTTGCATTTAAGGCTCTGTCCTACCTGTGATGCCCTTGTCCTCCCTCTTTTTTTTCAGCACTGCGAGAGCCCCAGAACGCCTGACTGAAAACGCCTCCAGGCATGGCTACTAGGCTGAACATGCCAAAAATCAGTCAAAACCAGCATTCGATCGGCGTCTGCCCACCACTTACCACGCAGCCACGGGATCGAGAATCCACCGCGTGTGTGCGTTCGATGGGCCTGTCCCCGAGCCAGTTGCCTCGCCCACTTGCTCCCGCTATGCAAGACCTAAAAACGGAGAAACGGGCAAGCCTAGCAGGGCCCAAGAGGGGATACGAGGGAGGAGGAGGAGGAGGAGCGAGGAGGGGGGGCAGCGAGGGGGCCATCGCACAGGTATCCGCTTCCAGTCCCCAGCAAGGCATCAAGCAGCAATCCCAGCTTCCACCCGCACGACCAGACTCCATCACCATGTCCAATGACGCATCCTTCTCCGTTAAAGCAGGTCCTTTGGTTAATAATGTCACGGCTTCAAGTGGGGGGTGACGAGTGCCTAAAGGGCACAGCAGCCCGGTGGGTGGAATGGGTGTGGAATGGGTGTGGACATGCTTCCTTTCCCCTTCCTGTCCCCTTCTTCCCTGGTCCCTTACCCGAGCACCGTGCCCTTTCGCTTTCCTTTGTCCTTGTCGTTGGGCGGCGGACGGATTTTTTCGTACGGCTCGTACCAGCACAGGGTTGATCAGTTCCCAAACCTCTGCTTCTTGCACACGATATCATTTTCTTCCCTTTCCCTTTTCTCTTCCTGTCGCTCCTTCTCAGCGATATCGCTGTCCCCCTTCAAAAGCACGCACCGGAGCTGCGGGGTATCTGGCTCCGAACCCGGCATCGTCGACCGGCCCTGACAAACTAATCCTTCTAAACTTTTGTGCATTTTTCTTTGCCTTTTTGTATGCCGTCACCAGACAGTTCTTTGCTCGACAACCTCGACCCTGCGGACAACTCGTGAGCGAATGAGCGCAACGACGTACTCCCCTTTTACAGTGTTTCCTCCCTTGATTGGCTGCCTGAGGCTGGAGGACGGATGGGCGACCAGGAACGGATAACGCCCCAGTCTATGGGTCGCCCTTCCGACGAGGCTCTGAGAGACGAACCTTTGACCACTGCTGCGGCTGCCACCACAAACCACAATGACGAGAATGCTTCCGAGTCGCGGCCCGAATCTCCTCCAGCTGAGACGCCGCCTAGTGACTCTGGGACAAAGCCAACCGTCCCCATGCAAAAGCGACGACGGGTGACCCGCGCCTGTGACGAGTGTCGTCGCAAAAAGATCAAGTGTGATGGCAAACAGCCTTGTACGCATTGCACCGTCTACAGCTACGGTGCGTGCCTTTACTAATCCAGGACCCTCCTTCCTCCGATGCGGCGCCATGAAGTCACTAACTGTAGGCTTTTAGAATGTACATATGATCAACCTTCCAACCGAAGACGGAATCCTGCCCCACAGTATATCGAGGCGTTGGAGCAGAGGCTGCAGAAGGCCGAGTCAGTCCTTCGCTCGGTCCTACCGGGACTCGACCTCGACGATCCTAAATTTGACGCGCGAACCGTCGAACAGTTGATCGAGGCAAGCCGTGCAAACGCCAGTGCCAGTGCCAGTGCCAGTGCCAGTGCCAGTGCCAATGCCAATGCCAATGCCAACGCCCACGCCAACGCCCACGCCCACGCCCACGCCAACGCCAACGCAAATGTCAATGGTAATGGCAATGGCAATGGAGCTGGGAATGGCAGACCAGCGGGCGACCTTCCAAAACCCGAAGATGATGCTCAACTCCAATCGATGATTGACCGAACCGGCTCGCTGGATTTAGACGACCACGGCAATTGGGATTTCCATGGCCATTCATCTGGTTATGTCTTCATGCGAAAGTTTCGCGCACAGTTTGGCGACCAGTTCCTGGCAGAGTACCGCCACCCCAGCAAAAACCGCACAATTGCCCAAATCCTCGAATCCCCCAAATCTGCAAACTCGTCACCGATAGACCTCAGCCTCCCTCATCACGTTGACCTGCCTCCTCGAGAGGTGGCCATTGAGTTGTGTCGAAACACCCTCGACGACTGCTGCGCTCTCATGCGCCCCATCCACCGACCGACTTTCTTTAAGCGACTACACGCAGTGTACGATACTGATCCCGAACAATATAACAATCGACATGTCCAGTTCCTGCCTCAACTCTATGTAGTCATGGCCGTTGGCTGCCTCTTCTCTAAGACAGAGAACGAGAACACGATGCTGGATCTCAAAGGCTACAAGGAGGCAATCGAACAAGGGTGGGGGGTTTTTCTTTTTTGAAGTCGATCTGATAACGATCACTCGCTAACGCTGCATCAGATATCAATATTTTAGTAGCGCCAAGCAGTTACTAGACATCACGGATTGCAGGGATCTGGTGACCATTCAAGCCATCGTCTTCATGATCCTCTTTTTGCAATCTTCGGCGAAATTGCCGACTTGCTACGCATATATTGGCATTGCATTGAGAGCATGTTGCCGACTGGGCTTGCACCGCAATCTGCCAATTAATAATTTCAACCCGATCGAGTCGGAGGAACGGAAGCGCATATTCTGGCTGGTACGGAAGCTAGACTGTTATGTTGGAACTGCACTTGGCCTTCCTCAAATGTTGAGTGACGACGACATCGACCAAGACTTTCCTGCCGAGGTCAACGATGAGTACATTACCGAACAAGGCATTCTGCCAATGCCGGCTGGCACATTTCCTCTCATCCGAGCAACTAACGCTCACACGAGGCTGACGATGCTTCTGAGAAAGGTGGTTCGGTATATCTACCCTCTGAAATCTCCAGGTAGCTCCAAGGCCGAGCCCGTCTATAGCATCAGCCACAAAAAGATCCGTGAGCTTGAAAGAGATCTGCAGAACTGGATGGATCAACTGCCGACCGAGTTGAGGCCTTCGGACAATGCAGGACGGGAGCTCTCCAGGTGGGTTCTACCATGTATTTGGGCGCGATGAGGAGCTGACGGTGCCCAGAGTCCAACAGCATCTGCGAATAGGCTACGCTCACGTCCAGATGATGGTCTATCGACCGTTTATACACTATGTATCTCAGGCATGTCAAGCGAGGAACGTTGATAAGAGGAGCTTCGCTTGTGCCGCCGCGTGCATCAGTGTCGCAAGGAATATTGTGCACATAACAAGCGAAATGAAGAGGCGAGGCTTATTGGTAGGATCCTACTGGTTTGTCATGTACACGACCTACTTCGCCATCCTATCGCTCGTGTTTTTCGTCATCGAAAACCCCAACAACCCCACAAGCACTGAGATCCTGAAAGATGCAAAGGAAGGACGGGACACCCTAGCAAGTCTAGCGAAACGGAGCGCAGCTGCTGATAGGTGTACTGTCAGCCTGACGGTAAGCCGCGTCCAATGACAGGTGTCATGCAATGCTCCAATGCTGACCGACTGTTCCACTTCATAGGGCCTTTTCGATGTTCTCCCGGAAAAGCTGAAGGAACGGCGGAGTTCCCTCAATTTCGCTCCAGCAAGCACTCGCAAGCGCCCACCGCCAGGTACCGAAGGAGGCCCAGCACAGGAGAGACAAACTGGCCCAGACCTCGCAAATACGATGGGCTCTCGAGAACCCTCAGCGACGCCCAGCAGGGCACGGACATTACCTTCAGATTATCTGGCAAAACTGGCAAAGAGAAACTCTCTACCAGATCCGGTCATGTCGAACTTCTCGGAGCAAGTACAAAGTGCTCAAATGATGGGATTCCAAAGCCCGTCAACGTCGTCTCCCATGTCGCCGAACTATCAATATACGCCGCAACTGGGCAATGCCCAAATACCGGATTTGAAGAATGTCATGTTCCCCAGCGACAATCCCTTCGCGTATCCTAGTCAACCCATGAGTGCCATCGAATCAGTCGATGGGCACTACTCGTTCTCCGAGCCCAGCATGACCCCCAACGACCCGAATATTTTTGGAACGCCGAGCAGCAGCCATCAGATGCCCATACCTACACCTCATTTCGCGGGTTATGATTACCCTTTTCAGCACACGTTGAATGAAACCCCTAGCTTAGCACAGCACTTTGGCAGCCAGACCAGCCGAGACTTTAATGCGCCTTTTACCGATATTCTTATGCAGAACGCGCTGGGGACGGACATGAGTCACCTGGGAGGAGTCCCGAATACGACCGAATCGATGAACATGGGGGGCGGCGATGTGAACGCCTCGACGAATCCAGACGAATACTGGAAACATCTCAATGGTGGACAGATAGGACTGGGAACCGGGCTGCCACACGGGGTGCAACAGACCAGCATGGATTATTTTAGCACTGAGAGCTGGACCCCAACTTGGGCCGAGCATCATCATCATTACGGCAACACCCCCCAGCAGTGACGTGCGGGCAGGCATCTGGCGCACTGGAGTGTTTTTGTTCTACTGGGACCCGATCTGAATTCAGGTACGGTGGCGCGGCTCTCTGCTTTATGATGATACCACACAGGGTTCGGAATCGGGAAATGGGGCTCATCGGCAATACCACGTACGGGTCCTTGGCGTAACGGCGTTCATGATCAATTTTGTCCGCAAAGGATATTGATTGGGGTTGATGTTGATTGATAAGTGAGTCGAGGATGCAACCACAGCGGACAGCATGACATGTTGAGGGGTGGGAAAATTTGAGATTTGTGGTTCCGGCAGAACACAGCACCCAAAAAAAACACCAGATCAGAACTTTCTTCTACGTACGTATTATGTGGACGAGGTAGTTGGTCGTTAGGCTTGCAGGAGAAGAATCACGCAGATCAAATTGAAACACGCTCTGCGTGCCTCCCGACGTCGTAGCGACAGCGGCAATGACCGAGCACATGACTTCACCAAGAGGAGCCACCAAGCCGAATTGAAAAAATAAGTGGCACGAATCGAAGTGCTTCGGTGTTGGAGCAGAGGTGGCTCTTGGTTGGTAATAAGCATTCCGTTTAATCTTTGGAAATAAGGAGGTCCGCCGTCCTGGTACGTACATGCTGTCAGCTGCATTCGATACTATAGCGACCACTTCGTCGCGCTGGCGTTTTCTCTGGGCTATATGTATTGGATAAGAGGAGGGGGGAAGAAGGTGGTGCCAGAGCGTGGCACTACCTTTTTCAATTCGGCGTGCCCATGTAATCGCAAAGGCCGGAAATGTTTGGGTAGCCATAGAGCAATGTATAACATATTAGTACCTAGCTAGTAAGTGTATGCTAGAGTTAGTCAGTCAGTCTGTCTGTCAATCGACTCGCGTTGGGTGGTCATTTATATAAATGTCCAAGACCAGAAAGGCGGGTTGACAGAATGCCCTGCGAAGAGAGAAGCAAGCGCAAGGAGATTTGTAGTAGTACTTTGCGCCGCACACAGATCCGTGTCCACGCACATAGTACAACCAAATGTCGAGAGTGTCTACGACTACAGTTTGCGGATTGCGAGATGAACCGTGCTTCGTAGGTCTGAAGAACAAGAACATCATCGTCGTCATCATCGTCGTCGTCGCCGCACATGCCTTGTCGGTACAGACACCAAGCACCCAAGCACCCAAGCACCCAAGCGCTCAAGAATTTCCGCTCTTTCTTCGCCCTTCACACCAAGACTTCCGCCACGGTTGGCAAGGTTACTAGGCTGGGCGCGATGCGTTGCTAGCACCCCGAGACCCAAGAAAAAGGCGAGAGGGGGGGAAAACAAGGAAAAGGGTGTCATGAAAGGCACCTCGCTTAGGAGTACGGATTTCACCAAGGGTACGAAGTATGGAGGACTCATAAGCTTGCGATGGTCCACGCACTTTTCCCCTCCTGATCTCACAAGAAGAAAGCTTAAGCGTCCTTTTCTCGATCTGATGGCGATGAACTCTTCGGACCACATGTTTCGAAGAGGCAAAGAGTCTGATCGACGGGGCATGATGGAGGTCAAGAAACTCTACCTATCAAGAGTCTTTACCTACCTTGCTATGGACCTACCCGAGACAGCTTCTGAGCATGGCGAGATACAAGTACGGCACAGGTAGAAGTATGAAAACGTCATACGACTTCCTTTTTGCCATGTGGTTCGCAAGTTTTGCCTGGTTCGGAAGTTTGCGTACGGGGAACAAGCATGTACTTGATATACCGTTCACAAGTACATGGTGCATTCGTCACGCCACTTGTTAGGCCGCAAAAAGAAAGAGGGGTATTATCTCTTTTTTTGCCACACGAGGAATAAAGGAATGATCCAACTCGCATACGACTGAAGCCTCACCGAAACGAGGAATAATCTCTAGATCGAGTCGTTCATCGCGCTTATCGTCCATGTGACCGTGCATGGCGAAGATGTCGAAGCTAAGACCGGAGAAGCCATGGCAGAGGAAACACTTGGTAGGGAGGTACGAAGACCAAGAGATTCCGGTCTTGGACCGCAAATTTGGGGCCACTGTGGGCAAATTCCTTACCCAGTGCCTCCTGTAGCATGACGGAGCATGGAGCCAGGGGCCACCAATTTTGGACAAGGGTTTGCCACCGCCTGTGAGGGGACGTCCCATCTTGCGGTGTCACCACAGGGAGTGACAGTGCTGCGCCTCGCTCACCATGGTCTTGGACTCTTGGTTCATGTTCCTCCCTTGGCCAATTTCTCGTCCCGCTGAGCCTGTTCCAAGGATTTCCGACGTTCCAAGAAGACCAAGACTCATCAGGGTTTCATCGGGGTCCCATTCCGCTCTCAGCTCCTCGTTTTCTCGGCCGTCTCTCTCGCTCTTGCACGTAGCCATGAGACGACGACCAAACACAAAGGGGGCGTGCGTGCAATCAACGCCGTGAAAGGGGCTGCCGGGCAGATGGGCCGGCGTCTGGCACATCAAAAGTTCACCGCGGAGGAAGGTTATTGAGATGGATATTTCCGGAATGCAGACTTCGCTTTGCACGTCCCGAGTTCGTATCACGCTGACAGCCACCCGACACGAGCTCAGGATTGAGTGAGAGTCTGCTCACAGTGCTTGTGCTCAGCGTGCTCAAGCGTGCCCAGAGCTGCTCTCCTAGTCGGCGCAATGAAGCACCAGGGCCCCACCTGCGCGCAGCAATGGGTGGCCTCTGAATGGCGGGATTCTCTAGCGGCTTGGCACGGGCTCCTGCCAAGCCGCTAATGAAAGCTGGAAGGTGCTCAGTCACTGCCACTCTGCGCTTCAAGGGCCAGATGCGTGTCGCCCTCTCCCTCTGGTCCCTCTGGTCCCTCTGGTGCCTCTTCCTCTTCCTCTGCTCTCTATCTTCTGAGGCCCCAGGCTCAGCTCCTGCCTCGTCCTCTCATGCTCTTTCCCCTTCTGTTTCGCTGAATTTGAATCGCCTGGTGGCTCCTGCCCCCCCATCACCTCACCCAACCTATTGCTCCCCTCCCCCCCCAAACAGCATCAAAGCCCCCCTCCCCCCCCCCCGGCCGCGAACAGAATAGTAGTGTCTTCCCTCTCGTATCTAATTAATTAAACCTGCTCCTCTCTGAGCGCTTCTTTCTGCCCTCCAGGCGACCTTGGGATCCCTCGTCCTATCGTCATCTTAGCCCGCTGTCCGAGTCCAGAAACCGCCAGATCACCCAGAGGGACGATATACTTAATAGTAGTCGGTCGCCCGCACCCGCCTAACTACTCAGGCCAAAAAAAAAAACCTTCACCACCTTTTCTCTCACCCGGAATTTCGGTTGCCCTTCACTCTTCTTCGTCTTCTACATCCTCACCTTTTCACCTTTTCATCACCCTCGCCATCCGCTTGGCGTGTTTCTATCGCGGGATCGGCTTCGCATCGCAGCCTCGCGTTCTGAAGTTGGGACTCTTCGATTCCGCCGCCAAGTATCGACATCGCTCTTGGCGTTGACTTCGAGCCAAGCAAACAATGGCTGATTTGGGAGAGAGAAACACGCCCACACCCAATCCTCCTGCCTCTCAGGAGGTTGCTCAACAACCAGCTCAACTCCAGCAGCAGCCGCTGGCCTCAAACCAGCCCGCGCCCAGCGTCAACGCTGCTGGGGAAAACCTGCAGTGTCAGTGGCAAGGGTGCGGCGAGCGCTGCCCTTCAGCTGAAGCGCTTTACGTGAGCCTCCCGCCCTCCCTCTCTTCTCCCCCTCTGTCTTGATGTCCCTCGACGCGTTCTAACATGGGCTACTCCAGGAGCATGTCTGCGAGCGCCATGTCGGTCGTAAGTCGACGAACAATCTCAACTTGACCTGCGCCTGGGGCGCTTGCCGCACCACCACTGTGAAACGCGACCACATTACCTCCCACATCCGCGTTCATGTTCCGTTGAAACCTCACAAGTGCGAATTTTGCGGCAAGGCCTTCAAGCGTCCGCAAGACCTCAAGAAACATGTCAAAACTCACGCCGACGATAGCGTCATCATGCGCTCTCCCAACATGGAGCCCGGTGGTGGCCAGCGTCAATCTCAGAATGGCATGGGACAAGGTGGGCAGTACGGCAACTCATACTATGGTCGCAGTCTGACTGGACAAGTGCCTCCAAACTACTATGCCCCTGCCATGCCAGGTCCGCAAGATTACACTGGCCAGCATCACCCCAATCAGTATTACCAGCCGCATCCTCCGGTCCCGGTAAGCACCATCTCCTCTTCTTTGCTCCGATCCAGTTGCCGCGCGAACATGACGCTAATGGCGAATGGCAGACAGGACAACACCCCGGCTATGGCCCGGTGACATACTACAGCACCGCGCCCCAGACCACCTACGACTATGAGGCCCGCAAGCGCGGCTACGACGCTCTCGACCATTTCTTCGGCCAGGTCAAGCGCAGGGAGGTCGACCCGATCAATTTCCACAACGTCAGCCGTCGTCTATTCGAGCTCCAAGGCCTGCAGCTGCCACAGATCATCCCAGCCGCCATTCCGACTCCCGCCTATCAACCGGTTTCGGTTGGTGGTGCCTATGGGCAAGAAGACCCTATCCAAGCCTACAGCTTGCCACCCATGGGTAACGCGAAGACAAGGGAAGATTTGACATCTATCGACCAAATCCTGGAGCAGATGCAAGCCACCATCTACGAAAACGATGCTCATCTCACCGCCGGCGTAGCACCCACAGGCTCCGGCTATGTAACATATGCCCGCTCCAGTAACAGCCCCCCAAGCTCTTCCCATCATCATCATCATCATCATCCATCAGCTACCGCTCACACGAATTCAGCCTCGTTGCTCCAGCACGGCCACCAAGACAGCATTGCAAGCGGTGCCACGGATGCCAGCACACCGGGTCTCACCCCTCCGTCGTCTGCGCAAAGTTACACGTCCGGCCAAAGTCCCCTACCGGGCCATGCCGCACCGACCAGCAGTGCCATGTACCCAACTTTGCCAGCTAGTGCTAGCGATATGGCATACGCCGCTGCCAATGCCGCGACTCTCAGCGGTCTCTACGAGGGCAATGACCGCCGCCGCTGGGATGGTGGCCGACTTCAGCGTGCTGCTCCTGGCAAGCTCAAGGACGAAATGGATACCGGCAGCGACGGTTCCGTCACTCCTCCGGCCTCTGGTGCCAACAAAGAGGCCAAGGGCAAAAAGAAGGCGTCGCTCCAAGATAGCGTCATTGACCCTGCCCTCGCCAGTGTTGAAGGCGCTGAGACCCCTAAGAGCGGCGAATCCAAAGATACTCCCGACCAGACTGAGATGTGGGTTCAAAATATGCGTCTGATCGAATGGATGCGCGAGTTCATCAAGAAGAAGCTTCAGAGCGGCGAATACGAGGATGGTGACGCGGCGGGTAAGGACTTGGCCGAGAAGGAATCTGGCGAGCACGCGGATGCCGAGATGACTGGCACCGACGAACACAAGGAGAAATCCGAGGAAGAACAGCTTTACCCTGTGCTTCGGCACGTGGAAGAAACGGCCTAATCTGGGTGTTGTTGATGATGGAATTGGGGCGGGAGCGTCGAGTTTTGTCCAGATATTGATGAAAGAAAAAAAAGGGAAAGGATCCAAACATGGCTTGTATGAAAGCCTCAAGGGGGCGTTGGATGGGCTGGCTACGAATCGATGACTTTTTATTCATCACTCTCGCTATTTTTGGCAGTCGGGGAAACGAGGTCGGATTGCACGGATGAATATGACGGCCACCAAAATGCAATCCCAGACATTGACACCGCGAGAGAGATGGACGTGGACAAGTAGTCCCATGGTCGCAGCTTTTATCCCCCTTGTTCTCTAAATCTTGTACCTGTCGGGTACATCGTTGCAGGTGCCCTTGCCTGTTGAAGAATTCGCGCCATTACACTGAGTGGTGCCTCTGGCCGCCCTTCAAAGGCAGAAAGAAGTCTTCATCGAGGGATTCTGGCAAGGATCAGACATGATAATCATGGTATCAATCTAGGTTCTGCGCATGGCCCCCCAATATTGGTGATGATCTTCTGCGTGGTACAAATAAGCTTTTCTCTGCTGATTTCCCCTATCAAGTTGCGTTCCATCTCACCATCTCAACCTCCTCGCTTCGTCCCCTGCAACAAGGAGATGAGATGCTATACGTGACGCCGTCTCCTGGTCATCTCCTTATTGTCCATGTTCGCTCTACAAGTGAAGATAATATCTTCTCGTGTTGCATTACGTTATAAGAAGAGATTCGCTCCAATATCAGGTGATTCTTGCAGATTTGTGTTGTTAGTTGCGGAAAAGCTCGGTAAGTTGCACATTTCAACCTCTCATGATGGAGTTTCCATCGTCACCTGTTTCGAGATCCAAGCGCCATCCTCCACAAAAGTGCAGCATCGGCTTCCAGAGATTGGTTAGGGATTAGAGGAGGCATGCGCGTACCCTGTCTTAGGTCCGACCCGAGCATCAATGCGCTCGTCGGGGCTCCAGCCCCCAAGACATCTCATGACTTTACAACCTCATTTAATCAAGCTTGATCGCTGCATACATCTGGCGAGCGAGTCACTTGAGGATCTAGGATACAGCCCAAACAATCTTCACTTTGATATCTGTCAAAATACCCGATTGAATCGAATCGAGAGGAGAGAAAAGAAACGAACAGAAACGAACAGATCATGAACGGACCCAGCCAAAAGGTCTTGGTCCGCAGCTTCGAGAGTGTGGTGCGAGGAGATGTTGCGTCCGTCGGAGGCAAGAATGCTTCCTTGGGAGAGATGATCGGTGGCCTCAAGAAAGAGGGCATCGCCGTTCCGCCTGGCTTTGCCACAACCGCAGACGCGTATTGGCGCTATGTCGACGCAAACGACATCAGGGGGAAGATGACCAAGCTAATCGAGGAATGGCAATCTGGCAAAGCAACTCTTTCGGAAACTGGCTCTGCAGTGCGCAATCTGTTTTTACGTGGTGACTGGCCGGCGGATGTGGCAACCGCCATCGCAAACGCCTATCAGGAGCTTTCTGCGCAAGCAGGCATTAAGAATCTATCCGTGGCCGTACGCTCCAGCGCCACGGCTGAGGACTTGCCCGACGCAAGTTTTGCTGGCCAACAAGAAACATTTTTGAATATCTCGGGTCAAGCGGCGCTATTAAGCGCCTGCCGACGTTGCTACGCTTCACTTTTCACGGACCGGGCTATCAGCTACAGACAGACCGCACATTTTGATCATATGAAAGTCGCCCTGTCTATCGGCGTGCAACGCATGGTTCGATCGGATGCTGCCGGTTCCGGGGTGATGTTTACTCTCGACACTGAAAGTGGTTTCAACAAGGTTGTGCTCATCAACGCAGCCTGGGGTCTGGGCGAAAATGTCGTTCAGGGCACCGTCAATCCCGACGAATACCAAATCTTCAAACCGCTTCTCACGAATCCCGACCTCGTTCCCATTATTGAGAAGAAACGCGGTGAAAAGGCTATGAAGATGATATATGGAAATGAGCATATGCCAACCCGCAACGTGCCCACCTCAAAGAAAGAGCGGCACAGCTTCGTGCTCGACGATCAGGAAATCCTCAACCTGGCGCGCTGGGCTTGCATTATAGAGAACCACTACAAATGCCCCATGGATATAGAATGGGCCAAGGACGGCATCACTGGAGAGATGTTTATTGTCCAGGCGCGGCCGGAGACTGTGCAAGCACGCCGTGAAGCCAGCGTCTTCAAAACTTACAAGATTGGCAAGAAGGGCCGTGTTCTGGCGACTGGTCTTTCGGTTGGCGAGGCAGCCGTGTCGGGCCGTCTATGCCTCATCGAATCGGCCAAGGACATCGGTAAGTTCGTAGATGGGTCGATCTTGGTTACGGCAACAACTGATCCGGACTGGGTGCCAATCATGAAGCGAGCCGCAGCTATCATCACCGACCATGGCGGGCGAACATCGCACGCAGCCATTGTAAGTCGTGAACTCGGTGTCCCTGCGGTCGTTGGAACTGGAAATGCCACCTATGTTCTGCACACAGGACAAGATGTTACCGTGTCTTGTGCCGAGGGCGATACTGCGTTTGTCTATGAAGGCATCTCGGAAATCACGGCCAAGGAGCTTGACGTGACCGGGCTACCAGCCACCCGAACCAGCGTCATGCTCAATCTCGCCAATCCGGCGGCCGCTTATCGTTGGTGGCGTCTCCCCGCCGACGGGATCGGATTGGCACGAATGGAATTCGTCGTCAGCAGCATTCAAGTTCATCCTATGGCACTGGTCCATTTCGAGAAAGTGAAGGACGAAAACGCCCAGGCAGAAATCACCAGACTGACAGCCGGTTACAAGGACAAGCCCGAGTATTTCGTGGACAAGCTCTCTCGCGGGCTGGCATGCTTGTGCGCCGCCGTCTACCCCAAGCCAGCCATTATCCGTATGAGCGATTTCAAGACGAACGAGTACGCCAATCTCATCGGCGGAAAGGACTTTGAGCCAAAAGAAGAGAACCCGATGCTCGGATTCCGGGGTGCGTCGCGGTACTACTCTCCACGCTATAAAGAAGGCTTCGCGCTCGAATGCAGAGCAATCAAACGGATACGGGAAGAAATGGGCTTTACGAACGCCATCATCATGATCCCCTTCTGCCGGACCATCGGCGAGGCGGCAAAGGTGATGGAGGTGATGGCGGAAAACGGGCTAAAGCGCGGCGAGGGCGGCCTCCAGGTCTATGTGATGTGCGAGATCCCCTCCAACGTGATACTGGCCGAGGAATTCACCCACCAGTTCGACGGCTTCTCCATCGGCTCCAACGACCTGACCCAGCTCACGCTGGGCGTGGACCGCGACTCGGCCGAGCTGGCCGACCTCTTCGACGAGCAGGACGCGGCCGTCAAGTGGATGATCTCGCGCGTCATCACGGTGGCGCGCAAGACCGGCCGCAAGATCGGCCTCTGCGGCCAGGCACCCAGCAACCATCCCGAATTCGCGAGGTTCCTGGTCGACTGTGGCATCAGCTCCGTTTCGGTCAGCCCGGATAGTTTCCTCGAGGTCAAGAAGCACGTCCTTGCGAGCGAAGAGGCACAGGCACAAGCCAAGACGAATGGTTCTTGACTGTTTTTGTACTAGTAGCTACGTATGGAGGAAGGGGGAAAGGAGGGAAAAGATGGAAATTGCAAAAGAGTCGTCTCAAAACAACTCATCACGTGCGAGGTGCGAACGAGTTACATACCTTCAGAATCATAGTGAATTCACGAGGGTGTTTTCATTACAAGCACCACAAATGTACATGGTATTTAGCCTCGATCGTCCATCATCCGATGGTTTATATCCAGGTAGGGACTATCAGGCCAGAGCTAGAGTGTACTGTACTCCGAACCCCGGAAAAGAAAAGAACAAAAAGAAAGTGTTTCAATTTTTGTCTTTCTGTCTCATGCCTTGTGTCTACATTAGGCTGTTTGGTTGGGTACAGGATATAGGATAGTGGATAGTGGATAGTGGATACTGGATACAGGCATATTAAAATGTAGCATTTGTAATGTATCGAAGTCCCCCTCGGCCCCTAAATCCCCCTAAAGGCCCTAAAATCCTTCTCCCTTGCCCTGCGGCCCAGCCCTGTCATATGGCTTGCCTTGCTTGATACCGCGCCCGACCTAAGCTCGCTCGTATCTGACAATTCAATAAGTACTGGGTACAGTAGCGGCAGCAGGAATGCACGAATCCAATTTTCTCGGTCCCCAGGTCTCGGCTCCCTGGCCCCATGGTAGAACATACCGTGAAAGCGGTCGTTGCAGAAGAGTAGTAAGAGGAAATACACATGGGAGAAAGAGGAAAGAAAAAGAAAAGAAAAGAAAAGGCTAGCAACGAGATCCGGAAGAGCCCCTCTTCGCTCTTCGTCCTTTACCCCTTTATCCATTGCCCCCGTTAGCCCGCCCTGTTGGCATTTATCCCCTCGAGCCCTTGACGCCGTTGAGAACTACGGACCCAGCAACTTCTGGGCCGCCTCCCTCACGATGTGCGCGGACTCGGCCAACTTGGCCTTCTCCTCGCTCGACAACGGGAGCGACAAAGCCTTGACAACGCCATGTCTACCCAGGACGACAGGCATGCTCACGCAGCAGTCAAGTTCCGGCTGGAAGTGGCTGACAGGGCGGACGTCGCGCCTGTCGAAAATGATCGAGCCGCAAATGTTGGACACGACGGACGCGATGCCGAATGCGATGGCCCCCTTCGTATCGACGATGCGTTGGCCCTCACGCTTGCATTGTTCAGCGAGCTCCTCTCTGTTGAATTCCTTTTCCGGGAGAGCCTCTCCGATCGGCACCCCGTCGATGGAGGCAAGTGACCAGGCCACAAATTGAGAGTCTCCATGCTCTCCCAGCACATATGCACTTACCGGACCAGTCGCAACCTGTGGTAGAGTTTCAAATTAGCCGCTGGGTTGATGACAAGGAAGGGTCAGATCGGTGCTGATATGTACCTACCTCGAACCTATCCGCCAGCATTCTCCGAAGTCGAACCGTATCCAAGAAGGTGCCTGAGCCTATGACTTGACGACTTGGAAGACCGGAGAGTTTTTGAGCCAGGGTTGTGAGCACATCGACGGGGTGCGACACGACAATCATGATGAGGTCTGAGCGGAACGGTCTCATCGAGTCGATGATCCTCCGGAGAATGGCAGTGTTCCTCTCGACTAGCTGAAGTGAGGTTTCACCTGGTTTGCATGCGTCAGCCACTCTTGTTCGCAGAACATGAACCACAAGAGAAGACCGGTATGGCGTCCATGAGCAAGGTCTCTTCTCTTACCTCTTGTCCTTTTCGACCCGGCAGTAATGACTACAATGTCACACTCGCCGGCTTCCTTGTACGTTCCGGCCCGGACACGGGTACTGCTGTCTTCGGCGTAGCAGGCGTCCGAGAGGTCGCGTACCTGGCCGTCTCTCTTCTCCGGCTTGATGTCGACCAGCAGGATCTCTTTATAAAGGGAGCCTTGCAGGAGAGCGTAGGCCGAGGCGGCACCTACCTCTCCGGCTCCAATAATGGCAATCCGATCAGTCATCTTGTAGTTCTTGTGTGTTTGGTTTTTTGACAATATGTCAGTGCCATCATCTCCTCTTTTGAGGCGGCCGCCCTAGGTGGTTTTATAGATCCTCGCGAAAATACTGGATAAAAAAAGGTGGTGTGTTGGTGGCGTGAGTTTGGGACATTGGCGGGTCTTGGGACGTCCGAGGCATCATCACATGTTGGACACGTGCCGATGAATTGTGCGCCTTGTACAGTTTTCATGGCAAGTCGGTGTGGCTTATTCTCTCCGCGACGTGCGTCTTGGTTTGCTCGAGATAAGAAAGAGGTTGGAGGTTGGAGGTGAGAGGTGTTACGTGTGGGCTGAGTTGTGTATCTGGGCTTGGTCTGGGTACGCATCTAACGTGTAATTGCGGAAGGGAGCAACTTCGGTAGAAGCGAAGCCATCTCCTTGGCAGCGCAGCCTTGTCACACAGCCTTGTCACACAGCCTTGTCACACAGCCTTGTCACACAGCCTTGTCACACAGCCTTGTCACACAGCCTTGTCACTCTGCAGGGTGTGGCCACTCCTTGCGCATAACTCTATGACTCTGGGAGGCGTCTTCGAGTGAGCCATATTCCTGCAAGTACAAGTACTATTGAATAGTACCTGCCGCATCCTAGCCAATACTTGGAGATTATATAGGATACGGGTGCCAGGTCAAGGTCGGCTCCCACCATGTCGCCATGGCAAGTCAACAGCCAAGCAGGCTACGTATCTCATGGCTGGAAAAGGGGCACACGAGGCTGCGCAGCCAGGAGGATCAAAAATAGTAAGTGGCCATTTCTCCGGCCAAGACCCAGGCTCTATAGGAACGTGGTTCAGGAGGAAGTGATCCCGCCTTTTCTCGAATATATAAAAATCCCCCTGCCTCCGGAGTCGGGCTCTTTAATTTCTGTGCTCACTTCGATGCGCCTTATGCTCGACATGTGGGTTTTAAGTTAAGTCTAGCCAGCTGCTTCTGGCTGCAACACTCGGGAATATGATTAAGAGGTCGGTTTTACCCCAGCAAAACATGACATGTTTCAAGTCCATCGGAAAGCCATTCAAGACCATTTGCGAACTACCCACAAAGATAGGTTTCAGGACAAACATGCCCGACGTAGAGGCCAATACAGCCAGCAGTGCAAGCCTCGAAATTGGATTCGACCAACAGAATCCTCCGACACCACTACAACTCGAAACGCAACCAGTCCAACCTTCAAGGCTGTAAGACTGCATGTCCAGTTCCCTCATCTCATCGGAACAGTACTGACCATCTAGTCAACATGTCCTGATAGTGGTCGCCTCGACGACCCTCATTTTTACAGTATGCGGCATCGGCTTTTCCTTTGGTGTGTACCAAGATGTCTACCAGGGCCTGTCCCACGACCCTTCATCGCCATTCTACGGCTCATCACCAGCCATGATTGACCTCATCGGCACACTGGCCATCTCGCTCATGACGATCGGAGCTCCCTACGCGACGGCGTGGACTAAACGATTTCCTCCCCAATTTGTCATCTGGGCTGGTGGAATCGTGTTTTCTCTCGCCTTGCTGTTGGCTTCTTTCGGACAACGAATGTGGGAAATCCAGCTCACTCAAGGATTGCTCTGCGGGATGGGGACTTGCCTATCATACATGCCCGCGGTCACGGTGGCGCCGACTTGGTTTACGGCTCGTCGCGGTCTGGCCATGGGTATTGTTCTTTCGGGCACTGGCATCGGAGGCGTCGTCTGGGCTCCTGTGCTGCATGGATTGATCACCAAAACCGGGTTTCGCAACTCTTTGCGCATATCAGCAGCCGTTGCCTTTGTGCTCATCAGTGTCACTGCTCCCGTCATGCGTTGGGAAGCTACTGCATCACGCCGGTTCAGAGCAGAAGCGAGGCATTCATCCGGCATCGTTGGCCTGCTCAAAATCCCCTTGGTGGACTATCGCATCGCTCGATCCCACACCTTCTTTGCGCAAGCACTGGGGGCCGCACTGCAATCCGCGGCATATTACACCCCCGTGTTTTTCTTCGCCTCGTATGCAAGAACCTTGGGCTACTCGTCAGCCACGGCTTCGAACTTTATCGCCCTATCCAACGCTGCCAACGCTATTGGGAAGATCATCATCGGCCACGCAGCGGACAGAATCGGTCGGCTCAATGCTTTGTTCCTGACTACGGCTATTTCAGCGGTCGCTGCGCTTGGATTGTGGATTCCCTCGTCCCTTTCCTCGACCCAGGCCGACAGCCGCCACCTGTTTATCGCCTTCACGGTGCTCTATGGCGTTTTCGCGTCCGCATACGTGTCACTCTTCCCGACCTCTCTTGTCGAGCTCTTTGGAATTCAAAACTTTGCCTCGGTGAACGGGTTTCTGTACATGGTGCGAGGATTGGCCACCATGGTCGGGACACCCGTCGCCGGCGCACTCATCCGAAGTGCTACTCATGAAAAAGGCCCTGCCCCGTACCAGAACACTGCCATTTTGGTGGGCGTGCTGCTGGCAAGTGCCACCCTGGCCGTGTTTTGGGTCAGATTGGAGGCTGCGGTCAGCCATTTGAGGCAAGGAGGCGCAAAATGGAAGCTTTGATGTGAGCCCGCGTTTTGGGCCAGAGGGCTGAAGTCGGTCGCCGATGTTCGGACTGCCCCCGCCGCTTACGGAGCCGAGTTTGGTCTGGTGGATGCTTGGCATCAGTCCCGTGTCTCAGCCCCGCAAACTCGAAACCCGCAAGTCGCAGCCCGCAAATCCCCGCATTCGCCAAGGCACGAGCTCGATGCAAACCAGGCGCGACACCAAGCTGCCAGTGAAACATGTTCTAGAGTCTTTCGTGTACACACTTCTCCAACATCTGAAGCCACGACTTTCGGAATACTGTCCAGCCAGTCCAGATGACGGTGTATCGCTGCCAGATCTGCTCCAAGCCATTCAAACGGAACGAGCACCTGAGCCGGCACAAGAGAAGCCACTATGCCGATCGACCGTTTACATGCCCGCTCTGTTTACGCTCATTCACGAGACAGTAAGAGACAATAACTCTTCTGGCCACCCAGGCCGAACTTGCAGAGACTGACCAGATCTATATCGCGCGCCTGAAGGGATACGCTCCTGAGACACATTTCATCCCACGCGAAGCCGCCCCAGCCAACGCGAAGCACCCCCTCGAAAAGACCATGCGAGCAGCACCGCTCTGAGTTCGGCCGCCCTGGTCAGAGTGGCCACCGCGAACCTATTTCTCTCCCCGATATCAGCCAGATGATCCACGACGCTACGCCGCTTCCCCTGCAATGCGACTCCGGCCAGTACCAGTCTCCTCCTTACGATGCCAGCTTTCTCGCCTCGCAGCACGTGGATCTTCCTGCGTTTGCCGACTATAGATCCACGTCCAGGTCCGACATCGACGTCCCTCCCGAGCTCTCTGAGAGCGACAGCACTGTCGTGTTAGGGACACCGGGCGCGATGCTATCGGGCGGCGCTCGCGTCGTGGAGCTCGACGGCCTCGACCCCGCCGACGTCGCACGCCTCTTTAGTAGCCCTCCTCCAGCCCAGACCAGCAACCTCACAGCGCAAAACACTGCCTCGCCGATCCTGGACCGCTACCACTCTCAAGGATCGGACTCACAGCGCGAACCCTTTGAACTCCCCCCCGAGCTGTTTAATAGCGCAGTCGATGTCCACGCCAGGAAATGGCTCAGCGACTTTTGTGACGGGAGCTGATGTCATTTTCCTATGGGTACTTTTAGTCCTGTGAAGGCGTGGTGAAACAGACGATGGCTACATGGATTGATTAATTTCAAAGAGCACCTGGGACCCAAGATTCGCTATAGTTTACATCCATAAAAACTTCACCCATCTGGAGCGGCTTCCCGATCCGTTCAACGGAGAAAGAAAGAGAGGTGCGGCGCTGGGGTAATCACTAGTTGAATTCAACTGCGAGGCCAGCCTGCCAGCCTGCGCCGGAAGTCTAGATCTCAATCGCGGCACCAATCATGGACTCGATCCTCGATTTCAGCCTGAACACCGCGGGGCGGGTCAGGGCAATGGGCCGACCGACGTCCTCGTGTGGCAAGCTGGGAAAACTCTGGACCTTCCAGGCCGAGGCGGCCGTGTCGGCGTACAGGCACGGGTACGCCTCGAAGAAGCAGTCATCCAACTTCTGCGTGTCGAACTCGTCGTATTCGAGGTCGTAGGCGCGCAGGAGGGCGCGCACGCCCGGCGAGCGCAGCACGGGCTTCTTCTCCAGACCTGGCTCCGCGAGCGGGGGAGTGCCGTTGGCTTTCTCCAGGCACACGAGATCCCATACGCGGAAGGAGGTCTTGTCGGTCACGTTGTCCTCGTCGTCGGCGGTGGCGGCGGCGGCTACTTGTTTCTGCTTCGAGGAGCTGGGTTCGGAACCGCCGTCGTGTTCTTTAGAGATGGAAGACGAGGAGAAGGATTGTTTCCTCCGGCCCAGCCGTTTCCGGTGCGCGACGACGTTGTGGATGGCCATCCGGAACAGCGCGTCCACGTCGATCTGGTCCTGGTACATGATCGCCATGTCCCGGACGTCGGGCCACGGCATCCAATCGATCATAGGCGAATGTGGTATGGACAGCTGTATCCGCGTCGGACGGTATGCGGGCGGGAGTTGATTGTATGAGCGCTGGCAGGGGAAATTGCGCCAGAGTTCTGCGTACAGGAAGCCTCGAAAGGTAGCCTGTTTATGGCAGAAAGGGGAAGAACAGGGAACTGTCAGCTTACACACCTTGACCGTTTTAAAAAAAATTTTACAAAAAAATTTTGGTGAAGAGGAAGTAAAGCCAGCCGTGTATGCTTATTGTCTTTTGGGACAGAACATACGTACCGTCAAATTCCAGTACCCTTCAGCTGCAGGCCACGCCTCGCGAACCACCCAAAGCACTCCCTCGGCAGTAATGGCGCGCTGCAAATCATTGCTGTTGCATCCCTCCGTTAGCCGTGCTTGTCCAGAAACCAACCACGAAATGGGGGAAATTTGCTTCTTTTTCTAACGTGTGGCGGCCTCACCTCAATATAGATCGTTCCGCGGCACACTGGAGCAGCTGCCTCAGCGCCGTGATGTACGTGTCGAACCGCGACTTGGGCAGACTGGTGTTGAAGCCCATGACCAGGTCCAGGCCCGACAGCGGGTGCGCGAAGGTGTGGTCGGACAGGGTGGCTCGGCTGAGGCGGGCGAGAGTCCGCGCGATGGCCTGCTGCGCCTCTTTCTGGGACTTGTCGCACGCTTCGTGGTGGGCTCTGACTGGTGTGCGGCCAGCGCGGTGGTTATGGTTGTTGTTGGTGTTTGAGCTTTCGAGACTGCGCGAGCGGTCGTTTCTAGATATTTCCAGGATAGGCGGGTATGTGGGTGCGAAAACACTAGTTGTAGTTGCTCTCCTTGCTGTCTTTGTTTGGGTCGTCGTTGTAGGTGTTGTGACTGAAAAGGCATCATCACTCATCATGTCAATGTCCCCGTCCTGGTCCACTGCTGAAGAATCATCCCGAGCTGGGCTAAAGCTACATGGCCGCCCCAGGTAGTTGCTCTCGGACGACAATCTAGGGCGCTTGAACGCAGGCGGAGTCATAACCGAAGCCGTGACTGTAGTTCCCCGGCCTGGTGACTTATTTTGATGCCGAATAGGCATGCGCTGTCCATGACCAGCAGGTGAAGATCTGTCCGGATGTCGAAATGGTGCAATTTCCAGCTCCAAAAGAGGCCCCTTTGGCTCGGCAGAGACTTCTCCCGGACCATCCTCACTTTCCAGGTAGTACAGACTCTGAGAGTCGTCCAGAACCCATTGTCCAGGCATAGTAACTAGTCTCGAGTGATCGGAGCTGTCAGATGCAGATGGTGCGGTAATTCAAAGGCTGCGCGCTTCGGCGGGGTGTTGCTTGACAGTGTTTATCGAATGCATACTGCGGAGCCCATGCGAGTTTGATCGTGCATGACACTGTGTTCTTGGCCTAGGGGACCATCCAGCATTGGTCAAATCAATATCTAAATTGAATATGTATATCTAACCTTGGAAGAAGTGGCGGGAAAGGAAGAATGCAGGATTTCTCGCCAAGGCTGCGGGCTTTTGGTGCGGGGTCTAGTGAGCAGGAATTGGGCAGGAAGTGGGGTCCCCGGACATTCTACTCCGTCATGATTTGCTGCGCGTTCCACTGTCCCGGTGTCTTCCCCGCATTGCTTACTGGAGGGATGGTGATTGGTCATATCCTTAATGTCTCGTTCAATAGAAATATACCAAGTATATATATATATGCTCGGTTCACATATTATCCAACATATTCCTTGTGCGGATTGCATGCGAATTGCGGATGGGTTGCCCAGCGGCTGCAAAGACGAGCGGGAGTGTGGCCAGCAACACGTGCAGAGATCTGTTCAGGAACGCCTCTTGTGGCGAGCCGAACAATTCAGACTCACTCCGAGCTCATCTTGGTGGAAGCATCAGAAAAGTAGAGTCCAGGGACGACCTAAAGGATTGAATACGGCGAGCTTTCCATGTTCCACGAGAAGCTACCAGCATTTCAACCTAAGAGCCAGGCATCCGTCGACGAAAAGACTTGAGCCACCCTTCAGAAACCTTCCGTAAAGATACTCCTTGTCCAGCACTCATTTTCCCTTTCCTAATACTTTGCTCCATTAGTTGCAGAGCATTACTGTGTGGCCCAAGGTCCCAGAGTACGATGGCCAGTACGTGCTGCGAGGACAGTCAATTTAGATGTTCTTCGGTAAGAGAACGCCAATGAATCTCAACCACCCGCTTTAACAACGCCGATGCCTAGTCAACCTGTCCTTTTGCATGATATGCTTGAGCTAGATCGTTTGTTGAGACTAGTCGATCTAGATTTCCCTACACCGGCGCGCTTCTCAATATCGACTACCTGTGTCAGCAGCCCCACGCCCTCCCTGGCTTTGTTAGCTCGTATCAAGCTCAACCCCTTTGGTTCGTACACATTCACCCATTGCTCAGTGTGAATACCCTCTCCGGCTGAGAAGGGACATGATTGTCGTGCCTGAAATCGCCCAATCTTCGCCCACACTCCGATAGCACTGCCCCAATTGCTGCTGGCGGAGCATGGCTAAACATTGAGTGCATTTCCCAGAAGCTGACCATGTTTACTGACATAGTTAGTCGAGAACCAAGAATCGGCATGTACAGAGAGATGCTATAAAACATATACTCACAGAGCCCGGACTCGATGAGCGAGCTGCAAACAGAGCTCGCTCTTTCCCTGACCACCAATATGGGAATTCTTCGCAACGCCTCGAACGATGACATCCAACTTGTGGAGAATGTCATTTCACTCAGTAAATAACGTGTTGGCAGAGCGAGTAGCCGTCCAGTGCACTGGATTCGCGATTGAATTGGGTGCTGAGTTACAACATCACTCACCTGAACGTCCACCTGGGTGCCCATGTTCGATTGCATCTCGATCTGGCCTTTCTACACTCCTCCACTCTTCCAGCACTCTTTGGTGCATGCGACTTTCTGCGTTTGTGGCTGTCCGCGTATTGCACACGTCCTTGATCACGATGGTAGGTAGGGACATAATCCCATGTACCTGCACCCGCCATCTCGAACCCAATTACGTTTTCCTCGGCAGCAATCCGATCTCAGTGCAGAACAATCTTTGTGACCCCGTTGCCGCACGCTATTCGGCTGACGTGTATGGATGGTTTTCTCGCACCTTGGATCTCTTTCGCTGTCATCTTCCGTCCGCTAGGAGGTATACCTAATGGCCGTTGAACGCGAATGCGGCTTTCAATAGTGTTGCTGTCACAGGCGAGAGCCGTGCGGGAGCTCTGGAGGGTTCCCTCGCAAACTTCACCGAGCGGTGCGTCACCCTGGCCGCAAATATCACAGGGCTCTTTTTGGGGTTTATGCTTACAGTCAGCGGGATAAAGTTTATTATTCTCTGGTCCAGGATAGACGGAGCTCGTAAATGCATCGGTTGCACAGATCTGAGTGTGGAAGATACCAATCTTATCCCTGATTCTCTCTTGAGCGACATATCCAGAAGCCTTCCCTAAATACGCTCGAATTTGTAGATTCGCTGGCCCAAGATCATCTTGGACTTCTTTCCTTCTGATGAGTTTGTCTGAATATTGCTGGCCACACTCAAGCTGAAGTACCGACATATTAAGAATGACGTCGCCTAACAAGGTCAGGACCCCGTCAGGAGTCATTTGGAACACCACCACAGATGCCCAGAATGATGGCGAGTCTGATTCTTTCAAAAGCTAGTGCGAGGATGGGCGGCCACTGCAGCGGAGCTAGCCATCCCAATACCCGACATATAAGCCAAGTCCATATGCTGACCACCTAGACGGCCTGTGGTATATACATTCGAATCTCCAGGCGCTTTGCCATACAAAAGCCATCGGTCTCATACTCTTATTCCAACAGCATTTCCACTGCATTGCGCTCAATGGTCAATGCACAGATAATGGCGATCTCGAAGTTGTCACTGCTACGGAGTCGAGGGCGAGGGCGATCAGAATTCACGGAGCCGGTCCAGTCTGGTCAGGAACATTAGACATCGATGGCAAGATCAACGGACGATGCCAGCGGTCCAGCGCAGGCAACCTTGTCGCTCAGCCTGGTGGCCTCATGACAGATGATTTGTGCTGTCCATCCTCCACCAATGATTGCCAAGGCAGCCTTGTCTTCACTAGGCCACCAAACTAGAGCAAATACGGACTAGTGTCTGTCCTCCTTGATAACACCATGGAAACAATATCAGAGAATGCTTTGTACCCAGTAAAAGCACTCCGTACACTTCACGATAATTTTTGCTGTTGCGATATGGATCTAGTCCATCGAAAATGCGGATGCGAGCAAGTAACCCTCGCTACGCCGCCAAAGAACTCAGCAAGAAGGAATTGGAAAAGATGGAATCGATTCCTGCCGCACGCTGTACGGTATCCGACCATACATAGCCTCAAGGACTCACCCCACGCAAGGCTCGCCTCAAGGAAAAGAGAAAGAAGTCATGCACTCATCAGACCGAAGCAATGCATCCCGTCCCGACGCTTATCCTGGCCCCGAACCCCCCGGATTTGCTGGTCAAGCCTTGCCCCTGATCCGGTGCCGCAACCGAGAATCTGCTACCCCACAAGTTGCTGCGTTGGATTTCTAGATCCACATACTCGCATTGGACGGATGATTGCTGCTGAATGCACCACTGTTGTCGAATGTATATATGCATGAGAGCTTCCTGATGCCTACAATCCTGAATCTTCTTACAGGCGATATTCTCTCAACCCACAACCCCTTGATGGTTACGGAGATTTCTTCCTATCATTGTCTGGTTTGCCTTTGAACTCGAGCGAAACTCCACCGATATGGCACAGGGACCCAGAGCGCCAGATGCACATTCCGAGGTTGATGTCCTCATCATCGGTGCAGGCCCAGCAGGCCTTATGATGGCCAACTGGATGAGTCGGTGTGGCATCCGAACGAGGATAGTGGACAAAAGAGGGACCAAAGTGAGTTGAGTATTCGTTTATATTGTGTCGAACCATACCCACGTCGGCCCACTCGAGCATACCCTTCTGCTGTTTTCAAGGAAACTAACAACAGTGAGCTAGATTTTCAACGGTCAGGCTGACGGACTTCAATGTCGGACACTTGAGATCTTTGACAGCTTCGGTTTTGGACACCGTGCCTGGATCGAGGCAAATCACATGCTCGAAATCTGCCTCTGGAATCCAGATCCCCAGACAGGAATTATTCACCGCTCTGACCGCATTCCCGACACCATTCCAAACATCTCGCGCTTCCAGCAGGTCGTCCTACACCAAGGGCGCATCGAACGATTTTTCCTCGACTCCATTTCCGAGCACAGCAAGAGAACACTGAAAGATGTGCCTGGCTGGCAGGGTGGCATCAAAGTCGAACACGGTGTCATGCCAGTGTCCTTTCAATTTGATGAAAGCCTTGCTGACGACCAGGACGCATATCCCATAACCGTGACACTTCGACATCTGAGCGAACAAGAAGCAACACCAAAGCAGTCTGCGACCAGTGTAAATGGATCCGGAATACAGGATGGGTTATTCCGCAGCAATCTGTCGCCGGACGACACTCAAGAACTGCTGGAGAAATCGAAGAAGCTGCGGGAGAAAGAGGGCGGAGAGGAGACGGTAAGAGCGAAGTACATGCTCGGTGCAGATGGCGCCCACAGCTGGGTCAGAAACCAACTCGGCTTCAAACTCCAAGGCGAAAGCACCGACTACATCTGGGGAGTGCTCGACATCATCCCCATCACCGACTTCCCTGACATCCGAATGAGGTGTGCTATTCACAGCGAAAGTAGTGGGAGTGTGATGGTGATCCCCCGAGAGAACAAACTGGTAAGACTATACATCCAACTGACAACAACCGAGAACGAAGAAGGCGGCAAGAGGGCAGATCGGAGCAAAATCAACCCAGAAACGATTCTGGCCAGCGCACAGAGGATCATGAGACCTTACAAGATTGAATATCGCTATTGTGACTGGTGGACAGCCTATCAAATTGGACAGCGTGTCGGTGACAGTTTCAGTCTGAAAGAGAGGATTTTCTTGGCCGGCGACGCCGTTCATACTCACAGTCCAAAGGTACACACTCTCCGATTTCGTCAGTTCCGAGAGTCCCAAACTAACACTACCGACAGGCCGGCCAAGGTATGAACGTCAGCATGCAAGATGGTAAGTATATCTCTATTCCTCCACAACGGGGTGGTTGGGTAACTGATGGTTCCAGCTTTCAACCTCGGGTGGAAAGTCGCGAGTGTCGTCAAGGGCACCAGCAACAGGTCAATCCTCAAAACATACCAGTCCGAACGACGAAGGATAGCGCAAGACCTGATTGATTTCGACCACCGCTTCTCGCGGCTCTTCTCCGGACGACCGGCCAAGGACGTACTCGACGAAGAAGGCATCTCGATGGAGGAGTTCAAGAACGCGTTTGAAAAGGGGAACCTGTTCGCCAGCGGCGTGGCCGTCGACTACGGGGCGAGCGTGGTGGTGGCCAAGTCCGGCGACAGCGCCAAGCAAGGCGATGGCACCGAAGTGCTGGGCGAAGAGAAGCTGCGCGTCATCAGCAGCCAGGCCTTCGCGTCCGAGGTCAAGGTGGGCATGCGGATGCCGTCGTTCAAAGTCCTCAACCAGGCCGACGCGCGGCCCTGGCATTTCCAGGAACTCCTCAGGAGCAACGGCACGTGGCGCCTGGTGGTGTTTGCAGGCGACATCACGGAGCCTGCCCAAAAGGCCCGTCTGGACGGGCTGGGCGAGAAGCTGGGCGCCGCGACGTCGTTCCTGAAGCGCTTCACACCGCCAGGGGCGAGGTACGACTCGGTCATCGAGGTCCTCTCGGTACACTCGGCCAAGAGGCAGGAGGTCACCATCTTCGACTTCCCTGAGGTGTTTAGGCCGTGGGACGACGGCGACGGCTGGGACTACTGGAAGATCCACGTCGACGACGTCAGCTACCACGAGGGATACGGCGACGCGTACAGAAACTATGGCATCGACCGCGCCCGCGGCTGCGCCCTCATCCTCCGCCCGGACCAGTACGTCAGCTGGGTCGGCGACATGGACGACTACGAGAGCATGGACAAGTTCTTCAGCGGCTTCATGGTCGAGCAGCCTCAGCAGGCTTCGGAGGCCGTGGGCGCCGAGGGCATTAGCCGTGTCTCGTTGAAGGACACAGACGACACGGCCATTCCAGCTACGAACGGCGCAGTCGTCGGTGTGGCAGCAGCATGAAACTTCGCGATATCGTTTGTTTTCAAAAATGTGAATCGAATTGGACTCTAGACATAGGTGCGTAGCCAGGAGATTATATCGAGATGAATACCATAGCGAACAAAAGGTCTTGAACCTTATTATCTTCAAGAAAATAGTTCTCCCTTGCAAAAACGGGCTTCTTCACAGCCCAGATATTTGTCCTACACATGCAAAGTCCCCAATGACATTCGTGTTCTCTCATACCAAACCTTTCTGTTCTCGCGCCTTCTTTGAGCGGATATAAACAGGGAATGTGAGCTAATTAGCGGTGCTCCACGGCCGGAACTGTAATCCTGTCATGTCCTCGAGCCTGCCATCATCCGGGCACCACAACAGCTTTGTGAGCATCATCCTCTCTTCTCCCACGCCCTAACAAGAGCCCGCCCTCGGATCTCTCCTTCCTGCGCCTCAAACCTCTGAATGGCCCTCCTAATCAGGTCTTGTTCAAACCGCACCTCCGCAAGCTGGCCCTTAGCCCAGTTCCTATGCCGCGGACATCGATTCTTGATACAGACGCCGCCTTTTTTAGGCATGTTATCACTTTCATCTTCTTCCTCGCCCGCGGCTGGACTCTGAGAGTGCCGAGCGACGCAGTTGGGTATTTTCGTGTTTCCCTCATCATTGGGCCCGTCCTCTGGTGGTCCTATCCTCGCATTTGCTCCAGCGTCGACGATCGCCCGCCCGCCGTTGTGATTGTACCATGTCACAAATTCATCATCCGACCACGCCATCCTGGGGTCAAATCCACAGAGATCTTTCATCTTCGGATGTGTCTTGCGGACTTCCTCAACTATAGTCGACGATCGAGCCTTGACTAGCTCCGAGAACTTCTCTCGCGCGACAAACATGTCATACCTCGCATTTAATCGTTGCTTCTCCTCTATGATATTGGCCATTGTCGTTGTTTCCAGGTCATCATATTCTAAATCCGGTGGTGCTGTTGTTTTTGAGTCTGCATCGGTCATTTCAACGTCGCGGGGCGGAGTGTCGGGTTTCCTGCCTAGTGCCTTTAGCTGCTCGATATCTTTGCATTTCTCGATCAGGGCTTTGATTTCGCCAGCTCGCAATGCGGAGCCTCGATTGGGAAGCATTTCGTCGTCGAGACTACTGTCGGTCTCATATTCGGTTCTTTCTTCGTCGCTGTATGCTGGTGTGGCGAGTCGGCTGTCGGGATCCACGCCGTTGGCAGGGTTAAGGAGCTGCTTTGAAGGCTTCTCTTTCCGCTTCTGCTTCTTGCGGTGCTTTTTGGATATGGGTCCCTCAATAATATACTGACCATCCTTACTAGTTTGAGCCAGAGGGTCGCCTCTCTGCACTAGTTCCACAAAAAACATTCGGCCACACGCATCGGAGCAGTACTTGCTAGGAGGGACTTGGGTAACACGGGCGGGTTTCCTGCAATCTTTTCGCCGGCACATTCGTTTCCACGTGGTCTGCAAGCCAGGCTTCGCACAAGATGGACAAATGTACTTATCGATCAACTCGCCGTCTCGTTCCTTAATGTTGACACAATTCCCATGGAACCACTCGTCGCAGCCGCCGTCACAAGCGATCATCCATGTATGATTATCTCCTTTCCGGCAGATACAGAATACCTCTCCGTCATCGTTGGAGCTCGATGACGTATCTGCATCCGAAGGTGAAGGAGAACCAATCTCTCGCGATGCGGCGCGAGACGAAGCCGGTGTGGGTGATGACTGTACACTAGCAGCCGAAGTTTGCGTTTTCAGTTTCGAGGGTCCCAGCTTTAGCTGGTTCGTGCTCGGAGTAGCGCTGGGAGAGCGGAAATTCGATCGCGCCGCAGGTGGACTTTGTTCGGACTCGCTCAGTCTGGCCTTTTTGTTCGAGATGCTCTTCACCTTGGCCGTGCCTTTCTTCCTGGCAGCCGCTGAGAGAAGTTTTGTGGAGTCATCAGGTGCCGGTCGCTTCTTGCCCGCTATGGGTGCTGGAGTAGCAAATGGTTCTGTAGATGATGCCCTTGACCCTACGATAGATGGCACCCTCCTCAAAGGTACCACCACCGGTGGTGGCGATGAATCATCACGAGGCTGCGCAGAGAGCGAAATATCTTGATGGTTTTTTTCTTTCTCTTCATCCTCACCAACGTCACCCGAGTGCAGCTCCTCGTCCTGCGCTTCCTCCTCTTCTTGGCGTTTTGCTGCCCTCTGGGCCTTTTCCGCTTTACTTAGCTTAGGGGGCGGGGGAGGAGGACCTCTGGCGATGATATCTTCAAGAGGTTCCAGAGGCTCTCCCGTTAAAGGTTCGACAATGATTTCCAAACTGCGCACCGGTTCCCAGGTTTTCGTGTTGTGAATTTTTGAAATATGATCTCTGACAGAGCGGCGTCGGGTAAACAGTTTGTTGCACAAGTAACACAAATACCTGCGGTCCGTGTGCTGGCCTTCATTCTTGGACGAGTGGACTGACGAGCGAGGCGGAGCGTCTGGATCGGGCTTCCGCGACTTGCCAGGGTGTTTGCGTTGTTTCGGAGCCTTCTCTGGCGTGGCCTGCGCCGGAGCATCTTCACCGTAGAGAACTTCTTCTACCATATCCATGATGGAAGAGCCGGTCGCAAGATTTGGCTCTTCATCCAAAGGAGGATAGCCCATGCCCATCGCCTCCTGCTTGATGTGGTCTTCATCGTTTGCTCCATCGAGACCGATCAAATCGTCGCTATCCTTGAAGAGGGAGACATCATCCATCGTCGTGTCATCGTTTTGCGCGCTCGAGGGAATGGCATCTTGAGGGGGGGGCGCATCATCGTTTGGCTGAAAAAGTTCGGGCGCGAAGTAGGCCGAAGGAGGTTCTGGCTCTGGCTCTGCAGTGTCCATCCTGGAGCAGAAATTAACCCAAGAACCCTAGAAGCAGTCGGAGTTGATCGATCTCACCCATGCGACTCAGTGTTGGAATGTGCAACATCTGAAGAAATAGAATCAATCGCGGGTTCGGGGTTGAGAAGTTCGGAGAGCGTGAAAGGCATGGAGACTGATGGCTGATGGGTCAGGTTGGCCAGGGTGAGAGAACAAGCGTCGCTTTGCCCGGTTGGGCGTCAGTGGGGTGGCTGTTAGGCTCCTCTCAGAGCCAACTCAACCGGTTGCTGGTGGGAAGAAATTGTCACGGTATCAAAGATGTCCATAGAGCATTGTTCTGGAATTGTCCAACAAAAGTTGAAATGTTTAACTACAGAGTCCGCGAGGTGACGCGGGAAGGGCTGAGTTGGTGGAATGGGCTGGCAATACGAGGTATTGGGTAGTAGTTGACTTGTTACTGGGTACGCGCAGTCGCAGGGACGCAGGGACGCGATAGAAACACCACGTGACTTGTTACAACTCAATGCCGCACCCGGCAAACTGTGTCTTATTCTCCCTTTTGGTTCACTTCTCAAGTAACACATGTTCCATCATGCTACCTTGGTGAGCACCACTGCGTATGTCGGAGTGCGACAGTGAAAGTTTGATGCTTTTGCGAAATGCCATACTACTTCTACACTCCAGAGGAAATTCTGCCCAATCACCACAGGCTCAGCTCACTCGACCACTTACCTAGGCCTTTCTCTTCTCTCTTCTGTTTGTCAGCGAGGACCCTGTCTTGCCCTGTCTAATTGCTGAGAGTGACAGGAGCCCGACAGACCTGGTAGTCTCGACAATGGCGCCAGCAGCCTGACTCAAGTCGCACTATCGTGAGGAGCCTTTTTGGACACCCAAGGTGATCTAAACTTCGGGGTAAACTGGCGAAAAGGTGGGGATGCATGTGGAGGACAGCGTGAGAAAGTCTGGGGAAGCTTCATTGAAGCGACGATGCCGGAATCGAAGCCAATAAATACCCCATGCGGAGCTGGAGATTGAAGCTTCGTGTGAGGCGTCTGTACATTTGAGAAACATATGAACTATTTGATTGACTGGCGCGTGCTAACTGCCATTGATGCAAGAACGGCACTAAGCCACATCAACAACGACTATTCACGGATCACAGTGATCTCTTGAAGGATTTACTAGATAATGGAGGACGCCATTGCGTTTATCGGCAGGTCTTGCTCTCGCGCTTCAAAGGCATTCCGTGCTGAGGAGAATACACACAGGCCTAGGGACCATGGGATACGCTGTGGCGAGCCACATCCGCAAGAAAATCTCGCGCCAAACCGCCCTATATGTGAATGACATCAATCGATCAGCTTGCGAGCGCTTCATCCAGGAATTCGGTAACTGGGGACCAATCCATATAGTCGATTCAGCCAAGGCGGCAGCAGCCCTGTCGAAGGTCGTCATCTCCATCGTACCGGGTGCAGCAGACGTCCGTGAAGTATATCTGAACCCTGACAGGGGAGTAATTGCCGCCTCCAAGGACCCAGAACGTTTAATGTTGGATTGCAGCACAATTGACTGTCAAACTTCCAGGAATGTCGGCGAGATACTGGGGAAAGCTGGATCAGGCACTTTTTGCGACGCACCAGTCTCCGTACATATCCCGAAAAGAGAGCTCTCGCCGCTGGACAGATGCTGATGGTGCTCAGGGCGGCTTACCGGGAGCTGAAGCCGGAACGCTCTCGTTCCTGATAGGACACTCTCCACCTTCAGAGCACGACCTGATAGCAACAAGAATAGAAACGGTCATCACGATGATGGGCTCTCGTGAGCGATTTTTCTGGTGCAACACCGCGGGCTCTGGCCTCGCCGCCAAAATAGCAAACAACTATCTCTCGTGCACCATCCTTCTGGCCACTGCCGAAGCTATGGCCATCGGTATCCGGCAGGGCATCAACCCGACCCTTTTGTACCAGTGTATAAAACACTCGACAGGTCAATCATGGATGTGCGATAACGTCCAACCGGTGCCCGGGATTTTGAGCCATGTGCCGAGTTCAAATGGCTATACGCCGGGTTTCAAGACACAGATGATGATCAAAGACATCACTCTTGGAGTCGAAGCGGGAAGGGAGGTCGGAATTGAGCCACGGATGGCAGAGACGGCGTTGAAGGTCTTTGAGAAGGCGGCTGTAGATCCAAGATGTGTGGATAGGGATGGCTCGAGCGTATACTTGTACTTGACAGGAGACAAGGAGGATGATTACCAGACCAAAGACGGTGAGGGCGCACCAAGTTCATAATGCTCAGCATCTGGGGCTGTGCTATATCAAGGATCATTCCTTTTTCTCTTGGGAGTCGACAAGAGACAGCCTTGCCAGTACAAGTACAGTAGGTCATTTGATGCACAAGTGGAGAAGAGCTGTGTCCGTCGTTGCCCAGTATGGCAGTCACTTCTCTCCACATGTTCCCCCACCCTGATCTTCCTTGGACTATTAATCCGTACTTCTTGGCTTGAGAGATAAATGTTGGCTGATTGAAAGTGAACTGTGCACCCTGACTGGTAGCGTGGTGACCGTCTCCTTGTTCTTGCAGCATGAACAATGCCAAAGAGTAGCCAATTCATCATCCATGCCTCAGGCGAGACAACGCACTACATCGCCGACGACTTCACCGATCCCTGGCGAGCAGACCGGCAAACGATCCTGCTTCAGGGCGGCTTTGCTCGCCATGCTGCCTTCTTCTACCACTGGGTTCCCGCTCTTTCACGGCACTACAACGTGATCCGGCGAGACTTGCGCGGCCACGGGTACTCTAGTGCGCCGTCTATCTCCAAGAAACCAGACGCGTACACGCTAGACGCTATTCTCGGTGATATCATCGATACCCTCGACCAGCTGGGGATCGAGAAGGTGCATTTCTTCGGAGAGAGCACCAGTGGAATGTTAGGGGAGATGCTGGCCGCAAAGCACCCGAAGCGTCTGCACAGTCTGACCATTTGCTCTTCTCCCGCCTACCTGCCGGAGAGCACGCAGAAATTCCTGGCGTTCGGAGAAGAAAGTTTCGCCGCAGCATGTCGGAAACTCGGGTCTCGAGAATGGGCGACCAGGCTGAAATCCCAGCCGGGGACCATGGCCCATCCTGATCCGGGATATCATCGTTGGTGGCTTGATCAGATCTCAATCAGTTCCGGTGAAGGACTGGCCAGCTACGCCGAGTTCCTGAGCACGCTTGACGCCCGACCGTGTCTCTCTCAAATTCAGATTCCGGTCCTCATTCTCGCGCCTGCAAATAGTGCTGCGACAAAGTTGGGGGAGCAGAGGGGAATACAGCAGCAGATCCAAGGTAGCAAATTGGTGGTTGTTGGGGGGGCAGGCCACGAGATATACGTGGACAAAGCCGACCAATGTATCAGCGAATTTCTGGAATTCATCCGGAAGCTCAAAGGATAGTCCGGCTCTCTGCTTGGGTTGTGATATCTAAATGGTGCGTCTCTGGTGATCCTGGATTCTGGGAACATCCATCTGAGGATTTGGTACCCGTTATTGTTTGCATACAATTCTCGGTTGATCCTGATATGTTGTCTTTTTCCTATTCTTCAACAGGATGTTCCGCACTTGCAAACCCACTCGTTGGTCTCCCTGCGAGATATGACCTACACATTTGCACCTAGTAAGTACCATCGTCGAAAGGGACGGCTACAGAAATATTCTTTTCAGGGCGGCTTCTCGTGCTGCTAGTCGCTCGGCTAGTGGAGAGGACAGACAAGTGCTCCAGCGGCGAAGCATCGCGGGGGATTTCGATCACAACTACCAGCTTCCAGAAGGCACAGTTCGATATGTGCCAGTCTCGTTCATCATAGTCATTCCCATGCCCATCAGGAAGAGGCTTCCGTGAAGCAGACGAGGCCAAGAAGTCTAATAGATTGGTGGAAACGGGACGACGAAAAGGGAACGGCAGTATGATGCATTAGCTGCCGGGCGGCCAAAGGCACCAAAAGGCGGGCAGCAACGTCACTCGGCAATCTCGAGATCGATGAACGCTGAAGGGGAAGGGCTGGTACATCGGCGCTGGAGATGCCAACCACCAAAGTCTCGCCTCAACTGCAGCTCACTGTCAATCCATTAATAATTAGGCTGAGCATCCTCTCCTGCTGTTGATGATTTCTCCATCACTTCTTCCACTCTTCTACACCAATACAACAGAGGAGGTTCCTCGGTACCCTGCCAACATTGATGAGTGGCGCTTAAACTGCCTTCACTTCAAGCTGGTCTCCTCCAGCGCAGCCTGATGCCGCCCGCAAACTCACCCTCTGTAAGTTCCTGTCCTGCCGACCCTACTCGTGTCTACACAGAGCACTGGTGTGTTCGAGGCAAGATCCTGGTCTCCATGCTATACCTGCCTTTGTTATTGTGAACCAGCTGCGTTCGTCTAGCCGGGCTGCTCTGGGACTGACGGTGTTTACCCGCAGGACACCCGCCCCTCGACTCCGCCTCCCAATCCCTACCTGCGACAACTCGAAGAAGCCATTGCTACTCCTGTTCCCGACCTCGCCTCTACCCTGAATCTCACTTCGACCGATCCACGTTCACAGAACCAGCGATGGGCCAATCGCCCGCCGACTCGAGACAACGAAGGTGATGGGTTTGGGTTTAGTCTCACGCCCGAAGAGCTTCGAGAGTGGAATGCTGAAAGTCAACTACGGGCTGCAATGCAGACTCAAAGGGCCGAAACGGCAGGCAGAGAACGATTCAACGGCCGCGACTGGACAAGTCCACCAGCGCGTGCTAGTGATGACAGCGATGGCGATATTGAAGCTATGGGGATTGGCGCAGCTCGTACAACTGACACCAATGCAAGGAGGGACTTTCTGCGCCTTGAACGGGTTCTGCAGGGTTATAGATCAGCTCGCAGTGCTATGAGGCCGACCCGGAGCTCCGACCTGGGAGCGGTGCCCACAGCCAGTGCCCTACGAGCCTTCTGGAACGAAGAAGCGGATGACGACTCGGCTACCTCAATACCTGGCGTATCAGGATATTCCTTCAACCGTTACCGAAGAGAGCCTCCTCCCAGGCAGGCCCAAAACGTTCGAGAGCCTACCGAGCCTCTCTTTGCGGCGTCAATCAGTTCCCAACGATCCGACGCATTCAGGCGGGTGAGGAAACTGATTCGGTATCTCTCCCAGTTAAGACATACGGGTGTAGAAGGTGGTCTCGAAGCAGCCAGAGAACTGGGGCTCGACTCGCTGTACGCGTCAGACGACTCCTACGCGCCCAGTGACCTTCCCATGCACATCAACAGTCTTCCGGTCCCACAGTACAGTTCTTGGTTACAAGCCGGAATGGTTTGGCAAGGTCTGCAGTCCACAGAACGCGAGCCTCCCCGCGGCTCTGCTGCCACGCTTCGGCGCCACAGACAACGCGAGCTGATTCGCCGGACCATCGCTCGACGGAGGGTAATATCTCAGAGCGTCATCCCCGGCGAAGAAGCTGCCGAGCCTCCCACCGAGTCCCTGCTTGATGCCGAGCGCTACCTTTCCGACTTGTTACAGGACAGCAATGGCCGATGGGGGTTCTCCCAGCGTTCACCCACATCGTTGTTGTCACATCCTACCCAGACGACTTCTTCACAGTCTACGGAGCCTGATCACTGGCCGGTCAAAGTGACGATTCATTCTGTGGATTGGGACGCCATGACAGTGACTGGAATAATGTCTGCCAGCCAAATGCCGGAAAAGCTCTTCTCCCTCCACCAGTCCGCTTCCCCACAGCAGGGCGCGACAGCCAGCATGTCGAGCTTTTTCACGGGAGAGATCATTGATTTCCGACAACAGCCCTTGGAGACGGAGAAAGAAGGTCGAGACTACGAAGTGGGTGGCCTGGACGTGGATGCACGGTACTGGGAACGGCTGGGACCTTTCAGGAAGGAGATTGAGCGAATCCGACATTTGCGGGGGAAGAAGAGAAGTGAGTATCAACAAAGCAGCTCACTTTGGGAGGCACTACGGAAAGCCGCCGGTGCTGATGGCGAGAATAAGGATTCGCAAAGCACGTCGAATGCACCCACACCGTCAACGGACGACAACATCACAGTTGACGAGTCACCCATGAAGGTTTTCGAGACTCCGGAGGACAAAGAAGCGGAGGGTGATGAGATCATGGCTCGCAGTTTGGGGAGTGCAAGGTGGATCGAAGAAAAGCTGGGAAAGGAATGGATTCTGATGCGGTGGAAGGAAAGATGTTTTGTAACACTTCCGGGGAGTTCTACGAATACAAGCTCGACAAGGACCATCTTCACAGAGCGTAGATCTGGTGGAAACGGCAACGGATCGACATCGTGGGGGTTGACCATTGCAGGCTTCTATTACATCGCACTGAACCGTCTGACGGGGGAGATTGACGGGTTGTACTACGACCCTGGATCCCAACCCTATCAGACCATCAAGATGTTACCAGAGGGCACACCCATGTCACAGCCCCAGCCTTGTGGTTGCGGGCGGCACGACTGTCGAGAGCCAGTCGGGGTCAAGAAATGGTTCCCATCAGTCGAGTTCCGGTGAAGGACGAGGACTACCCGCCAGAAGCGAGCAGGCAAGCCACCAACCAACATGTCAGATTAGTCTCGAATGGAACTGTCCAACACGCCGTGTGCACGTTCAGCCTGATTGATTCTGATTTCGATATTCTTTTTTCGTTTGCAGACAGAAGGCTGAGGTATTCTTGGTACCCAGCTCGCCAGTACTTGGTACTCCGTAAAGGTTCAAGCGACTGCGGGAGTGAGGCTATGACGAGCTGTGATGACGTGCTCGCAGCCGTACATCCAGCACTAGATCGAGTCTAGTTTCGGCGTTGCTTCTGCGTCCTTTTATTGTTCAGAATTGTTTTCAAGCTTCAGCGGCCGAGAATCATTGAGCTTCGGCGGCTTCGCTTCTTCTCTCCACTTTTCTTGCGTCCCGCAGCAGTCGACAGTGAACAGTGCAAGAGAGAGCGAGAGCGAGAGCATTCAATCCCGCTCTTTGCTTTCCAGTCAACTACCTACTGGACCTTGAGAATGACGCCCACAGGCCTCTTGGACTCGTTCCTGGCTGCCATTCAAGCCTCGCTCTCCGTCCTACTGGTCATCTTCTATGGAGGCGTGGCCGCCCATCTCAAGCTGCTCAATTCCGCCAACACAAAGGCAATCTCCAAGATATGCGTGCGCATGTTCCTGCCCGCCCTGCTGGTCGTCAAGATCGGCTCCGAGCTACATGCAGGGTCGGCGAACCGCTATCTCATTGTCTTCGTCTGGGCCATCGTCTGCCACCTCATCTCCTTCTTGATCGGCATCGTCGCACACCTATGGCTGGGCATGCCCGACTGGACCACCGTGGCGTTGATGTTCAACAACACGACTTCTTACCCGCTCCTCCTGATTGAGGCCTTGGACGAGACAGGAATCTTACGTGCTCTGATCGTGACGGACGAGACGACCGATGCGGCCGTTGAGAGAGCCAAGAGTTACTTCTTGGTCTTTGCGACCGTCAGCAGCTGTTTGACCTTCGCGGTTGGGCCTAGGTTGATCGATACGGAGCATGCCCCCGAAGAGGAGTCGAAGGAGGACGCATCAGAGCAAGATGAGCCTTTCGACGCTGTCGAGCGGCAGCATCGCGATGCAGAGGACGCCGATGCCAACGAGGAGACGGGTTTGCTGCAGAGTCCCGAATCCTCCACCTTCCCGCATCAGCAATCGACCGTCTCCTTCGCAAACATCGCTAGCTACGCGGAAAACTCTTTTTTCCCCTCGACGCGACGCTCGTCAACGGCGGGACGTCCATCCCAACCCTCTCGTCGACCCTCGTTGGCTGTGCAGCTAAAGCGCCGGCCATCAATTGTGCCAAAGAAGCAGTGGTACAAGCTCGGTCCCCGTGCAAAGTGGTGGCTGCTGTTCATTTCGGATTTCTTCAACGCGCCCCTCCTCGGAGCCATTGTCGGTGTCATCATCGGCTTGGTCCCCGCCCTTCATCGCTCCTTCTTCAACGACACCTACGAAGGCGGCATCTTCACGGCGTGGTTAACCGCGTCCCTTAAGAACATTGGCGGGCTATTTGTCCCCTTGCCCGTAGTCGTGGCCGGTGTGAGCCTCTACACTGCCATGCAAGAAGTCAGGAAAGCATCGGCCGGCGGACAGAAAACTCAGCCAATGCCGTGGCCGACTGTGACTTTCATTATGCTGACGCGGTTTGTCGTGTGGCCCGCGGCATCCATCTACTTCATTTTCTTGGTCGCTTCGAAGTCGACCGTGCTGGGGCCTGATCCGATGTTGTGGTTCGCGATGATGCTGATGGTGAGCGCACGCACCTCCAACCCTCTCTGGTCCAGCTTGAAAAACAGAAACAACCCGTGTCCCGTTGGGTGTGGAGGAATAAGCTAACCGCGATGTCATTCTCCCTGTAGCCAACCGGGCCTCCAGCGATGAAATTGATCACACTCGTCCAGGTCAGCGACGCGGAGGAGGAGGACGAGCGCAACATTGCGAAGCTGTTGACTGTGAGTACTGTCCCTGCATGCGCTGCTACTCTGCTGTCTCATTCTTATAGAAATGACCCCTCTGCATGTCTGAACTTTTTTAAAACTGACGAGAGTGGCACGATAGATCTCCTACCTCATCTCTCCGATCTTGAGTTTCACCGTTGTAGGCGGATTGAGGGCCGCTCAGGCGGCGATTCCGTCGTGAGAGTATAGAAAGATCAATCTGGAAACAACGAGAGAATCGAAAACGACCCACGATCGGGCGATTCGCGAGTAACGTGTCTGCCCTACCCCCTGTGGAGTTTTCTATTGGATTTTCTTTCAACTTCTTTATGTGCGACGTATATGAAAATCTGGATGACCCGAGAGAGAGAACTGGATGTTCCCATACATGTGCGTCCGGCTCTCGAAACTTTTGACTTATTTCTATGTTCCAAATTTGGAATAAGCTTTTTCAATATAGCATATAAAAATACCGAACGACCCCATGCCCAGTTTTCATTTCTCATCACCATTCTTTTCTATATGGTCCAGAGCCTTTATGAAATAGGGCAAAAACTGCTCGGGATCCTCACTGAACGGGAAATGGCCTAGGCCTTTCATCTCTTCAAAGACGGCGCCCTGGATCTTGTCGGCCGTTCGCCGGCTCGTCTCGGGCGAACAGCTATAGTCATACTCGCCCGTCAACATGTACACGGGACAGAGGGCGGTGTCGATGAGGGCCATGCGGTCGCGGCCGTCCCAGCCCTCGAAGTAGAACTTCAGATCCCCAGGAAAAATCTGTGAGGCCTGCGCCGAGTACAGCCACCAATTGAGCCGCTTGTAGAGGGCGGGCGAGCTGGGCGACATCATGCCGCACACGCGCTCGGCGTTGAGGATCGCCTCATCACCCTGCAGCGAGTAGATCGCCGACGCCTGCTGCGCCGGCAGGTAGTCGCATGCTTCGCAGGGAATCACTCCCCGGACGTCCATCTCCTTCGCGCGCAACGCCACTGCGAGACACACCTGGCCGCCCATGCTGGCGCCGGAGACAATGACGCGCTTGAGCTTGAGTTTCACGATCATCTGGTGGATGGCTGAGATGTAGAAGTCCTCGCTGTTCGCGTACGATTGAGGGTATTGATGGGTGCCCGGGAATGAACGCCCGTGGCCGGGCAGGTCGAAGGCGTACATGGTGCATCTGCGTTGCAGGGCTTTGTTGAGCATGAGGGAATGGTACTGTCGAGAGTCGGCCCCTGCTGTGTGAAGGAAAAGGATGTTCTGTTCGCCTGAGCCCGAGGTCTCGTAAAAGATCTTGCATTTCCCCACTGGTGTCAGGGTGAGCCAGGTGTAGTGGCCCACGATTGAGTCGTCATCGCGCTCATCGTCAAGAATGTATTCCTCTTGAGCCGACATAGCGGGCGGGGGATGCAATGCGTCTCGAACGCAATCTAAGACGATCCTCCACAACCGAGCATGTTTGGTGAAGGCTCCCTTGTCGCCTGTAACTTCAACTCCAGAACTCTGACCCAGCAGCCGGAGCATTCCCCAGTATGACTGGAAGGGACGCTTTGGGACAGCGGCGAAGACTTCCTGCCAGTGTGATGATTGTGCGTTGAGGTCGAATTGAGGTGTGCAGTCAGGCGTCGAGCCTTGCTGGACCGCGGCCTTCCCTTGTTGAATGCTGAAGAGAAGCCTGTTGCCAGAGTCTGCTGCGCGGACTCCGAAGCGGACATTGTCAACCTTGTTTGCGGAGGCTTTGAATTCAGCATCTCCATTTACCGTTGCTTCGATTTGACCAAGTTTGGTACTGTCGATGGTGGAGAATAAATCCCCAGCTGCTGCTGCCATGGTCTCGACTCTGCTTCACTTGTACCTTTGTTGTCCCTCACGGTACCCGCCCGTAAGAGAAGAATATAGCGTCACCAAGTCATCGAGAGCGAGTGCTCATTTGAATCAGCGCGGATGGCAAGCAGGAGTCGACATCCCCGCACGGTGCGAATCGACCCGAGGTTCACACCATCCAAGACTGATAAGATCTTAACATAGTTCCCGCATTTTGCGTGCTTCCAAAGCTCAAAACACGGCAGTTTGTTGGCAGTCTTGCCTCCTCGCGCAAAGGTGGGCGGGCAGAAGTTTCTCCTCTGTTACTCCGATGTTCGGCGCCTGGGTATTTGATGTTGCGGATGGGAGTATGAGGATCCTTCCACTAACATAACTCTTCCCTAACGACCAGCATGTCCAAGTCGAACGGGAGAAGTTGTTGCGGCCCACACCTTCAATAAATGGGCATGTTAGCAATTCCATTTGAATCGAGGGCGTTGTGGTTGGCCCTCTGGTTGGCTGTCGACGTTTCCCCATGAGCTTGAATTCGAGCAACAATGGCGCTGGATTCAACTTCGTTCGACAAGCTCTATCTGGAGGGATAATATGCAAAGTCGTCCTCGAAAGGACTCTTCTACCTGGGACTCCGAGGATAACACATCATGACGCAGAATGTCCCCAGTGCACGCAAAGAGGATGTGGATCTCACCATCCCTTATGCTGAGGCTGCTTCCAGGTGCTTTAGAGGCGGCTCTGGATCGGCTTTGCTGATGTTTTGAAGGCAGGGTCTGTGTAGCAAATTTGCCCTACAACGTACCCGCCGCCACGGCCGCCGCCACGCTCATCGTGAAAACCGCTGCTGTTCTGATGACAAGGAACCTATTCATTGCCGAACCGTACAAGAAATCTCCTCTTAGCGCACTAGCATTGGGCCCCGTGTTCGAGAAGTCCGGCTTCCCCAAGGGCGATTTCCAGGTTCTTCCAAGAGACGGTTCGACAGGGACATACCTTGCAAACATACGTGGATTAGGCTGGTGAGTCGTACCCTGAGTTTTCTTCACCATGCAGACTCTATTCACCTTGTTGACTGGGCAGAGGAGCTCCATCAGAAGTGTGTCGACCGAGAAGTGAATCCAGGTGATTGCTGGGTAAGGCAACTTCAACCGGTTGAAGCTTGAATGAGATATGTCAGTCTCGCATTTCGCGGCCATCCAGAGTCTAGCTGACACAACATTTGAGGTGGAAGGTTCCTGCGATAGTGTTCGGGATGACCTGTGCAGCGGTGTCGAACTGGTGAGTCGATTAGTTACTAAACAACGGGAATGAAATCGTCAATGGCGAACAGGACAATCAATGACCTCCTGACCCGCTCCGGACAGGGCTAGGTCGCAGCATCCTTTGTTGGACGTTGAGAGGATGCGGCATCTCAGAAGCTAGGCAACTCGTTAGATGCCAATGTTGCAAAAGAGTCCCTCACAGACTAGCCTCACTCGACAGAGTCAAGTCCATGGTCGCCCGAGCTCGAGAGGAAGCCGGACTTGTAGGAGGCGGACCAATCTGGCAACGAAGGTTGCTTCATCGAGCGAACCGTGTTCCGAAACCCAAGGCTTGGTGCCCAAATCTTGACGGGGGTTCGTTCGGACCGGTTTCCATTGTCCTCACAATCAAGACGGAACAGGACACGATTCGGTGGACGAATTGACACTGGGTTCGGGCTCATGAACGGTGTCTTCATTTCACCCGAGATCTCGATCATGCACAGCAATGCAATCCGATGGGGTACACGTGAGCTGCGTCAATGTGGTAAGTTATGTCCTATAATGTTAGCTGGACGTGGCCGGGTTACTACCTCTAGCCTGAAGAGGGACATGCAGGTGCCCCCTGGAAGGATGAAGCAAGCCGACCTTCGTCGAGAAATGGGGCGAGTATGTAAAGTGACATAGATAATGGCTCAGACTCGAGGAGAGAGCTTGAAACAGACAGTGGCACTGACTGTCTAGTTGCGCGTTGAGGGCTTTCACAGAACTTGAAATCCGTTCTCATCAAGTCAATGCTTTGGTGGAGGGGTCCGCCTTTGACCGACTGATTCACCCAACAGCATGAAATCTGAGGATTGATCCACATTCGCAATGGGAATGTTGGTTGCCAAGTCCTCGCGGTGCAAGAAGCTGTCGTAGAAGAGGTAGTAGAGAAGTTTGATTGACCGGTTGACAGTTCCATGTAATACTCCGTACCGTGGAACACCCCGTGCTGTGGAGGTACTTGGACAACGAAGGTGGCTGTCTTTCGAGAACCTGTTCGGGTTAGCAAATGCAAAATGGAGTGACTTGGCCCTCATACCATGGCTTGATGTCACAATACATTATAGCTATAATTGGTGCACCGAGCGGTGAGTCTCCGGAAAGACATTTTCGGACTATCTATTCTTCTTCGAGCTTCGTAACGACTTAAGCGATCAAGCGTTCTCTGTCATATGGAAGTTGCTGGTACCAAACCATGCAGTGGCTGGTTTCCCGGTCAGAATCGCAGAGGTGTAGCTTCGGCGTGCGGAGGATGCTGTGCTACGCCAGTGGTTTTGTTTCCGACCAGGAACTCCTCCAGCCTCTTGAATAGGAAGAGGGCCTCATCGAAGACATGCTCGTGTACCGACTGGGTTTCTATGTGCCAAGTACGCGACAAAGAGATTGACGGCGTGCGTCCGAAGTTGATGATCTTCTGGCCTTGGGTAGCGCAACGGTAGCCGCAATTAAGACCGGCAGGCGACCAGGTGATCCTGGCCAGACATATCTCGTGTTGTTAGCAAATCAAACGAATATGGGGAACTGGAGATGAGGCTCTGAGCGCGAGCACCATCCACTCCGACTGGAAAGAAAACATCCAAATAATACGAGCAGGCAGGCATCGCAGCTGCTGGTCGGGCATCCCAAGGACCGGAGAAGCTGAGCACAGGCATGATTCGACAGGATCTCATTGTTCGGACAAGCACACTGCAAGATCGGATGTCGTGTGGACAATATCATTGCTCTAGAGAAGATTGCTGGTGGATGGTGGTGGATGGGGAATTTGGATGACCAAATTTCAACAAGTGGGTTGTTGATTTGCCGTGCCTGGTGAGCCTCGGACTCCTCATCTCCGGGGCGGGCACTAGACACCTACTAAGTACTTAGAAAGCCCCCAAGGCCAAGTAAGGTTTGCGCCAGACGCAGGAACCGATGCGCTTAAGACCACCCCGGCATGGGCTATAACCCAGCTAAGCCCCTGCAGCGGCTGGTAGTGGTGGTGAGTACCACTGAGGCGCCTGGATATGTCTTCCATGTCCAATTAAGGTCTCCACTACGGACTTTGGGGCGGCGACCCATGGTGACCCTTACGCACCCTTGCGCACCCTACGGAGCAATTCCTCGACCGTTTTGAGACTTGCATGACTTTTTGGCTGCTAGCTGCGCTTCAGCTCACCAGCTCCAACACTCGTGCTTCTCTCCCCCTGCCCTCGTCTTTCTCCCTTGCTTCACCACCGTTCCATCACCGCACTCTCTTTTCCTCTGCTCAGTCAATTGCTCGCTCGTTGTTCCAGCAGTCTTTCAATAATAGCGTCAGGTTCTTTGTCTATCCTCACATTCGCTAACACGAACCCAACACTCCCTGTCGAGGTTCCTTGGACTATACGATAATACTGCTTGTTTGCTGGGATAAGGACAGGAAGAAGAAAAAAAGGAGGCTCCCCTTCGCTTCCACTCGATTCGCAACGCAACCAGGGACAATTCATTCCATATCGATTCAAACCACGTTGCGGCGGCTGCTTCTTAATTGTGTTTTTGCCCATCGAATCCAACGGCAGTGTTATTGTCAAATTATATCGGCCATATACCGACTTCAACATGGAATAGCTTGTCGAGGTGCATAGCCCTCTCCGCCTCCTCATCCCCATGTCTCAGATTCTCTGACACCTCCCGCCTTTTGACAGAACCCTGAGTCTGCCATCTTTCGCTCTCGCTGCGCTCTTCGCCAGCTGCCGCTCGTTATATTCATTCGTTTGAACATCCTCGGACTACAAATTCCACACATCTCCTAACCGCACCCTCGTTCACCCGCGATAAAGAGACCCTCGCTCTAAGCTTCAAGACGATCGCTACTTACAATCTACGAATCTCAAGACTGAAAGAGTACGGCAGGCCTGCGTGTCGACAAAAGGTCAATCTCAAACAGTCGTTTTCTTGGGTCTCGTTAAGCAAGTGCCTAATTCATTGCATTTCATGCATCTCCTTTAAACATTCCCACAATGGAGAGGCCTGCGAAGCGACTGAAGATTACGGACCCTGATGTACGAAACCCGCGGGACACAGGTTCGAGAATGACGGAAGGACTGTTTACCTCAGAACTCGGGATGAGGGGCGATGATACAGACCACAATGTTCAGCCGACTCGGACCATTAGCTTGTCTGATTTTCAAAGACAAAACGTGTTCGGCAGCTACCAGCACGCCCCTCGACCTATTCTACCTCGCAGAAATGCTGGAATCTACTTATTGCCCAGAGCTCCTGATGCTACTGTTACAGCCAGCGTCGTGCAAGTCAATGTAAACGACGGCACGAGTACCTCCAAAATTACCGAAGTCACTGTGGCTACAACTGGTACTGTTGTCTCCTTATCAGAGGTTGGCACACTGACTACTGCGGTCTCAGTAACTATACCTGGAATCTCAAATAGTACCAGCGTCCAGGGAAGCTCCACAGACTCATCCCAAACGATCACAACTCCAACATCTGTGGATACGTCAACGATTACCTCCACACTCAGTTCTGGGCCAATAAATGGTACGACATCGTTCTTGGACACGACTAGGACCACGGAACGGACTGTAACGGTGACAGCCACTTCGACCTTCGAGCTGTCGCTGATCAACGGTAGCATCATTGCCACAGACTCACGTTTCGGCGCAAGTCCCACAGGCGGGACCAACGTGGGCACTACAGGGACCAGCAGCGGCACTTCGAGGACGTTTTACTTTGGCGACCTCACCTCGACACCTTCACCATCGTCTGACAGCCCTACATCCGGTTCGGCCGGTGCTTCGTCGGGTTACTTCACTGACGGAGCGGGCGCTGGCGCGACTGGTTCTCCGACAGCCACAACCGATTCAGCAGCTACATCGAGTGCTGGATCAGGTTCGGGTAGTGGCGGAGGCGGAGGAGGAAGTCTGACACCAACTCAGCAGCAAGTGGTGGGAGGTGTTGTTGGAGGTGTGGCTGGTGTTGCACTTACGCTAGTCATCATCCTTTTTCTCCTTCGCTGGTACCGCCGTCGACTAAAGGCACGAGGCCAACTTCCTGAGCAAATTGCCGCTCGTGAGCTAACAACCGGGGGTGGCAGTAGCGGTGGTGAGGCATACCCCATGTCACAGCGTTCCTCAACGACCCCTCTCACAGCTGCTGTGGCTCACGGGCTGAAGCGTCTTCGACCTCGCAGCAGTCAAACCCTAGGCACTACTGGCACTGGTACCACAGACACCAGCGTCCCAGAATCGGAACGGGGCTTTCAACGTATCGCCGGTCGCAAGATTGCCCCTGTGTTGAGCAGCGGGGGTGACCCCTACGGAGGCAACTTTGGTGCTTTCGAGAAGGACGCTGGTATAGGTCCCTCAGACGTGCCACAGATCCCCGAAAGAGGGCTTTCGGGGGCCTCGTTCTATCAGGACAACCGTGGCTTCTACGGCGGAAAGGGCACACCAACACCACCACAGATGCCTTCGTCGCCAACAACCGCCACCACAAATGCTAGGACGGGAGACTTGTCCACGCCCGCTGAAACCACGTCGAGTACGAGAGACTTTGCAGAGCCGCATGCGCCATCAGTGCTTAATAGCAGCCAGATATCCTTGACCACACCCAGCCGACCCGAAGGGTTTGCAGTTATGCGGCCCAGTCCCGCCCGAACTCCGGTCACTCTCAGTCCCGCTGCGAGCTCCATCCGGTTACCCATCCAACAGCCACCAAGCATGGACGAAGATGCTCCTCCGTTGCCGCCGATGCTGCGAGATGGAGTCGGTCGCAGCTTGGCTAGCCAGGACGGAAGCCGAGTAAGCAGGAGCAGTGGACGGAGTGCCGGGCGGTTTACTGAGAATATGTGATCTCGTAATCTCACGAATGATTATGATCGTTCGAAAATCTCTGGCGTCGATGTTTGAAATCTCTTGTTTACTAGCGAGGAGTTCAGCGTTATCGGTTGGACTTTTTTTTTTTGCTAGGCACTTGTCATGGTTGTCTATCTCGAGTATTAAGCTCGAATCGGGTGTCTTGAAGGATGTTGTTCGATGTGATACCCACCAGATATATACCCTCCAAGATGAGGTAGCATGTGTATAAGCCGAGAATTGAGTACGATTCAAGTGGAATGCTCGCATAATATTATAAGACATGAGCTGCCGTCATTATTGATTTTGCTTGTGTCTTGCATGATATCTATGTACAGCTTGACTGCTAGGGTAGCTATGTACTCCATATAGATTCCTCACCTGCTACACTCCCTCACTAGGACATGTAGGTAGTCCAGTTCGGGATATTCATTCGCGACAGCTTTGTATTTCAGTTTCTTCCGTTGGCCCATTCCCCATTGCTCATCGTCTATTGTCGTTGTCGTCATCACTCATCATTACCACCACGAACCATGTCCATGTCTCCCACCTGTCTATTCACTACGTGGTGACCCCTTAATATTCATATGGACTATTTCTCAGCGGCTCGTAGATGTACAGCGTGGAATTATGCTGGTCCGGCAGGAAATAGAACCTCAGCGTCTCATTCACGTACGCAACGTCAAAAGGGTTCTGCGTGATGGGCGTCCCCCGGACAGATGTCATGGTCAGTGGGACCTCGTAGAGCGGGATCATGGTTTCGAAATCGACGAGGGCGAGGCCGCCGATTGTGATGTTGCCGGCCAACGTGGCGACTCCCGAGCAGATCATAACCGCTCGGTAGCCGTAGTGTTTGGAATGGCCCAGGAACTTGCAGTCTTGGTAGTCCACGTAGAACGAGGGGTTACGGGCAACGGAGGAGGGTTGCGAGAATGTCGGGTAGGGCTTGTGGGAAGTAGCGTTGAGGTTCCAGATTGAAGCGTTCCGTGAACCCCAGTTTAATGTGTTCAGTCTCTGGCGTTTGGTGTCGTGGACAATGCCCCCAAGGTGGTCGGCGTAGTGGATCAATGATTGGTATTCCAGAGTGAGAGGGTTGACGGCAATGATTGTGGCAGTGGTATTTGGGCGATACTGTGCGAGAGTGGCCCAGATGTATTGGCCATCGTAGTCAAGACCGCCGATGTGGTATTCAATATCACCGGGAGGAGTCAGTGTCGCATCGACTACTCGTTTGCCCTGGCCATCGTAAATTTCAATGTGTCCATATCCGGCTCCCGGTGTGCGATCTGTGCCGTTTATGATGGTGCCATTGTACGAAGTGGTAGGGACGGTCCAGTCTCCACGAGCGGTGATGAATCTCTCTTCGTTGATGACCACCATGCCCTCAGGCTCGCCGGTATCGCCTTGAAAGGTGATGTTTTTAACCGAGTGCCAAACTGTGGTGCGGCCTAGAGTGGTGAATTGCTCAATGATAGCCTCGAAGTTGGCAGCGCCGCCTGGGACGGGAAGCGGGACTGGGACGAAAGAGACATTGGACTGGTAGACAGTGAGATTGGCCGCCAGAGCTGTTGCTACCAGCCAGGCACCAGAGAGCAGGAACAAAGACTTTCTCTTCGTGCACGTCATATCAGAAATTGTTGTACTTTCCTGATGTTTTGAAGGTTGTAAGGAGCTTTCGATAGTGCCTTCATTTGGTCGCTGGACGTTCCTTGGTCTGGGTTTTGTAGCTGCAGACCAGGTGCTGACCCTGCTCCTTCATCGCACGTTGCTGATGCATGGAATCTTCTCTCGAATCCTTTGGAACCAGAGGCACTAGGTAGAAGGCCGGTATGGCCCATCACGTGTGATGTTGTAAGGCAGAGATTGGTTCCATGCATTGTTGCGATCTAACCGAGTAGTTGGGACGGTGGAGAGGCGGATTCCTTTTTGTTCTGTTGACAATGTATCCTTGCCGGGTAGGGTCAGTGAGGTCTTGTGGGTTGGGAAATACTTCCTTCTTCGGGCAAAGAGCAGCAAGCACGTTTTTAATATCTTTGATCAACGAAGACAACCTGGTGAGAAAAGTGATCCGAGAAGAAGACGCGATGTCGAGCTGGTCGAGCAAGAGCGAGCATTTACCGGATAGTCTACTTCACCGTAATTACTCTACGGCGGGGCAGATCCGCTCCTCGGGGCCGCCACCAAAAAATCGTGTGGATATTTTGTCGAGCCGCTTCTTTTCTTCCATCAACTCTGTCAGTCCCCTGGAAATGACAGAGAAAGTTACGTGAGCTTTCTTTGCCATAGATTTCCTTCGCAAGTCCGTCACCTCCCAGGAGCCATCAATGGCAACGCAGACGGCTCAATCTGACTTGGGGAGACTTGGTTGGCGTACGATTGACCACTGCAACATTCCCGTTAATTTCGAAGCCTTTGTCAACGCGAACGGAATGGGATGATCCCTCAATTACTGGTTGCCGGTAGTTCGGCAGCGCTGATAATCACACAATGCTTCCTGTTATGGACACGTGGTGCTCGGAAATCGACAGGTCGCGGCGAAAGGATCGGTCTGTACCTTACGGTCATCTTTTCGAGCATCACATTCTTGGGGACCTGTCGAGTCACTGCGTCGAGATCTGTGTTTCTGCTTGCCTCCATATTTGCTGGCTTCATGCTGTTGATGCGCTACTCAAATATCATGAATTTACTTCGTCCCTCCAGCGTGCGAGCAGAAGCTAGACCTTCAAAGTCTCCTGATCAATCGAGACAAAATTCTATTACGGTTTCGCAAACACCCTCTGCAGTCTTGCCTTACGAACCTTTGGCGGAAGGTCAGATAAGGTTGCTCAAGTTCTCGGATGAGGACGTCTCTGACGGTGGAACACTCCAGTTCGAGCTTTTCCGCGCGAAACTGAGCCAGAGACCAGACTATGTGGCGTTGTCGTACTCTTGGGGACAGGATGCTGCTCACGGGAGAGTAAGCATAATAGTGAGCGACCAAAGGTATGAAGTCTCCCAAAACCTTGCAGATGCTCTTCGCAAGCTGAAGCGAAACAAAATTTCCACTGTCTGGGTCGATGCCATCTGCATCAATCAACGAGATACCATCGAGAAAAGTCGCGAAATAATCAGAATGTTCGCGATATATAGGATGGCAAAAATGGTGGTCATTTGGCTTGGTGCTGATACCGGACCGGAGAAAGATATGCAAAAACTTCTAAGGGCGACCGAGGACCTTGAGAGGCCGGCCAATAAACACCGTCAGAAAGGCAATCTTGATTTCGACGTGGATGCCCTTGAACGATTATTGTCACAGAGATACTGGCATCGAGTATGGATCATTCAAGAGGTAGCAGCAGCAAAAAGAGCACAAATATTCTGGGGTTCTTACATCTTTGACTTGCGATCCCTAGAAATACTACTGCGCGAAAGAGGCCGTTCAGCCGACAAAGACGGAGACCCTCCCGGACTTGCTCAGAAGGTTATATCTGTTCGAGCTGCCTGCCGAGCACAGCAGAAGCCACGGTTGATGGATATCTTGGCAATGACGAGCTTGTCCGAGACGAGCGTGTTGAGAGACAAAGTTTATGGACTCCTGGGCCTTGCGTCAGATTGGGCTGATTTCGTGCAAGAGCCCAACTACTCGCAGGCGGTCTCGGAGGACGACCTATGCTTGGAGATGACGTCCAATCATATCAATTGGTACAGCTCTGCAGACATCATATTCCTCAGAAGTGCGGACGACCGACGGAGAGAACTGCCTTCATGGTGTCCTGACTACTTCCACTTTCGACCGCACCACTTCGACAGGAATTTGATTCCGTACATATGCGGGAGAGATGTCAATCTAGGGTGGGAGAAGAGAAGGGCCTTTGGCCAAGAATCCCCAAACATGAACGAAGTGATTCCGGACACCTTCCGCATCAGCGGTGACAAACTCACGCTGAAAGGCAAGTGTATAGGCCGAATCTCAGCCTTGGGCGCTTTGGTGGACGAAGAGATTCCAGAGTCGAGGTTCAGCGATCGATTTTCTACGACAGATATCACGGACCCGGATATTGGGAAGGCATTCCGTCGGCTATTGCTGATCTGCCACAATCAGACATTCGGTCTTCAGCCATCCTCTGCATTCTTCTCACTCCTCTTCTCAATGCCAGACCACGTCTTTCAGGACAGAGGCACCCTACGGGTCAAACAATGGCTCCACTGCCATGCGGACTTCCTCAACAAATTCGGCGTGAGGTTGGTCCCTGGCTCTGACGAATACGCATTCATCCCTCGCCGTCGTGGAGGTGGCCTGAGCCCGTCATCGAAGGTCCTGCCGGAGTGGAGAGAATTCTTCAGCTTGAGCGAGGATAACACGATCAGTCGGAGGGGCGAACATCCTCTGTATTCAATGCTACAGTCCATCTCGTCTATCCTCGACGAACACCTGCGTCTGATGTTCATCCAGGACCAGGCTCTTCTGGGATGGGCGCATAGAGACTCCCAGCCAGACGACACCGTCTGGCATTTGGAGGGCTGTACGCTCCAGGCCATACTCCGCAAGTCAGCTGAGCTCTCCCAGCAACACGGCGAAGATATCTACAAACTGGTGGGGCCTGCCTATGTCGATCCTGTCTTGGCCAGTGGTCGTTGGATGGCTGGGGAGACGAGGAGCAGGCTGGTAAATCTGTGCTGAGTGACATATATGCCTCTAAAGATTTGGATAAGACAGCGAATGAGAATCTCCACATGACATTTTATGTGTTGACTTGTCATCCCGACGGACCTATACCTATATATACCTATATCTTCGCCCGGCCATACTTCTTCCACAGACTCCGCGCCCTCAGCAGCGTCGGCCGAACGAAGACATTGTCCGTCAACTCGCTCTGTTTGGCCACATCCAATAGTCCCTCGTAGGGGGTCTGGCCAGACCGAGCAAAGACGCTGTTGAGCTCGTACTCGGTGAATCCGAACGCCTCGACCAGTGCACGGGCGTGAGTGGCGAAGCCGGAAATGGCATGCTGGTACGCGAGGCGCAAACTCGCGACATGTTCAGCGGACAGATATTCTTCGCCCGCAAAGGCGGCGAGGCCTTCGACCATGGCGTTGAGGGCAAACTGTAGGGGTCACACCATCCGTCAGGGCTTCGCGCTGAGATAGAAGGGGTTATCATCTAAACTTTGATAGAGCGAAACTTACCACGTTCGCTAACGCCTCCATGGTCTCCCTGTCATGCTGTGCGCTCTGCTTCACCTGCGCCTGCAACCCTCGCCAATATGTGAGATCCGCGTGCGCCATAGTCAGCTCGAAGACGTCGTAGCTGGTGTCTTTCCCCCTGGCGGCGTCGCCGAGATGTCGTCGGGCAAGAACCGCTGCTCGGTGCTCGAGGAAGTCTTCTTGGACCGGCGGACTGAACCAATCGTCCGAGCCGGCGACTTGTGATTTTTGGGACATTCTTCTGGCGTCTCTCAGACGTGCAAGGTATGACAGGGCGCTGATCGATTGTTCGGATGTGCTGCGCTCGAAATGGTTAGTCGGACAGGCACACAGAATCAGACACCGACAAGGATGTGGACAGACTTTTTCCAATGCTTCACAACGGCGTTCCCGATCTGCTGGGAGAGAACGTATGTCTCGCCTTCATATGTCCTGGATGGAGAAAGTTGTGCGTAGAGAGACCCGAGTCCGGTACTTGCCATGTTTCCTGATGCTTGCTCTCAGCCTTCTGATGTATTATCTTTTTTATGCGGTTGGTGAAAAAGATCAAACATACCATGGCCGCCGCAGCTGAGCCGGGCAATTTCCACATCTCGGACGCCATGTTCACTTGCCCAGATCTTTGCGCCAACTGTCTGCAGATGGAGATCTTCAAGGCTCTCGTTGATGATGTTGTCAATGCGGGCTCTCATTTCCCGACCGAGCAGCATCATCGCCACTGCCTGCGCGCACGGATCAGCAATGATGTCCACAGTAAGATATCACCTAAGGGCCTTTCACTCACCCGGGCCAACGCAGGGAACAGCCTGTTCTGCACGCTCGCATACTCAACCACCCTCCTCTCCAGTCCGTCCTTGGGATTAAACTGCCTCCGGAACTCGGCGTACTTCAACGCGATGATCACGGCCTTTGCCACCTCGATGCCCAGCTCCTCGGACATCAGGCCGCGAATAATCACCATCGAAGTGTAGGCGTGCTTCGTATTCTTCGCGGCGTGGTATGTCCCGTCCGGATCCAGAGAGACCATTCCCGCAAGCATATTTGTTCTCGGGATGCGGCAGTCTGTAAAGGCCATGACGCCGTTGTCCATTGACGCGAAGGTGCTCATGCCCTTTTCGCCCTGCTCGTAGATTTTGACGTTGGGCATAAGTTCGTGGGTGTCGAGATCGCGGACCTGGACGAGGAAGACGTGGTTGCCCAGATCCTTTCCCTGGACGATCAGCCTCGCAATGACGAGGGCATGTGTCGCGACGATGCCCAGCGACCCGATCCAGTACTTGTGGCTCGACAGTGTGGGCGAGTTGACGACGATTTCATCCGTTTTTGGATCGAAGGTCGCCGTTGTCTCGATGCCTCTGACATTGCTCCCATGGCCCAACTCGGTCTGGGCATAGCATCCACTGATCTCGAACCTCTCGGCCCGGGGGATCCAATACGCTTTTTGCTCGGGGCTCATCTGTGCCTCTAGGTTCCTGATGAATACTATCATTTTCCCGAGTAGATCAGTATTTCACTTTGCTCTCTTCCTTTCCCTTGTCGAGAGGCTTCAGATACTCATTGGATATCAGTCCATTCGCACTTACTCCGAAAATTCACCCCCAGGGAGAGGATGTCCCCTGCGATCTTGGTCGCATCGACGAACTGCTGATTTGACCATCCGAGCTTGAACTTGAGCTCGAGCAGCTCGACGCCCTGCTTGAGCCGCAGCGTCCAGAGATCCTTCCTCGACAGGGCATGCGAGTTCGGCGACTGGGTGAAGACGGGGTTGCTGGAGATGGCGGCGAGGATGTCGCACCGCCGTTTGAGCCGCTCTTCACCCCAGATGAAGTTGGCCAGCGCGGTGGTGCTCGGCGTGGTCGTCATTTTCGTATTCCTCTTTCTTTCTCTCTTCCTCTCTCTTTGAAAGTCGGATTATCCGCAACGCATAGATGCCTCTGGCAAGAGTTTTGAACGGGGACACGCCGTTCTACATGGCGTATCGTCCCGTGTCGTCCCTTCTTCCAAGGTTATTAAAGGACCTCAAAGCACCGAGCCGAAACGAAACGCCGACCCCGGCAAACCGCGCAAACTGCCGAGGCAATTGTGCCAATATCTCAATGACATTTTGCTCTTTGTGCATGACAATTCTTTACAAGTCCACCTGACACAGGCACAGGCAACCAAGTGAATGAATGGATTGGTCTCCTGACCGCACTAGACTGGGCATTGGCAGGACGTTCTGACCTGTATTGCTAGAAAACGCCGAAAGGGCGCAGCGCACCGTCCTGCCGGTTAGTGCCCGCATCGCATTCAAAAACAAGTTGTACCGTCTGACGAGAGTAGAGTGATTCCCTGTTAGATCGAAGGGTGCCTTTCATTCGCGTCAAGTATGTATGTTGGTTATCTTTGGGAACAGTGCCCCTCTGTCATTCATGATATACTGTCAATTGTGTTCGATATGGTGGCCGCTTTGACACTATTGAGCACTCTTGAGTGAGTAGACGCTGGGTATTCAGTGACAGACTGTGCCACTTGTTTTTGAATCCGGCTTAGGCCCTACAACCCTGCGTGACGGCCCAAACTTGATCACGAAGACCCGTAAGCATGGTGGACACGTCGATGAGGGCCCCGAGTGCCAAAGCAAACTACAAAACGATACACCAAGGTCGGGGTCAGGGCCTTTCGGACGGTTGCGTTAAGGCTCTTTTGCTTGGTTGCTTGCTTGGTTGCTTGCTTGGTTGCTTGCTTGGTTGCTTGCTTGGTTGCTTGCTTGGTTGCTTGCCGGCGTGCACAGCCTCACCAGCCTCCACGTCCAAGGGGCTCAGCCTCGCGCCAGACAGTGACGGTGAATTAGAGGGTGACTCATGCTTTGCCGTGTGTAACGCTGCACGCGAACCACCGTAACGCCTCACCAAACACTCGTATCCTGGCTTTCGTGTATATGAATACATCCTTCGCATCCGCTTGCCCTCATGCGCCCTCTCACCTTCCAGCCGAGCATTAGCAGGTCGCAACACGGTAGAACGAACTCCATTTCTACGCATACGCATGGATCATGGCCGAACCCTCTCCTTCCATAGCATTAACAAAAGTCCCCATCCCAATGCCCGTTGCTCTTTTCTCCCATATCTTCTCGCCAAGTCGGTCTGTAGACGTCGTCTCGTCTCTTCTTACCCCGGCAGAATGCACAGACCTCATCGCGGCGCACGGCCATGAATCCAACATGCACACCATAAGCGGCACATACACGTCCCGTCTGCGCAAAATAATTAAAGACGACGATCTCGCGGAGCTTCTCTGGTCGCGGCTTTCGAGGATCTACCAGGGTGCAGAGGTGGAGGACGAAGAGGGACAGGTGTGGTCCGCAGTGGGATTGAATACCTGTTTTAGGCTTTGTAAATATAAGGCAGGTAAGTCATCTCGTGAATGTCCTGGCAACACCGTTTCGGGGCCCAATACCCTTGTCGAAGGTTGAGTAGAAATCCACCAAAAGACGGACTCTTTCTGACAAGGAACCAAAATATCAGGTGACGGATTCAGCGCCCACATCGACGGCCGCCGCCTTGCAACAGTCGACACCCAGTCCTTCATGACTGTCAATATTTATTTGAACACTGTCCCGACAGAGCGCGGCGGAGCAACACGCTTCATCCTTGACCCAACAGCAACAGGCTCCTCTGACACCGCGGCGAGCACAGTGCTCTGCCAGAATCAGCCCGTCCAAGGCTCTGCAGCGATTTTCCGCGACGACGTCTACCACGACGGAGAGGTTCTTCTGTCTGGGGTGAAGTACCTGTTGAGAACGGACATGATGTTTCAGCGCGCACGGCCGTTGATTTTGGGGGAAATATATCCTTCGCCGAAATTTGGGGCCAAGGAACGAGCCTTGAAGGCGTTGGATCTCGCCCAGCGACTGGAAGATGCGGGCAACAGGGAGGAGGCGATCCGGTGGTACAAACTTGCTTTTCGCTTAGACAGCGAGTTGGAGAGGCATTCGTAGGACAAAGTCAACGACAGGGCCCAGGATGAGAAGAAACTATATTCTCGCCAGTCCCCTAATTTGAGTGATGGGGCCATGGTAGATGGACAGTAACTTGTAGTTGGCCACAGGTTTTCGGATTCTCCCATTTTGGGGTGTGATTTGGCCCGAGTGGAAATAAGCGCACAAGAGGTGCGTGCTGGCTGCCTTGCTCATCAGCTCACCTTGCCGGGCGTATCCGTGGGACCTGCGAAGGCCAATCTGATGCGACATCGTCTCGACTATTAACCTGCTAGAAGTACCGATTTCTGGATTGATGCTGACTTGGATCGTCTACAATCCCTTAAGATGGAGTTCGACCCGTCTCTGGCTCATTGCAACACGGACACAAGTGATGGCGCGTGTCAACATGGTAATTGGCGACTCATCCAACGACAGGACCGTGTGTATATTGGGTTGCGCTGAAACCAATGGGATCAATGCCGGAGAATGTCGCCCTCAGCAGTCCATTCTCAACCGGTCAATGGTTTTACGACATCGATCGACAGAGAACGCCGACAATCAACTCGAAGCATATGGCAAAATGCGTATTCGAGCCCCACGACCCAGGAGTCTATATCTGCTGACGGTGTTTCAGAGCCTGGGAGGCAGTGGGCGTTTGCGGCAGCAAATAGCCATGGCCGCCAGAGGTTCATGTCCCGACGTAATAGCAATGTTTACTTCGATCGCAACACAGCCTGTCGTCCAAGCCCGATGAAGTGAGCAGCTAGTGGACGTTGTCTCTCTCAACGAGTTGGAGATCTAGTTCCCTGTCCTAAAGGTATCCGATTGTATCGGTGATGCCGCCGGCTGCTCTGCCGATGCTGTGGACCATGCTGTCTGCAAGAACTCGTCGTTTCTCGAGAGGATTAAGAGTCTCATGGAAACTAGCAATCAACCTTCATTCGCCCGGGCCGACGAATTGACATGTCAAATACCAGGAAACATGCTGCTTCAGTGGCCGCAGGACGTACAACCACAGCCTTATGGGCCAGTTTAAAGGCCTGTCCTTGGACGAGGGTGGCGCCTGGGACCGGGGTGCATGGAGCGCGGACATTTTGCCCAAGCGCCGCGGCCTCTGCTGGGGAGGAGGCTCGATATACAACGCCAGAGATCATCGCATCGCATTGGCCATGGACTTGGCACCACGGACTGAGAAGTTGCGGAATACCGGGGCGGGCACCGACACCGTGGATCCGTCGAAACAGAAAGTCCGTCTCAGATGTGTCGGGTTTCATCTGGAGTATGTCTTTGACGACATGAATGGTCCAGCGAAAACGATTAGGCCAAACCGAGGATATGCATGATGGCTCTTAAATCTCTGCAGCGGTCTGCGACCATCTTGGTGGGCTTTGTTCGAAGTCCTCCTTTTACAATTCCTTGGTATGTAGAGGAAGTTCAACCCTCCATCAAGAGATTATAATGTTAACCTTGCGTGCTTTCCGGGCCCTCTCGACCTGTTCTCATGGCTGTCGCAATCGCTTTTGGCGTCTATGAATCATTACATGCTTCTGGCATGTACCAACAGGGAAGCGAGAAGCAGGAATTAGTTTCCGTGATCCATTTGTCCGTCTCTCTTGCACGTCGTCTATGTATGGTTGGTCGATTGCATCTCAAAAACAGAGGCAGATCCAACAAATCTACCCTAGCCACAGCATCCGGTAATATCGGCCGCTTCGGGCATTTCTCTAGCTCGGACGATGTTCAGGTCAGTCTGTCAGGTTCCGGAAGTGGGGCGAAACATGTGGCCGAATAGAATGAGCGATAAAACAAGCAGCATCTGGAAAAGGGGAACTAAGTAGTACTGACTTTGTTATGGTCGAGAGCTGGTCCCAGGTGAAGATGAGGCTGCCGAGAAAAGCGCCGATGATGATGCAGGTGATAATATATCCCGCCAGCACACACTGACGTTATTATTCTTTGTCACGGGTTGCTTGCCATGGTGACTATATGCTGCAGATATGGAAGACGATGAAGGAGGAGAAGGAGACGGGATATACCGTTGAAATACATAGCCAACAGCATGATAAAGTATGCCACGCCGAACTGCACCGGGTGAAGAAGAGAGCACACGAACTGGCGTTGGAGTAGGGTCATTCGGTCCACGGATCGATATTTAGGAAGAAGTGGTCTCGTGGGGAGCGGTGAATTCAGCAGCGCCGTTGTCTTCCTTCCAGGATCTGCTTCCTGCTCACGCGAGGTAGAAGCCCCATTCTCAGGTTGTCGAGCGGCGACTAGGGCGTAAGCCTTCTGGTCTTTGCGGCGAATCCAACCCTGATACTCGCGCTGCACTCGTCGGAGGAATTCGAGAGAGATGACGAGCAAAATGACGCCGATGCAAGAGAGGCCAAATATGCCGGCGGAGGACAGTCGCCATGTCTTGGAGATGAAGCCTGGACAGGGAAAGAGAAAACCGAGTCAGTCAGTCCAGGCTGATGGGCAAGTGGTGCTAGATTTACAGGCTCGAACCGTGTACCAGTTCCAAGTCATTGAGATCTTGCAAGCATTAGGCCCCATATCCATTCCGCTTAATGCCGTCGCGGAAGCCGTAGCCATCGACATGGCAGAGGTCGTGGACGTTGCGCCCAAGGTCATCGTGGGTATTGACATGGACATTGAAGACATGTCCATCCTGTCTGGCGAGTGGTTGTATTGTGATTGTCTGCCCGAAACGTAGAATATCAAAGTGAATGTGCAAGAGAGTTCTCTTCAACTCCCAGATGGGCGAATGCTTTGGCGATCTCAAGGAAAAGATCCGTATGAGAGAGTTACATGCTCCAGTGCATTCGTCTTGGTCTTCTTGACTGGGTGAGCATGTATCTGGACAGCCACTATCACAAAATCTGCTCGCCGAACCAAGTCGCATGTTTGATAAATCCAGACCTATGTGCCACAGCGGACACCGACATGTCTCGCCGGCACGACCCACAAGTTGTGAGTAGCGTCCCCGGCGGGCTCAATGAAGATGTATTTTCTTGTCCCCTTCAAGCCTCACTTTCGGAAGGTTCAACCCTTTGGCAAGATCATGCAAGCTTGCTCGCCTCTGCTCATGCTCTTGGCTTGGTCCCAAGTGCAGAGCGTGTTCCGAGTGATGCTCCCGCGACCACAATCCGTGAGGCTTTTCGTGTTGCTCAATGTGGTACAACCGGCCATATCCGACAAGGAGTAAGGCAAAGACCACCAGCGCCGGTTTCGTGATGAGGATCACACCACCCATGAGGGCAATTGCCATGTAAATGCAATTTTCCTGCGGTTTCCGAGATTCCTTTCTAGACAACGCCAGGTGAGGGTGGTGAGTCCGAGGTTGGTTCTGAGAGAGCATGTCGAACTGGCCTTCTTGTACCTAGAAGTACTTATCGCTAGGATGTCCCAATTCCTTGACTTCGTTCTGGTAGCAGTCGAATGAGCCGGAGTTGAATTTGGGTCGTCTAGGGGAAACGAGAACTAATATTTCGACTTTCGGAATCACCGGCAGGATCCAGAAGTAAGCTTCCACATTGCATGTAATCGGTCCGGTGCAGAGCGGTTTGCAGCATAGTTTTGTGCTCAGCTCATCCAGGGCAGTATCCCGATGGACCGTTAAGTGCGTGTCTGATTGTAACCGCTCCCGGACCAAGCTGCTGAAGACTAGGAAGCTTCAGACATTTATTTGAGATGGGCATTGTTGTCCTGTTAGTGCTTTGGCGTGGTCGGACCTTTCCGAACTTCTTGCAATCCGTTTCGAGGTAAAAGCAACTGTTGGTTAAGCAGAGAACGCGCCAAATGACCTCCAGATCGTCGCTGTTAGTGCGCTCATCCAGATTGTGGTCAGATTCCGACATCCGTCACGCAACCCGGGCCAAATCCCTGCAATTGAGGGGCCTCAGGGGCATGTGGGTGGCCTTCTTTAGGGGCACCGAAGGGTGCAGAGGAGGTATGCTTAGGAAACGAGAAGCCAGTCGTTTAACAAGTGGAAGCCCAGGACTTGTGGAGCCGTTGTTTCCAAGTCGCCTTCGCATTGGTATTGGATCTGTAAGACCCTTGAGCTCGATCTCTGTACCATTTCCCAAACGTACTGATATTGACTAAACGGGTTACCACGTAAACAGGGCCTTAAAGACCCATCTTCGCTGAGCATTGCTCCGTGGGTGGTGCTCAGCGGTAAGGAGGTGGGGCCAGGTGTCTGTCTAGGTGGGATATAAAGGCACCAAAGATCGATATGCCTTTTTCGCAGGGGAGAGGTATCGATGCAAAGGCCTTCTTGTAGAATTACAGAGACAGACGCAGCCATGTCGTCAAAAACAACCGTTCTTCTCACCGGAGCAAGTGGATCGTTGGGGGCTTCGACCCTGGCCCGCCTGGCGGCCGACTCCAACATCCATGTAATTGCTGTGCTCCGTTCTTTCGCGCAGTCTGAAGCAGCCTTGCGGTCCAGATACGCTTCTCAGGTCTCAGGAGGCCGTCTGTCCTTCGCGGAGATCCCGGACATGACTATTCCCAATGTCTTCGACGAAGTAGCCAGCAGAGCTGACGCAATAATCCACATTGCCACGCCCCTCGCATACGACAATCTCATGGAAAAGCTGATCAAACCCAGCTGGGCTATTGTGCACAATGTCTTGAGCGCAGCCGAGAAATCAGGCCGTGCGAGGAGAGTTATCGTGACAGGAAGCATGGTCTCTACCATGCGAGTTGATGATATGTTCTCCGGAAAAACCATATCCGAAGAGAGCTGGAATCCCATCCCCCTTGAGGAAGCAGAGACGAGTCCTAGCAATGCGTACCAGTACTCCAAGGTTTCCGCAGAGAAGAAGGCCTGGGAATTTATGAACGAGAAACCACGGGGCTTTGATCTGATCTTTTTGTTGGCACCCTCCATCACAGGCAAGAGTCTCCAGGCGGGCTTCAAACCTGAGAAGGGAAATCTTGGTGGGCAGCCTGGTCTTTACAGAGGTCTCTTTGACCTCGACAGGCCTGGCTTCTTGTACCCATTCTTCATGTAGGCGCTAACTCTATCTCTGTCCGGCGTCCACTCAGCTCTGCTGACCGTTTTATTGCTCTCCAGGGATGTCGAGGATGTCTCGCGCATCCACATCCAGGCTCTGTCACGCAGCATTCCCGGGAACCAACGATATATGTTCCACTCGCCCGAGTTGATGGTAGCTAACGACATTGCGCGCGCGGTCCGAGAGGATTTCCCTCAGCTGAGGGATCGAGTTCCTGCTCCTGAAGAGGATGCAGGTGGTGGACCGCCACTTAACTTGGTCAGGACGGACATGTCGAAATTCGAGAAAGCGTTCGGCAGACAGCAATGGAAATCGGCCAGAGATTCCGCTCGAGAGACCGTCGAGGACATCGTGGCATATGATGAGAGGCAAAAACAGGCTGCGCAATAAGTCTCTCGTTGGGATTGTCGAACATGTGGAGGGCACTATACGCCACAAGCAAAGTGCTGATCACATCGATATGCTCACAGCACTTGTCACTCACGAGCGATGCCTGGTTATCAACGATGTAGAAAATCTCAGCTTGATTATGGGTACCTTATGCAAAACCTGACCATGAGCCCCTCCACGAATGTAAACGCCATTGTTGTGTCGCTGAACGCTGAGACAATGCCAGGCACAATAGGCACAGGCTAGACAGCAATCTATTGTCATTTTTACATACAATTCAGGCTTTGACAAAGCACATTTCCTCCAATTTCTTGACGGCTTTAACACATCTGCCCTCAACCTCCCTCGTCCACACGTCGGCCGCCCACAAGGACAGCACCAGGCTGATTGACCACCCAATCATGATCACACATGTCCAAACAAGATCGGTCGTATCAATGCCCTGCACACCCATTGACCACCATATCCGATGGGGGATCATGTATCCAACTGCATGGAGAATGGGACCATGAACCAGGTAAAGACCAAAACTGATTTTCCCCAAGTATTGCGCCAGGCTGCTGTTGAGGATGCGCCGCCATATGGACTTATCCGGATCTGCGCGGGCGAGCAGAAACAACAAGATGCCTGTCCCGATATTTGGATAGAACTTGTCTTTGCGGTCCATCCATGCAGGAATAAGCTTGTTCAATGTCATGTACCCAGGAGCATAATCCCTTGCGCCGTCAATGGGATAGGATAGGAAATAGAAGGCCAGCAAGAACCCGAAGATCCGAAGGCCGTACAACCATCCTTGAGGAGGGGTTGAGAGGTAATCGGCCCATGTCGGGGGCGGCTTGTAGTCTGGTTTGGGTGAGTGTGGCGGCGACGGAGGCAGTCGGTTTGGGACCAACGTAAGTTTCTTTTCCTGCTCACGTTCAGTGAGAAGAAGGTCAATCTGTGCAACTACTGCGCCGATAATGTAGACCCAGATCTCCCAGTGATTCCACAGAAAGAACATGATTGTCATGATACACAGCCCGGCCAATCGAACGTATTTCTGGCATTGCGCGGTACCCATCAAGATCATGTAGAGGAAAATTGAACCCTTCAACTCGGCCAGAATAGACCACAAATGCTGGTCATGGTAGGGGTAGACAGCGCCAGGGGTGAATATGTTTGTCAAGTCAAACATCTCTCGGGCCCAATAACTCAGTTGGTGATGGTAGGTGGGGAACATTTCGGGCTTTGGTTCATTCCAGTCGCCCGGGAAGAGCTTCTCATGATCAGTGATGTAAGCTCTGTTCCCCTCGTAGAAGCCGAAATGGATGTAGTGTGCCGTAATGAGGGTGACGACGAGGACCGGGAGATAGAGTCTGAAGGCTCGACGGAAGAGAGCCCCCGAGACGTTCACAAAGACCTTAGACTGAGACGGCTGGTCGCGTTTGTCAAGGAGCTGGAACAGTCGTAAAGAGGTCAGGTATCCCGCAATGCCGAAGAAAACGTGAGCGGTGAAGCCGGAATAGAAGTATCGGATAATGGGAAGCTCCAGGACATAGCGATGGCGATCGTTAGTGCCCCAGGGCTGGAACCCGATGTCGCTGTACGCCATGATGAAGTGAAAGGTAAAGACCTTGATGGAGGTTATGCCTCGTAGGCCATTCAGGTAACTGGTCGGAAACTGTTTGGGCTTGGAGGCGTGATCGTTCCAGTATCGAAACCGCACAGACTGAGGGGCGAAGCAGTAGGCGAATCGTTTACCGACTTTGTAGACTGTGGCAGGCCGGATCTGCGCAAGCGCTTTCGAAAGCATTTTTTGGGGCAAGTCTCGAAGAGATTCACCATGGACGCCATCGTGGAGAGCAGAATCAGTGTCCAGGAAGACATCTCCCTCACACTTAATGAGAGGCTCTCGGAGGGTTTGGAGTTCGTGGTGGCTCATGGTGCTATCATGGTGAGTGACCTCGCTGGCCTTGTATCCGGAGAAGATGGTGTTTGATAAAGTGTCCAGCCGTGTACGGGGTGCTGAGGACTGGGCACTGGGTACGAGGTACTGGGTACTGGGTTCTGAGTGGTATGAAATGAATTGGATGGTGGAGTCAGAAGAGAGAAGTAAAAGGCGCGCCCGCGCCCCCTGAAAATGTCCGCCTTGTCCTGCCCTTTCCCCGCTAGTGAGTTCTATGAGAATGAATGATCCAAGGAGAGTCGTACAAAAGATCAAGGGAGAGACAAGAATAAAAGAGCGTAGCAAGCAGTATACGAGTGAGTGTCGGGGGAGGATGGTGGGATGGACGGACGCGATGGATGGAGGTGTGCAATCGACGCTTGAAATCACGACATTTGTCTTGGACGGGTTTGATCAATGGGCTGGGCTTGTCTGATCACTGTCTGGTCTACTGGGTAGAAAAGGCGGCCAAGGCTCGTCAAGGCTCGTCCGGGGTTTCTTTGGTGGCGTTGGCTCACGGTCTTCTATTTTCTACTGGGTATTTGCTATCTGGTCATTCGCTCGTGTGCTCCGTTGGTGTCATGGCGCCTCGCACCAGCCTGATGAGGCTGAACCCCAGCTTGCCCAGCATTTCTCAACGCCGGTCAGTCACCCATCGCATCCAGTCGGGGGGGTTTAACTTGTCCATCCCTGCATTAGCCTCCGCTTTGACTCCCTGCTAGCCGTCATCTGCCGAAACCTCAATGCGACCTGATTGGTATAAGACAGTATCAAGGGAAATTGAGCCATTGAGCCATCCCCAGTGATGTGGGGCGAGGCCGTGTTAGATTTTGCCTCAGCCGCCCCCTGAATGCTTGCTAGCACCGTATTTGTACCTGGAGGGTCCGGAGTACGGAGTACTGGGTACATAAGTATGAACTGACGAGGTATACGGCAGGTATACATACCTAGGTAGGACTGGGCTCTTCATTCTCATGTCTAGGACTGTATGCACATACCTGTAGAGTGTTGCTGCAAGTTCTACCACAAATGTGCACTGCTCGACATAACGATGGCAGCCCCCATGTCACGTGATACTTCAAGTACCAGGTATATGTCACGGGATCTGGGCGATACTTTTTCCGATGCGTCCATCACGTGGGGTTTCCGAAGCGATAAGCGGCGGTCTTTACCAAAGAGAAAACAGAAAAAATTCCTCGCTCCCCCACCATTGCCCACTCTGCTTGTGCCCTCTGTTCCCTTCTCAACCATAGTGCCACCGGTGCCACTTAATGCCACCAGTCGAGTTACTCGGTTCGGCTGGCTCGACGCACATCATTCGGTCACCACCGATCACCACCGATCACCAGATGCAACATCCAAAAAACCACACCCTACAAAATGTCCTTTCCTGCCGTCTCTTCCCTGCTCTTTTCCTTTTCCTTTCTATCGCCCTTCCTAGGCATTGCCAATCCAATCTTCCACAGTGAGCGACTTCGGGAGTTTTGCGCTCGCTTCTCGACATAAAGCTCCAACTTGACCATTTCCTGATTCCCCCCCCCCCCCCCCAAAAGAGCTACTCACAATGAGCGACTCCAAGGACATCAAAGCGATCCGCGCCACCAGCGTCGACCTTGGCCGTGATTATGGCACCGGTTCCTCCAGCTCTCGCTCCCCGGTCGAGCATGGCCATCCTGAGATTATCGAAGCAAGTCCCGAACGTGGCCCCATTGCCCTTGGCGACGAAACAGGCGAACCTGGCAAACAGTCATGGCGCTCCAAACTGGCTTTCTTCAAGACCAAGGATTTTTGGCTCATTCTGTGCCTGGGTCAGATACTGGCTATCTGTATTACCGGCACCAACACCTTGACAAGCTTGTTGGCGGCTGAGGGGACCAGCATCCCTGCCTTTCAGACCCTGTTCAATTACGTATTGCTTAATTTCGTCTACACGGGCTACACTCTTTACAAGTACGGCTTGAAGAAGTGGTTGCAGGTGGTCATCAAGGACGGTTGGAAATGTAATGCTCTTTCCTGCTCTGCAACATGGTAAAATGCTTAACAACTAACCATTGACAATAGACATCATTCTCGCCTTTTTTGATGTGGAGGGGAACTACTTCACGGTCCTCGCCTACCGCTACACCACCATCCTCTCGGCCCAGCTCATCAACTTCTGGGCTATTGTCGTGGTTGTGGTCATCTCCTTCATTTTCCTCCGCGTGCGATACCACTGGGCCCAAGTCCTCGGCATCTTTGTATGCATTGGCGGAATGGGCCTCTTGCTGGCGTCTGACCATATCACTGGTGCCAACGGCGGCGACATCTCTTCCGGCAATCAGCTCAAAGGCGACCTGTTCGCCTTGTTGGGCGCGACCTTCTACGGCTTGGACAACGTCTACGAGGAATGGTTTGTGTCCGGCCGCCCCCTTTACGAAGTAATCGGCCAACTTGGGTTCTGGGCCACCATCATCAACGGTGCACAAGCCGGCATCTTTGACCGCCACTCCTTCCACACAGCGACCTGGAACGGCAAAGTCGGCGGCTATCTGACAGGCTACACCTTTATTCTGTTTATCTTCTATACGCTCGTTCCCATCCTGTATCGCTTCGCCAGTGCCGCATTCCAGAACATTTCGCTCCTGACAGGAAACTTTTGGGGTGTCATTATCGGATTACAGGTTTTTCATTTACACGTGCATTGGATGTATCCCATTGCATTCACTCTCATTATGATTGGCCACTTTGTCTATTACTTTGGAAAAGGTGTGATGGGCGAGGCGGCGAAGGCGTGGTTGGGCGAGAACCAAGAGAAAGGGATCGATGGATTTGGGAGTGCGAAAAGGAAAATTCGTTTGATGCAGGAAAACGTGGCGGGCACCAGGGGCGGCGAAGGTACGGAAAGTATGGGTGTGGTGTAAGGGAAGACGAAGATATGGCAATGGTGCAGAGATCGACTTCTGCTATCAGACCGAAACCTTGTCTACCATTGCGTCCGTGAAAGGCGCACGGCTGTCTTTCGATATTGGGATGAGTGACGAGACTACGGCCACTGACACATGACGCTCATTGAATTCTAACAATCAGTCATTACGACCACGCAAGCGCTTTTCACGACCACAGATGAGATGGACAGAAATACAGATACCGCAGGCCATGCTTTCGGCCAGATATATGCTAGAATCACAGAATACATGATTATGGAAACCGATGAACACATCTGATGTCGAGAATCTAACAGTTCACGCCCCTTCCATGAGGAAGCCGAGATAAGGAAATGAGGCAAGACCACAGATGGATTGAACATGGATGCGTGTAGGGTTTGGAATTTCCCGTCTCCTGCGTGAGACTTAGATCCCATCTCTTGATAATGACCATTTTTCCTATTGTGGCCACATTTTCGGTCGGTCGGGGGGGAAAGTGTCATTTTGGTTTTCAGCCTTTGGCCTTTGGCCCTTGGTGGTTTTGTCTGAGAAGAAATTTTTGAGAAAAGTCGGCCTTTGTGATTTGATTTCCATCCCCGTGTATATGCAGCATGCATGCATTATGTTTGATTTTTGAGTCTCTTCCCGGGTTCCATCGCCTTCCTTGCGTGCTCTGCCCTTGCCATACATGCCACGAAGGGGGGACCAAAGCAAAGCAGTGAGCAAGCAGAGCAAAGCACAGCAGTGGAGCGGTATCTGAATTCTTCCACCTCACCCTCACCATCTCGGCGCAAAACACACGCCCGCCGAGTACCCGTCTCCGTCTCCATGTGCACCCAACCCTATCACAGCGAGCAAGAAAGAAAGAAGAACAAAAAGGAGCCGGCCGCAGCAGCAGCAGCAGCAGCATCAGCCTCCTCCTTTTCACTGCTCGGTCTGGAAATAGTTCAAGAGGACATTGCGCTCCTGGCTCTCCTCGCCCCAGTCCCTAACCACGACGCAGCTGCAGTTGACCACCTTGCGGGCGTTGCCCTCTCTGTCCAAGACACACAAGCCGGCCCACTCGCCGAGCATCTTGCCGTCGGGGACCTTGATCAGCGGGATCTTGTGCTCTGAGCACAGCGCGATGACGAGTTTCTTGTACGCTTCCTCTTCGCAGGCCTCGTTGAGGACGCACATGTGCGCCTGGCGGCGGTCGAGCGCCTTGGAGGCTTCGCGGAGACCACGGGCGAGGCCGTCGTGGATGAGGGCGAGTTTGAGGACGCCTGTTTAGGCATAATGTCGTCAGCCCAAATTCAATCATTGCTCTTTTCTTTCCTTCCTTCATCGCTTCTTTCCATCGATGTTTCTTTTTCCAATGTACACTGAGAGCAACGTCGGTGACTTTCCGTCTCTTCTTGGCATCTTATTGTTTTCTCTCTCCCGCAGACCTAATGCAAGAAAAACTACGACAGAACACACCTTTCAAAGCGTCAAGGACGGACATGGAACCAGAGGCGCCGGCATCGCCGGAGACTTCGACCTCATCGGCTGCGGCAACTTCTTCGACGGGGGAAGTGGGCTCTTCTCCTTCCGACTGCGCGGTGAACAGACAAGCGTCAGTATTTTTGAGCTTCGTGAAGAATCAAGCGGGGGAGAAAAGAATCAAGGAAATTTCCCCCGTCATATCATGTTATGTCGTGTGCATCGTTGGACTCTCTTCTTGACCGTAATTTCTCCCCCTCTCTAGATCCTCTGGGAACACCCAGAAGGTTTGGACACACAGACACCGCGCACATCGGGGGGAACCAAACACCGGGCTGGCACGCAACAAAGAAAAAGTTTCATGAGAGACGAGATGACATACCATATTGGCGATTCGTTACTTGATGTGCAAGTACTTGTCTATCAACAATTTGTCGGATGATCCTCAAAGAGTCAACTCGTAAAAGGAATGAATAGTATCATGTAAAAGGAAAGATTGAAACTTTTTGGAGATGCAAAATGCGAAATTACGGTGCGTGTCTCCCAAGACTTTGCCAAGACTTCAGGGTCACGTGCCTCAAATTGAGCGTGTGAGGTCAGGCTGGTATCGCTTAGGCACCTAGGTAGGGGCAATAGGGGAAAAAGCCAGAAACAAGAGAAATTAACGAGGAAGACTAGCGAGAGTACTCCGCACTGGCAGCAAATTACCAGAAATATCTGCGGTTGTCATTTGGAGGCGAAAACCTCCCATCATGCACACTGTACTCGGTATTGTGCTCATGGCTATAGTCCGATGATTGCTATCTATTGCCTCCATCATGTGGTAGATTCATGCCTTCGTATCCTTCTTTCCTATCAACGAATGGATTGTTACAACCGCCAATTACTGCATCCGAAGCTGATTGAGACTGTCAACATCAGAATCCGCGTCCTTGAAACGTCTCTGTGGACGGCGAAACAACGTCATCGTCCCCACGGTCATCAATCATTTAACCCTCTCAACGAGCGTATCCAGATCCGTTGCCATTAATAATTGGCGCCACATGGGAACTGATGCCATTCATCAACTGGGCTGATTTTGCGTTATTACCAAAGTCTGGAAATGCAGCGGGACTCTGCGGTGACAACTCGCCGGCGTTCTGCTGCTGAGACGAAAAGACTCTGAGCGAGATGGGCTGTTTCCTGATATTCAGGTTTGCCAGGTGCGGATGCCGGAAGATCTGATCTTCAAAGCCAGAGAGCTGTCTTCAAGTCAGCCACCAAATAGTGAGTCTGCAAACTCAAAATAACACGTACCTTGACCCAGAAAAGTTCCTCCATGGCAAAGAACTTTGGTCGCTCCTCTCGCTCGCGCTGGATAGCCATCTTGATCGTCGTATTGTACTGGTTGGTTTGAAACTCGTACGATAGGTTGTTCCTCGATACTTGCCAAAGACGTTGTCGTTCGTGTGGTGTAACCGGTCTTCTTTCCAGAGAAGTATAGCTTCGTAGGTTCAAATCTTTGGTCGCAAGCAATCCAGCAACTTGAAAATTGGGCACCCAGAGGTCGTCCCTATTGGCATCCGGAGTATTGGGGTCAAGCTGCGCAGACTTGACAGTGTACAATGGCAAGAAGAGCTTGAGCCAGGGTTCACTTCTGGCTTTAGGATCGCTATTGTCAATGAGCAGGGCGCAGTGCTTGAGCAACGCTGGTAACGCTTCCCGACGGCGTTGTTCAGCCTCCAATCGTTCTCGTCTTTGTTGTTCTCTGAGCTGCTCTTCCTGCTTGCGTCGTCTTTCTTCAAGCTCACGCCTGACGCGCTCTTTCCGCTCCTCCTCTTCCTTCCTCCTGAGAGCAGCCTCTTCTTCTGCCTTTCTGCGGCGCTCAGCCTCTTCCGCAAGCCTTCGCTCCTCTGCTGCCTTCTCAGCCGCAATCCTCTCGTCTTCGAGTCGCTTAGCCTCTTCGAGTCGTTGAATCTCTTCAAGCCTCCTAGCCTCTTCGAGTCGCTTTGCCTCTTCGAGTCGTTGAATCTCTTCAAGCCTCCTGGCCTCTTCGAGTCGCCCAGCCTCTTCGAGTTGCCTAGCCTCTTCGAGTTGCCTAGCCTCTTCGAGTCGCCTAGCCTCTTCGCGTTGCCTAGCCTCTTCGAGTCGCCTAGCCTCTTCGCGCCTGGTCTCTTCAAGCTGCCTAGCTTCTTCGAGCTGCCTGGCCTCTTCGAGCTGCCTGGATTCTTCGAGGTGCCTAGCTTCCTCGAGCTGCCTGGCTTCTTCAAGCTGCCTTGCTTCTTCGAGTCGTCTTGCCTCTTCAGCTTTGTGAGCTCTTTCTTCTCGTTGAAACTGAAGATCGGTCTCGGATGGACCCGTCTCGACCGGCTCGGTTTTGATGGGTTCAGGAGTCACTACGCGTCGAAGCTCTGCATCAGGGCGAAGGCTCTTCAGCGGTGGAACTTCAATAGTGTCGGACGATATGTCTCGTTCAGGGCTGTCAGTATCCATGGCTTCTGTCAGTTCTCCCTGCACGGTAGACTCAGATTTGGGTTTCTGGCTCTTCACATCAATACTCTCTTCCGTTTTGCGGTAAAGAGTTGGAGATGAAGAGGGATGGTTCTGGTTCCTGGGACCAGGACGGGTTTCTTCCGGACTACTCTCGATAACGGTCCTCCGCTTCTTGGCAGCGTTGCGATCACTGTCACCCTCCTCAGTTACTGCCGGTCCCGGTGACACGCTTTCTCTGGTTCGTTTGAGCACCGCCGTACTTGGTCTGTCTTCCATCTTCACCGTCACTATGAGCTCTTCATCTGATGACATATCTAGATTGCTCTTGCGGCTGCGATGCTCTTTACCTGTAACGAGTCGTCTTCGTCGATGTGTAACCTCAGAGTCCAGATTGGGTGGAGGTGGCAAGTCACTCTGACTCCGTCGTTTGATATAAGCCTTTCTAGAAATATGTATGGTGTGATCCTGATCAGAGGAGACCGCGACAGATGAGTCTGCGACGTCTCGCTTCGAAGCATGCTGCTTGCGCTTGTCGGGACCGTCCCCAAATCCAGAATCCCGGTCCTTTTCTTTCTCTGTCGAACGTGGTGACTTCCCCACTAAATGTTTGTGCGTCAATGTCGGGCTTGGAGAAATCTGCAGTTTGCTGGAGCCCGGAGACTGAGAGTGACGAGGAACGCGAGCTCTCGCCTTGTCCACATCTCTAGTAGCTCGTGGGGAGCTTAATCTTCGGTGACTGGCCACGAATTTGTCGTACGCAGTCTTCAGGATCTGGTATTCCTGCTGCCATCGTTCACCTTTTCGCTCCGCAGAGATCTCATAATAAGTCTTCCCCTTAAGAATCTTCCTCGTAGGATTGAAACCTAACTGCTCAACGAGAAGTGCGACAACTTCTGGATGTCCCTTTCCAATAGCTGCAAGCATAGGGGTGTTGTACCCAGGTCTGAGGCTCCGAATTGGGTCGGGGTCAGCTTCGGGATCACCCATCGCCAGAATCAGCTGCAAAACCTCTTCATGCCCTGCTTTGGCCGCCGCTATCAAAGATTCGGTGTCCGCTTTTTGCAGCACGTTGAGGATGCTGGCCACGCCTTGGACATCCCCCTTTCCGGCCAACTTTTTCAGATTTTCTTGAGTATTTGCTTGCCAGAGAAGATCGTTTCGAGTTGACTCGCTTCGACCGGTTCTTCGCCTCCCATAAGCAGTCGGAGGGCTTCTGGGACCCATCAAAGGCGGTGAATCGCGGGGACTAGCAGCAGACGCTGCTCTTGATGAATTCCCGTCTCGACCCATGTCGTTGTGCTCAGAAGACACACGCCTGTTACTAGGTTTCTCTTTCGCTTCGGCAAGCAGCCGTCGGATCTGTTCATAGTTTTCGTCGTCTTGAGGAACGAGTTCGTACGGCTCATCGCCCTTAGCGTTGCCCATTCGCGGATTCGCTCCATACTCAAGGAGAAGTCTGATAACTTCAACATGACCATTTTCAACCGCATCGATAAGTGCTGTGTCTCTATCGATGTTGCGAGTATCGACTTCACATCCCTTCTCCAGCAAGAACCTCACAATATCAACATAGCCCTGGAGCGCGGCGATTTGAAGCGGAGTATTGCCTGCATTGTCTGGAAGATTGAGATCCTCTGGTCTTTCGGCAAATTTGGCTTTCGCTGCAGCCAGGTCATTATTACTACAGGCCCGTGACAGGAAGGTTCTACCGTTCTTGTCACGCCACTTGCGAGGGCCAGCAGGAGCTTTCGCCGGGGACATGGTATCATGCTCGGCAGACGAGAACTTGTGCAGCAGCGCTGGTCGTGGTTGTCGAGGGGAATCTGACACGTCCGAAGAGACCGACCGGTCACGATTATTGTCTGCCGAACCACTTCGTCTAATGAGAACTGTCGAAGATCGACCGTGCTTTTTCCTCTCAACATCGCCAAGCGTCAACTGGGTTGATATACCACGCCTATGCTCCCGCCTTTGCGGCCTTGGCGAAGGAGAGCGGTCTTGCGAAGAATGACGCGGATAAGTAGCTGACCTGGTTTCGCGGCGTTCTGACGAGGTTGGGTCCACTCCGCCACTACTATTCTTTGTGCGATGTTTGCTTATCGGAGGCAGGATATCGCTTGGGCGACGCTTGCTACCTTGATTCTTGACTGGCTTGCCTTCGGCATCACCCAGATCGGCGATATCGTGTTCACGCTTCCGTCGCGCTGCCTTTGGCTTTGGCGATACGATATGGACCGATACGTCTGAATCACTATCTTGGGAAAGCGGCGGTATTCGGGGCGATGATAAAGGTGAGCTGCGACGACTGGAGGTGGAAAACGCGGGACCGTCCTGAACATCATCAATACTACGCTTGCGCTTTCTGGAACTGTTGTCATTTTCGGTCGCAGTAGCTTCAGCAGTCGAATCCCCGTCTTTGGGCCTGGTTAGACTTGCCGATCCTGCTACAGATGTGTTATCAGTGGTGTTCCGCTGCTTCTCTGGTGACTGAATCAACGTCTCTGCCTCCGAATCGCCATCTGCGTCAGCCTCAACAGGTGCATCAGGCATGACCTGGTCAACGGCGCCTTCAGCAGGTGCTGAACCCGAGGTCATTTCTTCAGATTTTGGAACGATGGCAGGTGCATTCGGTGACTCGTTGGTGTTTGCCTGGTCGGCGGTTTTTGGGAGGGTGGCATTTTGAGACTCGTGGGAGCCGACCGCATCAGTCATAACGGTGTTCGCCTCCTCTTCATTATTACCTTGGAGGGTGTCGTCTGCCGTTTTGGACGGGAACTCGATGTTGCGGATGGAATGGGAGGCTGGGAGCAGAAGGCGTTGACGGGCACCGGCGGTGAAGGGCGAGAGATTTGCAGTCCCGGGCAGGCGATCGCGTCTTAGAGCGGTGTGTACGAGAGTTGAGGTCAATGGAGAAATGTCTGTCCCGGCGCAGGGAGATGGAGGGTGTCTTCTGAGTGGATTTTTTGATGGGCTCACCACATTGTGATGCATAGAAACACAAGGCCAAAGAGACGGGAAGACGAAACTCGATTTCCACTCCAAGTCCTGCTTGGTGCCTTGTTGGCTCCAGATCTAGTTCACGTGAGAGACCTCACTAGCCTCACTAGCCGTCCCCCAGCTTGCCCAGACCTTGCTTGGCTCATGGGGCTCACATTGGAATTGGCGGCTCTCCACTTACAGTTCCAGGCCCTGCTGGTGATGCTGGCCCCAGGGCTGCTGCCTAAAAAAGCCTACTAGGGGGCAGGCCACTTATCTGAACCCCCCCGAAGGGCCCCCCCAAAGCTTAACCAGTCGGAGGCGTCCCTGGCAGAACCTTCCGGCAGTCAACGGATCTTTGATCAGCAGCCCAATTTCCATCCCTCTTCAAACCAGATTTCACCTTGACCACTTACGTAGACCGTCATTCCACCACTCATTGATCACTCGTTGTATCTGCTCAGGCTCGTATTGTTGTTCGCTTTTGACTTTCTCCAAGCGGGCCGGTGCTCCCAGACTCGCTTGTTCCGTGCCTTTTGCGACGGCGTTTCTGATCTGCGAGAGCCAACAAGCGCAAGAAGGGACGATGGCAAAGCCGACATTGGCGTTGTTTTGAATCCTGCTGCATGGGTTACGAGCTCTGAAACACAAATTCTGTTGCTCTACTTGGTACTGCGAGACACACATGATCACAAGACCCAGACCCCCAATGCTCAATCTAGTCATTTGGGCGATCAGAGCCTTCTATCTCCTCAGCAGTCTTGCAATCTTCGCAGTCCGCCTGATTCCTGCGCTCGGAGTCCGATTTCTCGTGTACGGGGCGCGCACGCGAAACCCAGCTCGCGGTAGTGAGGACAGAAAATCCAGGAAGCAGAATCAGCCTTCGGTAGGCGTAAAGTTCCTCGACTACGTTGCTACTTTCACCGTCCCCCATTCGTGGTTCACTCACTTCTACGTCCTCTCCATCGCATGCTCGTTGGCTTGTCTGTTCACTTTCCATCAATATGCAGGGACGACCGAGAGCCAGGACATGGACATCCCGGCTTTCTGCTCGATGTTGATGCTTGTTCAGGGTTGTCGAAGACTAGTTGAATGTCTCGTCCTTACCCAACCGAGCAAATCGCGGATGTGGATAGGACACTATGCCATTGGCATGGCATATTACATGGCCACAAACATCGCCATCTGGGTTGAGCATCTCCATGTCAACCTCATTCAACCGCGGCGGCCCGATTTGGACAGGAATCAAGGAAGTATTCTGTGGACTTCCAAGACTCTGATCTGCACGATCATCTTCTTCTGGGCCAGCGATAGACAAAATCTCTATCACCGCTACCTGTCGAGCCTGAAGAAATACACTTTGCCGGAGAAACATGCGTTCCGATGGATAGTAGCACCGCACTACACGGCCGAATGGCTCATTTACCTCAGTCTTGCCTTCCTAGACGCGCCTCCTTCTCAACAACAACAACAAAACCACCACCACAACCTTCAACAGTATCACTACAATCAGAAACCGGCAACAACATCCATAAACTGGACGCTCTTCTGCGCCCTGGTCTTCGTCACGGTCAACCTTGGTGTGACGGCGGCCGGGACGAAGGAATGGCTTCGCACGAAATTTCCCGACAGGGCCTGGGAGATTATCAAGAGGTGGAGGATGATTCCATTCGTGTACTAAAATGCCCACAGGAGCGAGCGAGCGTCGACATACAGCCTCCTTGCACCGCTACAAAACCAACCAACTCCCTGGCTGAGCATGCGATCATCACAGCGAAAAAAAAAGGACATCTTGCAGTGATCCCTAGGGAAAAAGGAAGGGGTCAGAAGATTTGGTGGGCGAGATGAGGTGACTGGTCCTGTCTCGGTGCCGCCTCGTGAATGAAAAGGCTTGTAACCGAGGAGTTAACTCTACACGATCTATTGCCAGGCCAACGTTGCACAATTTCTACACCAAAGACCTTTGAATCCGGGTCTGGAAGAAGGATTAGATCCACGACTCGGTTCTCCCCGTCATATTTCTTTCCTACGTATGTGCCGTATGTATGCAACTCTTTCCAACCGACGTGTTTTTCTCATGATGCCACTTTAATGAAACGCCCTATTTTTGCGTCACAATGCTTGGGGGCAGGCTCGTTAATATACCTGCACGACTCCGGTAACTTGACATTCTGGAGCAAGGACAACACCGTGCCTCCCGGGGCCGAGGTGCCGGCCAGTGCATGCACAGCTGTATCCTGGATTCTCGCTCCTTGTTCCACTTGGATTCTTTCGATCGCTCAAGGCGAGGTCGAGGTCGAGGTCGAAGTCGAGGTCGAGGTTGGGAACCACACCGATACAAGGCCCTCCCTACCCATATCAAATCCAACGCGGTTCGACGCGACGTGAAGCAGAAAAGGCAGCCGGGGCGATCGGTCGAGATCAGCAGGCGCATTGATTCGACAACGGTCTCATCATCTAAGGTTCGGCGCAGTGGGTGAGTGTGATTGTGTCTTTTTTCTCTTCGGTCTAGGCGTCATCACGCTTTTCCTCGCGAGCGGCGTCCCTCTTCTGGGCAGGAGTGTCGTCGGTCTCCTCGAGGGCTTTGTCCTCGGCCTTCTTCTCGTCGCTGGCAGCAGCAGCAGCAGCAGCAGCAGCAGTTCCATCTCCTCCCGCTTCCTCTTGGCTTTTCATCTTCTCGTCCCCATCATCCTTCCTTTCGCTCTTGTCGTCAACGCCATCCTCATCCTCGTTCCCGTCCCCCTCTCCCCCCTGGACCGCTCTCTTCACCTCCTCTCTAAATCTCCTTCTTTCCTCCCTATTCTTCTCCCTCTTCCCTTCCCTTTCCTCCTCCTTCTCATCCTCCTTCCTCTTTCTCTCCTCATACAACTTTTCCATCCACTTTGGCAACTCGTCTAGTGCCTTCTCAGGGTCCTTTTTGTGGATGAGGAGATAGTCTTGGAGATCTGCGGGTGAGAAATCGCCTTCGGGAATGAGCGAGGCGAATTTGTGGGCGAGAAGGCGGAGACGCGTGGTTTCCGAGTCGTCGGGCAGATCGAAGTCCCCGTTTTCCGCCTCGCTGCCAGAAGAAGGCCCAGGAACAGTTGTCGTCCTTGTCGCTGCTCCTGTTGCAGCCTCCTCCATACCTCTCAAGCTTGCACTGCTCGGCAGATTCAAATACATCCTCAAGAATATCTCCTCTGCTTGCTTTTTGCTTGCATTCCTGAACCCCACTCTCACACTGATTCGGCCTGCTCGCACAAGCGCGTCGTCAAGTTCATGCGGTTTGTTCGTCGTCCTTCACAATTGCCGTTAGCACGGTTGTCACATCAATGAATGTAGCACTGGGTCAGGGGGTGATAAAGTAGACAGCTCCGCGAATGTCAAGGTTCGTACTCCTGCTCCTCCAATGCTGAAAGGGAGAGGGGTTTGACTTACATGATCAAAACATGGCCTTCTGGCGCCGCCACTCCATCAATCGCGTTCAGCAGGCCACTGAGCGTGACGCGCGAGGCACTGCCACCTTCTTCGTCATTGTCGATCTCATAGTCGTCAGGATCGCGAGGGGGCAGTCTCATGCGCCGACTACTCCGATACGACGTGGTAGGCTTCCCGCCTTTTCTATTCAGACCCGCGGTGTCGATGTCTTCCAGCAGCAGCAGCGATCGGCCGGGGAGTTGGTTGAGAAGCGAAATGAGATCCGAGTCCGTCAGGTCGTTGTCGAGTAACGAGAGGTTATACACGTCGAGGTTGAACTTGGAAGCGAGTGCAAGTGCGAACGACGTCTTGCCCACTCCGGGCGGGCCGTGGAACAGATAACCGCGTCGGTAGGGAATACCGTGGTTCGCGTAGAAAGTCATGGTTGCTTCGTCCATGTACTCGGCCACGTCTGCGAGGACCTGTTCCTTTTGCTCGGCATCCAATATGACCGTGTCGAGTGCTCTCCGGGGTTTCGAGGTGACTCGGCTCCATGTCTGGCCTCCCCTATAGGGTCGGCGAATGATAGTCAAAGACCGTTCTTTGGCCTTGTTCAAGTAGTAAACATGTTCGATTAGGTCCTTGACTGGTTGCGTCGAGCGGCCGAGGCACGACAGAGAGATGATTTCCATCCTCTTGTAGCGATTTCCATAGTAGGTATGGCCCTCCCCGTACTTGCGGCTACAAAGGAACAGCCTTCCCTTGTGGACGAACACCTGCAGGCCCTGGCCTTGCTCGTACTTGATTTTGGGAGTTTCGGCGGCCCTTCTGGCTTCTTCGAGATCTGGATCATGGTGCCGACCTCTTCGCCGCCCCGAGTCCTGGGAGTTGTTGGACACAGCATTCAAGACCTGGTCCGTACGGAGGGTCCTGCGCTCCGACAAGTAAGAAGTGAGATAGCCGAAGAGGTCCTCATCAGACGAGATGTTGATGGTGGCGACAATGACGGAAGAGAACTGAGACCACAGTGATTTCAGCCGAGCGACGGGGCCAAAGTAATAGAGGGCCAGGAGAACGCCAAAAAAGCGAAAGAAGGACGGGTGGCTGTCTAGCAATGGTCGTGCTCCGGGAAAGAAGGAAGTGATTATGTATTCGGGGAGATCGACGAGGCTGCTGCCACCCGAAATGACGGTTTTTCGTACTCGTTGGAGATCCATTTCGACCCGGAATGGGCGGGGTCCGGGTTGTCACAACAGGCGAGCGAGAGAAGACGGATGATGCTGGGGGACATGCGACAGCTGATATGCAAAGCCAGAGCCTCACACAGGGAGCGCGAAACCAAGGCGACAGGCCACGATGCGGTGAAGCCGTCTCTGGTCCCTGGTCTCTGTCGCGTCGCGCAGATTTGTAAGGCGACAAACAGTGAACGGTGAACACTGGCAGCGTCAAGCTGAAGCCTGAAAATTCAACCACACGCATTCACTTTCTGCCTGCTGCTGCAAGCCCCTGGCTCGTCTTCCATTTGATGGCTGATTCAGACCCGAGCGAGCCAGTCAACTAAACAGGCTACTCGGTCCTCTAATATCCATGACGGCCCTTCGAACTGTGGGTTGAATCTACAGAGTACGGTACCACCACCACCACTCACACTCTGTCTCGACGCATCAGCGGGCCTTGGGTAGCACAGCACTAGACATGGATCCTGAAGCTGCTGATTGGGTCTATGAAAAGACTCATGTCGACTCGGTGGAGCCGGGGAAAGAGTAAGGCACACAGGCATATGAAATAACTATGTATGTAGCGACATCATCGACGGACATTCGGTACGGAATTTCTCATCAGCCTCGTCCATCGCTTGCACCACAGCCCCATCGCAGGGCTGCGCCATGGAGGATGCAAAGAAACAAGAAAAGAGAAACGAGATATGCTTCGGCAGCCATCACCGCCGAGCCCGTGCACATCTCGTTCCCCGGATTTCCAGCATGTATCTTGGTATGTCTTCAATCAGCCCTTCAAATCTCTCTTCGCCTCTCGCGCTGCCATGTTTCAATTCTTCCATGTATCGGCCCAACTCCTCGCAGTGCGCTCAGCACCGATCGCAACTCAGACTCGGCTTCGTGGTGCGTACCGAGTACATCGGGAGGTTGGGTAGAGTTACAGGAACCGGCGACCATGCAAAGACTGACTGGGAGACATGGGTACAGACTTGTGGCGAGTTGATGAAAATACCCTAGAAACCCCATGACGGGACGAGACAAACAAGGAGAGAGAGCCAGAGATGCAACCGAGCTGTGTTTGGAGAGTCGAGGTACCGACGAGGAGGAGACGCAGGCAGTCAAGGGCAGTCGAGCCAGTCTTTGCCGCACCAGCCTGACCACAAAGTTGACGTCATGGGACCAAACACTTTGGGCCTTTTGTCTTTTTCTCTCGCACCCGTCATCGCCTGTGCCTCTGCCTCTGCCTCTGCATCTTGTTTTGACTGCCACCGCACTCTCCTTGTGGACACCTTTCTTCATTCCTGGAACCAGTTGAAAAGGCCATGTTGGGCTCTAGCTGACATTCTGCTCTCCTCCGCCCCATAGACCTCGCCGCTCCCTTCTTACCATGCCTGCGGTACAACGCAACGGCCGGACAATCGCACCTCAAGAAAAGCAAGACGAACCCACGCATCCAACTACATCTAGATCAATGCCTTCCACCCGACAAGGGCCATCCGCTTACCTCCTCCTCATCTATCCTGTTGTCCTTGCCCTGGGTTCCCTCTTCGCGTTCCTCTCTCCAGTCGCCAGTCCACCCGCCGAATCCCTCGCTCCAGGTATCGTCTCCGACCTGCACACCCAACACTTTCATTCAACAAACTACTTTGCGGGCAAACGCAACATCCTCAATGTATATTTTGTGAAATTTGGCTGGTTCTGGACCACTCTAGCCTTCTGGGTGCTTCAGATCACCACTCGACCACCTCCAGCCAGTGCGCACAAACACTACATACAGTCCATTCTGCGCTATGGCCTGGTGACCATTTCGTGGATTCTGACCACACAGTGGTGCTTTGGCCCGGCCCTTATCGATCGAAGCTTCACCATCACCGGGGGTCGCTGTGAGCCTCAATTGATCAACAACACCGGACTGAAAGAAGCTGTGGACATGACCGTGATTGCGTCGGGCCCCGCATGTAAAGCCGCCGGTGGGGACTGGCGCGGCGGGCACGACATCTCAGGTCATGTATTCATGCTCGCGCTCTCTTCGGCCTTCCTCATCTACGAAATCTACATCGCCGACCGCCATTCTGCGCATCCATCCGTCTCCCCTCGGGCCGCAGCGGCAGTGGCCCACGACATGACCGAGGAAGAACGCAAGGCTGTAGGAGGATGGGAGTCGGAGTCCGTGGCGATGGTGCACATATGGTCGAGATATTTTCTGTATGCGGTAGTTGTGCTCGACTTTTGGATGCTCATGATGACGGCCATTTGGTTTCATACCTGGACGGAGAAGCTGAGCGGGCTTTTCATCGCCGCTGGCACGGTATGGGGCACGTACTTCGCGGGGGATTTTGTACCACAGTGGAGGGAGATTGTGGGTGGCTTATGATGGCAGATGAGACGGATCCACATGCAATTACATCCGAAACGATGCGAATGACCGTGTCGATTTCCAAATAGCGAGCCGGCACTCTGTTTCTGCTATACCGGTGGCGGAGTTGGATTCGAGCGGAACATGTCCAAAATAGATGCGCTCAGCTAGATTTTCTGCCTCTCAACCTGTTACATACAGGTGTATTGGAGTCCCGCCCTTTTGCTTGAGAACGGCTTGACATGCATGGCATGAGATGGATGATATCATGTCGATGTCACGTCAAGAACCAGAACATGTACCTGAACATATACCAGAACCAGAAGAAGGACCAGCGCCAGCAACAGCACCAGAGGAACCAGAAGAAGAACCATAGACTGCCGTCCCAAATGCCATTGAATGCAAACTCATAATCCCCCCTTTCCCTACCCTTTGAAATCGGGTTTCTCCAAAACAATAAAGTGCCTTCCCCCCCCCCCCCCCCCAAAAAGAAGGGGGCCCTCGTCTCCATGTCACATGTGCCCATACATACATGCATGCATGCATGCATGGTGGGTCCGTCCGTCCATCTAGATACGATCCAACTTGGCCAATTTCTTCCGTTGCTCCTCGCGCTCCGCTTCCTTCTTGGCTCTCTCCTTGGCGTTCATGCGCCCAGTCTCCTCGTCATGATCGTCATCGTCGCTGAACTCGTCGTCGTCGTCGTCGCCAGCTAGTTGGAAATACTCCTCTGCCTCATCGGCCGTCGGTGCTGAGGGGCCTTTCTGCAGGGCGCCGGGCCTCCTCTTCCTCGCCTGACCCACCACGAGAGTCAAGACGATCGCTTCGACCACAGCCAGGGCGACGCAGAGAGAGATGGCCGGCCAGCCATAGTGTCGCAGCATGAGGCCCGAGACGACGTTGATTATGCCAACGGGGAGCACAACGCGGCCTAAGATGACGTGGACGGTGCTCATCCAGGTCTTGCGGCCGCCGGTCGAGATGAAAATGACGTGGTGTCTCCAGCCCAGGACGACCTGCACTGCCAGTGCGCAGACGATGAGAATGCCGACGTACTGATGCGTGATTGAGATGGAGCGGGAGTTCGTGAAGCCGATCAGCGCGCCGATAGAGACAGAGATGGAAGACAGAGAGTTGACGGTCCAGTGGTAGTTGAACGCCGTTCCTGCCGCGCTCGTGCGTGGAGAGCGGAGGAGGTATATCGCCAAGGGGTAGCCGATGAGGAAAGGCATGGTCATCAGGAAGCCATGGAGGTGCCTGTTATTGCACAGCAAATGGTCAAATATGGTCTCAAAAAGGAAGAAACTGTCCTTGTGGCACTCACAAAAGCGCAGAGCGACATGGGAAGGGGATATACATACCACATCATCGATCTGATGTTCCACTGCTTGACCGACTTAACCGGCTGTTCGACGTTGCTGCCGTCGTCTGCTCCGGGTGCGGAAGTGTCGCTATCGGGACTCGCAGCTGTGGGAGCCGGGGTTGATTCATCGGCTTCTTTATCTACGGGCTCCTCCGGTACCGCTTCTTTCGAGTCGCCCTCGCCACTTCCACTTTCAACTTCACTTGTGCTGCCGCCGCCACTCTGCGCCGCAATAATCTCATCCCCTTTCTTCAACTCCTCTTCCGTCGGCGCCTTGGGCTCTGCGGTCTCACTGATCCCAGTATGATCATTCAACTCGTTGATGTCGCCAAAAAATCCCACGTCGCTCCTCGCATTCAACAGATCGACCCACAAAAACCCGAACCCCAGCCCAAACTGGTGCATATCAATGGCTCTCTCGACAGAAAAGTCCCCTTCGAAGTCTTGTCTGAAGTTGGAACTCCATATCATGGCTTGGTTCGTGGTGTCGTTCTTGACCGCAAGCTCCGGGGCTGCCCATTTGTCGTATCCGCGGACGATGAAGTCCGCGATGCCCAAGTGCGAGGGCTTCGCTTGCAATTGCTCTGAATACCAGTCGCCGGTGTAGTCCTCGAAATGGGTCGTCATCACGTCTACCTCGGGAACATAGCCGCTGTAGAAATCCTTCATCTCATCCATGGGTCGAGGAGGATGATGGCCGTCAACAGTCCTCACCGTCAAGGTCATTGATTTATCCTCCGAGTTAGGATCACCGTATATAATAAACATAAGAGCGCCTTTCATCTGTGGTCCGAGTCCCAGGGAGGCCCAGCCCTTGTTGGAGGATTTATACCGGAACATCCACATGCGGATGTACAGGTCGGACTGTTGCGTAGTCTCATTGAAGTAGTTTACCATGCTGAAAGCCTGATCTGCGCGGCCGGACTGCCCGGTATGCTTGACGAATTGGAGTGGTCGATAAGCGATGGTGAGGGTGCTGAGGAGTAAGATGGCCAGCGTGGCCGGCAACGACAAAAAGGTCCCATGCATCCTGACAACCCTGACCCGGCGTGAAAGTTGTTATGGCGAAATGAAATAAAAGGGTGATGATTCCAACGCACCCAGATTATTCAAGATCGTCGAACCACTGGGAGAACCAACCCGTGAAAGTGAGCCAGACGCCCCGTCAGTCGCGTGCACCTGGGGTTATTGTCGTGAATAGGGGGTCCTTTGGGCGACCCGCTCGTCAGAGTCACTCCGAGCTCTCCGGCCAGGCAACACAATCCGGAATTAGCAACAATCCCCCCTTTTTTCCTTCATATACAGTCTAGCTTGGACGAGGCTGGAGGGAAAAGAACCACAGTCACGAAAGGGAAGACGAGAGAAATCACAGAACTGGTTGAGGGGGTTAACGAGCGATGGGAATGGAAGAGAGCGATGATTCAATCAGGGGGAGTTGATTCGAAGTCGAAGTCGAAGTTGAAGTCGGTGGAGTGAGAGGGTTTGAACAAGAAAAGACGCACTATACCGGATTTGGCTCTTGGCGTCCAGAGGGGAAATAAGGCTGCCAATTTCATATTTCACGGTGCCATCCAGGGGCTGCAGTGCCGTAGGTACATACTACAAACAGGGTACTCGGTACACATCATACAACCCTCGCTGCTGGTGGTATGATCTGTTGTTCATCGCCTCAAGTCTCGCCTATCGTCAACACGCCTCCCTTGACCCACTGCATCGCTAATGCCAAGGGATCCTGTCCAATGTGACCATCTTTTGCGTTGGTGGCTCGTGGTATTGCCGACGCGAGCGAATGACAGATTGGGCAACTTCGTAGCCTGGATGAATGACAACGGAGGTACAGCGATAGAATCCTCATGGGTGCGATTTTTGCAAAAAAAAATATTCCCGAAATTCCTTACCACGAGACGAACTTATCTAGCCATTCGCTAAAACACGCGACATGAAGTCAAGAATCATAGCGGGGCATTGGGGCATTTTCGACGCATTCATCCCATCCCTTTGCCTCCGTCTAGTCGCTATGTCTGGCGCTACTACCACCTTACGACTTTACGACAACTCTCTTCTCCAGCGGCTCGAACGTCTTGTCCTGCGGTCCGCCAGTGGGCTTGCCGAACACCAATTGAGCCTTCAGTTTCCACGACTCGGGGAGACTGAAAGTTGACTTGATGTCAGCCGTGATGCCGGGGTGGAAGTTGAAGTGTTGGAGGTTGGCGCCCAGGCCCTCGGCTTCGAGAGCGGTCCAGACTGCAAGAGAAGGAGAGGATTAGTTAGTACGTGCAAGAAGCGACGACGACGGAGGATGGGGTCCTTGGGATCCAAATTTGGACTTACCGATAAACTGATGCATGCCAGTGGAATGATCGGACCCTGTAGGAGGCATTATTTCGTCAGCACACACCTTAAACCAACCCTAGCTCAGCCTGAAGGGCACGCGTCCTCTCACATTCAGTCAACATGGGCTTGACCATGGCGTTCTTCTCTCCCAACGCATCCAACGCCGCCTGATCCTCAAACCACATCACCGTCCCATAACTGCCCTTCCATCCGGCAATTCGACCATCCATGTACGCCCTCATCCCCTCGTCCAGAGGCACCTGGTCCATGTGCTTCTTGACAATGTCCCAGAGTTTTGCGTGGTTCTCCTTGAACAGGACCACCGCACGGGCCGATTGCACGTTGTATGTCGAGGGCGCCCATGTGACGGCGAATTTGACAATCTCTTCGATCTTGGAGTCCGGGATGGTGGACTCAGCCGACAAACTGTAGATGGAGCGGCGGCCCTTGACGAGGTCCAAGAACGTGTCGGATCCACCCATGGTCGCGGAAGAGCTATTCTTGTTGCGAGTGTATGGAGATGTTCAACTGGAGATAGGATAGGTAAATTTTGTCAAGTCTCGCGGGGAACCAAATGGTAGGACGCTTTGTCTCCAACGAATGTAAAAGTCACAAAACAGTTTGAGAAGGTGGAAAAAGAACGGCTTACCAGGGGAAGGGAGGCCTTGAGGCCCTTTTATCTTGCGATTTACCTGCATTACACACCCAAGGTCACCAAATACGACTCGCGCCAAGGGCGAATTGCATTAAAAATCAAACGCTGCTCGGTCCGGTTGCATATCCGTCCATGGCGCCTTTGGCCACCCCCGTCGGGCGTGATGAAGGTGGCCTCAGAGTCCCGCATAAGGACTGGAAGGAAGCTAACTCGAAGCTGCAGGAGCTGGGTCTGCTTCGGCCCGTCCAATGCTTTTTTCCTGGGCTTATTTAGATAGATACATAGGTAGTTAATGCAAGGGCCGAACACAAAGGGGGACTCGGCCGACAGGAAACCCACGTCGCGGATTTGCTGGCGGACCCTTTCTCGTATGCGGGCGCTGGCCGAAAGGGATGTCGTTTGTGGGAACCAATCAATGCGAGTTCTGACACGTTCGGGCGGCTCCTGCGTTTTGCCAGTGGGATAGGGCAGCTGTGGAAGTACTGCCTGGTGTCTGGGATCCAGAAAGGTGGGTAAGCAGAACGAGAGATGGCCTATAGCCTCTGCAGATTGGACAGCCTTTGCGAATCAGCATATGCCCGGTGAGTCTATGAGATATCCTAGTCAGGTCCTGAAGAAGAGCCATCGGTCCCAATCAGCGAATATTGAATCCCCCCACCTCACCTGTCCGGCGGTATCAGGCTCTGCGATCAAAGCTAGTTCGGTGTCTATCGGGCGAGAAATTCGGCCATCACGTGACTAACGACTGCATCGATCCCTCTTGGACATTTCCAATTTGTCTGATGAATTCGCGATGCAGCAAGATGTGTTGGTCAGCCGGTGGAGAGGATGCGGAATATAAGGATTTGCGACAGGAGCAAATGAAGAGAGCTCAAAAGCGGTGTCTGAAGCTGGGGCTACACCATTTGCGGGACAGGTATGTATATACAAAACTTCCACCCGAGAGATTAGAATCCTCTTGATTTCTTAGTCTGGACGATACATAGGGGAATTTAATCATGTTGACTTCATTTGATCGTAAGCTGCTGACATGGGATGTTTTCTTCGTCAATATCTCGAACATGACGCCAAATCTCTGTCATGGGCCGTGGTATGTGGAAAGATGTGAGCACATTTTCATTGCAGTTTTCGTGGCTTGAAGCGGCAATAGAAGTCGTGCTCTTTGACAAACCAGGCTATTCGTCTATTAGTGCCGAATAAACGAGGGCCTATCCTGGGAGGACTTACCGTTGTGCAGTTTCCAGTCTTTGTTGGGGTCATCGAAACGTACCTAAAGATGACTTCATGTTAGCCTTGTGATCTGGCGGAATCGTGTCAAGTCGGCCTCTCTCGGCGAACGCTCACCTCAAATCGACGTAGAAATGCCGGGATTAGCTTGTACATCTCCAGCAAGCTGATATTCTTTCCAATACAGGTTCTAGAACCGGCTCCGAACTGGAACAGGGTGCCGTTCATTTCCTTCAATTGCTCTTTGCCAACATCGAGCCACCTCTCAGGAATGTAGCTGTCGATCTGGGACCCAAAGACATCTTCGCGTTTGTGGATAACCCACGCATTGCAACCGACAATCGTCCCGCCGGGGACGAAGTGGCCGTCGATTTCGATCCCTTGCGGAGGGGTAACTCTTTCCAGGGGCAATCCTGCGGCTGGGTGCATTCTGAACGCTTCTTTGATGCAGGCGTCAAGGTAAGGAAGTTGTTGAGATTCGGTCCAAGTGATCGTTCCTGTGGGTCTATCCGCAATTCTCCCCTCCTCGACAGCTTCATTCAATTCTTGCATCAGTTTGTCATAGCACCGTGGATTGCGGAGGAGATAATAGAACACAGCCGCCAAGCTGATAGCGGTGGTCTCGGACCCCGCGAACGCCATCGACACCGCCATGGTCAGGACTCTCTGGTCGGTCATGAACTCTGGTCGGTCGTTTTGCGCCTTCAGGAACATCGACAGAAGATCCGGCCTTTCCGTCCCTTTCTCAATGCCCTGCGCCTCCATCTCAGATAGCCTCTCCTGCATTCGTTGAACGGCAAATGTGGCGATGGGAAATGCGAAGAGCTTGACTCCAAGTCGGTCAAGCAAGAGAACGAGTGGGTTTTTCAAAAATAGAAGGTCGAGCCATGGCATTTGTCCAACCTGCTGGTGAATTAGCTTGGTGACCTGCATTTTAGCGCCAAGACACTGACCGGTGCCACATAGGAGAATAGCCGCCCGAGGTATGCAATCATGCCGTCGACATCCTCATTTCTCTCTAAGAAGCCATGGCGCTTGCTGTACGTAATGTATCCAATGACCTGGAGTGCGGTCAGAACCAGCTGTACTGTGTCGATCGTCAAGTCTTACATCGAACGCAAAATATTGAAGCCACTCTGCGAAATCACAGACCTTGTCTGGCCTAGCGAAGAGTTTCTCCGTCTGGTCCAGAAAGACCTCAATACACTCAGTGACGCCGGGCTCATACTGAACCAGTTGGCTCATTGCGAATGCATTGTTGACGGATCTGCGCAGGTTTGCATGGTACGACTCGTCAGTGGTGGAGAATAGGGAAGGCAATCGCTTGCCCTTGCTGACGCCCATCTGGACCGGATAGAATCCAGACTGAGAAAACCCATTCAGTAGATGCCGAATAGAAATCGAAGAGGGCCATACCTTGACAAAGCCCTTGTTCAGGCCGTAGATGGTCTTCAACGCCTTGGGGCTCGCGAATGAGAGGGTGTTCGGTCCAAGTCTAACAACATCTCCATGCTTGCGGTGCAATTTGAGATGCGTAATATCTGGTCGTCGCCCGCATACGTCAAAGAACCTCCACCAATCCGTAAACCTCGCCAACACTGGTCCGGGATACTTGTTCAGACCATGGTTGAAATAATTGCTGAGTAGATAGCCCACAGCAACAACCACCAGCGCGATGGGCCAGTGGTTGACAATGGCCGGTATAATGGATTCGATCATGGTTAGACAGTATCGATGGGCAAAGGGGAAAGATGCGGCTGAATCAGTAGCGAGGATTCACGACAATACTTGTTTACCTTGGTCGAAGGGAAATATGATAAGCTGAGTCGTTTTTAGCGAAAACATGTAGCTCCTCGCAACACCATGGACGTCAAACGGCATTTCCGAGACCGAGACCTGGTTCCGTCACTGTGAGAACCAAGATCCATCCGATCTCAACAGCCATGGCTGATACTGGAAAGAGTCAAGTGGCCCATTGAGCTTCGGCAGTTCACTTTTGCACGAGGGGGGCTATGGAGCGGGCCCTACACAAGCGTTGTTCTGTCTCTTCAACACGCAAGGCCAGCAAATAGACGGGCTTGCTAGTGGCCATGGTCCAGTCGGGGCCCGTCACCCAGTCCTGCCAGATTGCAGCCGTCACGGCCACGGCACATGCTTTAGCAGAAGCCTTCTAGGACGTCAAGGCCAGTAAAGGGAGGCATGGCGAACAAGAAGGGCAAGTCTGGGGTCCAAGTGGAAAGTTCGGCTCAGAGCGGCAATGAATGTGGGGTGTGGCGTGGGTGCCAGAGTCGCAGACTCACCAGCGGGAAAGAGGAAAATGGATTTCCTGAGGCTTTCGGCGAGCATCTCAGGTCGTGGTCAGCGGCGAAAGAGAGATGAGCAGCGTTGGGCGTTGAGGTTTGGGATGATGGATCTACCCACCAGCCCCTTGCTGGGTGGTAGCCGCAGGCGACGCTCGGCAGATGATCTCGAGGTGCAACTGCCGACTGAACCTCCGTCCATTGTTGCACCATGCGCCATTCACCTCTCCGTCCTGGTGCCTCTGGAACACGCTGACTTCGTGGCCTGCCTCAAATGAACCATCTTGATGCCGAGATTGTCAACTGCCGACATGGAGCCGAAACAACTAGAAGCGGGCTCACGGGATATTTTTGATCGTCCGGATCGCCGTCAGTGATGATGGGGAGCACAGAGGCACTCAATGGACACAAGGGACACGTCCCCTCGCAAAAGTCCACCCAGGAAGAATGGGTACTGGTGATCCGACATCAAAGAGACAGACATGCGCGCATCATACATACATCCTGCCTCTCTCTCCCCTCCGGCAGTTGTGCGGTCAGCAAACCGTCGGGAAATATGCTGTACCCTTCTACGAGGAGAATCTCAAGAGACAGACGATGAGGGCTAGAAAATTAGACCAAGACTTTTTGAACAGGACACGGCAACGACTAAGGATCAACTGAAATCCCATTCTGAAGGCAACAGCCTTTGGAGGAACAAGGAAGGATAATTCCTATCTTACACAAATTCCAAGCTAGCCAGATGGAATTGCTCGAGATGGTAGAACAAAATCCCCCCTTCTCCATTGATCCGTCTGCTGCTCAAATGTTCTTTTTGGTGTGGATTCATTGCCATTTGGTCAAAACAACAACCCGATCTTTCTCCCTGCAAATGCCTTGCTCTCTGCCTCCGAAGTCGCCAGTACAAGTAGTTTGACGCGATCGAGTCAACGAGTGTTGCTTTTCACATAGTACAAAGGTCGGTGGGGAGTTTTCCGTGTCGAAGAGAATGGTAGGTGGTGGCCTTGCACCTTTTGTTGTTTCCGAGGTTGGACGACGACGGCGACGGACGACGTTACTTTCCACCCAAGCTAGGGAAAGCAGATTCGTCGTCGACTGCAACCGGGGGACCGTCTCCGCGGCCACCACGGCCTCGCCCACGGGTCTCACCACGGTCGCCACGTCCTCGCCCACGGCCGCCACGGAAGTCCCCACGATCGCCTCCTCGTCCTCGGCCGCCTCCACGGCCGCCTCCACGGCCACGAGACTCACGAGGCTGCTCTTTGAAGCTGTAGTCGATGTCGAGGAACTCCTTCTTCTGTGCACGCTCACGTTCACGCCTGCCCTTCTCTTCACCCTTGAAGTAGTCCTCGCCTTCAGCTCTAGTTAGCTCTTTCGCCGCGGTCCATTTCTTGTTATCCTTTACCCCTTCGTTCGGTTGACGAGCTTCCTTGAGACCGAGGCCTTCCATCCTCTTGGCAGCTTGCTCGGCCAGATAGTCGGCATACGACTTGTGGTGATCCTGAGGCTCTTCTGCCTCCGGCTCTGCTGGGACCGAGTCTTGAACAGCCTCACCACCTTCGGGAATAGTGGTCGGTTCAGCATTTTCGTTCCACGCTGGGTTCTGGGCGCCAGCATCCCATCCACCTTGCTTTTCTTCTTCTTTTGCCAAGGCTTCGCCCGCCTTTTCATCGGCCCATTCGCCGTCGCCAGTGCTTTCACCCCATCCATGTCCCTCTTGTTTCGGGTGATTGCTGGCTTGGTCAGCACAGGAACGAGCAGTATGCTCAAGCACACTTACGCTATACCAGTACGACTGTGGCGGTCACCACCCCGACGAGGTCCACGCGGACCGCGACCGTAACGTTGCGCGCCAGGGCCTCGATCGCGACCAACACGATTGCCGTGGCCATCCTCGCCACCACCCTCGGTGGGCTGGTCACGATTGTACCCCCTGCCTGTGGCTCTGTCGCGGAAAGCTTCAGAGACAGTCAGCGACATGTAATTAATTTTAGATTCCAGTTGATGAGTTGCGTATGTATACCTGCTTCATTGGCACTGAAGCCACCTCCACGATGACCACCACGACCGCGGGGAGCTACAGTCGCGCGTTCGGCGGGAGCAGCTGGGGCTTCCTTTGGCGCATCGCGTTTACCGTGACGAGCGGCTGGCTTGTCAATGGCCTTTGTAGGTGGATCAGGCTCGCGGTCAGAATCCTGATCCGACGTATTTCCTGAATCATCAAAATCAATTGCGTGGAATCAAATGGCGCAGGTCGAGGATCATACCCAACAGCTCGTAGAGGTTCTAGAAAGATTGCTGTCAGCGATTGAACGCCAATGGTGATGACGGATGGAATTGTGGGAAATTCATGTTCAACTGATGCTCACCTTGCTCTTGACGTCCGCCATGACGTTTCCTCTCGAGCGCCTTCCGTGAAGGCTTCCTGTTAATGAAACTCCAACTTGGGATGAAGGAGATGAGACGCCCGACCAAGACAACGTCCTCAACTACCACGTAGTAGGACCTTGTCAAGTCGAGATGAGGTTGAGTCTGATGGAGCGGTGATGAAATTCAGCCAGAACCTCGGACGCAAGAGCGAAATCATCATGCGCAGATTTCGCAAACAGACCACTGGACGCGCTAACCACATTTGGAAGAATCTTGGCATTACTTAGGGCTAGGGCACGACGGCTTGGAATGGAGCAAACAGGCTGCAGGTTGCCTTTTTGGCTACTTACGAGAACCAAAGCCGCAAGGCAGCAAAAGCATTATATAAGTTTCCCGAGTTCGTGCAAAAGGTATCTACAGGGGAAGCAACAAAATTACTGTGGTCATAATTTTGCGTGTCGCTCTGAAAAATACGGGCATACACGCAGAAAACCCCTCGTCTCTTCAGCCTCTTGCCCGCTGGCTGGGCAAGCAAATGCACCATCGCTAAATGCCCGTTTGGTAGATGCTCATGAATCAATATCAACACTCATGCTCAGACTAGCATTGTGAAAATGCTTTTCGCGGTAAAACGCCCGCATCTTCACCGTCTGGCGTGTGTAGGTGGGTAAGGGTAAGGATTGGGAAAATGCATACTGGCAGTCAGACCAAAAGGGTCCGCATCCAGTATGGGATCGTACGGATCGATGGTAGCACCACCGCCACCTCCGCCGTCGCTAGCTGCACTAGTCGTCGTTGGAGGTGAGGCTTGCATGCCCATGGACATGCTCGCTGACGTGGTTGTAGGAGGGAGTCGAAAGTTCGGGATGAAGCTATCGGTATCGACGTCGTCGCCGTCTAGGTCGTCCAGAATATCGGCCTGCGCATCGTACTCCTGCTCTGTACTCATGGAATCAGTCTAGGACGAACAAAGCTCCACGTGCGGAAGAAGGGCAAAATGGAACGGGTCAGCTTGCCGAGTTGAGTGTAGTGTTTCTGGAATGAGGCTGAATAGTAGGTCTCTTGTTGAGTGCGTGGAGGATAAGCCTGTGATGTACTCGGCCCAGACAGAAGATGTCCCTGGGGCCTAGGCTGCGGAAGGAATGAGCCGCGATGCGGCGGAGGTACGGTTCGGCCCTGTGGCTGCTGTTGAGGCTGCTGAGTTGTCATCTCCGTTGCGGGTGAGGTCATCCCACCTTGCAAAGCAAAACCAGGCGATCTTGCTGTGGAAGGTGAGGAGTGCTGCGAAGGAGGAGTGGGCTGTGCTGTGGGTGAGCCTGCGAAAGTTCGCGTACCTCCAACATGGGAAGGAGGATTTACAGTCTGAATTGGGGGTGCCATCGTAGGTCGATGTCTCGTCTGCTGCTGTCTGTTGAGCATTGCCTTTTGCATTGGCGAGGCCTGCCCAGTAATGGGAGGCGCGCGAAGTGGTCGAAGGGTGGGACTCCCTTTGAGTGCAAGTTCGGCTTGGACATCGATACCTGGCAGGAAAGAGTTAAGGATTGAGATCTCAAGGAGGAGAAGGCGCAGGGCAGGGCAGGGCAGGGCAGGGCAGGGCAGGGCAGGGCAGGGCATACCTTTCTCAAGCAGAATCCGTTCAAGCAACGAATTCTTATACCGTAGCATTAGGCACTCGTCGGCCGCCGCGCGGTGACTCTGTTGGAGATTCTGGAGAGTTTCTTCATGGTGCTGGATGGTCGACTCGAGTTGTTTGATATACTCGGTCCGTCGTTCGCGAAAAGCCGCTTGCGCCTGACGATTACGTTGTTTGCGTTCCTCTGAGGTCGCATAAATCTGTGCGATCCGGCGAGTCAGTGATCGAACCCATTCCAGCAATGCTTCCCTAGGACTTACCGGCTTTCGGCCTCCTTTGCGCTTGGGCGCAGGAGCTGGCTCTTTAGACGTGTGGCCCGCGTCGCCTGCTGTGTCGTCCGCCGGCTCTGGGGTCGAGGCCGACGACGACGAATACCGTTCACCACTCGACTCCCGTTTTGGAACCACAGCGTCAGGTAGCGTGACGTCGGTGTTTGCGACAGAGCCCATTCCTTCTCCACGCAACCGAGTCTAATGCAATGTTCCTGGCATAAGCGCCGATAAGGAGATCGATTGTCGAGATACGCGACCAGGGGGAAAGCAAGAATAGACGCGCCGCCTGAGGTGAGCTGATATCCAACACGTAAAACAGAGAGATAGTTGACAACAGGAAATAGAGATAAGAGATGAAGGTGCAATGAACTGCCTGGGGATGAAACGGGGGTGAGGTAATCGAATGAGCTAACTGATTTTTACGGGAGGAAGAGGGAGCACGGGATGGTGTGGGAGGCAAAAGCAAGGCTTATGAAAACCGATGCAAGAGCGCTCCAAGAATTGGTCTTCGTCCCTGCTTTCCCGTGGGTTGCGCCCTTGTAAACCCCCAGCTCGACTGATTCAGATGTGACTTGGACTTCCGGCTGGGGAGGGAAAAAAGCCCTGGGACGACCACATCCGAGATGGCGGGAAAAAAAAAAGGCTCAAACAGGCAAGTTGGTTGGAACTAGAAGGTGAGGAGAACCAGACGATCTTTGCGCCATCAACCTCTCAGAATGAGGCGGTCAGTCTAGGCAAGTGGATGGGCACGTAAGTACTGGGTACAGCATTGCAGCGCCATAGGTCGTCTCAAAAGGCCAACAAAGCAAGGGAAGTAGGTCGAGCATTAGGCCATGCCTTTTGCTTGGGGAGGGTCCTTCACGAGGGCGAGAAAAGTTTTTTTTTTTCTTTCTCGAAACCGCGGAGGAGAATGGACCACGACGACATGAAGCAAGGGCTGGGATTGGAGAGAAGCCGGGCACGCGCCACGTGGGAAAAAAATTTTCACGCCGTGTTTTCCATGTGCGGGATCCAATGGCAGCGAGAGGCGTCCGCAAACTGTGCCTTGAAGGGGTTTAGCCGCGCCGACTAGCGGTTAAACAGGAAAAGTGAAACAAGGCTGATCCAACGTCAGGCGAGCGCCGGGCTGTAGGTGAGCTGCGTCAGATGAGCCTAATTCAACCAACGGCAGCGCTGCGGGAGGGCCTGGGCGTGCTGGGGCTAGCCTCTCCAAGCACCTCCAAGCACCTTCCGGGGTCCCTGCAAGTCTGGTAACATGCCCCCCAGCCCAGTTGCTGGCTCTACTACTTGTTAGTAACAAGGAGGTAGCCTGCCTAGGACTAGCTAGGACCTAGGTCGCCAGCTGCTCGCCAGGTGGCTTCCCCGCTCTTCCAGCGTCGTCTTTCTCCGTGGACCATGGACCTCCAAGACCTCCTTGCATCAGTCAACGTGTGATGACGCAGCTCTTTCGTGTGACAATCGTATTGCTTGACGACAGCACCAACGCGGGTGAGGGAAGAATACCAGTAGACATGATTGCCTCAGCTTGCACCTCAGCCAGCATCACTTCTAGTCCCCTTCTCAACACTTCTGCGTGCCTCCAGGGGGGGACTGACGGTCTGAGTTCCGCTCGTCCCAAGTCTCGATCATCATTCACCGCCAACTACACACATGACTGACTTGATGGGAGGCAAGGAGGCCAGGAGGCAAGGCGCAGACCAAGGCATCACCTGCACTACAAGTTGGCATGTTCGAATTGACTTTTGTCGCCAACCCGAGCTTCCGGAAAGCTTGAGGATGTCGCGGTCAACTGCCTTCTCCAGAGCTCCTGCGTTGGCCATTTTGACAGGCTGCGGGGTGGTCTGAAACTACATTGTGTGACAGAACGAGAGACAGGGTCATAATGAAGAATGGGTGAGTTTTGGGTGAGTGCACAATGATTGAATTGGAATTTGGGAGCAACTGGAGACTGCAGACAGAAATGGGCTCGTCCGTCCTGCCTCGTGCCCGGTGCCTGTCTTCTGCTTTCAGGGCGAAAAGCAGGCACATTCCTTCCTCCTGTCGCTGTCTCACGCATCATGTATGTACAGCAGGTGCTACTGGTTCCTGGTGCCTGTTCCCTCACAGGACCCTCTCCCGGGAGGGCTCATTAGCCTGCTACCCTCAGTCCCCAGCAAGAGAAAACTTGTAGCTCGACCCTCATTTCTTCGTTCGTGACCCGAGACTGCCACTTGACGGATTCAAGCAACCTCTTAATCGTATCCCTATCAAATGACTAGATCAAGCGACCCCTGATGGAGCATTCCACGGCCAAAGGTGAGGGATTCATCTGACACCTCCGGGAGCCGTCGCTCACCAAGCTTCAGCTTCAGATCCCTCGAAGCGATTCCATCTGCCTAAGCGAATGTCGACGGATGACGGAAAGCTAGCGCGATTTCCACTGGCTTCGATGGAGGCATTCACTCGCCCCATATCTGCTCTAGCCCGGCATCGAGTCCATCAACTTACAGACATACGAGAAGTTTCCGGCTCCTCCAAAACGGCGACACTGGGCCATTCAGTGCGGGAGTGGAATGACGGTTGCGTCGACAGACCCGCAACCCCCGCGCCGCCAGCGGACGCGCTTTCACATACCACCTCCTCCGAGTATCTTACACCAACAGCGTTTCGTTCCGGCCCCAGAAATTGTACAACCGGTCTTGGAAGTCGTGCTGCAAGCGCAGTCAGCCTGCCCCATAGACCCGTCCCCGAGCGCAAGTCTTCCGCCAGTATTCTCTCCCGGAGCCTTGGTGGTCCTGTACAGGCTTCGATGCGTGAGCTGCCCACATGGAGAATCGCAGAGCTGGATGGCGCCGACACCCTGGTCCGCGACAAAGGGCGAGCCGAGTCTCCCGTTCGGCGATCAATAGGTCGTGCGGCTCAATCATCTGAGATTCTCCGTCCTGCCTTCACCCGCACCTTCATTCGCACCTCGCCTCCGCACGAAGTATTGGACCACGGCAGCAGTCGTCACCCTCGGGTAGAGCTTTCGGTCAGCGTTCCCTCACCCCTTTTTGTAGGAGGTGGTACGGTGGAAGGACAACTCACCCTTCAAGTGGATGGCGGAGTTGCGAGAAAGCCAAAGACGAAACCCATCTACATCTCCAAAGCTTGCGTGGATGTCATTGGCGTGGAAGAAGTCAATGATGGCCGACGCTGGGTATTTCTGTCGCTTGCAACAGAACTGTTGGACAGAGAGAATCCTCCTCCACCTTCCCTGGTCACATCGCAGACCCCTGAGCCTGGTGCAGATCTGTGGTGGGAGATGAAGTCGGCTTCGTCGCTCATTCCCTTCTGCGTCAACCTGCCTCTGAAGCTCGGTCCTCCTCCTTACGCTTCGAGACAAGCTTCTATTCGTTATCTCCTGTGCCCTTCGATTGTGGTCAAGACCGGAGACAAAAGAACCGTGATCAGACAGACATAGAATGTTCAGATGCTCACGGTTCACGATCCTGAGAAGGCATTGGCAAGTCTGGCGAGTCCGCTTTTGGCCGCGGATACACTGTACCTGGCTAGAGAGCCTGATATCCAAACAGTGAAGTTGACCGCTGGCCTTCATCGCCAGACCTGGGTCAATGGCGCGTTGATCTTCGTTGACATCCACATTGCAAACAACACGGCCAAATCAGTCAAGAAAATCGAGGTCCAATTGGAGAAGACGACGCTCTGGTATACACACGCTCCAGCTGGTACTGCAGAGAAGAGCGCAAATTATCTTCGTCTTCCAAAGCGGACAGACACCGAGATTGTGGGCGGAACCACCCTCAAGAAATCAAACACTTGGAAAGGAGTGCCGTCTCATTCATCAGATGTTCGCACAATTGAACTAGAAGCCCCGCGCGGTCACGTAACCATCAGCACCGGGAGGTATTTCGAGGTTCGGTACTTTGTCAACGTCGTTGTCACGGTGAAACTGTTCAAGACAGTGGCAGTCCAACTTCCTGTTACAATCATACCTATCAACTCCTTGGATATCTTACCGAACTCGCTCGCGCAGGTTGCCGCTTCGATCGAAGCGAAGAGATCCAAAACCGTACCAGCTCCACCTGCTGATCCTGGTCATGCAGCCTATCACCAAGGGCAAGCCTTTTCAGTTCCAGTCCGACGCTCCGCCGAGCGTGTGAGAGAAGAAAGACCAATGCTGCCGGGTGATCTGGACAGCCTAGCCAATGATATTGAGAGGTCTCCTCGCAAATTAGTGCATACCCATAGCCATTGCAGGGGAGGTCTTTCCGGGACGACCACAGACGAGAACGCCGCTCCGGGACGCCCAAGTATGGCGTCATCATCACACCACCATCTCCATAGGCATCCGAGCTGTTACCACTGCCATATCACGCCCGAGAACTCTTCTCCACCAAAGCCAATAGGTCCGCGCTTACCTCGACTCCAGGTCTCGACATCTGGTTTAGGATTCTCCGAATCCGAGTTTGAGATCCCCCCCGATTCGCCACCTCGAAAAGTCATGCTGAGTGAGCAAGAGCGGAACATGATCAACCAGCAGAGAGAGCTTCAGAATCGACAACAAAGAAGCCAGTGGGTACCAAAGAGACCGAGTGGGGAGAAGAAACGAGGGGACGAGCCACGCACGTCAAAGGATCAGCCCAGTTACACCAACGTTGTGGCGGATCCAAATGCTGGGCCTAAACAATGTGATTTTGGGAATCTTAGCCCCGGAGTCAGGAAGTGGGCCAATGGCACGGCACTTCAAAAACCAATGCTTTCATCCAGCGGGCCTGCAGTCCCCAGATCAAGGTCCAAGACAAACCCTGAGGGACCGAGATATCGTACCAGCATCAGCAAACCGCGGCGAAGATCGAGCACAGACAGACACGAATGTGCTCGTGCATCAGTCGATGGACCAACATATGGTGCGATGCCTCGCAGATTTAGCAAGGACATGGCGCAAAGAGGAAGCTTGGATCAGTTATTTTGAGTTCTCAAGGTGTGGTTGATGGATTGTTTGGCTGGAATATGATCATTGCCGTATCGGTCGACAGCATGGGACAGTTGTATCGGGCTTTGAAGCAGTGTACTGGGTATGTGGAGCCTGATGATATGGTACGAAGCATGGATCATCAGGGTGTAAAATATACAATAGAATCATAGCAATATACTGGCTTCGCAGCCTTGGGGAATTGATCCAGCACGTATGATAGGCCAGTCCGTGACCGAGGTTGGATTTCGGTCCATGGCTCAGCCTTGCCAATTCCCCCCATCTTGCTGCGAGTCAGCGTCCTTCGTGTCATTTGCACAAACTAGTGGCAAGTCATCGACTATGATGTCGTTTGGGATATCCTCGGTGGTGTCGGTATCATTTAAATTTGGAGTGGGCAATGTCATACGCAGTACAGGCCAGCCCACGGCCATCCAGTGCATCAAGGTGCCGTCCGAGAGGCAAACGAAACCCGAGATAATCAGGCAATCTCTACCAGAAGCTCTCAAAATCGCCAAACAGGAGCCGATTTCGAAAATCAGCCTGCAGCCTCGAAGAACGCCACCAGGCGGGCAAGTCCCCTTCACTGCCTGTTAAGCACAGGGGCGGCGACCTTACGCGTTACACAACGGCGGCGTAACGCTGTACCTATCTTTGGTTCTATCTTTCCTCCTCAAGGGGAGGGAGTTGAGTGCTGAATCTCGAAGGAAGAGACGATCTTGACCGCGTGGATTTTCGTGATCACTCTCACACCCCGTTTTGTTTTTTTTTTGTTTTTTTCTCAGAAGGGTCTTTGACTTTGCTTTGCTTTGCAAAAGGAAAGGAAGGGGAAGGGAACGAAAGAGACATTGCGATGGCCGAGATCAAGGACTTCAACAGCCTCTTCAGGCTCGATGGGAAAATCGCCGTTGTTACTGGAGGTGCGTTATTCAGCTCTTTTCAACATTTCGTTTTCGATATACACCAGCCAAGACAAGATTTCTTTTCGTCGTGTTATGCTTTCCCCGTAATCTTCCATGTGCCTTTTCTCTGCTGCTGGTCAGATGGAGGTCATCTATCCGTCCTCCCTCCCTTCCCCATGCTTTCCCCCCCTCCTTGAACAAACTACGAGACCCCCCAAAAGGGGTCCGCAGAAATCGTTTCTTGTCTCGCACGAACGCTCACACACCATGACGCTGGCAAACAGGCTCCCGCGGCATCGGCCTGTACTGCGCGACCGCCTTCCTGCAGGCCGGCTGCTCCAAGGTGATCATCACGGCGCGCAACGCCGAGAATCTCGCACAGGCCGTCACCCAGCTCAACGCGCTGCCCAACATCCAGGGCAAAGCCGTGAGCATCCCAGCCAACGTGGGCCATACGGACCAGATCGAGAAGTTCGTCCGGGACGTGCAGACCGAGATCGAGCGCGACGAGAGGCCGGGCAGGGGCCTGGATATCCTCGTGGCGAACGCGGCGGCGAGCTGGGGCGGGCCGTTTGAGAGCTTCGACGATTGGAAGAGCATCAAGACGTTGGATCTGAATGTTAGGGGCGTGTTCAATTTGTGCCGGCTGTATGTCCTCTCTTTCCCAAATGGCCCATCCCATTACTCTGCTATTTTGTTGCCCTTAGGGTCTTGCTCCTCCCATCTTGCCCTCGATGTTGATGTGGATGACGAGTACGGATCACTGACTTCTTCTTCTCGTTCGATGCATCGACACAGGATGGTCCCGCTCCTCTCCAGCGCGGCGACGCTCGAAGACCCGTCGCGGATCCTGATCACGTCGTCGGTCGGTGGGATCATCGTGCCGCACGTCGGGGCGCGCGGCGCCATCATGTACTCCGTGTCCAAAGCCGCGGCGCACCACCTGGGGCGCAACCTCGCACTCGAGCTGATCCCCAAGAACATCACCACGAACATCATCGCGCCGGGCTTCTTCCCCAGCCGCCTGGCGAACCCGCAGATCGACTACCTCGGCGGCGAGGACGTCGTCGGCAAGCAGAACCCCGCCGGCCGCCTGGGCAGGCCCGAGGACATCGCCGGCCTGGTCGTCTATCTGTGCAGTCGCGCCGGCAGCTATGTCAACGGAGAGGACATCTCTGTCGATGGCGGCGCGAGGTTGAGGGTTGGCACACATCCGGGCAGCATGGATGACAGGGGAAAAGCGGGGAGTAAACTGTGATAGGGGCAGATAGAGGGAGATCGGTCGAATGAATTGGGATGAACGGATAGACAAAGACGGAGCAGGACGAGGCAGCTGTGCTGCGCATGGATCGCTCATTCAAACGCAGAGGACATCTCGACTGTGCTCGTGATTTGATTGCTGGACGGTGGCCAGCTTCTTCAAGGTGGCCCAGCGCCTCGCTCGCTGGACTTCCTCCAAGCCTTCGTCGTGTGTCGATCTGCTCCTTCGTTTCGACACTGGGATTGCAACATAGACACAAACAAATGATTCCTCTCTCCTGACTTGACTCGACTAGCTCGCTATCCGCCCTCCCAAAACCCCACCGGCTCTTTCACCAGCACCAAACTCGCTCCGATCCCCTCGCTGTCCAGAGGAATCTCATCGACCTCGTCCTCGCCCTTTGCCTCGGCGAAAAGCCTGACCTCTCTGATCCCCACGCCCCTCTCTTTCAACCACGCTTCATCCTCTTGATCCCTCGGTGCGCGAATCACGACGCCAACCCTGCCTTTTAGGCGCCCCATGGCCTTCTCGTCCGGATTTGGCGTGCTGAGCAAGAAGCTCACGCTCGTGGTCGGACGGTACCTGTACCCGCCCTGGACTTTCGGTTTCATGCCGAGAACGGCGGTATACAGGCGTATGTAGCTGTCAATCTTCTCCTCGGGGACGAGTACCTCGACTGAGAGGATCCCCCTCGCCCCACAGGGGTGCGTCTCGGATATTTCTTTTTCAGAGTACGGCACTCTCAGGTTCCGATCCGTCACGTCGTGGCAGAAGAATGGCGTATCGAGTCGTCCCGTTGGGAAGTATTTGTCCAGCGGTTTAGGTACGTTTTCCGCAGAATCGTCCAGGAGCGGCTTCGTGACATGCCATTGGACGTCTTGGCCATCTTTGCGCTTGCGACCGCCAAAGAGGGGAGGCCTATAACGCACTCCCAGTCCACCGTCACCAGCACCAGTATCGGATTCTGAGATTCCCTCTGTCGAGGAGGTCTGGGCTTGGGAAGCAGGCTGTGTTTTCGACTCTAAGCGCCGCATAACCTCGTCAAAGGTGTCCTGTGCGGAAGAGGGTGTCGTGAGTGCAAAGTCAATCAGCCCGGGTGATTTTGGTGCCCAGTCGAAGAATTCTTTGGGCTCGGTGATCCAATTTATCAGTTCGATGTAAGTACCGTCAGGAAAGATGATGAGTTTGTTCCGGGAGGAGCCGCCTTCGCACAAGGAATGTTAGATGCCATTTAGATCGTGAATGAAGGGGATGACGAAAAAGGGAAGACGGGACACGAAATCCAGAGGGTGAGGATTCATCCGTCTATAGCGAACAGATTCGCTGCCCTCTCATCGATGAACATACCGGCATGTGTCCCGCCCTCAATGACGGTAAAATTGTCACTCAACCATGACGGCAGGCTCTCGAAGTCCGTCGTGTCCAGCAACAGAATCACATGGTCGAAGCTATACGACGAGATTGTTTCACCCGTCATGGCGCTGGCACCGATGGTTGACGAGATATGATCCAAGGAGCAATAGACAGAGCGCCTATCAACCAGTCAGGGAAACGGAAAATGAGCTCGGGAAGGCGTTTCCTTCAAGGACTGGACTGTTGGCGCCCCGTTGTCTGACAACTCGCTCTTGGGAATGATGGTCGGGAAGAACGGAAAAGAAGACAATTTCAGCTGCTGCAAACGTGTTACTATCTTTTTCGGACGGTGAGTGATGTTTCGACAACCTACATATACGCGGTCGAATTACTGGTTGATTGATTGATAGACAGACAGACAGCTGTTCCGGCTGAAAACAAAGCACCGCAAAGTATCTTGCAGGTCCCGGATTTCAATGTTCACCCGACGGCTTACTTCAGACAATGAATGACTACTTGAGAGTCTAGTTAGGAGCCGAGATCTCCTTGCGGCATGAGGATCGCGATGAGTCAGGATTTGGACATGTCGACTGAGGTGGGAAGCACCGGATGAGGTAGAATACGAGGAATACGGCGTAGGCAAACGTGGCAAACATGGTATACGTTTCTAGGCATGTTTGGCACGTTTGAGGGTGAGGCTGAGATTCATGGTCGGTCGGGAGACGCAACTGAGAACATGACACTGATGCTGAACGGCAATAGAGCGACAACAGTACGGCAAATATATACACAAAATTCATCTTTTCCATTTGCATCAGGCCACCCATGGTGGACTACTGGCATGGAGGCTAGAGAGCCCAGTCGAAGTAGATAAAATACCTCGCCTCCACTGGTCTGTTTTGGCGCTACTCTTCATAGTTGAGAAGAGCCCTCTCACCTTGCGTCTCGCATTGCCGCCTGCGTCTTGCATCTTGCATCTCTGCCCCTTTCCTCCAACCTCAATATCCTTGCCGCATGCCGCAATGAAGAAGCTCCCAATTGCCGTGGCAAAATAGCGGACATCCAAATATCTGTGCTTGATCGTCGTTTGGTGCTTCCCGAACTGCGGCTGCGGCGCACTATCATCATGCATTTATGCAAATCGGAGACGTCGATGTCAACCTCCGACTTTGCCCTCATCCCTCTATTGTTCTGAATCGACCCGCATCCCGCGTTCTACCTCATAACCTCCAAGATATTGGTCATATTGTACAGTAGTAGTTCGTGGACTCCATCAAACACCATCGCCAAAAAAGAGAAGCAATGTGCTCGCATATAACGGCAACCTTCTAATCCGTTTCCTACTCCTTGGTCGTCACTGACTGCTGTTTGTTTTGGAGCTTGATGTCCGTCTTCGTGGCAGGTGTATCGTCCGATTTGTTGGTCACATTGGAGAGACTGATGGCGATTTTCCGAGGTCTTCGGCCGTCGACGTGATTCTCGCTCTCCGTGTTACCTGTCGACATTGGAGAACTCTCGCCGCCTGCTTGCTTCGATCGCAAGAAGCCCTTTTTCCGCCGTAATGTGCCTTGGGACGAATGACTGGAAGTACTGGAAGCTGAATTTCTGCGTTTAGGACCACCAGAAAGCTTGCCGAGTTCATCATCATCGTCATCTTCTTGCCGTCTTCGTTTCTCCGTCATCCTTTCCGGAGGTTGTTGTGATTCACTTTCGGCAATGGACTTAATCTCCGGTGACGGCTGCAGCTTCTTTTCGGGTGTTGCTCTTGCTTCGGGAGAAGAAACGTCCTTACTGCTGTCTGGGGTTAGTGGAGTGTTGGGTGTCGCATCAGTCTTGGCATCCATTGCTTCGTCCTCATCATCATCAGGATAATCTACAAGCGGCTTGCTGATCGGACTGGCGCTCCCATTCATCATTTCAGCCTTGATCCGTTTACGGGTCCACTGGTTCACCCTTTCCGACACGTCCTTTATATTGTCGCGTTCAGAATCTTCCTCCGCTTCATCCTCTTCATCATCGGAGGCGTTGAAATAGTCCTCTTCGCTCGCATCCATTTCTGGTAGACCTTGCCACCGACCATTGATATGTGTCCGACCCATAGGCGGCGTTGCATCGTCCTGACTAAACAACGTATGTTCTGGCTCCGGGTGGTCGGTCGTCAACTGCTCGTACCTTTTGAGAAGATTCTCAAATGTGTCGACATAAGTAATGTCCTGAATCTTTTGCCGATAATGCTCCCCAAGATGGATAACGATCGGCTTTATGGTCTCCTTTCGGATAAACTCGAACATTTCCAGGCATGCTGAATTGAGGAGATTATCCCGCGGCATAGTGTCGATGACAATTCCAAGAATGGCGTCGAAGGCTCCACTTTTGATGATCTGTGCGGCATAAAATTGATCTTGTAATGAGACTGCTGTCCTGAAAAACTTCAATGCCGTCAGTTTCAGCGGTTTCTGGGGCACCTGCAACAGCTGAGCTACTCTCGGCGCCAGATTCTCAGACAGGACAAAAGGCCGACTTCTCATGGAATGTTGTCGCACAAAGAACGTCAATATCTCTACCAAGTATGAGAACAGCGACACTTCTTGGTAGCCAAAATTCAGCATCGAGTCCCTAGATTCGAGCTCTTTCAGTGGTTGGAACAACTTTCGGCACGATCGGTCAAAGTTATCCTGCGCAAACTGCTCATTCGCTTGCTGAATTGGAGTCATCTGCGGCCTCGAGAGTTTCGTCATGAATTCGGAGTTTTGCCGGTTGCCCATAGGGTCGTTGGAAGGGGGTTGCGGATCCAGCAAGATCTTGATCGCGTCAGCCAGTTGGTTTTTCACCCCGAGATCCGTTTCAGCATGCAGCAAGTCGATCAGTGTGTCGGTCAGTGGGACCTTTCTTTCGGATACAGCCTTGAGCATATAACCTCGCATCATATTAGGGTCGTGGTCGAGAAGCGCCACAAGGATGTCAATGCCAGTCGTTCTCATTGACGGCTCCGGATGCTTTACCGCGAAAGTGATGACTGAAAAGAGGCCGTGTGCGATGAAGTTGTTCAAAAGATTTGCTCTCGACTGCATCTGGAGGGTCTTCGCAATTGCAGCGCATTGCTGCAAGAAATGCACCGCCTGTTCTTTCCGCTTGATATCTGGATTGTCATTGCTGAAAATGGCAAAAAGCTCTTTCAGGAAAGCAGTGTTGCCTTGGAGATGTTGGACAATGTCGACCTGATTAAAGAAGATGAGGGAATTCAAAACTCCAAAGGTGGGATCGTCCAGGATGCGAGCCAGTACCACGTCCTTCAGGTACTGCAGCCGCCATGTTTGCCGGATTTTCCGCTTGATGTTTTGGTCTTTGATTTCCACCACCTCTTTATATCTTGATTCATCCGATAGATATTGTCTATGGTTGGCTTTGTGCGTGGGAAAGTCAGGATCGTACTCGAGTGCTCCGACGACTCCAATGATGATGTCGTCCGTGACCAAATGCTCGATGATGGTGTTATCATTCATCAGAATCAGGGCTTTCATGATATTGCACAGTCGATGGAGATCCGGTAGACTTTCGAGGTCCTCCGCCATTTCCACCAGTGGTATTAATTTGAGTAGATACTCTTCGCGGATCAAAAACTTGGCCAGAGCTTCGCGCCCGCCCTGGGTTATGCTCGCGTGTCTTATACTTTGTTCGATCTCGTCCAGATTGTTCAACTCGGGTGGATTGAGGGTGAAGGAGCTGGAGATATTTTCAAGGGCATCGTCCGAAAGACCGTCATCTATACACCAATTCAGCATACAAGTCTCAGAGGGAATCGCACTAAAGGCTTACCAGGAAGGGATAACAACTGCTGCTGGACTTGGTGTACAAAATCCCTGTTGCACCATTAGAATATCGCGCAACCAAGATGAGCGGTGCGCGTACCATATCACTGCACAACCTTCCGCCTCCTGGAAACTGAGGGCCATATCGGTGCCATTGGTCTCGGTCCACACAATGAGTGTGTCTAACACGCGTCAGTCGACCACAACTCCTTCATTTTGTCTTTCGAATTATCTACCTTGTTGCTTCTGATATCCATCGTCTTTAACAATCCGAGTCTCTAATAGCATGCGATCGGGCTGGTCTTCGGACTCGACGTAGATGCGCGGTTCATCCTGCGACCCCCAGTTGTTAGCGCGTGTTTCTTTTTCCTCCTCACTGACACAGCGACTCCAGACTCTACGAGGTGACAGAGGGTTGGGAGCGTACATTAATGACTTGACCTGTGCAAAAACCAGTCCCTCTATCAAACCAGTCATTGTCGCGCAGCTCATAAACTTTTACTCGCTTCTTGTCGTTGGCAAGCGGCGCCTGCATTGCCATGACTGAAGGAGAGGGAGCAACGAATGAACATCAGCAGGCAGCGACCCTGAAACAGCTGCCGATTTCGAGTTCGATGAGGTGGCGAGATGCGCAAAGTTGAGGGAGGTTCGGGTTCTCGTGATTCAGAACAGGTGGCGCGGGGTGGATCTGCGATCGAGACAAAGTGACGGCCGATAGGAAGAGACAAGCGCGCAAAGCTCCAGGCCGCGCTCGAAGGTCGGATCGATGAATGGATGGATGGATAAACGGCGTCTATTACAGCGAGCCGGTCAGAGGTGATGTTGAGGAAGGTGAGATGGAATTCCTGGGAATGACGTGCAGCCGACTCGTTGGATGCCTTGTCGCGATAATTTTGTGACAAGAGAGATGGAAAGTCCGTCAGTGAGCAAAGGCTGAGCCTGGGCCCGGGCCCTCAGCAGGGCCCTTTGAACTAGGTACTGAAAATGCACAGACGCAGTGGTGGAGCACCGGCTTTCCGAGACCGACAGCTACCCACCAGGTAATACAGGGTAGGTTACGTGGACTAGCGAGATAGTGTGGGAAGACTGTTTGAAAGGTCCACGCTGGGCGAGAGCCCCAGAGGCAGAGAGCGATGGTGGTCTCGATCAATTCCTCCTGTGATGCTCTCTTGTCTCTTCTGAGCTTCTTCGTGTTGATGCAGCAGGGCGGCGTTGTGGTGCGACAAGCAGAATGCAGAGCACAGTTGGGGCGCAGGAAGAAGGAGCAGGTGACGGGGAAAGAATAGGCGGGCGGCGGGAGGCGTGGGTACAAGTAGAGGACAATAGTTGATGCAAGACTTTCCTTGTTAGAGGGTGAAAGATGGCGAATGCCAGGAACCTGAAGCTGGTCTTGTCATGGGAGCCCCTGGGAGGGAGGCGGGAGGCGGGTGTCCGTTGTGTGCTTTGGTGCTTTTTGGGGAGGAGGGGGTGTCCCCCTCCGTGGGTGGTGGCCCCTGTATGTACCTTCCCCCCCTCCCCAAAATTAAATCGATGGGGCAGCCTTTGGCCAGTGACTTTGTCCACGTGAGCCTCACCAAGTCCATGTGACATCATGCAGCGGGCACCTCAACTAACAAGTAGAAGTAACAGATACGAGGTGACAAGTACTTGCACCCCACTGTACTGGGTAGTCGGTACGTTTTTAGTTGCATGCCATTATTATTAGCACCAGGGGCCACCAAGGGCCACTTTTGCACCACTCCAGCTATATCAAGTGACGTGAGTACTAGCATTCCTCTGACCTGCCCGCATCTCCTCATACCAAATATTATTGCGGTCATCAAAACGTCCATGTTGCAAATTCAGGACGCTTTTGTCCCTCTCACACACTCTGTCGAAAATTACTAGTATATCGCCACTGCTCTCTTCCACCATCTGTCGCCTTTCCACAACCCGATGAATCGTGATCCTTCCTGATTCCACGTCCACCAGCCTTCATCCTTTCCGCCCGGTCCAAACCCTAACCCACGGAAAAAGCTGATTGGGACAGGCTCGTAGAGCCATAGCCCACATGCTGCAAAGTCGTTGACCAATAATGGCCCTGTGAAGTAAAGATAAGTTACCACAACCAGCGCGTTAACTGTCTGCCGAACCGCTAGCGGAAGTTTCTTGACCCACGGAACGTGTCTTTGTAAGAGTTTGACCACGAAGGATTGTACGAGGATGCCAACGCCCTGTAGGAAAAAGTACAACAACGCGCCAGAGAAGGGACGAGAGACGACCAAAGAGAATGCGGTGTGGCTAGCACTCGCGTGGATTGATCCGGACAGCGTGAATGCCATCAGAAGCTGAATGGTTCGAGCAGCCTGGCCACGGGGATTCAAATGCAACTTCTCAACCAAGACTCTCGACGGCTCTGAGACGGCAAACCGAAACATCTGGTGCCAACATTTGCCCCAAAACCCTGCCAGGCCCGAGTACATGACCGAGGTCGATAGTCGCTGCCAGTAATTCGGATACATCCATGGTTCCAGAAGAGGCGCCTTCGTAATCTTTGTTACATCGACAAGGGCTGGAAGGATAGTGGCGAAGAACAGTGGGCTCAGGCTGAAAATAAACTGCAACGCAAACACCACCGCGAACAGGGTAGTCCAACTTCTGACCCAGCGTGTTGCGATAGGGATAATATCATTGGCCCGAGCAAGCCACGGCCAGGGTGACGGCGACTCCAGTGGCGTCAGGCCCATAAAGTACGGGTCTGTAATCATGACCGTCTTCAGAAAATCGACAACGAGATAGGTTGTGACGAAACCTCGTAACGCCCTCCATTGCAGGGCCCGGCTTTTGTCATTGCTAACTCTAATGGTAGACACCACTTCAGATGTGTCGCGCGGTATGGAAGGATCAATAGGCCCTACTGTTGGGATGCGATGTTGCCAGCCCACGGCTCGAAAACTCGTTATCAAGTCGACCGTCCAGTCAGTGACATGGAACCAGCCCGAATTGTAAGGGAATCCCGTCCATACCAACTCGTATGATTGTGAGGGAGGCTTCTCAGGGAAGATCTGCTTGGTATCGGAGGATGGATGCACATTGGCCACCTTCCGGTTTGTCATGGCAACACCCTGACTTAGGTCGGTTGACCAAGATAATGCTGCGGACCTGGTCCGGTCGGAAGCTGCAGTCTCGGTCTTGAGTGCTCGCATTTCCAGCCTTCTGAAATCTCGCGCCACATTGTTGCACAAGAGAAGAGCTCCAGCCATGATGACGCCCCAGGCAGTCAATAATCCAATCCCATAGCCAGCACCAATCCAGAGTGTGCGGCGATGACATACCGTGTAGATTCCCTGAGAGAGAATGATAACGAAAGTGATATATCGGACAGCTTTGGCCAGCTTGGGAGAAAGTCTGGGGGTGAATGCTATAGCAAGGAACAGATATAAGGCTGGTAGTGAATCCCATGGACAGAGAAAGGGAGTGTACCCGCCTGTCGATATTGCCGCCTCGTATAGGCGTTGACGTCTTGCGAGAGTTTGGCGATACAACGAAACATATTCGTCGGCCATGGCTGACTAGGTCAAAGACATCTCAGGGGGGGAGGTATTCGTATGGAAAGATAGTAATACTTGCGAAGACTGACAGAAGTCAATTCGGCGTTTGGAAGTCATGACGTCTTGAAGAGGGAGAGGATCTAACCGTCCACGATGAGCTCCACAGCTCAACTGAATATGGCAACCGCTTGATCAATAACTATTATATTTTGTTCCAACTTCAGCGGGGACAATACATTTCCACTGGTGAATAACCGTCGAAGAGGCTCTGAAAGTGCCAACGGAGGAAGTGGCAGAGGCTTGACAATGCGTCAGGCTGCGCTGCCCTTGAAGAAATATTTGCTTTGAGGTTGAATGAGATCTCTGGTTAGAAGAAAGAAAAAAAGGGTCTCTATGCCTTGGACTAGTGAAACTTAGACACTCAGTTTAATATACAGCTGGTGGAGTTACCTGTAGAGAGATATCGTTCGATTATTGCGCCGTCGACTGCTTTTCCATCAGTCCACGTGGTCCGAATCGGGTTTGGACACAAACTCGACTAGCCACCATTTCAGCCACTTTTACTTTCCTCGAAACTGAACCATGTCGGTCTACACTGTAGTCAACTGTAAGTGCGGAGTACGAGGGTTAACAGTCCGTCCCCTCCCCGCCATGGATCTGGTCGAAGGCCTACCACCGTCATGCTACTATGTTCCCAGTTTCATTACCCCGTCGGAGGAGGAGCACATCCTCAACGCCATTCACAAGCTGCCCGAGTCACGGTGGACTGTCCTAAGCCATCGGCGTCTGTTGTCCCTACCCTCCACCTTGACCGGTTCTGCCCGTGATACTCTCCTTGCTGCCCCCATGCCAGCTTTCCTCGATGCGATAGTCACCCGTCTCCAACAAGGCCAATATTTTGAGACTTCTACACACAAGGCCCCAAACCACGTCCTGATCAACGAGTACAAACCAGGAGAAGGAATCATGCCTCATGAAGATGGGCCTGCATACGACCCTATCACTGCGACAGTGAGCCTGGGCAGTCATACTGTACTCGAGGTCTACAAGAAGAATGAAGGCGGCGAACGAGAAGTGAAGCCCACATGGCGAATCTTGCAGGAGCCTCGCAGTCTGCTGGTGACCACGGGCGAAATGTACGTCACCACACTGCACGGCATTTCTGAGATCCAGATGGACGAGGATCTGGACACCAAACAGATCATCAATTGGCATCTTCTCGGAGACCGACGACCGTATAACACCGGACAAGCTCGGCGGCAAACGCGCATCAGTCTCACCTTACGTGACGTGATCAAGGTTGCCAACCTAGGGGGTGCTTTGAAATTCATGAACAAAAGGCCATAACGTCGGCTCTCCTATTTCTGGCTCTTCGACAGAATCTCTCCCCGCGGTGCTGGCATCATGGCTCCTTCGGCAGGCTGGTGTTTGCTTTTGAAATCATCCACCATCTCCGCCATCGTCACCCATTCAACGCCTTCGTGCTTGTTGATGTGTTCGATCAGTCTCTCATGCATGAGCAAGACATGCGGTCTTCCCGATACATCGGGATGGATTGTCATGGGGAAATAAAACCCCTCTTTCTCCTCTCTGTAAAAATAGTCGAAATGATCCTGCCAACAGCTCAGAATTGCCGAGATGGACAGAAAGATGGTAACTACTTACCCGCCACAAATCTTCAACGTCCCTCGGGTTGACCCATCCATGGCTATTTGGCACTTTCTTCTGCACATGACGGTCAGCCTCTCTGAAGAGGACGTGGCCAGGAGCAATTCCTCCACCGATTCCGCCAAAGCAGTTAAATCGGTCAAAACTTACCATGAACATCATCGGCGGCAAATCATCCAGGTACCAGTTTGCTGGGATCTCCACAAGCCCCGTCTCCGCGCCCTTCGTGAAGGGTTTCATCCACTCTGCAGCTGTTTTGGTGTAATCGATCTTTGTCCAGTTGTCCCCGGTCCGGAGGTAGTATGCTTGACAGTCATGGTGACTCATGCTGTGATCATACTCAATGCCATAGTGGAGCAGTAATTCTGTCGCTTCTCTGCTGACTTCCCACCAGGGAGCGACGATTCCCCGAGGCGTCTTTCCATGACAGAAATCTGTGAGCATTCGGTATGTATAGTCAAGGACATCGCGTTGCTGTTCGAATGACATATCAACCGGATTCTCATGGCTGTATCCATGCAACCCTATCTCGTGCCCAGCATCCCGGATCATAGCACATTCTTCCGGAAACGTTCTGTTTACGCAGCAAAGTCAGCTCGGCATGGAGTCGAAAGCTGCCTATCTCAGCACCGCCTCCCTCTTGATCGATGTTCACGCTTGCAGCTGGGGTGTTGAGTGGCAAACACTTACTCTAAGCTGTGGCCAGGAATGAACCAAGACGCCTTAATGTTGTATTTCTCAAACAGCTTCAACAGCCTTTTCACACCTTCTGTACCGGCGAAATAGCCTACTCGGACGCGAGATGGAAATGTTCTTATCAGCTCTCTGCAGTAGACTGCGTCTGGCATCATTCGCCGGCAGCGGATTCCGTGTCATGCGAGCTAACAATGCCTGGTCTCTACATACCTCGAGAGATGTCACTGGTCGAGTCTTCGCCCTTGTATGAGCCCAACCATCCTGCTATTGCGTCTATATCGACACCGTAAGACACCAGGACTCGTCTCTTGGGCTTCGATGTGTTCTCAGACATTATGTCGATTGATCACAGATATTTCCTAACTGCGACGGCAACCTGACTGACACCCAAGTCTATTCGAGCAATACTCAACAAAACCAGTTCGCCTGCAGAGAGAAAAACCGAGTGAACGGGTACAATATCGATCACGCCCATATTCTACTCCCGTATCTGGAGATGTCCGCCTGGTCCTTCTGGATGACGTCTAGTGAATATCCGAACATCTCCTACATCATATCCACTACCATGTCTGGGAGGATCCATGCGAAAGATGCGGAGAGGACATATCCACTGTCACTGGGGTAAATGAACTCCAACCCATTCTTATCTCTTTGCTGAGATCAACAAATCATGGTTGACGGCTTATAACGTAGCCAGGGGGTTTAAAGCAGTCGGCATTTGTCTCGTTCAGCCATGCTCTTCACATACCGCCCTCTCCTTCATTCGTGCTAAGCTTGTGGTTGGTGCAAGCTTCGAGGCGGGTCTCGCAAGGGATCGGGTCGTTGACGATAGTACCGACCTTGGCGACATTGAGAACATGGGCATCGCCATTTTTTTTTTGGAGGGGGTTATCTGAATATTGACTCGACAGCCTTGCCTTGGAAGTGTCCCGTTCCATTTAGCTGCTCGAGTTCCGATACCAGTTCATCCCGGACTCCAGAAGTCAGCCGAATTGTCATTCAACCCAGGATTAACTCAATCTTCGAACACGGACTGCGCAAAGATGCCCGAGAAGGAAGAAAGCTGGTTCTCAGCCTCAGGGGCCTATATTTAGTGGAATGCAGGGTTGCGTGCTGCGCCGCATAGCCCACAACTCCGTTTTCTGCACACATCATCAACGGTAAGTCTCTTCCCTTGACACTTAGAATTGGATGTAGATACCCATCTTGAATTGAACCTCCAGATCTGCTCGCAAGACCTCAATCAATGTACAACATATACTAGAACTCAGACCACCTAGAGACCTCACTAGCCCTATCGGCCTTGCGATGCAAGGATTTGTAGGCAAGATCTGACGCTAGGTGCCACTGTATGCCCAATACAGCTCTATCCTCGATCCGGCACAATCGAGCCGCCTCAGAGTTAATGGATGAATCCAACGGCATAACCAATGAAACCCTCAATGTCTTCCTCCGCATAGTCGTCCTGCCACTCTCCGACCTCAATGGTAAACCCTCCCACCCAAGCATTTTTTGCACCATCTCCTTTCAAAGCATCAATACCGGCGTTCGAAGGAAGCAATCTAACGGTCAAGAACCTTGGGTAAGCTCCCTGTCGATCCCACGTATCCAACCTTGTGAAAGCCACCTCTAAGCATTCCCACGTTTTCGACGTTTTTGTCAATTCTGAATCCTTCATCAACAGCGCATACAGATTCGCAACGGTCTGGCACAGTTTACCCTCCTTCAATGGCGGTGGACGCGTTCCCGACGAGTCATCGTCTTGAAAGATTGATTTGGTGACGGGGATCTCGATCCAGAGTCTCATTGTCCGCAGTGCTGGTAGAGAGCGGACCAGGGTCGATAAGGCGGCAGTCGTCGGAGAGGGTGATGTGAATGGCATGGCCATATGGTCGCCCCCAGTCGTATCGAACGGGGAAAGATCCATTTCCAGACGCGTGAGCGATCTCAAACGAGTTGCCATGAGATGGATTTGGTCGGGGTTCAGATACAAAAGCCCATTTGGTCGCCTCGATGTGAAGACTGGGATACTGTGCAGTTTTAACTCCTGTAATGTTGACGCGTGGTTCTCGATTATGGCCGGGATGAGCATGGGGAGTTCTCCCTGATAGTCCGTCGCATAGATCAATGCGAGATTTGAAAGGGATCCAATCACAGATATCGCAAGGTCGGTCTTTCGTTTCGTCCACTCCGCCTTGGCTGGGCCTTCGTTGGCAGGAGAATATGGCACGAGAAGTTGCAGACGAAGGAATCTTGTGTCCATGCGGGAGGAGTACACTATGCTGCCGAAGTTGTTTCTGTCGATGTGAGTCTGAGAAAGGGGGAAGGAATTGAAAAAGTCAAAGTCGAGTTCTGGGAGATTGATTGCGTCGTCAGACATTTGACGCTTGAGGACTCGCAGATGGATGTCGCGCCATGATTCTCTGAGACGAGTGAGGATGTTCGGTGGGATTGGCATGTTCACGCACCACCTATCGGGAATATCAGCGTCAGAGGCTTTGGCAGTGTTTGTGGGCTCCGGAGGTCCTCACGAGAAGGTTTGAAGATTCCTCACGCTCTTGAGAATTTCCTCGAGTGCCGCAGAATTCAGCACATTGGGCAGGATCTCGACGACGCCGTTCTCGTCGGGCTGGGTTTGGTGGTCATATTCTCGCTTCGCGCATGTTCCTATAACGATCTCCTCAACGCGCTGGGCGAGATCGCTTTCCGGATCCAAAAGTTGCCAAACCATTTGTCGAAGATCTTCATTCTCGGTCTGTTCTTCCTCGTCGTCGGGGATATGTTCATCCTGCTGGAGCAAGGCCGTTACTTCTCCGCGGGGCGAAATGATTCTGTCGTCCATGGCTGGGAGTGTAGAATGGAAGTGGCCTTGTGTCTGAAGACCTCAAGGTCTCTCAATTTGGGGAAGATCAAATGCCTTGATGAGGACAGAACCGAGGATATCAAAGAGGATATCTCACCATGACTACACTCACCGCATCTTTCAAGAAGAAAGCATTGTTGCTGGGGAATGAGCCCATATTTCCACCAAGATTGCGCGACTGAACGGGCCGTCCTGGTTTCCAGCTTTCATTTTCAGCGCCATGGTTGTTGGGTGAGTAGATGCTTGTTCAACGTGTTGCTATTAATGCCTCGACGACGAAAGCGGTAGTCCGTTTGGGCGGGTCGGTAAGCGCTTAGTCTCTGGCGGTTGGCGGACAGGCCCCTTTTATTCGGTTGATCCATGTGGTCGAGACGGCCCAAGCTCTGTTTCGAGTGCTGCCCGGTGCCAGAGTACATGTGCAAGCAGACTCTATGAGAAGTTCTGTATGGACAGGGTATATATGTTTATAGCGACTCGATCGACGCTCCACTTGGGGAGCTTTCAGCCTTGCGGGCCCCTTTTCACCTCGCGCCAATTATTACCCACAGGCTCCGGGCTACAAGAGACACGCACACTCGAGTCATAAACATTTACCCATACCGCTCTTCGGCACTGGGTAGTTCAAGCGGTAGCCCCCGCATACGAACTTGCACAGGCCTCGGTCACCCGCGTAGGCCGCTTCGTTGAAAGGTCCCGGAAACATATGCCGAACGAGGAAGACACTCGAGAGGAGGAAGGAAGCTCGGGCCACCAACTACCAGCTACCCAGCTAAGGCTGTCTTGGGCTGTAACATTCCCCGAGTTTATGCACCAGGCTTGAATTTCCCCCCTTCGAAGCAAGCCACCAAACCATCAAGCCATTAAGCCATCCACATCGCTGATGAGAGTCGAATCCCGGGGCCTAGGCCTTGATCATTGCTCCACGGCGTTTTGGTTGGTGCCACAGGTCCCTCCGCCCGCCCTCCGGCTGGCTCCCAACCTTCTCGTGTTTCGTCCCCCATCTTTTTCTTGTTGCCGACGCCCCAAAAGTGTATGTTTGACGCGATTATTTCATCAAGCGCTTTGCTCACAGCAGGCACCCAGACGGGCATGGCGCTTCGGGCATTACTGCCTCAATGATGCAGGGGCCAAACTGCCAGCGTATCGATTGTGTCGCCCTGTCGTCTAGCACCCTGTCAAAGGCGTGTCAAATCCTTCAACGCCATCAACCCTCCCGGCCGGTGAAGTCCTTCCGACGATCGCAACCGACTTCTTACAACTGACTCCCTATTACCGAGTACTCCAGATGGGACTTGGGGGGGGGGGGGGGGGGGGGGCCATGTGCCAGCAACCCGCCGAACCAGGACCGGCCAGCTCCCCAGCTCTGTCACTCCTTGCTTCCTGGTTCCTTTTTCCGGTCGGAGGGGTCCTTTGATCTCATCAGCTGAACCGACTTCGACCACCGAAGGCATGGCTTTTACTCTTACACTCCTCCACTACCCTCGATTTTGCCAGCCGAATCACTGATTTGCGACCCCTTGAGCCACGCAAATAAATAACGACGCTGCCAGGTTGAAAACAACAGCGCCCTGGGGCGCGCCGGACAGGCCAATGTCTGTGGTCTCGCGCTCACCTGACTACTCCCGACTTCGCCAATAGTCGACTGAGCGGACTCGATGGCTTAAGCCGAGTTCTCGACAATGTCGAAAAGATCATGTCCGAATACAACCAGACTTTCTCCGCCGATCAGCTACGAGCTATCGACATCGCCGCCCGGGTTTCATCATGTCTGTCCATATCAGGCTCGTCGTTCACAATAATCAGCTTCCTCAGTTACCCACCGCTCCGGAAACCTGTTAACCGTCTTGCTTTTTCCATCGCCGTCGCCAATGTCTTTGCATGTTTGGCGTATAGTTGGGGCATTCATCCTATCAAGGCTGGGAGAGATTCTGCATGGTGTCAGACACAGGCCTTTTTCATTAATTGGTTTGTTATGACGGATCCGCTGCTTGTACGCTTGTCCCACAGCGCCAAACAAGGAGGGGCTTGCCAGTCGGTCTAACACTTTTGCTCAGGTTATGATTATGGCGTTCAATGTCCTTCTCACCGTTCGCACGAAACGGAACGCTACCGAGTTGAAAAGGGTCGACGTGTATGCGATCTTGGCGGCTTTTGTTCTACCATTCATCCCGGCTTTGGTATTTTTGTGTTGGAGGCCTGATGGGAAGACTGTCTATGGTCCGGCAACAATGTGGTGCTGGATCGCCCAAGAATCACAGATTCTGCGTCTGGTGGCATTTTATGTGCCGATTTGGTGAGTTCGAGGCAAGGGCGAGGCAAGGGCGAAGCACAGGGAATCTTTGATGATATTTATTTCTGACCACCCTGGCTAGGTGCTTTATTTTGGTGGCCATATTTCTCTTCGCTCTGAGCGGTAAACAAATTCTCCTCGTGCGCCGGAAGGTCAAATCCGCCAAGGCCGAATGTGTTCTGCACAGGGATGAGCCTGGTCCCGATGGCAACACTCCTCAACGAGATCGCCGCTTTTCGGCCTTTGCCAGAGCCTTCATGGCGGCGGCCCCGGTGACGAGGGAGTCGGGCAGATCCAACGTGACCACCGGCAACAGTGAGCCAGAGCCGGAACCGACATCGCCCGAATTCAAGGGATTCGAACCACTCGCGCCCATCCACTCGCGCGAAGTCCTGGACCTGGAGTCTCAGAACCTGTCGCACGAGTCGTCGATATTCGCCGCACCTGGCTCTCCTACCGTCACCCTCGACCGATCCGGCTCCGACCAGACAATGCTACGAGGCCCGGCAGACCAATTCCTCCCGCGAAGGTCGTCCTCGCGATTTGACAGGATCCATTGGAAATACGCCAAGTTCGCGTTCTTGTGTACCATTGTCTTGTTTATTACCTGGGTAAGTTTCAACACGCCGATTCGCGTTTCCACATTTTGTGACTCTTGAATGGTCCCCTCCCCCCCCTTCTTTACCAAAAAGCAGAAAGGTTAAAACACCACGTCTACCAGCCCCCCCCCCCTCCAAAAAACAACGGTACTAACGTGAATATACGCGAAAATATACAGGTCCCGATAAGCGTGAATAGGGTCTACAACAACTTCATCTCCCCAAACAACCAAATCTACGGCCTCTACCTGACCTCGGCGGCGTGCATCCCTTTGCACGGTTTCGGGAATTTTGTCATCTACACCACGACCAGTTGGCCCGAGTGCAAGGACTTTTTAACCTGTTCGGGCCGGAAGAGTTCGAGGAGGTCGTCGTCCGTCGTCATCATCGCCGCTGCCACAGCAGCAGCGGCGGCCGTAGCACAGACGCGGGATGGTAATAGGAGGGTCAGATGTAAGCGGAAGCTGAACGGCTGGGCGGGGAGGGGAAGGAAAATGTGGAAGGGGAAAGAAAGGGAGAAGGGGGGGTTCAGTGGCTAACCAACCTACCACCCGACCAACCCAACTAACTAGCTAACTAACTAAATAACAGGCGAGGGACGATGGAAGCCCCGGACGGTACGGGTGGGTGAAGAGAAATAAACAAAATAGCGCAAAGGGGGCAGGCAAAAGAAGGGGGGGTTGCAGGTTGTTATCGATGAGACCTAGTCCCAAGATGCAATGCAAGGGATGAAATGCAATACTGATGGAGCAGGGAGATACACAACGCCGTGATGTGAAGGGAAGGGGAAGGCAACAGGGACGACGATCCAATTCCTTCCCCCTCCTCCCCCAAACCAGGCTCCCAATGACCACAATAACAATAGATGTCTCCTGGAATTCCTGCGTACGCGACAGCCAACATAGTTAGACGCGAGATAGATACCCACTTGCTTATCCGCAGATGAGTATGTATAATGTATGTATAGACATTGATGTCTGCGTATAGAATCATCTTGGATCGCAGATCGTGTTCGTGTGCCTAACCACACAACTATAATTACGCAACTATGTTGACGGTCTCGTGGGTGTGAGCGGTAATAGTCAGGGACGAAGAAGGAGGGGGCCCTTTGTTCTTCTGAGGCTCGGAAAGAGATGAAAAGCAGGGAACAAAAGGCACAATAAAAGGGAGTGAGTGCTCGGTAGAGTGATCAAGTCTTTGCTCTGGTATTCCGGGGAACCGCTACGTACGAGTGTTTCAGAACCCAGATCACTTCCTCTATCATCGTCCTCAAGTTTTTTTTTTTTTTTTTTTTCCTTCGGTTGGCACACGACCCCGGCACTGACCAGGCCACCCATTGGACTGGCCGCGATGCAAATGATGACAACACCGTCCCTCAGGCAGCATGTTCACTATCCCGACGCTGGTCGTGATGATGATGCTTCTTCGCATGCAGCTCCTCCACCGGCGCTTCAACGATATAGTTCATCGTCTTGCGTAAATCACCCAAGAATAAGCACGCAATGCATGCCACCGCCCCAAAAGGCGCGGCAATAATGTAAACTACCCGGATAGAATCCGCGAGCGCTTGCTTTAGCCCTGCAACACCAGCGGCGATGATAGCAGGTGTCACACCCGGGATGCTGCTCAGAGCGTCCGTATTGCCCGCCGCTAGGGCCTCGACGAAACTCGGGATCGAACTGGCTGGAAGACCGGCTTTAGCAACGGCTCCACCTACCCCGCTGGGGATGTTGGTGGTAAGTCGAGTGTTGAGTGCTGCAGCGTATATGGCCGTGAATACGGTTGCTGCAACGGCTCGAGACGAGGTCGTCACGGCTGTTGCCGTTGCTATCAGGCTGTGTGGCGTGGAGAGCTGCACGCCGGCAATGATCAGGATGAGTGGTGCACCAAAACCGAAACCCGCGAGACCACTCATCACGCAGGCAGTAGTGCTGTCATTAGGTTGAATCGTGGTCCAGCCGATGATCGCGCCAGTGAAGATCAGATAACCCAGGAACAGCGGTTCGCGGATTGTGCGGAACCGGGTGCTTGTATAGCCCCAGATCACAGTGGAGATGCCGCCGGCAACCCAAAATGGCATTTCTCGAGACACGAGTAGTAATGGATCTGTTTCGAACAGTGAGGATGTTCTGATAGCATGCGGTTAGTGCCTAGGTTTGCCGTAGTCTTGGTAAGGGGGGGGGATGTAGGGTGAGACTCACAAGACGGGGTAGAAAACAATGTATGAGAACAGCATGATGCCTTCGATGAAGATCAAGCCCACGCAGATAGCAAATGTGCGACCTGCTGCCTTACCGCCACGGAAGAGAACATGATTCATGATTCCGGTTTTGGTGCCCTTCCACTCGTAGATGCCGAAGGCGATGAGGATCACGATTCCAACGATCAGAGTCGCCAACGTCCGCGAGTTGGTCCAAGCGTACAAGTTACCTCCCAGGTTCAAACCAGTCAGGAACAGGGACAAGCCAACAGTGAGAAGACAGCAGCCGGGGATATCGATGTGGCCTAGTTTCTGCCAGAAGGATAGGTGGTCAAGCCGGGTGTGTCTCTTGGGTGGTCTATACCCCACAAAGATGCCTGCAGCGGTCGCCCCCCATAGAGCAAGTTGGATCCACTGTTACTGATCAGCAACTCATTCTCTGCGTCACAAAATTTGAGTCCTGGTAACGTACATAGAACTTGCGCCAGCCGTCCTCTGCATTGCGTTTCGTCAGGGCACCAATCGACATGGGCCCGAGAATAGCACCTAAGGCCGCGGCAACGTTCATGCATGCTTGTGCCACTACAACCTTAGGTCAGTTGGGCTCGCTCAGGGCTGGTCATTACACTTACTCGGCCTCCATCTCCTCGGCAGGATCTCACTAGGAACACAATATGCAAGGGGTACTGCTGCAAAGCCAAAGCCGATCAATGTTTGGGCCACGATGAGTCTGTAGATGTTGCCTGAGCCGGGGGCGATGGCGGATCCGATCAGAGAGATGAGGCATGAGCCAACAAGGATGCTCTTTCGAGCTTGGAAGGTATCTGAGGTGAGAGAAATGACAGGTCCCAGGACTGCCTGTACAAGTGAAAGAGAATTGGGCACCCAAGTCTGGGTTTTGGGGTTGTCGAGGCTATTGCCAATGAAGTCGAGCTATTGTCTCTGAGTATTAGAACTAGTGTCATAGGGACCTGGCACGGGGGTTTGTAGACTCACAACCGCCGGAGGACCCTGGAGTGCCACGACTTGAACCATGTTCAACAGAAACATGGAAAACAGCGCAATGTAGGTCCTCGCGTGAAGCTCTGGCTCTTCGTCCACTTCGTCGTAATGCAGATTTTGATCATTGATGTCGACATCCTCGATCTGCTTCTCACTCGACAGGTCTCTCTTCTCGTCGACCGAGACCAGCTCTGGCCCATTAGGCTGGGCCTTTCCTACACCGCCCTCGGAAACAGCGTGAGAAGCCATCTCTGTGTCAAAGTCGATCTTGCACTCTCTAGGAGCTTGGTAGATAGTGTGCTCGGTATTGAGGCGACCACAATCGCGTCAGCCGAAGGAAGGGACGAGTAGTGACTTTGTAGTTGCAAAGCGACCACTAGACCGACATTACCGCGTGCCAAATGCAGTCCATCAGCGCTGGCCATGATAGGTTCGGGATATCCGCTTTTGTGGTGCGGGGAGCAGGGGATGGAAGTGGACTTGTGCAGACTGGTATGGACCGGTGTTGACTTGTGGTGGGAAGTATGGGGCGACAAGGAGCGATAGAGCCTGTTGCTGAGGGTTTTTGTGGGACGTTGAGGCGAAAAGAATCCCAAGCAGACTGCGTGTATGAACTGCAACAAGCCCAACTTGGCACACGAGCCATTTTGCCTGCGCTCTCCCTGTGCTCTCCCTGCACCCTCCCTCCACCCCTCCCTGCGCCCTCCCTGCGTAGCCTATGTCCTCCTGCGTCCTTCTTATCTGCCACCCCTGGTAGAGAGTATCACAGAGCTGTGTTGGCGTGCTTATTGTTGAACAACCAGACACGAAGGCAAGTGCCTGTCCACGAACCATCGTTTACTCCAGCAATCAAGGCCCCGTCAAGGCGCGGACGGCAATCCCTCCGACTGCCCACTTCACCAAGCGACCGCCACACCCAACCTTCCTGGAGCCCAGACCCTCTCTGGAGTCCTCCAGTGCAAGGACAACTTTCTTATCTTCCCACTGCCCACAGCTTCTCTCTCATCAATCCGCGTCCTCTTGGCCGTCCCTTTCCCACAATTCCGAGAATGCGGGGGATATCCGCCTTCGCCGCCATTTCAACTTTCGAGTATTGTACCCAGTACATAATTCACTAACCCCACAAATTGCTCCCTTCCTCCATTTGCCCCTGGTACCCTCAGGCCGAGGCCAATGACACCAGCGCCCACGTTGTTGCGGGGATGTATCGGTCCTCATTCCTGAAGCGAGAGAGAAAACTCTGGGGTTGAATGCTGCAGTGGATTAGGATCCGAATGAACATCCCCCAAAGGTTCTCACAGGCTCAAGACTAACACCTGGTACAGGTTCGCTGAGACGCACCATTTCGGTTCCGAACTGCTCACCCATGGAAGGTCCTCCGAAGTTACTCGGAGGACGTCGAGAACAAGCACCAAGAAGAGAAGAGAACTTTCTCACACTAACTTCCATCCTCCCAAAATCAGGTCGATTGCACCTTGCATGATCTAATACCGGGAAATCCGCGTGCCAGACATGGCCCCCATGTAAATCCTTCAGATGCCTCCACCTGGTTTAAGTGTGTACACGAAAGCGAGATTTGGTTCACAACTTATCATTCACCCCTTTCTTGACCACATGGACATCCGTCCACCTTAAAAAAATGCCATGCCCTGGGCGTTCTTGTCGACACCCATCCCATCCAGTTGGAAATGCTGAACCTGCTTGGCCGAGCCCGGGCCTCCAGAGACATCCAACACTGTGACAGCGGCCGGGGTGGTCCCGTTGCCCGGAGACAGAGCATAGATGAAGTTGCCTGCGGCTTTCAAGTCGATGAGTCCAGGATCTCCATTGGCTGACAAGTCCAGAATAGAAACAATGCTGGCGTCTCTCAAGCTCATTTCCACCACCCGGTTCACGCCCACGTCGGTGACGAATGCAGTGCCAGTCGCGGGAGAGATGGTGACCCAGCATGTCGCGCTTTGACCCTCCACTTCCTGCTTCGCTACAGTTGACGCCGTGTTGCTCGTTGGATCTACCGAGACAACAGCACCGCCAAAAGATGCGTCTGTCACGAAGACATCGGACGTTCCAGGGATAGGTTGCGAGCCAAATAGGACAGCCGTTCCTGCCGGTGAGCTGCGAGTATCCGTCATTGAAAGACTCGAACGCATATGCCAATTTCCTCCTTCGACGGGGAACACCGAGAAGAATCCCGTGTTGTTGACTGTGGGATCACCCTTGACCGTCGCGAACAGGCGAGACTCGTCCTCGGAGAAGAATAGTTGTGAGACTGTGTTCGTTGGACCAACAGGAGGAGTGGTTTGGACGAGGTCAAAGGAGCGCAAGCCGTCCATCGCACTGAGGCCTTTCTTTGAGAAAGACGAGCAGGAGACGCCATTGGTGACTCCAGTGGTGCCGACGCAGACGAGTCGATTGCTGGCTGACGCGGCTACAGTGTTGGGGAATTGACCTGGGAGGCTGACAGGAGCACCGACCATTGTGAGCTTCGTTGAGTCCTGCAGGTCAATCGACAGCATCGACAAGGTGTTACTCCCGGCATTGACGGCGAAGATGTTCTGCTCTGGCCGTCAGCAATTCCTCCATCCATCATTGATTTCCAAGGTGGCAGGGTCTTCCTTACATTTCCAGCAACTGTCAAAGAAGACTGCGAGATCAAAGCATCAGGAGCCGCAGGCTCGTTCGTAGCGCCACTGATGCTGTTCGATCCATCACCTCCAGTCGGGGTCAGAGTGCCTTCAGATAACATGCCATTTGCTGCCACAGGCACTGCTGCCACAGAGTTGCTGGCGTCGTTGGTGATGAAGTATATCGCCCGAGCACCTTTTGAGTGGGAAACTCCTTTTCCCCACTTGCCAGTGTGTGGCGCTGGCACAGCTTGGACAAAGTCAACAGATGTCGCGAAAAGCAGGAATGCCTGAAGGAACTTGGTCGCCATCTTTGCCGCTGCAACTTGGCGATGTCTTTCCTCGGCCTCTAAGGTGAAAGATACAATGAATCAATGTCGGCAGTGCCTCTCTTCGCAGAAAAGTTGAGTTGTCTTTTTCTTCCATGCAGGCGCACCTCCTGCAGGTTATATACTGTGTAATATGGCCCAGAATCCTTCATGGTGGCATCGTTTGGACCCTTCCGGAGACAAATTTCTCTGCACGCGTGCTCCGGTGCAATCTCAACGGCGTGGGAAGTGGTGTCTCATTATGGCACTTTGAGCACACTCTTCTGAATCTGGAGGTTTCTGCGTCTGGATTACTCAATATTTTATTTCCTGTTCGGATCAGGCCCGCGCGTGGCTTCGGTTGCGCAACGGCGTCGCTAATCTTAAACAGGAAGAAAATGATTATCCATCAGGGGCTGCGAAAGGTGCACAGCGCAGATCCTGCGAGGCTCCACTCGCGAGGCGTCGAATCCAGGGGTTTGTGGCTGCGGGGCCGAGACGCAAGCGAAACGGCAGACAGCCGCTTCGGACTCGCGTTGTTTCTTGCCTTGGATCTTGTTGCATTGCTTCATCGACTTCAGGTGTTTTGGTTGTGGTCTCGTTGTTATGCCCCCTCCGACATCTCTATGTGCGAAGACGATATTTGTATTCGCTTTGAGATTCAACAATGTCGGACATATTCCGACCACTTTTTCGATCTGTGGAAGGTACGTATCTGCATATCGTCCTGAGAATACGGTCTGGTCTCCAAGAAAACCTAGTTTCTTATTCAGAGTTCTATCTAGACAAGGTCGCGAACAGGCGCGAGCAATTACGCAAGGCGCAGAAGTCAGTAATCCTGCATCATGCGAATCAAACACCTGCGATCTTGAGATCTCTGTGGCATGGGGGATTAGACTGACCGACTCGGCATCGATTCTTCTCAGGACCTTCCGCGAACGACGAGACCAATATCTCCGCGTCTTGGAGAAGTCCGTCAGACGCCTGCAGCTTACCGAAGCAAGATTGCAGAACGAAGTCAACCACCTCGAGCAGGAGCTGGCTGCAACGAAAAGCAAACTCGCGCAATGCGAGGCCGAGCTGCGCAAGACGACCCAGGCGACGCACTACGACTCCCCCTACTTCAGCAAGAGCGGGTATGCGTCTGGCTCCGGAGAATTCAATCTCGCATCTGAGAGGCGCGGCGCAGCAAGGCCGGCCTACCTCTCACCTCCCAATGGCAGTGGTGGGAGTGGAGCTGGGGCATCCGGCAACAGCAACTCCTCCTCTGAGACTCTTGTCTGGATCGAAACCCAAAATGGCCAGCCTGTTCAGATGCATGTCCAGCAGAAGCAAGAATTTGGCTTTCTGCCAGCCAGTAGTGGGAAGAACGTTCATATTAGCGCGCCATTGCCGGCCTCGGCCCCTTCAGGCCAAGGTAGAAGCGCGACTGCGATATATGTGGCTCAGCTCGACGCCGTCGTCGTCGCGATGGAATTTGTGCTCAAGTACGTGAGAGTGCTAGGCGCACCTCATCTCCACATAATTCCCACAGATCTCCAAGAACCTAAATTCAGACCCTTTGCCATAGAGACAAGAAACTAAGAGATGAATCAACATACAGGCTCGAGTCTCCCTGTCTTCCTCACCTTCGCCAAAACGAGGAAGAAGAAAATAACAATTCCACCTTGGACAGCTCTCCCCATGGCCACGTCCACACGGCATCAGCGGCGCTTTTGTGCTGCTGTCCATCTCCTGCATCCTCGTCCTCGCCTTCATCGTCATTATTGTCACCGTCAACGTCGATGTCATACACATATACAAACACATATACCTCACCACTCTCCCCCGCGACATCCTCATCTTCTCCTTCGTCTTCTTCGTTCCTCTCCTGGCCGGCCCCAAAATATACTCTTGAACGCCTTCTCGCCATCTCCGACGACTTACCCATCGACCAAGCCTCGGAATTGACGCCCGTCCAAGTGTGGCACTGTGTTCGACAGGCTCCGGGCTTCGCGGCGTTGAAGGTGCACGGTTTAAACCAACTGGCTGAGAGGTTGGTCGCGCATGTTAAGTGTTACGGGTAAGTAAAGGCATGACCAGACAAACAAGTCCAGTCTGTCCCAGTCCGCTTTTCTTTCATTGGATATCTCACTCTTTTCTCCTTTCCCTTCGACCTACTTTATCCCACCACACATCCCAATGCATCCACCGTAGTCCTCGTCCAACCCCCTTACACCAGCGCTCAGAATATTCCTTTCTTTCATTCACAATCCAATAATCGATGACTAATATATCTCCCATTTGCCTGTTTTACTTGCAGATTCGGTGCCGTTATCAGACGAGACTTCCTCACGAAGCTGTTGTCGGAGGTGTGATCCCGCGACCCGGCCATCTTAACTTTGGGACGGAGGAGACGGGAAGCAAAGGAAAGGCATGGAACGAAACCGAAAAGCACGACTGTGGACTATGGCAATGTGGAATTTGGAATTCAAACTCGATTCTACTTTTTTGAGCGTCTTCGCCAGGTAATGGTTAGTCTTGATGAGCCGTCTAGTCGGCGAGGTTAGGCCAGTCGGTCAGTCGTCTGGTCTATTTGATCTGGTCTCTTTTGGTCTATTCGCACCAAAATGAGAAAATTTAGGAGATCTCGAAGTTTATTGATCATTATTATCACCATGATCTACCTCTCTCGTCCCCTCACACACACACACACACACACACACTCTCTCTCTCTCTCTCTCAACCTTCAAATCCCCGTTGGTGGGTTGTTCTTCTTCCCCTGACGTTCCCTGTTCCCCAGATCGGTCCAGAACGCCGCGGTGTTGAACTCGGAGTAGACGGTATCGATCTTGACACAGGCACGGTCGACCTCCACGTCGAAGCTGATCATGCCCTGGACGCGCATTCACTTGTTCCCTGTCCCGCTGGCGGTCCAACACCAGAAGATCTGGTCGCAGGTGTGAGATGTTGAGAGGGTCTGGACGGTGGGAAGCGCGGGCGTCGCTGCCTGGGAGGCCATGAAGGCCTGCAGGGAGGGGTACGCGGGCGTTCCGAGCTAGAAGGGGAGAGAGCTGAGGTTAGGGGAACGATACTCTAAGCTCCCAAAGACGGAGGGAAAGGGCGCAACAAGAATGAAACACTTTGGCTAGAAATGCAAGAGATTTGGGAGGGGGGTTTTCAATTCTATTTGCAGCGCGATTTCCCGAGGCGTTGATCGAGTCGCCCCAAACGGCGAACGTGTCAGAGAGGACACTATTGGCAGTCTGGCTGAAGCCTGGCCCACCGGGGTATTTGAGCAAGTATGTATAACCCTGGACGAGGTAATCGACATCGGTGCTGTTCAGGCAGCCCTTGCTCATGCCTTTGTCGTGGTGGCGGTCTTGTTCTTCACCCTGAGCATGACTGTGATGTCGCTGTCGGTAGTCGTCGTCGACATCATGGGTGCCGTTCTTGTGTCAATCTGACCGGCCTCCTCCTTGGTCGACACCACAAGGGTCAAGATGGTAGGTATTGCTGATCGAATGGTATTGGATGGTGATGGATGGTGATGGGAGTTTGGGTCTGTTGTGATGGGTTTTAGAGGGAACGAGTGCTAGCTGATGATGCTTGAGTTGCTATTGCGGACATAAAGCCGTATGATTTTGGTCTATCGCAATGGATCTTCTTTTCCGCCTGAGTCTGAGTTCGTGGGTAGGTTATGTAGACCGTTATCTCCAGTCACAAATGTCGATGGTGAGCGTAATTGAAACCAAGCGGCACTCCTGGTGACAAGTCTGCCACCGCCCGGAACCAAAGGAACAAAGCAGATGTTCTTCCCACCCAAATATGGCATTCAATTGCGACGACGTGGTGAAAGGAGGAATACTGGCTCAGCGACAAAGAAAACAACGACTGTAAAGGGAACAGCACTCATTGGAGTAATACTTTGATGCTGGTATGGATGGAATGGGTGGGGATTCAAGGCTGACCTTTTGTGAGGCTTGTTTGAAGGGTCTGCAGATTGGAGAAATGGTAAAGGCGGGAGACAGCAGTATTGTGCCTGATTCTCATGTGCACCAATAACATGGGGGCCCGTGAGACTGGCGACATGATCAGGTGAACCTGGAAAGTTGAGGCCATTGCCAATGCGTAATCCTTCAGCCTTGTGGTGACCCACGAGCCAGCCTTGCCAGGACCAACTAGGATCTAAATAATACTGGACAAATACAAATACAGTATGATTGAATATAATACGACTTCAAACATTTGCGCCTCATCGGCACTATAGCCACCCCTGAGCCTATGTGCAGTGCTCGTCTTTGCAATTGTACCAAGTCCTCTCTTCCCGCACGTCCCAATCCCAGTTTCATCCTACCACACTGACAGTGCCCTCATTGTTTGTACAGTCGCGGTTGCAAAATCAGGTCCACAGTTGTGTGTGAGAGAGAGCGAGAGAAACGTAGAATGGCGCAGTCTGAATGCTGTGACAAGGCAAATAGTACATCAAGAGTTCGCCCTGACACTGGTGCAGCCGGCGGCAAGGGCTTTTCGCGCATGCTCGGAATCAGCAGCTTGGGAGCCGATCAATGAGTCCAATTATTATGTTCCAACGTCCGTTCCTCGGATGCCTGTGCATCTCATGTTCTTTGTAATGCTTTCCCCCATGCAATGCTCCGTCGTCAGCCCGCTCTATCATTCACGGCGTTGCTCTGAGCCTTGTGCGTTCCATGCAAAAATCATCTTCAACACTCCATCAAGCGCCGTAAGATAAACCACACATGGTGCTCATTCGCACACAGTATCAACGGACGCCAGTTGTTCACAACGAGCAATGTATGCCACTCCCGCGCCTGAACGATGCAGATTTAACCAAACAAGTCCCCATCTTCACCCCTTAGCCACAGCATCTATCTTCTTCATCATCTCATTAACTTCGTTCAACAGGCCTTTCCTGAACCCGCGTGCTTCTCCTGAGTCCACGTCAATTGCATCCGCCTTCAGGATAATGTGGGTCATGACGCTCTCGCTCAACTTGCGGTGTTCTTTCTCACGTTCCTGAGGCAAAGAAGGTGGATTAGATATGAACTTGCGGCAGAGGGGATGCCATTGCTCGTGGAAAATATCTGAAAGAGTCTGCAACTTTCCCAGTGGGGTATTCGGATCTGCTGCAGGCAGGGACGTCGGAACAGGGGTCGAAGACGGGGAGGGGTGAGGGGATGTTCCTCTGGTTCGAGACGGCTCTCGTCGCGGGGGACGGTCATCGGGCTCGGGTCTCAGACTATTGCGCGACTGTCGTTCCGATGTGGGCCCGGCGGAAAGATGGCCATTGGGATGGAGATAGCTGGATGAGCCCTGCTGCGGTAGATTTTCGTCGCTACGATGTCTGACCGAAGACACGGCGCGTGGGCGGCGTCGAGGGTTTTGCTCAGGGATGTCTTCACCGCTCGACGAATGACTATCTCTATCACTGTAGTCTAGGAAACCCTCGGTCTTGATGGCTGCCACCTCGCTGTTTTGCTTCATGTTGTATTTTCGCAGCGGCCAGGCATCATGTTTGAGATCGCGCTTCTTGTACACCAGCCTGACTCTTCTGGGGTCCGTCTGCAGGTATCGGGCGACGGCTTCCCGGAGTTGGCCCACATAGGCGGTCTCTTCGCTGATGGAGTATGGAGGGAATTCGACAGGGATCATAGAGGCCATGTAGCGCACAAGGACAACATCTGGGGCATCGGGATCTTCCATCGGGATATTCTCATGTAATCTGGCGACCGAATGACGATGCGGCTCTTGCAGCATCCCATGATCGGCGTCGATGTACTCGAAGTGATTAGAGAGGTTCCGAGCATAGGGATCGACGACATGGCTGGTGTACGGCGAGCCCCCACTACGACCACCACCGTAGGCGACGTAGCTACCGTAGCTGCTCATGAGATAGCGGACGACGAGGTAGAGGAGGGAGAGGAGGAGGGCAGCAAGGGTGGTGTAGGAGGCGGCTGCGTACTCTGTCAGGAGAAGGTTGAGATTGTTGTGGAAGTCAGCAGGTAAATTTCTGAGGACTGGTTGGGCAAGGCTGTGGAGGTTTCGTAGGAGATCAGAGGACCAAGTCTGAAGACTTGAGGAAGCCACGGTGAAGGACTTGGATGGACCGAGTGGAAGGGTGAAGGATGTGTGAATTTTCCGATGGATTGATTCCTGGTTATCTGGACCGGCAAAGGGATCAAAAAACTGCGGCACCAGCGGTGTTCTATGCTTTTGGGGAAGCGCAAGGGCAGATCTTCGACGTCGTCACCGAGGAGGCACGAGTGTATGTAATATTGTGGATCGGCAGAGCGAGGGATGGAACAATGAAGGCGAAAACACATGTATCGGGGAGAGCACCAGATGACAAGGCGGCGTGGCTGTTGGGCTAGTTGTGGGATTGGTGGAAGGTGGCCTGTGGCCTGTGGCCTGGGCGCAGGCAAGAATTGGGAGCTTTCAAAAGGCGCAGTTTGGTCGGTGCGAGCCCGTTAGTGTGGTTTAGGCTCGGCTGAAGCGGGCAATACTTGGTGGAGATGAAGAAAATCGAGGCGGATGACGCAGATGGGGGGGGGGGGGGGGGAGGAAGGAGGGTTTGTGTGCGGTTGGTGTTGTGGTGCGTGAAATATGTCGCGAAGGGTCCAAGGGACTTGTGAAAGGCTCTGTGAGCGGCTTGTGGTGCTTGGGGTAGTCTGGAAGGTCCACAGTCCCAGGGGACTTTCTTCGGAGATCTGAAAATTTGATCCCAGGACTGGAAAAACCTTCGGGTGCAACAGGGATGTTCTACTTGAACTTGTGAGGTACCTAATAAAAGAGAGACGGATGGTATGTAGAGAGACTAAGTGGGATGATTTTCGCATGCGTACCCAGTAGAGACAGAGCCAGACGCAGGCAGATTCGGAAAAATCGTTTTGCCGACCCGATGCAACATGTGAGCTGGGCCAAAAGTTGTACTTGGTATTCCGCACTCTGGGATCAATGCTGAAACACTGCTCCTGATGTTTGCCAAATGCCTCAGTGGGATCAGACTCACGGCAGTGTCTTGTTTCTTTCAGCCTCATCAATGCCACGCTTTGGCACCACCATAGCATCGACCTCCCTCATCGAGCCCTGTCAGGAGAACACTCTACAAGTACCCAGTACACGAGCGCCACAGGCTATTTCTGGCCCCCGGCTTCGCCTTCGGCCAATTTACCCCAGACTCGGATCGTTGGATTGTTCTCGGTGTCCAGGCTGCCTTCGTGGGGGCGCAGGCATGCTATCCCTCCTCATGGCAATCCGATTTTGACTTGCGTGCAGCACCGCAACCACGCTTTCGAACGTCGTGTGAGCAATGTGCCCAGATTGAGCCTGGTGGCAAGAACCTGTCACAACGTTCCACAACTGCCTTTCGGTGCCTTGAACCTTCTTTCTTGTTGAGCGCAGACCACACAACACCACTCAGTGGATCTTGTGCGTACTCGTCTTTTGCATTGACAAGCGAGAAGGCCACAACAAACTTGGGGCAGAATGCAGCGTCGGCCTAATCAGACTGTCCTGTCCCTCTGCTAGGTAACGATGGTTGACTTGGCCTCATAGACCGCTGTGAAAAGCCGCGTGAATAAAACCCCCCAAACATAGGACCCAAGGAATTTGGCCCATTTCCTCAGCTGCTCGCGTACTGCCTCGTCCGTAACCAGGCCCCATTCGTTCAGAAGTGCCTGTATCACGAAGTCCCCTCCCCAGAAAGTAAGCCCGCTCAAAATTCCCATCGTAATAAGAAACTCTTGTTCATGCGAACACACGAATTCCTTATCTCTCAGAAGAGTAAATACGACGGCGAGAAATGGACTCAATACTGATGCTGGGTAGAGTGTATTCAAGAATTGTACCAATGATCTCGGTGGTCTCGGCTTGAGAATATTGGGTTCTTCTTGAAGAGCTTGGGTCGATTATTATACCCAGTACTAGCATGAGCATTAGAGAAGCAAAAGTAATTACCTCGGGATGTTCTTCTGCGTTCATGTTGCGTAAAGAAGACTGTTTTTTGACTCGATTTAGATCTTCGTATGATGTAGCACAAGGGATGTTGTATTGATGCATTTTGAGACTGCGACGCTGTTTCTTAAATTGAATTCAGAGTGTAAAGGGGAGAGGAAGAAAAGGGGGGGGAATCAAACCACAGAAAACGACACGTGAAGAATAAATTAGGTACTCAAGGTGGTCAAGGTGGTGTACTGGGTACTTGGTACGAGGACCCCCGGACAGAGCGACTTGATGAGGTTGGAAGAAGCCGCAGTGCATCCTGGATGGAGGATTTTCCCCCATCCCGTGCCAAGGCGCTAATGGCTGGGGGTAGAGACGCATTCGGAGCCCAGGCACCGCTACCTGATCAAAATCCCGCGTGACTGTTTAGCTGCACACTCCAGCTAAGTACCAGTATGTACTGGGTACCGGGTAGAGCCCAGCATCTCCCGCGGTGCCTGGGCTCAACTGACCTGCCCCGTCTCGTTTGGTGGCACCAGTGGGTTCTTGGTGGCTGGCGAGGCAAGCCCCGGTCTTTCCGCAAATGGTGCAGCTAAGTACCAGCTAACCAGGCCAGCAGGCCCTGCTCTGTGCACAACCCACTCTCCCACCACGCTCCCACCACGCTCGCACCACGCTCGCACCACGCTCGAAGCTGACTTCCCCCACGTCCCTGCCACTCGTTACAGAAACCCTGAACCTGTCTCTGTTTTTTTTTTTTTTTTCCCCCTGACGAGAGATATAAGCGTTCTCTCCGCCGCTCCCATGCCCAATGCCTGCCTGTACCGTCGGCTATCGCCCGTCAGTTATAGGCTATTCCTCGAGAAGGTCAGGAACTCACTCCACCTCTTGCGGAGAACTCAAGCTAAGACGCGGGCTGATGGATATATGCACGTCTCGAATGAGGACGATACGAGAAATCCAGAGTGTCCAAGTGACCTCACGCATATTCTGAGGCTGCCCTGCGTCACTGGGCATCAGTCAATCCTTCCGGGAGACAAATGAGGGTCCACACTCAGGTCCTGCTACATCAGATCATGTTGCCTCGTCATTCCTCTTGCTCTTCTCCCAATGGACCGCGCTTTCTTTCCTCCTGCTACTGTGTGAGACTGACCATCCGTTGGCCTTTTAGTTTGGCGGTAGGTCTTCCGATACGTGCTATGTGCCCGAACTCGATGTGCAACTTCCTCCTCTTTCGAGACCACACATGCGTTGGAACGGCTCAGCCAGGAAATCTGAGCCCGTCGGCGTTCAACTGGCCCTCGAGTCGACCAGAATCACACCGCCCACTCCATCTCACTCCCTTCAGCATTAAAACCTCGAGCCTAGTATCACGATTTGCTTCCTCGTTTCCCTCTCAAGTCTCCTGTCTTGTCTGATATTCCCGCCATGGATCTCTATAACCTTCCCAACGTCACCGAACCTCATCCTCCTGCTACGCTTGCCCTCCAGGGGGTGAGTCCAGTCCTCTCTTACCTCGCCGTCGCTTTCTCTGTGGCCAGTTTCATCTGGTGGTGCATCCAAGACTATCGCTTCTTCAAATCATTAGGACCCGGGGGACCCTCTTACGACATCTTCGGCTGGTTCAAAGTCCACATCCTCGTTAGACCTTTCACCCTCGCGGCTCGGGATACCACATGGACTGGAGACTATCCGGATCACGGGGCTCACAGGGAGATCATGGCGCTGCCAGACCGAAAGGGTGGGCGGCCCGTTATCTTGGGCATCGCTCCGCAAAGACAGTTCAGTCAGTGTCCAGAGAAAGAAATGAACGCGGTAAGTGAGCTTCGGATACCTAGGATCCACCCACGCCAGGCTGTCGCTCCATTATTCAACCGTCATGGCTTTGAAACTAACCTGTGAACAGCGCGTACTTGCTTTGTTCTCGTCCTTTGTTCAAAGCAACCCTAACCTGCTGCAACAACGAATCTCAGTCGTTGAGAAACATCACTATGCACTCTTCGTCCATCCCAGCATCCTAGCCGAACCAGCCAACACTCCGGAGATTGCCACCGTCGCCAACGGTGAACTGGGCCATATCCATGGTGATAGCTCTCTGCACCTTTACTTCTCACCGGCAGATGCCAAAGTCCTCGTCGAACGAGGTTGGGCTCAACGACATCGATGTGCTAGGACACAACCGTGGTGGTTTGGTGGGCTGAAGAACATGTGGGGTATTGGAGATACCTTCCTCATAGTGTACGCTCCAAGGAACTATGAGGAGCTTGACGTGTTGGGAACCTTGATCAAGGCAAGCATCATGTTTATGACAGGCGACCGGGATGTCGTCAAGCCGTAAGAGGGCCAAACGAACACGACCTCTGCAGTGGGGGAAGTTCTAGTCCTCCTTGATGCGTGACACGACGGTGTGGCAGTACTGGCATGAGGCGCAACAGGTCTGTGAAAAGCGAATGGAGAGGATGCAGGGATGGGCTGAGGAAATTGCGGTGGTGGTTAGGAGTGCAAAGGAGTGCTGGTTCAAAATAGCTGATTATTTCCCCTACCAAATACAAAATCGCAAGGCTGACCGGTCTCGGCTTTGTTCCCGCCGTGAGAAATAAGGCTGTAAAAGCGGCATTGCCGGTTCTAACCGTCGAGCCATTCAATCCAATACGATATGTCAACCCGCCGCAAGCCAACCACCGCCATTCTCATCGGCATTGCTCTCTACCATGGCCGCTACACTCCCTCGCTACCGTTGCCTGAACGGCCATCCGTGGTCCTCTCCGTTCAAAGTCTTTCTTCCTCCAACCTCGACATCGGCATCGACATCGGCCGCATCACGAACATTCGCCACCACGACTGATGACCTCCCAACCAGCAAACCACGAGTACGTGCGACCACCTTCGCCGACAAGCTCAATGCCGGTCCATCCTTCTCCGACTTTGTCTCAGGGAACGAACCGCCCTTGGAGCCCTCGGAAGCATATGCCTTGAAAACCGCCCTCGTCGGACCCAAGGGCAAGCAGAAACAGATCACCCGCCTGCCTTCGTGGCTGAAAACACCGATCCCGGACAGCTCCTCCTACAAGAAGATTAAAAATGACTTGCGCGGCTTGAATCTGCACACTGTGTGCGAGGAGGCTCGATGCCCCAACATCTCAGACTGCTGGGGAGGGAGCAGCAAGTCGGCGGCCACGGCCACCATCATGTTAATGGGCGATACGTGCACCAGGGGTTGTCGCTTCTGCAGCGTCAAGACCTCAAAGACACCTCCGCCGTTGGATCCCCATGAGCCGGAACACACGGCTGAAGCGCTCTCGCGATGGGGTCTAGGCTACGTTGTCCTCACCAGCGTCGATCGGGACGACCTGGCGGACGGAGGAGCCCACCACTTCGCAGAGACGGTGCGCAAGATAAAATCCAAAGCGCCGACCATCCTGGTCGAGTGTCTGACTGGCGACTACGCGGGGGATCTGGAAATGGTCAAAGTCGTCGCGACATCAGGATTGGACGTCTACGCACACAACATTGAGACGGTCGAGGCATTGACGCCGCAGGTGCGCGACCGACGCGCCACGTTCCGACAATCCCTCAGCGTGCTGAAGGCCGCCAAAGCCGCGCAGCCGGGTCTCATCACCAAGACATCGATAATGCTGGGCCTCGGCGAGACGGAGGACCAAATCTGGGATGCGCTGCGAGAGCTGCGCGCCATCGCCGTCGACGTCGTGACGTTTGGCCAGTACATGCGTCCCACGAAGAGACACATGGCCGTGCACGAATACGTGACGCCAGACGTCTTTGAACAGTGGCGTGTCCGGGCGCTGGAGATGGGCTTTCTATACGTGGCGAGCGGCCCATTGGTGCGCAGCAGTTATAGAGCCGGAGAAGCGTTTATCGAGAACGTGCTGAAGAAGAGGCGAGCCGGCAGAGGGGAGACGGCGAATGCGGATTTGGCAGGGGATATAACTGATGGAAAGAGTGTGCAGGTTGGGAAGATTTGATTTTGCAGTGTCGGCTGGGTAGGATATTATCTCTTTTGGTTTGTACGTACCCATGACATCAACAAGATACAAGGCACATCGAGGTCTTTGTCAACCATCGACCTCACCACTGAGCATGTCTCGCAGAGACACGAACATCTGAAGCAATGGAGAAACTTGGGGTAGGCATCCCTTATGCATTTCCGATATCGCGTGAGACTTTGTGATGATACTTTCTGCGCCACCTGGCTGGCTGGGGTTCCCTCCCATTGTATGAAATGCCGCAGCAGATATAGAACCCAGTAGTTTTGCACCGTCCTTCTTGACAACGCCCATGCCATGCAATGCCGCGCAATGGTCCACATGATCGTGCCTGTCGCCCCTCAGACTTGCAATGAAATGCTTGCCCCCAGCCCCGGGCACAGTGATGGGGGGCTCACCACCCAGGCTGGATGATGCCTCCAGTCTGTGCCATCCCATGGATATGTCTCATCGTCTGTCCCCTCTGAGCTTCTTCCCCCGGCAGGATCCACGCCGGAAAATCGACCTCCATCTGCGCATCGGCTCAGTGTAATAGTCTGTCCGACATGTCAGCCCCGGACGACATACATGGACCCTTTCTCCTTGGGTCGTTCGCAGGCTCGGTCTCCCTCTTCCTCCTCGCTTGCTGAGATTCACGCACCGCCTGCAATGCGCACGACGACCGTCGCAGAGCACTACCTTGACAGCAGCTTCATCCACAGCTTCCACACTCGGGCGCGCGGACATCATCAATGCCGCCCATCCTCCTCGACCCACCACTGCCGCTCCCACTCCCACCACCACCACCACCACCACCACCGCCTCTTCCCCAACTACTCCCTGGTCCTCCTCCTCCGGCACCGCCTCCGCCGCCAAGACGAGTGCTGCCCCCTCCCCAGCGCGGGCGCTCCTGGTACGCATTCGGCCGCCCGCGGGTGTTGAACTGGCTGTTCTGCGCCGCGGTGTAGGGGTCGAGCGAGAAGAGGGAGACGAAGTACAGGCCGAGGAAGTTGTAGACGTCGTCGGAGAGGCGCGAGAGGCGCGCCGAGAGAGGTGGTCTATGTAAACAAAACGCCCCATGGCATACAACGGTTAGCTGTTTCTTGTTTTCAAACCAAGTCTGTCAGTTGAATAGAGACGAGGGGGTGGGAAATCGAGTGCTAACGGGCGGGGAAGGGAACAGGGTCGAGCATCAAATAGAGAGCAGTACGTACGTCTCGAGGACGTGACCTGAGGAGGAAATGTAGTTCGCTGTTCCGCGCGACGACGGCGTCTTGTTGTTCGACGAGGGTGGTGATGAGGGTGGCTTGTCCATATTCGCAAAGGGTGAAGGCCGCTTTCTTTTCCTGTTCTTCGTCTTCTTTGAGAGTCCCAACACCCTGAATACTAATTACGCAAGAAATGGGGTAGGGTCTGCAGTTGCGAATCAGGAGAGTTGATGGAGTGTTTTTTTTGACCCGGTGGTGTGAAGTCGCAAGGAGAACAATGGGCGAGGCAGACAGATAGGCGCGGGGAGAGTCTCCTGCGAGCGAGGCTGGTGCTGGCGACACGTCGAGAGCTCTGCTCGCTCGGCACAAAGTGGCTCCGAGTTTCAGGCAGGTGGGCTTCTATATAAACCCGATCGAGTCGTGGAAATTATTAATAATAATATGCTGAACTTTTGGCTACCTGACTGAGTATTTACACTTTTCACCCATTTCAAACGGGTTTTTGTGATTGTGTATCACACTGCAGGAGACTCGCCGTCACACGACGCGAGCAGGCACAGGGCTAAGTGCTGCGCCAAGTTCGACGAGGACGGTGTTGACATGTCACAGTCCCAACCGCTCACTCGCCATCTTCGCCCCTTTGACTCGGTTGGCGATCTTCTGGAACGCAACCTCCCGCGCAAAGTCCGGGTTGCCTTTGTGCTTAGGCTTGACGTCGATGCTGAACGGGCTGAAGCCGCAGTCGTCTGTCGCGCCCAGCTGGTCGGCGGGGATGTACTTGGCTGCCTCGACGAGCGCCTCGCAGACGTGCTCGGGCGTCTCGACCGCCGGGTTGAGCGGGTCGACCACGCCGACGAAGGCGACCTGCTTCACGCCCTTGGCGTCCTTGCGGATCGTGCGCCCGATCTCCTCGTACACTCTGGCCTTGTTCTTCTCCGAGGCCAGCTGGATCAGGAAGTAGCCCGCGTTCATCTGGAACAAGGACGGCAGGAGTTCGTGGTAGTCGACGTCAGCAGAGTGGACCGAGTCGCAGTCTCCGCCGGGGCAGGTATGGATGCCGATATTCTTGCGCTCTTCTGGTGTGAATCGGTCTACATATTGTCGCAGAGGGGTTTCATGTCAATAATTCGTGCTATCCATCCAAAAGGAGGACAAGACCCGCTCTATGCCCAACAAGTTGCTTCTCGTGCGGGGCGTCTCAGAGACTCACCGAGGACCTGGTTGTTCAAGTCAACAAACTTTTGCAACAAGTGTGCCCCAGTCCATGGATTTCTCTTATCATTCTTCGCTGCGAGTCTCCCTTCTGTGAAGTCAATGGACACACGCTTGGCCCCGGCGGCGAAACAGCCGCGGATGTCTTTCTCGCATTCGTGAACAAGGTCCTTTTCGAATGCTTCTTGGGGATATCCCTCGACGGTGCCGTTCAATGGGTACAGCAGGTACATCATAGATGGCGCAATGACGGCTTGTTTCATGGGGTGCCCGCCCGCCAGCGGCATCGACCTCTTCAAGTTGTCGTAGGCGTAGGTCTTGTATTTGAAGGACCCCTTCACGAGGCGGGGCAGTTGCCGGTGATGCCCATCCTCAAAGATGGCAAAGTATTGACCGTCAGCAGCGAGATTCTCCGACAGACCCGTGCCCCCGAGAGTATCGGTGATGGGATACGTGGCAAACGAACTCGCCCGTTGCTCACCGTCGGTGATCAACGGTTCACCTGTGTGGCCAAGGTGTTTCAACGAATCCTCGACCGCTCTGTCCTGGGCCTCTATAAGCTGTTCGTGAGATATTTTGCCCGCGTCGTAGTCTGCAAACGCCTTTTGGAGGTATGTTGGTCGAGGGAGACTTCCGACGAGTTCTGTGGGGATAGGCATTGTGGTTGAGTCGATGATGTTCGATCGAAGAGGGAAGAGGTCGAGGAAAGCAAAGAGGAGGTGCAACAAGGATTTACCATGTGCTGTCAGCACCAGGCAACCCTACAGGATATAAGTTCCCATGTTTTCCTTTTCCCCGCCTTTAAATTCTCACAAGCCTGGATGACGCCGCGACTGCATTTGGTGCTCGACCTTTGAAGTCTTATTGGAGGAAGAAACACCAGCTGCCAGAAGAACTCGTGTTGGATCAAGTTTTGATCCAGCCCTGGCTTCGAGGTGTCATGAAGGATTTTGCACCCGATCACCTGTCTGAAGTTCATCGATGTTTGAAGGAAATGAATCGCGTAGAATGCCTAGTGGGGTGCAGCCTCGTTCCGTGTCTGGTCACCTCCGTCCTTCATTGCCCTCGAGGTTCGTATTGATCAGCTCGGTAGAGGATCTTGTTTAGATAGCTAATAACGAACACATAATAATATCGTGATATAAAAACTCCTCCGTCCAGAGGAATATCCGCCTGGCTCTGCAGCCTTGCCAGTGGTGGTGGTGGTGGTGGTGGTGGTGGTGGTGGCTTCTTGGTAAGGAAAGTTGTACGCCTTTCAGCCTGATACGCTCTGCTCCGAAGCGAGCTCATTGAATTTGTTGTACAAAACATAGTAAACACTCTTTCCCCATGCAATTGCGTTCCATTTCCTTAGCCGAAATGCTGTTCAGCTCACGCCATTTCCCTTTTCCATATAGCCCGTCAGAGAGCCAGCCCCATGTATGCCGTTACCATTAACATGCAATTGACCTTCATCCGTAAATATGTTGCTTTCCCTCAGCAGAAGCATTGACATCCAGACAGACTACTGTGCCACAGCGCCCTCACCGCGGATCCTCTTCCCCTGACCACTGCCATCTGTCACCTCACCGTCCTCTCGAGCTCTCTTATTTCCACCACCAGGAGTAAATTGAGCAGCTTGAGGATTCAACGAACCGCGGCTCGGACTGTTCGCGCCTCCACTCCTGCCTGCCTGTTGACTAACGCCGGTGTGTACATTCGGGCCGCCTCCGCGTCCGCCTCTGGGTGCTCCACGCCCTCTAGGGATACCACTTCCTCGGCCACGGCTTGATCCACCGCGCGGGATTCCGGATTGGAGTTGATGCATCAAGGCCGCACCTGGTTGAGACTGCTTCGCAGCTTCATGGTGGGCGGGTTGAGCGGACTGTGAAGGTTGAGCAGGTTGAGCGGGACTCGGCTGAGGGGCGGGTTGCTGGAATGGATTTGGCTTAGGTTGCTGCGAAGCAGGTTCGGCAGCTGCTGGTTGCTCGGGAGCCGCAACTGGAGGCTGAGTAGTTTCGTCGGCTTTGACATGGATGTCTGGTTTCGCTGTGGTTTGTGAAGGTGGAGCGACAGGAGTAGGAGCAGCCGGCTTTGGTGCTGTTGCAGCAGCCGGTGCAGTGGGTTTCGCGTCTTTAGCGATTTGCCACACCTCTCCAACCGCCTTCTCAGGAGTCTCCTCTGCTGCCTTTTTCACGACGTCTAGTTTTGCGTTTGCCATAGCTGCTCTGTTCTGAGACATATTAAGTTTGACAGCGCCTCGCTTCTCCGCCAACTGCTCGGCATTCTTAACTTGTTCTTCGATTTTCCTTGCCGACTCTTCGTCGAAGTGGAGTTTCTGCGTTCTGAGCTCCTCTTCGTGCTTGCTGGCCATTGCTTGCTTTTCCCGAGCAAGATTTTCTTCGTATTGTTTAATCAACGCTTCTTTCTCGGTCTCGAACTCGGCCTCTTTCTGTCTGATGATGGCTTCTTTTTCAGACTTAAGTCGCTCCTCCAATTGCTCGGGCAGTCCCGCAGAAGCTCCTTCATTCTGAGAGCCTTGAGATTCGGCCATTTCTTTCCGAAGATTCTCCTTCTCTTTCTCCAGCCCTTTGCTGATATTGGCTCTGACAATCCGTCGTACAGTGTCATTTTTGTTCACGAGGAATTTTGCCTTGTCCTCGGGCAGGGACAACAACACGTCATCAGGAATTTCTCCGTTGGTCACAGCAGCAACAGCGCCAGTCGCATCTTCCGCAGGCTGCTGGAGCTCGCTTGCAACAGGCACTGACTTGGCTCTCAGCGCCTCCATTTCTTGTTGATGTTGGGCGTTGAGCTTGACTGTCAACTCTTCAAGGGCAGCCACTTTCGCTTGCTGCGCTTGCTGCTTAAACTCAGCTAGCCGTTTATTGAGGATTGCCTCATTTGCGGCCACTCTTGACTTAAACCGCTCTTCCTGCCCAGATTTCAACTCGTCGAGCTCCCTGGTCTTCTCCGCCAGCGACTCTTCTAGTCCTTTTACCTTGGCTACCAGCTCCGCAGTGTCGGTGCCGGATGTGCCATTAGTATTTGAGGCTTCAGCAGTTGCTGAATGTTCCCCATTGACCTGAGTCGATGTTGCTGGAGGAGGATGTGCTTCGGCGGCAGCCAGTTGTTCCTTGAGCGAACCAAGCTCTGCGTGCAAAGCATCTCGTTCAGCCACAACTGCGTCAAACTCGAACTTCCTCTCACGTAGAGTATTGTTCTTCTCTTTGATGACTCCCTTGAACTGCGTCTCCAGTCTTGTCTTCAACTCGCCCTTAGCAGTATCAACTGCTGCCTGCGTGCTCTCGACCTGTGTTTGAAGAGCTCTACGAGCCTCGTCGCGCTCGGTAATAGCATTGTCGAGCTCTACGTGGAGGTCATCGCGTTCTCGCTCAAGTGTGGTCATCTTCTCCTTGAGAGCCTCCATTTCCGCAGGATCGACTCGGTCATACTTCGAGAGAATGTTCTGAGTGCGCTGTTGCCAGTGGTCTCGGTCTTCTTGGCTCAGTTTTAACTCTCCTTCTTTCAACTCCAACAAATTCTCCAGTTCCGCAACACGAGCCTGTAAGGTCTGTACTTCGCCTTCCAGCTGCTCCACACGTCGGGTCTTCGCAGCCAAAGCTTGGGTGGCTTGCTTAGCTTCTGCTCGTAGAGTAACGCTGCTCTCACGGAATAGATTCAACTCATTAAGAGTTTCGATGAGCTTGTTGTGGCTGAGAGCATTCCGTTCCGCGTCGGCCTCGGAACGGCGCTGCTGGTCGAGCTTCAATCGCGTCTCGTCTAGTTGCGACTGGGCAAACTCCAGCTGCTGCCTCAATCGCTTTGCCTCCTGAACCGAGAGTTGATATTGAACATCCACGATATCCTTCTCCCGACGGAGGTAGGTAATTACCTCCTGCAGCTTGTCAAGCTCCGCAGACGGTTGAGCGGGCGCCTCCTCGTTCACGCCTTCCGTCAAGGCTGCCCGATCGCGTTGCAGAGCGGTAATCTGCTGAGTGACACTTTCGAGTTGATCATGCAAAAGGTTGTTCTGTTGGGCAAGCTCCTCACGTCGCTTCTTGAGATCAGCAAGTTCTCTCTCATACCGGTCTCTCATCTCTTCCCAGCTAGCTTGTTTCCGCTCAAGATCTGCTTTGGACGTCTCGGCTTGCGTTCGCAAGTCAACCATCTCTAGTCTGAGTTTGTTGGCTTCGTCTCTAACTGTGTGCAAGGTCTTGGCCGCTTCAGCATGCTTCAGTAGCTCAGTCTCATAGTTTTGCTGAGCTTCTGTAGCAATTTGGGCTTGAATTTTCGAGGCCTCCAGATTGAACTGTGCTTGCTCGGCACTCTTCTCCGCCTCTTCCTTCAGCCGTCCAATCTCAGACTCGAATCCCGACTTCTGTTCATCGAGTTTGCGACCAAACTCTGCTTGTTCGTCCCGCAGTCGTGTCAATTCCTGGTTGGTGGTATTCAGTTCAGCTGAGATATCTTCGATGCGTTGCTCGAGATCCTTAATCTTGGCTTCTTTCTCAGCAAGCACGGCCTCCGTTTCTTCGCGATACTGATCGTTGGTCTCGCTTAGCTCTTGAAGACGCTCTTCGCTTGACTGACTAATATTCTTGTAAACTTCCACCTGTTCGTTGGAGCGTTCAAGTTCGGATGTCTTGAGCTCAAGGTCACGCTTGAGTTCTGAAATTTCCACGGCCAATTCTTGCTCTTTGCTCAAAGTAGTGTCCTCAGGAACACTTGCCTCCGTTGTAGGCTCTGCAGGTTTGGTCAACACTTCTAAGCGTTCTTCAGCAGACCGCAGTTCCACCGTGAGCTCATCAACCCTGGCTTGCAGATGGTCCTTAGCCGTCTTTGCTGAAGCCAGCTTCTCCCTCGTTGTGCTTAGGCTGGTAACAAGGTCCTCTATCCGCTTCTGGGCCTGGTCATGCTCATATTCTCGACGCAAGGCAGCCTTCTTACTTTCTTCGATTTCTTCATTGAGCTTTCTCTTGGTTGATTGAAGTTCAGACTCTAATGATTCCACCTGGGATTGCAGTCGACGTCGTGTTTCGGAATCCGTGTGTTCACGTTCATTAATGATCGTCTGGAGGCTTGCATTGAGCTGGTCCAGCCGGCTTCGCTCATTGCGCAGGGACTCATTATCATCGATCAATCTTCGTTCCACACTCTTCCACAAATCCTTCTCCGCCTTGAGATTCGCAGAATCGCGGCGCAGACTGTCGAGAAGATTTCGAGCTTCAACAAGCTCCTCGGCGACTTGCTGAGTCTTGAGCTCATTTTTTGTAGCATTCTCCATGGCAGTCCATGATCTCTTCTGAATCTCGCCATTTTCCATCTTGAGTGAGTTATAGTTCGCCTGCAACATTTCGTAGCGCTGATTTGCAGCCGTCAACTGTCCCACAGTCCGACTAATCTCGGTCTGTAACTGTGAGTTCTTTTTACTCAACTCAACGACCTGGTTCTTCAGGGCAGTGTGGTCTGTGGAAGCTTCTTGTCGATATGAGTCGAAGTGTTGTTGCAGGTCTTTGAGGAGCTTGGCATAGTCAGAATCGCCGCCGGTTACGGACCCTGCTGGTGACTCTCCACTGGGGACTGGTAACGACCGGGAGAAATCGTTTGGTTGGACCTGGCTAGGTAGATGGCCGCGTCTGGTCAACATGTTTCGGAACATATCTCTTTCTTTGACAAAACTCTTGGTCTGAGCCACCATCGTCCTCAACTCATCCTGGTACGAGGCAATTTGTGCACGAGCTTGTTCTAGTTCGCGGCTGAGAGCATGGTTCTGTTGCTCTCGGTCCTTCGCCTCGTTGCTCTCCAATTCACTGACTAAATTTCGAATGGTCTTCAGCTGATTCTCGTTTTGTTGTTGCAGCTCGGTGATGTTCCTGAAGATAATGAGTCGCTGATTGATCAGTTGTTGGTTTTCGGAGAGATTTGCCATGTCCTGTGACATTGCTGCATTGGTCTGTTTCTCCAGTTCCTCAAAATCTTCGCGTGTAAGGGTTTCGCCTCGTTCGCGAACATACTGCTCGACCAACAGGAATCGGATCTCAGAGCCCTTGTCTCGAAGTTGCTGAGAGAGAACTTCCACCTCCCTTGACTTGCTTTCGAGTTGGCCTTGACAGTTCCTCAGCTCTTTCATCGTGGCATCCCGGTCAGCGTTTGTCTTGTCGACAATCGCAGACATCTCGACGACTTCGCTCTGCAGACGAGCATGGTCCGCACGCAGCTCCTCAATCTCAGGCTTGTTGTTTTCCAGTTCGTCGACCATGGCATCAAGGTTTTCCTGCAGTTGCTCCCTAGCACGCTTCTCGCTCGCCAGTTCTCCTTCGAGCTTCTTGTATTCCGAGAAAAGTTGAGTCATGGTCATTTGAGATTTCCCTCTGGATACGGACGCCGGAGAGAAAATACCACTAGGGGTTCCGGGCCGAAGAGGTGTCGTGATGCCTGAACCATTCGTTGTGCGTTGAGGAGTGCTTTGTCTCACCCGAGACTGTTCTAATTCACCTGCCATTTGCTGCAGGGATTCCTCGAGCTCGGCCACACGTTGCTCAGCAGCAACCCGGTCATTGTGTTCAGTTTCGATCTCAGCTCGGATGATGCCAATCTCTTCTGCAGCCTCCTCGCGGGATTCTTCCAAGGCAGCGGATAGTTCCTGAACGCGCTGTTTAGCTGTCTCGGCAGACGCCGCTTGCAGCTCAGCTAGACGATTTACGCTCTCGAGTTCGACTCTGAATCCATCCTCGGCAGATATCTTTTCTTCCCGTATCTTCTGCATCTCCTCCAACGTCTCTTCAAATCTGGCCGTCTGCTCCTCCAATCGCTGTTTGAGAGAAGTTTCGGAACGTCTCAGAGTCTCTGCTTCAGATATGTACTGCTCATTTAATCTTGAAAGTTCTGAAATCCGCGCATTCTTCTCTTTTCGGAAGTTGGTGTGTTCTTCAGCCTTGATCTTTCGCTCAGTCTCTAGCCACTCGTTGTTTTTCTTGAGCATCTCAACTTCTTGCTGAAGTGACTGCTCTTTGAATTTCGCACTTGCAACGCCAGCATTGGCAGACTGCAGTATGTGCTCCAGGCCGTTGATTTGTTTTCTAAGTTCCGCAGTCTTTTGGTGTTGAGCTGAAAGGTCTTGGGATAGGCTTTCGTATGCGGTGTTTTTGGACTCGAGGAGAGACAAGGTATCTCGGTTGGAGGCTTCGAGAGAAGAAATACGTGACTTGAGAGTGTTGACTTCAGAATTCTCATTTGCCGTGGCAGAGCGGTACTGCTCGAGCTCGGTCTCCAACTTTGATCGTGTATTTTCTGTGACACACCGGTCAGCTGTTTCTGCGAGCCTGCAGTGAGGATCACCACATACCCGAGGTTTGCAATTCGACCCGAAGTTTGCTGGATTCTGCAAGGGCCTTGTCACGCGAATTTTGCAGCACCTTCGCTTTGGATTCACTTGTCCGGACGACTGTCTCGAGTTCGATTTCGAGCTTGACTTTTTGGGACTTGTTTTGTTCAAACTCTCTAACTTTCACCTCGATAGCGCGAAGAAGGGCAGTGACGAGCTCGGGCGTCGGCTGACTGATGAGCGAGGTGAGGGAAGTTTCAGGCAGCGAGGAGAAAGCCGAGATGGCGCGAAAGTCGACTTCGGCCGCCATTGTGAAGAGGCTGTAGTATTGTGAAGATATTGGCGTCGAGCGTTGGTGAGGGAAAGTGACTTCCAAGGCAGAATGCGCCCACCGCAAGCGCGCCGCAACCTCAGGGTGAAATGAAAGTTATTTCAACCGGTCTCACCATGGCGCAAGAAGCTGCTTGCGCGAGCAACGGATACGGGAAAAGAGGGCGGACGTGGTGAAAGGTGAGAGGTGGAAAGTGGAAGGTAGGATGGAATTGGAGATGTTCGAGAATGAATCTCTAAACAGACAGAAGCGGGCGGCGCGGGCAACTGAAAGAACGTGACTTGGGCTCACCAGGCCTTGTACTTGTTACAAGTATGCATTGTCTGGGCGCTCGGTTAGGCTGTACGAGCCTAGTTATGTAAGCCCGCTTTAACTGTTGGCACTGCCACGCCCACTGTACGGAGTTTGACGGAGTAACTGGGGCTCGCTTCACCTGCCCCCGCCTATCAACATGCCTATTTCGCTGCTCCTAGCCTCATATACTCCGCCGCCACCGAGAGGCCTCACATAGCTATCACTCTTCAACTTCATTTCTCACAGATATGCTCGGTCTTCTTGACGGACCCGCTCGCTGTCATCTTCTCGCTGCTTCGAAATGAGATAGACTCTCTACCGCAGTCGGAAGCGGAACCTTTGACTAGGACTCCCCTTCCATCTATCACCCCAGTTACGCCCTCGGTCCGCCCGCAAACGGCGGAACTCAACAAAGAGCACATTTGCGCTTTCGATAAATCTACCAGCCCAAAATGTCGGCCTTCTACGCGCCGCCGGTGACCGATCCGGCGGGCACAGACGTGCGCACGAACGCCGTCTACGCAGTCGGGCGATTGCGCGAAAAGTTCCCTGAACGCATTTCTGCCTCCGATCTGATCACCTTTGTCTTACCTGTCCAGCGACGTGATGAGACCACCGTCCAACACTTTCTGGCGGTTCTCAACGCCAACTCGAAAGTCACATATGACAAGGAAACGGACAGCTTCTTGTTCAAACCCGAACACAACATCACCGATGCAGACTCCCTGCTCCAGTTCCTGCAGAAGCAAGAGACGGCAATGGGGATCCAGGTGTCGAAACTGAAAGACGGCTGGGCTGACGTCGAAGAGGCAATTGACAAACTCGAGGCCGAGCACCGCTTGCTGGTGACTCGCAACAAGAAGGATCATCACCCGCGCATGGTCTGGATCGACGACCCCACCCTGCAAGCACCGCTGGACCAAGAATTCAAGGATCTCTGGAACCAGATCCCGTTACCGAGCGTGGAGGACACGATCAAAGAGCTTCGTAAAATGAATCACAAGTCCACGGGCGAGCCGGCTAGGACGGACCTCGCCGTGAAACCCAAGGAGAAAAAGAGGAAAGTCCGCAGAGGCCAGAAAATCACCAACGTGCACATGCAGGGTCTATTTAGGGATTACTCGGAAAAGAAACCAGACGTTAAGAAGTAATTTACCAGGACACGGATGGGCACAATTCGATGGTCCTGCTACTTCAGTGCGTGCGGTGTTTCTTCCAGGCGATGCGCACCCTCGAGCCCTCTGCCGTGGCCGGCCCACTCCGGATCTCGCCGATTCTCATGCTTTTGGCGGTAATTTTTCCTTTTCATTCTCAAAAAGTCACAGCGTCCAGGTAGGCAGGTGTTTCAAAATCGGAATAGGGTAGGATAGGAAGGCGATCGGATCGAAATGGAAACGGAATGGCCCCCCCCCAAAAATGGAAAAATGAGAGAAGATGATACCCCCAGATATATCACTCGGCGTTTGGTTTTCCTGATTCTTAGAGAGCACAAGACCAAGCAGGTCCTCCAGATAAGACACTGTACCATTGAAAGCAACATGAGCATATCCATAGCATACATGAAAGGTATCATATCCCGCCATGTTCCCAAGAACTCCGTACAAGACCATTTGAATCTCGCGCATCCCATTTGACCACATTGTAAAGGATGTTTAAAACCAAAATCAGACCATTGCACCCAAAAAAGTCAAAGACATCTCAGGTTTTCGCGTCAACATTGACATCGATCATCCCCTCCTCTCTGAACCGCGAAGTGCTCCGCCTTCGATCTCCATCGATGCTCCTCTGGTCCACACTCAGCGCGCGCCCTCTGGACCCCTCGCCGTCCCTGGTGAGGCTGCGCCCGCGCTCTTGGCCCATCGACACCGCGGGATTGAAGTAGCTCGCCGCCTCGCCTTGCGGTCGTAGCCCTCCAGCGCTGCTGCCAGTAGCTTCCTCGTACCTGGGTGGCGGGGCAGAAAAACTGGCGACGCTCGCGGGCCGCTGGATCCCTCCTGTGAGGTTCAAATTGTTATCATAGCCGAATCCGTCCTGCGTCGACCCCACGCCTCCGTGCTCGGATGTGCTGGGATTCCACGTGAGGATGGCAGGTGCCTCTGCGTGTCCTAGCAGGGATTGGTTCTGGTCCGCCGTGGCAGTGTAGCCGCCATTGCTATTGGCGCCGTATTTCGATGGGTCGCTCGTCGAGGGAGAAGCTGATATGGGTTTGTTGGCCGTTGCGGATTGGAGTTTGATGGCGGGAATCGTGTTTCTGCTGCGACGGCGCCGAATGCGTCTGAAGACGACGAAAGCAACAATGAGTCCAATAACAGCAATGGCAATCACGATACCGAGGATTGCCCATTTCGAGACTCCGCCGCCGTCGCCTGGACCCCTGCGGTCGCCATCGCCAAAGCCGCCTGGGCCGTTGTCACCAAAGCCCTGTCGAGGAACGAGAGTTGATGAAGTGGGTGCCATTGAGACGATTTATCAGGTCAATTGGGAATGACCCTTTGCCCCGGGCTTCTCGGGAGCACGATTTTGTATTTAGAATTGTCGTGGAATCAATTCTGACTATTCAGAATCAAGACAGCCGTTGGACGCTTGTTGAAGTGTGGATCGAGAGTGGGTGCCCAAAGTCGACGTTGGCGTTATGTTGTGTGTAATGCAAGCGGCGCTCCAAGGGAACACGAATAGCCGTGACGATGTGACCAAAGCAGAAAAGAAGGAACGCTGCAGGCAGACAAGCTAGTGGAAGGTAATCCAAACTCCCTATTCCGTGTATCTACTCCGTACGTATGTATTGGTAGGTAATCAAACGAGAGAATAGCGAAAGAGGGGGGAGAGAGGGAGAGGGAGAGGGAGAGGGAGAGGGAGAGGGAGAGGGAGAAGGAGAGGCGACGACAAAATGCCACGCGCCTTATTTGGTCGCAGTATCAGGTACTCAGGCTGGACAAGCCTCAGAAAATATATCCGACTCTTGGACGTGAGAGTCAGTTGAGCTCCCGGCCGAAGCCAAGCAAAGAGCAAACAGGGAAGCAAAGAGCGAGGAAGAGAGGAAGAAATGGAGGAGCACGAAGCAGGAAGAGCGAGGAAAGGGTCCCTGGGATCAAATCCTAAGCAGATCTCAGGTTCGCGTATTATTTGGGCCCTGCATGATGTCCGGCTTAGCGTGAGGCTGAGACGGGGGGCGGAGCGATATTGCGAGGGTGGCTGCTGAAGGGAGACGCGGCCCGAGCTCGTTAAGAGGGCGTTCTTCAAGGAGGGAGTCGACCGTGGGGAGGATGGGAGGCCCGAGGAAATACTCCATACCTACCTGGCATGTGCTTGTCTGAAAAGAGGCCTCCCTGCTGTCTTGTAACTTTAGCCAGGATCCGAGTCTCGGGGGTGAAGACTTGGGTTTCTGAATACGAGATTGATCCCGGGAGCAGCAGGCACCAAAATTGGTAAAATTCGACACCGCATTCCTTGGCCCGCGCCTTGTCGGAAGGGGATAGAAGATATTGTCAGAGGCGTTCTAGCCCCCTTATGGAAGAATCGAGCGAGATTGATGTTTCTTTTTTGACGGGTTTCTTCAATGCAGAGCAATAATCACCCTGGCCACTGCATTCATCTCGGCCACACATAATAGGGCGGGGAGACCTTCATTCTCGGAGCATTGGACGAGCAAGCAGCCGGGCGTTATTGCCCAAACCAAAGCGAAGCAGGAAGCCTGAATTCCGGTGAAGTAAGTGCTGAGGTGAGAAAAGCTGCTCGGACGCAGTGAGGCAGCTCGGCAGGTACAAATGGCCGAGAAATCGCCAAGAAATCGCCAGAGAGAGCGAGACTGGCGCTTGACGTCATTCACCGCCAAGACCTCAGCAGCCTCGTTGCGGTGGCTGCACTCGCAAGGCTTCACCAGGGAATGCCATCGCAGAGAGAAATACAGTAGACGCAAGCGCCTTGGGATTCAATTCAGCACATCAATATGCTCACTGCAATGTACGTGACGTTCAATCATGTCTAGCAACTCGCTCAACTTCTTATTCACCCTCATCAATGATGCCCATTAACCCCATTCGTGACATGCCCGTGCCCATGGCCATTCCTCGTCATCTTTTCTTTCTGCACATAGTCGACCAGGTCTTCGATCGTACAAACCTTCAATCCCCACTTGCGGCCAAACTCCAGGCAAGCATCGCGCCTCATCATCCCCGGTTCGCGCATGGCCGTCTGTCCTGGGACGGGCTCTCCGTCTTCAACCATCTCGCAGATGACCCCGACTTTCGCCTTGCCCGCCAGGCGACAGAACTCGACCGCTGCCTCGGTGTGGCCCGTTCTTTCGAGAACACCTCCGTCCCTGGCTCGGAGCGGGAAAACGTGGCCAGGTCTGCGGAAGCTCTCGGCGGTGGCTTTCTTGCTGGCCAGGGTGCGGCAAGTCAAGGCACGATCATGGGCTGAGATGCCGGTGCTGACACTCTCATCATTGGAGTCAATCGAGATGGTATAGGCCGTGCGATTAGGATCCTCATTGTCCACGACCATCTGTGGTAGCGCCAATCCGGCAGCGAGTTGAGAGGTGATTGGAGCACAGATGAGGCCGCTCGTGTGACGGATCATGAAGGCCATTTTTTCGGCAGTGACGTCCTCGGCGGCGATGATCAGGTCGCCTTCGTTCTCACGGTCTTGAGAGTCGAGAACCACAATGAACTCGCCATTGCGGAAGGCTTCGATGGTGGATTCGATGGTATCGAACCCCTTGGACATGTTGCTAGGGGGCTGCATGCTTGATGAGCCTTGATGCTGTGGATGTGGGGGATGCGGTTAAGGAGCTTATGTCTCGTAAGCAGTTCGTGTCCTTCTCCACGGTGTCTGCCCCCAGCAAAGAACTTTCTTTGCCACGTCCTCCGACTTTCCCAGAGTGAACAACCAGCAAAGTGTGCTTGGTGCACACTAAGTGTCCCAAGCAATTAAATCACAGACGCAGTGGTAAATCAGTGATACTCCTCCTCTCCAAATGACCAGACTCCTCGCAACAACCTAAGCGTGACTTCCGGACCGCCGAACTTTTTCTTTTTTTCTTCTCTAGCAGTTTAAAAAAGGCTTGTAGACGAAACCCCGCAGAAATAGTTTTCCGAGACGATCAAAAAACACACTGTATCGGATTGGCAGGCCGACGTCCTGTAGATAGTTAGAATAAAAGCACCGGGTATCCTGCTGGAGAATGCGGTCTGTTTCACGAAGAGGGCATCGAGGAGGAAAGATCACGCCAACAAGAAAGAGGGGGAAGTGGAAAGACTCGGAATGTTATACTCAGAAAAAGGCACGGGCGCACGGGTCAGACAAGCCCGTGGCGGTTGCTATACCGCGGCTCATTTGTCATGTGCGCTTAAAAATTCGTCAGAAATGATCAAGCGCCTTGCTACGAGCACAGAGACAGGTGGTGCAGTCATGCTCCCATAGAGTGGCTTTTGCCTCGGCCGGAAACACTCGGGCGAGAGCAAGGAGCATAGTCCAACGGAAAAGCCAACTGAAAAAAAAAAAGCAATGCCTACTGGTTCATTGCAGCGCTTTTTCTCACACGCGAGCCCCTGTGCCTTGGTCGTCCAACCCCAAATTCCCGTGGATTCCAGGGCAGAGTCCTGCTCGTTCTACTTGTATGCTCTGCTCAAGAATCGTACAGTCATAGCCTTGTGTCGAAACAGCATGACGGCCCTCTCAACTCATATCCTTGTTGAAGAAATCCTCCCATCCCATCGCCTCCTTTCCTGGTTAACATCAAATCAGCCGGCAAACACATCGACTTTCCGGCCTCTGGGCCCTTTGGATGGTGTCTCAACCTCGGCAACCTCCTCTTCAGCCGATCGTCGACTCAGGTCTGCATCACGGGTAAAAGAGAATAACAGTCGATCTTCTACTCGCCGCCAGATTTGTGCCATAAAGCTGGACTCCCTCGACTTGGGCGCGACCGCGCCAGCCTTCTTCGATACCACAGCTATTGTGGTGGCCTCATCCAACTCCGACTCTATCTGCGAGTCCGTGTTTGGAGGACTGCTTGGTAAGACCTGATTGTCAATATAGCCATCCGTGAATACCTCCATCTTTAGTTTGCTCCCGGAACGAACTCCTGGAGTAAAGGGCGAGAAATCAGGTCGCGTCGGGGTCCTTCGCTGAGGATCCGGGACCTTTATGTGTTTTTCAGCCCCCCCTGTGCTTCTTGAACAAGTTCCAGGGGTCAAAGGCGAAAAAGGTGGCCGGCTGGGCGTGCCTTGCTTGGGGCGACCTGACAGGGCACTTTCATCCTCCATTCGAATGGGACTCGTAAATGGCGAAATCGGTGGTCTTTTCGCCTGTGCCAAAGGGGACAGGATTCCTCGCCCTGGGTAGTCGGGAGGAAGCCTGGCTGTCTTTGACACGAGTGTCTTCCCCTTAGGGGTGCTAGATGCCTTTTTTCTGGCCTTTGCAAAAGCGGGTATCTCCACGACTATCTTCGCCTTCTTCTCTGGTCTGTTCTCCTTCCCAGTGCATTCTTCAATGGACTTTCGTTTTCTTTTGGGCCTCTCTGACTTCGTTATCGTCATATCAATCTCGCCTTGCCGGAGCCACAGATCATGCCGGCGTCTTTTGAGGTCGTCCACCCAGTCATCGCAGTCCATGGCGACAAAATCGTCAATTATGCCGTCCCAAACGCTTTCCGCTGGTCGAGTGCGGTTGACAAAGATCACCCGTCCCTTGCCATTTTTGTGTGAATGGACAGCTTTTGCAAATTCTCGTACAATCTTCTGGAGCCCGAAAACTTTCAATGATGTTCCCATAATGACCAACACGTCAGGCTGGCAACTGGCGTCAAAGGGGATCAGCGGCGTGAGCAACGTGTTCGAAGGGTGGTCTTCTCCATAGAGGACAATATTTGGTCGAAGCGCGCCCACCGTAAGACCTCGTTTTCCGCTCGCTTGTCTTTGGTCACTCTTGTCTTTGCACTTGGGGCAGTCCGCCGCAGCTCCTTCAAGATAGATTTCAGTCTGCTCATCATTCCACTGGTACTGGCTGGAGCACATGGTACAGCGCAGCTTCTCCAGGTCACCATGGAGTTGCACGACTTCGCATCCCCCATCAAAATCGGTGCCCACTGTGTGTGCAGGGCGCGGTGCCTCATAGTGCTTCTTCATGAATCTGCGTTTATTTCCTTTGCCGCGTGCTAGATCGGTTACAAGGCCTTCTCTTAACTCGAGACCGTCTATGTTCTGAGTATAGCACCTCATCAATCGACCACCGTCGCGCAGCACCCTGACGAACTTGTGGACTGAGCTCGTGGACCGCACCTCGTGTCGGATTTTCTGCCGAAGAGAAGCGATGAACTGGTAAAAGATTGTGGTTGATTCGGCATGTTGGAAGACTCGGGAGTCAAACAAGTCCTGGCCTCTTAGCCTTGATGACGGACTGGAGGATACTCTTCGACTTCTCGATTGGGACGAGGATGGCTCCTCGTCGACGACCAGGTCTCTGAATCGGGGGGGTGTGGGGGTTGACGGCTCTGATGGCGGCGGTGTTGGCAGCATCGTCTGGTCGGGGATCATGTTGTAGAGTCCATCTTTGGATCGGAAGTCCTTTATACAGTTAACAATCGCGCCAATCTATGTAGCTATGACACGTACGGGAATGCCACAGCTGGTACTGATGCCTGCGCCTGTTACAAGCAAGATCTTGTGCGATCCTGCCAGACAGTCTGCAATCTCTTGCAGTGCTCGCTCATCATCGCTGGTCACTTCTTGAAGACCCATCTTGTGGGACGAAATGTCGTGTTTGATGTCTGTGGCCAGGTTTGATATGGCCGAGACAGCGCGGCAGGTTTGAAAATATCAAAAGCATGAAACAAGAAGAGAACCTCCAAATGCCAGTCGTGAAATATGTACCGAGTCGTCCAGATGTTGGGGCGGTCGTTTGAACTAGGACCCCGTGCACTTCGCGTCACTGACCGACGCGTCAACTCGCGTAATCAATTGAGAAGAACGCGTGCCTGCTTGGACAAAGCAAGGGCGGGGTTCTCTCACAGGTCCTCCTTCGCCAGAATGGAAAATAATCTGTATTTAACAACAATGCGTGGATTGTAGGGAAGTCGCGGAGTGTCTCATAGGAAGCTCCATTGTTGTTTACCAGCCGAGGCGGTGAATTTCCCTTGCTGGGAGCTTTGGGACCTCAACCCCCAATGAGCTCCAAGAGCGGCCGCTAAAATTTAGCTCCCGTTAAGTTTAATTGACCACATCGCCCGCCCATTGAAACCCTTGCGGCCCATGTGGCATCAGCGTCGCGACTTGCCTTCAACTACGACATTAATCACAGATCTCCTTTCTATTTACGAGGTACTTCGTACGAATCTTCAGGTCTCGATTGCACTGAAAAAAAAGACCCCCGAGCCTTTGCTCAACCACTCCCATCTCCAAGATCTATTCTCCTCTTCTTTGATGTGGGCTCAACCAACGATTCCAGCATTCTCCCGTTTCGTTCCCACTCAGCCTCGTATCGGACAGACCATTTCGTACAATCTTCTACAGACTTTCTCAGCACCCGCGGTCGCACCCCGAGATCTTCCATTTTTTGTTCATTGGTCTCTTGTTCATCGTGAACACCGAGCAGGGACGATAGGCGTGATTCTTCCCGTCTCCGAGCTTCTCGATCCATTCTCCCCAGGTAGCGGTCTTCGTTTTCTTGGAGAATTTGTATTCGCTTCTCCCTTGACATCCGCAAGCTCAAGCGCTCCTCAGACGAGGAACCATTCTCTTCCTTGCTAGGACTATTTGCGGTTTGCCCTTCACTTTCTGCATCGGAGTAAGTAGTGTCTGCGGAAGATTGCTCGTGCGCATCAGAAACAAGGGTGTCAATATTGTCTTCTGTGAGATCTTCCCCGCTGGAGAATCGCTCCAAGGGTGACTGGCTCCTCGTTGATGTTGTGGACGTGCGCGGACCCGACCTGGTTCTGCGGTGACTTGACAATATTTCCTCCACTTTTTCGTATGGCATGACCGCCTTACCATCGACGCCCCTCCTGTGCGGGTCGTCCACGACGCTTAGCTCGTTTCTCCTTGCCAGCCCAATCCAGTATGACTCAGAGTCTTTTTCCACGCCTAACACATCCAAAGCCGCAAGTACGTCTTGAGATTTGACAAGTCGGCCGGGTTGGTAGTCTTTGGACGCGGCCGCACGGACGCGGGACGTGGCAATGAAAAGGGATGATTGTATCAGTCGACGTGCGAAGTTGATGACCAGGTCGTAGAAAAGGGTTACACAGTCCAAGGTCAGAGCCGGACGTTGACCCTCCTCTGCTATGTTTGACCATGACTCAGGGTTGTCGGCATCTCTATTCATAAAAAAGCGCTCGCTCAGCATGAGAAACGTCGATAGGTGGAAAGCCCGGGCTGCTCTTTCAGAAAACGGGGTGAATGAGTCGTCAGACTCTTGTTGATGAATGTTTCCGGAAGCTTCCAATTCATCTCCTCTTCGATCCAACTCAGCTGCTGCCTCGTGATCGATCAGCCATAACTTGCCGTCTTTTTGACCGACAGTCGCGTCGAATTGTTCTTGAAAGGCTAACAAGGCAGCTGCAGCCCTGTCAAGGACAGCTTCGCACTCACGGCCGATCTCAATAGCAGCAGGAATTTCGGCGTGGGAGATGTTCTTTGGCTGTGCTTCGAAGCGTTGACGGTCGGCCTCGTGCTCTCGCAGGTGGTCCAAGTACGCGTTGATCTCGACTTCTGACTTTGTACCAACCAAACTTGAAAGAGTCTTGAGTTCATGTCGGCCTTTGCGGCATAGGGCGTCATACAGCCTTGCTTTCTCGTCAGATCGCCAAAGAGCTGCCCCTAGCTGCGTTGGGGGTAGGTCCCCACCGAGATAGTCTTCATCTGCCGATTCAAATGTCTCCTTGAAAATTTCGAGATACTGGTCCAGATAGTGTTCACGGAGGCGATTCCATTTCTGCTTATAAAACGAAGCCGCGCCGGAAACATCTTTGACCGGTTGAATGGACCGGACAAGTGTGTTTTCAGGTTCCTGGTGATGGCCGTTGAAGTTTTCGAGCGGAGGACTGTTGAGGTCTGTGACCGTGGAGTTAGCAGTTTCATCCTGGCGGTCGTTGAGATCCATGTTCGACTTGCTCCTTCCATGCCATAAGGTGCGACAGCGACTGCAACAAGAAGGGCGACTTGTCGAATGACATGTTAGTCCAAGCCAAGTGATGCTTGCAACATCTCTGGAGTCGAGCTACATCTGGATGGAAAAGTTCGATGTTGCGATTGCTCGCGGGCCTGACTTGCCGATTTCTATGGTTCGCTCAATTAAGGTTTAGCGCCTATTCTGATTGGCCAGCAACTTTCCACTTCGAAAATTGTTATCGAGCCAAGAACCAGCCAACTCTTGTCTCAGTCCTCAGACCCGATATCGGGGCTACGCCCTGATTGGCTAGGCTATGAGCTAAAGCGCCGGCCAATCACAAAATTCAAAGAATGTTGCGATAAACGAGTCTGAGGCCCGATACGTGAAAATAGCCTAGATTTCGTTCGAGCCGTTTAAATGACGTTATTAGTAAGCGATTATATAGATAATCTTAGTAATTACGTCGTCTTTTTAAATATTTATCGCGTAACCTTCCTAGATAAATAGCCAAGAGTCTTAGCGACACCTCAATTTTTAAAAGTCTTAAATTTTCTATAGATTCTAACTACTTTAATCGATTATATCTCTATCTATATATCTTTAATTAAACTAAAACTTTCTATATATATAGAACTAAAGATTCTCTATTAATCTATACTAACTATAGTAAGTAAATAATTTTTTTCGTAAAGTTATTAAACTTTAAAGATAGAGAATTAAAGCTTAAAAAGTAGTTTTTTCTAAATATCTTAGTAACTATTAAAGATATTAAAAATTTAAATAAGTAGATTTATAAAGAATTAAATTTAGTATAATTTATATATAGAAAGTTTTTTATTTAGACTAATCGTTCGATAGTTATTTAAGAAACGGAGTGAATGTTAATCTAATATATGGGCTCTTCGCGCATTTTACTAAGACCACGAACGCTTTTCTACCCCAAAACCACGTATTGGAGCTCAGACCCTTCTCGCGAAGGCGTTTTGCTCCGCAAAACAGTGGGCCCTGCCCACTTATGGCAACTGAGCCGATGGGTCTGAGAACTGAGACAAAGCCACTCGCCGCTTTGCTCCGCTCGGCTTACCTGCCGCTTTCTGAGCAACCCCCCTAAGCACTCGCTTTCGGTGTGAACCGAAGCCTTCATTTTCTACTGGGTACTTAGTAGTGACACCAACTTTCGTCAACTTTGGGAGATGGGATCTGCTTCAGATACTAATGGATTCTGAACCCCTCCCCTCTAATACGCTCGAATTGCTTAGTAAGTTAGCTCCTATAGTACTGTAACAGAGCACTTCAGGGTTCGGCGTGCACGTGCAACAACGCACAGAGGCCTGTCCAGCAGATCGGGAATCGAGAACGCGTTTCTGGTTGATACTGACAAGACAACACCACCACCAACACCACCCAGAGGGGCAGCGGCTAGGGCTACGAACACCTAGCACAGCGGCAGCATCGAGGAACAGGACAGAACTGATAAAACACTCAGGAATTAGGTAGACGGCACCAAAAAAGTCATAGTATTCATGATACTCTGCTCAAACTGTAATGAATGGCACACTGCCAGCACTGTAAACTGTTCCGCACCCCCTTCTCTGCCAGCCCATTTAGGTTTGACATGTGACTAGATAACTTTTCCTCCCTGCCACCGCTCTACCAGCCCAGCACAGCCCATCACAGCACAGCCACCTCGCCTTGTTACAATATCATCTCCATCAGCTGGGTTGTTCGATTTTTCAACGCCGATGACGAACTGAATAGCCCGTTGGTTCTCGCCATAAAGAGGGCGGTGGAGCAGAACATACTCATTTTCTGCTCAACGGCTGACGTTGGTCCGCAGTCCGGTCACAATTTCTGGCCTGTCAATCTGAGTAACATCATTGCCGTTTCCGCATCCGACAGACTGGGCCATCCTCTACTACGATCGGACCATGACGTGCACGCCATGTTCGAAGGTGAAAAGATCCAGGTCGAGGGACCCAAGTACATCAAGAAGAAAAGCGAGCTTGCCCTTCCAAGCTATGCGTCTGGCTCCTCGGTAAGCACGGCTCTGGCTGCAGGTCTGGGCTCTTTGTGTCTGTTTCTTGCGCGTATGGCCAATGAATCGGACAGGCAGGCGGAGAGATTTTGCGAGCGTTCCACCATGCTGGCCGTGTTTCGTGAGATGCAAGTCAGCCCCAAGGATAAAGTCATTGCGCCGTCTCAATTGTTCGCAAACTTTGGCAGGATTTTTTATGGCACGGACCCTCGTCCAGTCGGGTTGGATAAGTTCGAATTCTCTTACTTTGAGGAGAAGATAGGCGCGGGACTCACCACGCGTCGGGCACGATCGAGAGAACGAGCGACGGGCGCGACAGGCGGCACAGTTTAAATTTATCTTGAGGTCTCAGTTTTGCCGGTGATGGAGACGTGCTGGGAGTGGAAATCAGCGGGGCCTTGCAGACACATGTCGTTCGGCATTTGTCCCGAACAATTCGATCGAATACCTTGGGGCACATATCGGGGCACCCTGTCTCGAAAGTTAATAGTCATGCCTATTGTCTTTCCCAAGCAGGGTGGGCCAACAGTGGATTTATTTCTACGAGGACTTGTCCCGCTAAATACGGAGTATTCCTTTGGAAATTGCGATTTGCGCATGCAAGGCTTTCTACAAAATAGTTTCGTCCGTGCGCCCGGCGGAAACATAATACGTAGTCCATATGTAATGATTAATCAAAGATTCAATAACTTCATGGGGGCTCATTCGGGCTCGGGGCTCTCAACCCCCGCCTCCTAGGCCCCCGTATTTCTCGCGTCCACTCAAAATGGCGCGGAGAATACGAGTCGTGGTTAGCGTACCATTCCTCCTATGGACCCTCCGAAAGGGTAAGGCGAGCTGGGCGTGACGTCCGTCCGTACCTCCATCTCCATCTCCATCTCCATCATGTCCTCGAACGGCCGAGGAGCCTCTTGAGCAAGGGCCCGGACTTACAAAGGTATGCGCCCGTGGTAGACTGCTCTTTTGGGGCGAGGTGAGTTCTAAATCCGAACTATGCATGGCGAATACCGTTTCAATGTCATGGTGAATCATGGGGTGGGGGAGACATATATAAAAGAGGGTATTCTCGTGGTCTAGAAGTGATGTTCAGTTACTGTTCATAAGCCCTTGTCAGTCTGTCCAAACGAGAGGCAGCCACTGAATGAACACTCGGATTTTCACACAAACCATCACAACTCCATTTCCCATCAACAACAATGCTTGTTTTCGTCAGCGGGGCGGGCGGATTTATTGGCCGAGCAACCATCCAAGAACTCCTCAACCACGGCCATGAAGTGCTCGGGCTCGCACGAAGCGACGCCTCTGCGGACACAATTGCAAAGCTCGGCGCACAGGTTCACCGGGGCGATCTTGAAGACCTAGAGAGTCTGAAGAGCGGTGCGAAGAAGGCCGACGGCGTCATTCACCTCGCATTTGTGAGAGGCCCCTCCTCCTTGTGAGATCCGACGTGTCTATCACAAGACCTCAGCACGCCTTTCTACATCTGCTAACCGAGAGTTGTTAGGTGCACGACTTCAGTGACTATCTCAGAGCCACCAAGGTCGACCAGGCGGCCATTGAGGCCATGAGCGATGCCATGGCCGGTACTGGAAAACCACTGGTCATCGCTTCTGGCACGATGCTTGCTGTGAAAGGACAACTTGCCACCGAGGATGCCGAGCCTGAGCGTGGCACGCCCTTTTCCTCGAGGCAGGAGTCCGCAGATCTCGTTGCAAGATTGTCAAAGGAAAAAGGAATCCGTGGCTCGATCGTTCGGCTTCCGCCCACCGTCCACGGCAAAGAGGACAAAGGACTTATTCCTCGCTTCATTGACGCTGCGCGAGAGGTCGGCTCAGTCACCATCGTCGGCGATGGGTCCAACCGCTGGCCGGCTGTCCATCGCCTTGACGCAGCCGCTTTGCTCCGTCTTGCGCTTGAGAAAGGCACGCCGGGTGCACATTACCACGCCGTCGCCGAGCAAGGTGTTCCGATGAAAGACATAGCGAATGTGGTTGGCAAGAATCTGCAGGTGCCGGTAGAAAGCAAGGCTACCGAGGAAGCCATGAAGACTCTCGGATTTCTGGCACTGGTGTTCGCTGCAGATAATCCTACATCGAGCGAAAAGACACAGGCCGAACTCGGGTGGAATCCCAGCGCTGGTGGACAGCCTGAGTTGCTGGCAGACTTGGAGGCAAATTACTTTTCCTGAGCATACTTCCATAACATGAACCAAAGGAAGATAATATCAAAGTTGAGGTTTTTTGGGAGAGGGGAGGGGGGGAAATTCACCTAGATTTCAAATTTCCATGCCGTGTGCAATAATGGGACTTCAAGCGGAGACTCACTATCGAATCAGATGTTGTTTCAGCACCTGCTCCACGATGATTTTCACCTTTCTATGTTGCTGGCCTTTTATTCCGCGAGCCTCCCTGAATATGTAAAGTCCCTATCCAGCGCGGGGAGAGGCATGTCCCAGGATCGTTAAATGATGTTCAAGTCCTTGGTGTTGGATGATGCTCCCTCTGCTTTTGATCCTTCCAGAAGTAACGGAATAGCTGCGTCGTTTCTGACGTATAGACGGCTTGATAGTTTTGAATGTCGAAAGCAGCACCTTCTTTTGTTCCTGTTTGTGTGAGGAGGAACGAAGGATTGCGGTATTAAGGCGCGAAGGGGCCGTTGACAGTTTGATATTCAGGGACTCGGGGAGAATGGATTCCGATTGGCCCGGATTGGCCGCAGTAATACGAGGTACTGGGTACGCAGCATTTGATCCCCAACAAGCCCCAAGGACGCAGCACAAAATATTACTCCAAACACAGCCCCAAACCACGTTCAGTCTAGAACCATTCATTGTCCCACGATGCAGCGTGGTAGATTATGATAACATCGTCCAGATGGCTGTTCGCGCTCACTCGTCCCGCGAAATGTCTTCTGCGCCCAAATCTTGCGCATCGGTCGTTGGCGACCGTCGTCAGCCCCTCACCACCAGTGGTTCGTGATGAAGGGATTCAACTTCGAGAATACCAAGAAGAATGCATTCAGTCGGTGTTATCATACTTGAGGAAGGGCCACAAGCGTTTGGGCATCTCGTTGGCTACTGGAAGTGGGAAGACGGTACGCTTGCTGATGGCGCAGGTTAGACAACAGAGCAACGCTAACCCGGTGTCCTAAGGTGATATTCACACAACTGATCAATCGAGTCGAGCCGTCAAGTCGGATTGCTCAACAGACCCTCATCCTTGCTCACCGGCGAGAGCTGGTAGAGCAGGCAGCTCGTCACTGTGAGAGAGCATACCCTGGAAAGAGTATAGACATTGAGATGGGCGACATTCATGCTTCAGGTGCAGCCGACATCACGGTGGCATCTGTCCGCAGCATGGTCTCCGGCGAGCGGCTGAGCAAATACGATCCCGAAAAGTTCAAGCTGGTCCTCGTCGACGAAGCTCATCACATCGTGGCTCCTGGGTATCTGCAAGTCCTGCAACACTTTGGCCTGGAAAAGCAAAGAAGTCCAAGCCCTGCACTGGTGGGTGTATCTGCCACATTCTCTCGCTTTGATGGCCTCAAGTTGGGCGCGGCGATTGACCACATTGTCTATCATAAAGATTACATCGACATGATTGGTGAAAAGTGGCTGTCGGATGTCATATTCACAACGGTCAGGTCCAAGGCAGATATATCGAGAGTCCGGAGCGGCACAGATGGAGATTTCCGGGCACGCCAACTCTCCGCGGCTGTGAACACTGAGGTCACCAATGAAATCACCGTCAAGGCGTGGATGGAAGAAGCCCGAGATCGGAAATCTACCTTGGTATTCTGTGTCGACTTGAACCATGTGGCGAGCTTGACTTCCACGTTCAGGAAATACGGCATCAACGCGCAATATATCACCGGCAATACGAAGAGACAGGTACGGGGCGAGCGACTGGAAGCATTCAAGAATCGTGAATTCCCTGTCTTGCTGAATTGTGGTGTCTTTACTGAGGGCACGGATGTGCCCAACATTGATTGCGTGCTACTTGCCCGACCGACCAAATCCCGCAATCTGCTTGTGCAGATGATTGGACGGGGTATGCGACTGCATCCGGGCAAGAACGACTGCCATGTCATTGATATGGTCGCCTCTCTCGAGACTGGCATTGTGACCGTACCGACCCTGTTCGGCCTCGACCCTTCCGAAATGGTTAAGTCGGCAAAAGTGGACGACTTGAAAGGGTTGAGAGATAGCCGAACGGTGAAAGAAACTTCTACGGGGATATCAGGTTGTCTCGTCGGCTCCAATGGCATATCTGGCGACCACCATCTCGACTTCACCCGCTACGACTCTGTGCACGACCTCATCGAAGACACCTCAGGCGAACGACACCTGCGCGCCACATCCCCCAATGCTTGGGTCCAAATTGATTCCCATAAATATGTCCTCGCAGCCAAAGGCGGGATACTCACTCTCGAACGTCGCTTGCCTGCCGACATTTCCCAGTCCGAGTCCAACTCGGATTCTGGAGCCGACGATGCCTCGTTCGTGGTTGTGTGGAAACACTCTCTCCCCCCAACCGAAACTTCCAAATCGCCCTGGTCTCGTCCTCGTACTGTGGCTACTGCTGCAACACTAAGCGACGCCCTCCACGCCGCCGACACGTTCGCTGCCCAGAAATTCGAACGCATATTCATCGCCACGTCGTCTTCCTGGCGTAAATTGCCCGCCTCACAGGGCCAACTTGACTTCCTCAATCGTTTACGGGAGGTTTCTGATGAAGAGCCTTTGACGGAGCGGGACCTCACGAAGGGCCAAGCCGGCGATATGATTACCAAAGTGAAATTCGGGGCACGGGGACGATTCGACAAGTTGATGAGAGAGAAAAGGGGCGTGGAGAAGGGCTTGGAGAGAGAAAGGCGAGTCAAGGAGATGAGGCAGCGGGAGGTCGTGAGGGTTGGGCCTGTCGAGACTTAACGAAAAAGCAAGAAGACGAGCATGGGAACCCAGGCATTACGGGCCTGTCCCGAGCCGACTTGTACCAAGTATGTCGGTCCCATGCTTTTCTCTCACCTGCCGAGCATCATCCTATGCTATCCTGAGCAATTGCGGAGCCATGTTGCCGGCCTTTCCTCCGGCCCACAGACTTCGGGCTTTAAATCCCTCAAGCTTATATACAGTACTTGTACTTGTACTTGTATGTACCTAACAAGTACCACACCGCCGGACTAGCCTAGCAACTCCGTCGAGCCAAGTGCTTGCGCGTAAGGGTGTGACCTTTTCGTTCTCGAAGGTACCTGAGGGATAAGAGGTGCTGTATTGTATGTATGCTGGATACGAGCAACCCGCACAGCAGCTCTGGAGGCGGACTCGCACGTTCTGTTCTGTTCTGTTCTGTTCAATCAATACATGTATTTGCATGACTCGGATCGCTCTAGTGTGATACTGTAGATCATACATTCAATCAACCAGACCAAAGCAAAGTATGAAAAAGAGACTTCTTGCTTCTGCCATCCATCCCCCGACCATTCCTGTTCCCCACCACATTCGCATAGCTTGTTGCAAGGCGACATAACCACGCATCACAGCTTGACAGCTTCGTCCTTGTGCTCCAGAAGCATCGACGATGTGTGCAAACCAACCCTGTTTCTCTCCATAATGGACACCTTTCCCATCCCAAGCTCCAATTTGCATATTTACAAATGGTTAATGATAGCAGCTGCGTACTCATGTGTCTTGGCCTTTCCGCCCAAATCTCCCGTCAAGGTCTTACCTTCCGCCAACGTCGCGAAAATGGCGTTCTCAATCTTGACCGCATACCCATTCAGTCCCATATGCCGTAGCATCATGATGCTACTCAGCAAAAGGGCAGTCGGGTTCGCAAGGCCCTTCCCTGCGATATCCGGAGCAGAGCCGTGCACGGCTTCGAAGATGGAGCACTCATCACCAATATTACCCGAAGGAGTGAGACCCAAGCCACCGATCAAGCCGGCGCACATATCGGAAAGGATATCGCCGTAAAGGTTGGGCATGACCAGGACCTTGTCGGCGTACGGGCCGGGGTCGGTTGTGATCTTCAGGCAAGCATTGTCAAGCAATTCCGCGTCAAATTCAATGTCCGGGAAATCTTTGGACACGTCTCTTGCAGTGCTGAGGAAGAGACCATCAGACATCTTCATGATGGTCGCTTTATGCACCACGCGGACCTTCTGCTTGTTCACGTCTCGGGCGTATTGGAATGCGTATCTTAACACCCGCTCCGAGGCTGCGCGGGTTATCAGTTTGATGGACTGCACGACACCATCCACCACGACGTGCTCAATGCCCGAGTATTCTCCTTCCGTGTTCTCTCGAATGAGCACAGTATCCACGTTGTCGTAGGGGGTCTTGTAGCCTTCTATACTGCGGCATGGTCGGACGTTGGCAAACAGATTGAAGGTTCGTCGGAGGGTAAGATTAAGTGAGACGTGGCCTTTCCCAACGGGCGTTGCGAGGGGTCCCTTCAGGGCGACGTAGTTCTTCTTTACAGACTCGATGGCCTCATCAGGAATTACCGTCCGGCCCTCCTTCAAACGAGGCGTGACGTCAACCGGTTCCCACACAATGGGCACTTTTGCAGCTTTGTAAATATCTTTGACGGATTGCGAGATCTCAGGACCAATGCCATCTCCTTCTATTAATGTCACGGTGTAGTTTCCGTCTGCTCCTTTCTTGCCCTTGAATCTCGCGACCTTGTCCTGTTCTGCGGTCGAAGCGTAGCGTTTAGGTTGAGTCTGAATCGTTGGTATCAGTCAACTTGCCCTTGTGAAGCTTATGGTAGCCCTGAATCGTTACCTGGAAGTATGCAGGAGCCCATGTCGGCTGAGTGCAAGCTTTTCGCAAGCACTTACGAGCTGGAGCAGCGAATAGTCGAGGAGTGATCATGGTGGGCAAGTGTCGGTACAGTGGCTGAGCGAAGGGAGCAAAACAGCTTCAGCAAGGGATCCCGTTCACCACATGGAGCGAGGACTAAAGGTGAAAGTGTTTGCAGTCCTTGTCTGGGAAGATAAGTGCTAGAGCTCAAGTGGTGGAGCTTCCTTCTGAAATGTTTTATCGACCAGGAACGTGCCAGTTACATCACAGGCCGCAGGACCCAGAAGGGGGGGCAGCTCAAACTCAGTTATGTAAGCAGCACGTGACACCGAGAAATCTCCCTTGATCTCCCATAACTTCTTGGCAATCTTGGCTCCGGGTCTTACAGAACCCCCGTCCGTAACAACACCTCCATCTCCAAGACATCGATGAACGAACCACATCCCATCTGATCACAATGGCCGCCCAGGCACGAGACGTGCTGAACCACTACAACATATCCAATCCGTTCCCGACAGAATGGCCCACCGAGCTGGATAGCGATAACGAGGACGCGGACGCCCCCGGGGTTAGGCGATCGCGCTCCCGCTATTCCGCCTTGGAAAGGACCGCTAGTGAGCGGAAGAGCCTTCTCCCTGGATCCCAGAGGACACCCGAGGGAAGAGCAAACATAGCCCAGAAAGATGAACCAGACCCTTTGGGTGCTCCTTCAAGCGTGGTGACCCGTTTAGCAAATCTTGGCCATGCGGTCGAAAGCGATCCCCGGACGAGAAACCAATTCATGCTCTCTTCAATAACCTTTTCTGCCAAAATGTTTCTGGCGACGGCCCATTCCGAGGACACCACAGAAGATCTCATACAAGGATCCAAATATCTCGCAAGGTCTATTGACCAGCAGTCCGCGCCACTCAAAGCCCTGGTGGAGACCAACTTTGAGCGCTTCGTCCGAGCCAAAGCTACTATTGACAATGTCTATACGGAGATGCGGAATCAGGGAATCGATGCTAATGCTAATGCTCCCCCCTCTCCGCGCCACTCTCGTCGAATCAGTGGCATTCACTTCCGAAATGTCAGCGGCGGCAGTGCCACTGGAGTAGCACCCCAACGTCCGAGTAAGAATGCTTTACGCAAAGAAACAGACTACGGCGTGCAAGGGATGAAAAGCTCGCTGTCAGAGGTCAGCCAAAAGGCCGAGGATGTCTGGGGACCGGCATTAGGAGGAAAAGAACGAGAAGCCAAATTAAAAGTGATGTTAAACGGGTTGGAGAAAGACCGGGCAATCTTCGAGCTGGGTTCAAGTTTGAGCGAAGCTATCAATCAGAGAGATTACGACAAAGTTGTGGAATTATACAACGCTGCTCGTCGATATGCTGCTGAGGCACGTGCCTTAGGTGAAGATGCGAGGCAAACTGGCCGGGGTCTTTCAGATGATGAAGTCTATCGGGTTATCGTCGTGGGAAAAATGTGGTCAAATGCAGATGAGCAAATAAAGGCACTAAAACGAGACATTTGGCGAAGACTTTCCACCACTTCGGCCACTCTTCCGCTTCCTGGGGCCTCGCAGGCAGAAGAGCACATGGAGCTGATCGCCGTTTTGTTACATCTGGGTGTGGAGGAGAGTCCAATCTGGGTATATCTACTGAGTAGGTATGACTTCTTGAAGAACAAGATTGCTGCTGTTGTGGAGAGATCCAAGATTGAAATCGAGATCTTACGCCGCCGACTGGCAGTTGGGGAACGTCCGTCCTCCCAAACCGTTGCGTCGTTCTTACGGCAGGCCTCCAAAGAGCGCCCCGAAGCTCTTGATACCGAAGATGTCGTCGATTTCTGGAACTGCATCTTGGCCTACTTCACCAAATTGCTCTCTTTGTCAAGCGGGCTACTGGGAGAGGTCGTCGACTTTTGGGAGTCAGCACAGTCGTTTATCAGTGGCAGCAAACAGAAGACTTTACCCACGGGCTATGAGGGTGAGAGCAGTAAACACCTCCAGCTGTCCGAGGCGGATGCCAATGGGTTGCGAAGCGGTGCTACTGAACTGGTCGGCCAGCTGAGGGATGCTGTCTTTTCTCTTTTTGCGGATCCGCCCACCGAAGATATCTCTTCGTTATTCTCGCCAGCACCGGGATCCGCGGGTACACCAACTACTCCTCACATGGGAGCTGCCTTTTCGCCCACCGACGGCCGAATAGGCAAACTTGATCCCAATGACCTACCCGCAGCAGCAGCAAAGAAAGGTGAACCATGGGAAGATTATGCATTCTGGCCACCCCACTCTAACTCGCTGAGTGCCGTGCACTATCTTCAGAAAATCCTCACCCTGGTCGGAGTCGCTGCTGGCGAAATGGTGGCTCTAGAAACAGTCAGCAACAACAATGCAATGTATGAAAAGATCAAGACCATGATCGCAGGGGCCCGGGAACGAAGCATGCGAGCTGTTTGTGAGGCATGGAGCAAGGATGCTGAAAGCTGCAAGTCAATGGAAGATTGGGTGCGGTCGCCAGAAAAACGTGATCAAACTCGCATGCCGATGTACATTGAAGCCTTTGAGAGAAAGGTGTTGCAGGGTATGCAACAAGTGTTGTACCTCTCCGACACGACACCCAAGTCTGGAGGGCGCGACATAATCACTCCCCCTCCATCGAAGCTGTTGCAAATGGTGCGGACTCAGTTCGTGAGCAGCATTTACAAAGCAGTCAGCGGCATGCTCGAAAACACGGAGGCTTTGAAACAAGGAGACGAAGATGACTGGGTCTTGGTGACGAGCCTTAGCTCGATTGCCGTTGGTGCCGCCCCGAGCGAAACGCTGGTGAAAGATGCCATCAACGCCTCAAGCCGCAACGTGCGCATGCTATTGACTATGTCGAACCTGAAGGCCCTGCGGAATGAGTATGTACCAGCACTTATCCAAGTTTTTGAGTCTTCGTTCTCGGTAAAGCTAGCGGAAGAGTCCAAGACGATCAAGGACGTCTTTGGTCAAATCGACGCCAAACTGTTCCAGGCATACACCCGACCCATGGTTGTGAACTTGACTCAGATCATCAAGGAGGGTATCAACTCTCCAAACTGGGTGCCGGCAACGGCGAAACCAGATCAAGTCAGACCGTACGTCTACGCTGCGCTGATGAGACTAGTGATGGTCCACACGGAAGTTTCGACGACTGTGCCGAGCACCACAGGGACCAACAGCCCACTCCTGGGCGAGATCTTATCCTATATGCTCGAAAACATCTCTCAAGCTCTCCTTGATGGGTTCAAAGAGCGTAGACCGAATACATACAGCCTCCCAGCACTGATGCAAGCGACCCTTGACACGGAATTCATTGCGCAGACAATGACGCACTATTCGACTACGAGGGCAGGGGAAATCCAGGGCCAGATATATACGGAGTTAGACAAGAGGACGACGAACGAGGCGAGGACGAGATTACAGCAGGAATTGGGCGATATGCGGATCGTGTTGAAGAAGCTGAGGGAAGGCAGTCGAAATAGCTTTGGGTGTTTCAAGAAACCGAGGAGTAGTGACAAGGAGAAGGGCAGGCCGTTGGTGACGGCGCCAGCCTAGGGAGAAAACTGTAAAAGCAAATCTAGAGAGGAAGGATGGAGTGGGCGACAAGGCCGATGAGATTGACTGTATTGATACCTGTTTAATGCGACTGGATCGCAATGGAGGTTTTGATACCCAGCCAGAGAGCGGGAGTTCCCACGACCGGCATTTGGTTCGTGGCCATGTGAATAGCATTCTCCATCCATTTATCATTTTCCCAATGAAGAACAACCCTGGGATCACCTTCGACCCCGTTTCCGTCCTCCTCTTCCTCTGCGTCCTCCGGATGGTGCCCGTCGGCCTCGTTTCGACGGCCCGCTCTGCTTCTGCTCGGCCTCCTCTTCTTCCGGTTCCTCGCTCTCGTCTTCCTCGCCGGCCCCACTCTCCTCGTGCTCCTGCTCCTCTTCGGCTTCCGCTTCTTCGTCTGCATCCTCCAAGACGTGATCCTCGTCCACGCTCACGCTCGGCGCCTTGCTCGTCCGTCGACTTCCGCTCCGCTCGCTCTTCTCCGTCTCCAGCTCGATTTGCAATCTGGTCAACCTCCCGCCACCGCCTGTGCGGGCCGAAGCCCGTGTTCCTCTGGCCCCTCTCCCCGACATCCGCCCCGAGACGCTCACGGGCGAACTCCGCGGCTCATCCGTGTCTGCGACCGTGCTTTCCCGCCTCGTCTCTGCAACAACGACGTCCGGGCTCGGCGGCTGCGTGAGGGGACTACTCTCTGTGCTTGACTTGGTAGTAAGCCGTCTCTGCCACATCAACTCTTCGAACTCGTCCCCCGGCAACTCGAATTCGCGCCAGTACTCCGTGCCCTTAGAACTGCTGACGCTTCCGGACTCGTCGTTGGCGACCCCCACGCCGGACCCGTCAAAGATGATCGAGTCTTCGCGCTCATCCAGCTTTTCTAGATCATACAGACTCGCCAATTTCCGCCATATCCCCGCCGTTGATGTGTGGCTGTCCTCGGGGTTGATGGCGCCGCTGGACAAGAGGTGATCGCGGATGGCGATCATCCGGAAATGCTTATGCATCCCCACGGGTTTCCAGCGGACTATGGCCCGGAGAAGCGCCGACTCTTGCGCCGGGCTCCACAGGTGGGTGTCGTCGGGAGAAGAGGTATTGGTGGTTGGGGGGTTGGAGGAAGACTCCATGACGGGGATTGTGGTCGTCGTCGTCGTCGTCGTCGTCGTCGACATCGATAGACTCTATTTTCAACTCCAAGACCGCACAGATCGCGTGTACTCGTAGCAGTGCCAAGACAGAAATAGTACGAGAGAGGCCACAGTCCGTCCGTCCGTCCCCTGTGCTCTGGGCGACGTGATTTGATCCCAGCGTCTCAAATCATTCCTGACCTTTTGCGCAACAACACACGAGATTGGTCGGTCTGACAGGTCAATCAGTTGGTGGAGGGTCGGCGCGTTGTTTTCGTCTTCCCTCGGCAGACCAACTCCTTTCGCAACCAAGCGGCGGACAGAAATTAACGTTACTCCTTTCTTTTCGAGGTCGAGGTCGCGGATTGTCCAGAGTTCTCGCGGGTTCTGAGTCTGGATTTAATTGGTAGGAATATTATTCTGGGCCGGCTTAGTTTCCTTATTCGGATATAAGTCTCGAAAACGGCAGAACTTGAAAAAAAGGGGGGGGAGATGGTCTCGGCGGGGGACCACCATTCAAGACCACCTCCCGCCCTGCTCGAAACCCAAACGTAAACTACATACACCAAGTATTCCGCCCACAGCTACATGAGGTACTCCCCATCCAAGATGACTGAAGCTGATAACCTGCACGAGCCCACATCATCAATGAAGGTTGTGGAAGCCATGGATGGAGGCGGCATAATACCCAACAATAATCACATCGAAATGTCGGGTCAAGCGATGTATCTCTCCTTTTCTATCTTGTCATGTCAATTCACCCACTCTCTCCCACGTCCTTTGGTAAATGCTACCTAGGCAGCTAGGGGTGTTTTCCGCCATTCCTTAGAGAAACTCATGGCAGACAGGTTAGACGTTCGCTATCCACAAGGCGAACCATGGATTCGGAGAGGTCAAATCTGGACCACTGATGCCTCGAGTCGCCTCCAGGAGGATGCTGTTGAAACCTTGGGATCGCTCGGTGGCCTACTATATTGATGCCTTCGATGACATGCCCGTCATAACGCTAAACCGCCAACTCATCCGCTCTGATGATTTCCGCGTGGACGTCGTACGCATCGAAAGATCGGAAATAGAGGCGTTGCTTCGACGCACAGTAGACTTAAACCACCTAAATGAAGATCTCGTTGAAGATCTCAGAGATCTGGCCAAGGTCGGACCTGGTGATAGATTCCTGTCGAAAGAGTTCTGAACTCCTTCGAGGAGAGGATCCGAATTGCTTGCAGGGGAGGTTGCATCCGCGCTCGTTGGGTTTATTAGCTGCCTCAAGGGCAAGGGGGGAAAGTCAAAGGCTTCGATTGTTTCGCACAATGCTGCAGCGAGACCCACAAGCTCTTCCCTTGAAACGACGCCCTGTACTTGTTCGGTCGTTACTCTTGAACTCAATCGCAGGTACGCATCCATAAGTTGTCTGTATTCTCTGCTTCCCGGACCAGATTCCAAGGCTCGGTTGACTTCCGAAATTGCACACATGAGCAAAATTGAACTCTGATCTTCAAACCGTAGAGGGCTCATAGAGTGATCACTGTGTTTAAGCCTCCCGGGTGAAACAATAAGGAAGGTTAACGACACCAAAGTTTGCCCATAAAACCGCCATAAAATCCGGCCGTGCCCCGGAACGGAGGTAGAGCAGTTACCTTAGACCAGAATGGTGAAGCGCCCAACACATGGCCTTCCAAGAGCCAATACACCAGAGTCTGTGCCAAGCTCGTAGTATTTGCGACATCAGGAAGCCAGTAGTGTCGAAGAAGCCGTTCCAGTTCTGGCCGTCGCCATCGCAGGCATCTTTCCATCCAGTCGAGAGCTAGCAGCATCGTCGTTTGGATATCTGGAGACAGATAGAAAAAGTCGAGAAAGGCTCGGAGACTGAGTTGTGTTCCTTCAATCCACATAGGAAATATAGCAACCCATGAGGGAGAAACCGTTGTGACAGCGGCCCAGTAAGCTGCCTGCTCGAGGGTTTCGTCCTTCAGTCCATCCATGCCGATTTGAAGCAGGCTTCGCATATGACATACTTGATCTGAGCCAAGATAGGATTGTATCTTTTCCATCCAGTCCTCTAGCTGCTCGGCAATTTCCTTCGAAGCGACGTTCTGCAGTGGAGTCTCGGCAGAACGGGCGCAGCTTATGGCAAAGAAGAGAACATGGGTACAGACATCGATTTGCTCTCCCATGAAATTATTAAGCTTATGAGTAATGAGGTACAAGATGTCAAAGGCCTCTTTAAAGCACCTCATGCTGAAGAGTAACGTAGCCATGAAGCTGAGCCTGCCGCTAACAGGTTCGTGTGCGATGTTGTGGTATAGTACTCTCATAAGCGGGTGTTGCCAATTTTGACTCGTGGTGCTTATATTGTATAAGGGCATTCGCAGGGTCGGCCAAGTCGTCACTCTAGATGCAAAGTCAGATGTCTGGGCTTTTCTACGGATATTCTGCTGGTAATGGTCGAATGCTCTGAGGGGCTCTGAGATTGCTGGTCCGCCATTAGCCAGCGGACAAGTCCAGGAATGTCTGGCTCGTGCGTAGCAATGTCCGAGTTTGTTTGATTCATGGAATTTTCTGGATTTGTATCAGGTTCTTGGGGTCGCTTGGCAGACTCGGGCTGATCGAATGCATGCGTCTCGAGCTCGAGCGATTTTAGTTGTGGCAAGGTGCTGTTGATGAACGCTTCGATGTAGACAGTCGGAGCCTCTGTATCCGAGTCCGTAACGTGCACTTGAGTGGAGTCTTGATTGGAGATGGGCCTGTCGCCCTGATGAAGCTTCTTCTTGTCGTTGATGAATCCCCATTTGTTCATCTGGGTAGTGAGCTGACTCCGTGTGACGTGAACGTGATTGGAGTCGAGTTGTCGTAGAATCTCTGAGATGGAGACTCCCCGGTGAAGGAGGTCTGAGATCATCGACTTTAGCTCTTCCCATTGTCCCTTAGCAAGACTTGGATTCTTAGATGGGTTATTCGGGTGCTGTTGTTTGAAGCGAAACTGCGACGTCTCTGCCATGGCTGTGTTCCGAGCTCTGTGATGGTGATGTTTGCAAAGCTCTGGCTAGGTACCTTCGTAGACTTTGGCTCCAAAGGGCGCTCGCGAAGAAATCCATGGCTTAGGACGAACTTGAAGAATTAAATAAGGCTGAAGAAAGGCGGCGGCCCCTTGAGCCGGACTAGGGGAGTGTTGAGAATGTCCAAAACTGGCCTAGTTCGGGCACCAGTTGGTGGGCGAGTGGGGTCGAAGACAAGGCAACCAATTGTCTCAGGTATGCACTGCTCCATCACAGCCACTTCCCCCAATGAGGATGAGCCTTCTTGTTGAAGGTAGAGGGCGAGGAGGGCATCAAGGGGAGAGGAAGTTGTGTATCAACTGAGTAAGAGAGAATGACAGAAGGATGTTGCATAAGTCAAGGCATCATGATGAACTTCCCACTACTGCGAATCCCAAGGGCAAAGCCGGCAATGTCGACGCCGACTTCGCTTGCTGACAGGTGGCAAAACGGACACCGTCAGGTTTGGTCCTTGGCCACGGGTATGTAACCTCTTCTTCCTCTTTCTCAGCCTAATCAAGCCAGTGGTACATTTCGACGGAGTATAGGGCGAGTCTCACTCTCCGGGCCTCAAATAGGGAGACCGATCTATCGACAATTTCTTGAACACCACACGTAGCTGATGCAGTGATAACATGACATTTTGCCTATGAGTGTCTAGCCTGGTCTCTAGCAGAAGCTATTTGCATATTGCCTGACTTGCGCCTCGTCACCGATACGACGTTCACGGAGGCACGAAATTGGAAATAACCAGCACAAGACCTGTTTCGTCTTCTGCTGTTTGTCTCTGGGACATGAACTCGAGGTAAGCCTTGAAATATACCTTTTTGCCCGCTGGGATTCGGGGCCCGCACACTTAGGTTTGATCGATGGAACCCTTGAGTCTGACTGCACACACTAAACGCGGTAGGATCTGGGTAAGTTTTGTGATCAAAGCATCTGGCCAGCTTCCAGACTCGGCCAAAGGTGAACGGGCGTTGACGTATGAAGAAGATCAATCGGATCCAAGACCGAGCGAGGGTCCTGGAGCGACCCAGAACCCGGCTTTGAAGGTACGTATCAGGATCCTCCCTAATAGTGCTGATGGCTTAGTTGTATGACTAATAGACACTGAATTTGGCGATGGATTCGTTTGCTCTGTTGTCCTTCTGGAGGCATCCCGAAAGGGTTATGGGCCTAGTCTTGACAGTCAGTTAAGACGGACACCTCATTCATTTCTGTCGCTATCATCGAAAGCAGCTATGACTTCCGTGACATATCGAACCATTCGACCCTCACTATCGACTGCCATCTGAATTCCATGAGATCCGCGCCCGAAGGATCGCCCGAAGCATCCTGTGGAGTGGTCGATTGCCACAGATCCAGGCCGGCAATCGAAAAACCCTGGTACCTCCTGTGGTCTTCCTATTCAGAAGAGCTACTATGGACGGATCGTGAATAGACTGCTTTGGCGTGTTGAGGAAGCACTGCGAGGAGATATCTCAGGCAAGGCGGTGAACAAAACCTTTTGCTCGACGGACCGCCGGAGGCTTGCTCCATGGTCAATTGCAGCGGGTCTGTGGCGAGTACATCCTTTACGTCAAATGACCAATCTCAGATCCTGTTTTCTTTTGAGCAGACTGGCGTCTGGACAATGAGCTCGCGACCGCTGACTGACATATATTGCCCAATTTCAAGATAATGCTATTGTCAGGGCTCCAACCGCTTTGTTGAAAACATACGAAGCATTTTTTCCTCTCATTCCTCAATATACTCACGCCGGCATACCGAGAATGCTCTGAGGGAATGTGGCAATATCAACAGAAGATGGGCAGACCCGTTTTGCAGCTGCTGATAGAGGCAAAGGAAAATCTTACCTTCACCGCCTCTAGACACAGTATCTCATGTCAGCAAAAGGAGTGTTGATTATGTTAGTCCCCATTTTGACCTAGAAAGTGAGACAAACTAATACTGCCCCTGGAAGGGAGGCCAAAAACTGCTATGGATACAAAACCAGGACCTGCGCAGGATTGATACAAACAGGTGCTAGTAGGAGATCCAGACTCTAGATCGTGGCGATGTGCAACTGGTGAAGGGCAAACCGGCTCCCGAGGTGACTGAAGAAACGGACGCAGAAACCTGTCTCCAGAAGGAAAGGTATATAATGCGGTCAAAGTCTTCCTGAATTTTGGGCATCTCACACAACATCCTGTACCTAACCGTTCGTTCGACCATAACTCAACATCAGTTAGACGTATAGCCTTTGCTTGCCCTCACCGTAGCAAAATGCATATCAAAACCGTTGAAGTTGTACTCTTTGGAGTTCTTGCAGCAAGTAAGCCACCTCTTCTTTGTTGCCATTCGAGGCTTGATTGTGTATTGATGGTGTTCCAGCGATATTTGCCCTCCCGACGCCAAACACGCCTCCCGTCAGTGATATCAGTTCACTTGTACCCAGGGCGGCCGGATCGAATTCAACTACCCTCGAGACCAATTGCTGCTGTTTGTTCGGGCGATGTCTCTAGAGGTGGAACGGCTGTAGCACACTAAACTGTTTGACACTCAAGGTCGGAACTCAGCGAAGTTGGATGGGAAAGACGCAAGAGTTTCAGTATGCCGACTTAGTGCTTACAATGAACATCTGTTGATATTGTGACATGCTGAACGTCCAAGCAAGAGGCATCTGAATAGCAACTCAGGAGAATAGATAGGAATGACATGACCCCTCCAGAAAAACATAGTTGCGAACGACAAGCCGAGAGCTTGTCCGGTATATTGTAGATTAACCTGCTTCGCACACTAAAAATATTCATCCGCAGTCCAGACCAGGTATTCACACGAGCACTCCACTCTCCTGTCCAGTGGAATCTTTCACCTTGGGCGGACGCTGCCACACAGAGGCTGGTCTATTCCAATTTCTTTTAGACATCAAACTAGTTGATCTTCACGCTGATGCATCCCAACGGTTGGTGGGATAAAGGAGGAGGCGTGGAGAGGAAAATTCGACCATTTTCTGTCACCAGTTTTCTCACCTGGGGCTTGTTAAAGCCTCTCCGGAGCATCTTCCCACAGTTCTTCTTCGCCATTGGTCTCAATGTCGTTATTTCCTCTTCGCATCCCCACAACGCGGGCGAGGCTTTGGAAGGCGTCAATCAGCTCAACCGAGCAATCGGATCTTGTCGAAAGAATACTGAGCCACGGATTGTTGTCAGCACCATTTGCGTCGGCCACAACCCCATCCTCAAAGGGTATGCCAGTGAATTCCACCGGTTGGAGAACATGACGTTTGCAACATTGGTGCTCAAGACATCTGTCTTGACCCGGTCGGGTGCGAAGCAGTCCTTGACTCTGATTCTCTTCGACACAGGCGGTCGGAAAATCTCAGGGCGGTGTGATCCGACGCACTGTTGCAGCACTGTGACGCGTCTGAGCAACGTTGAAGGAAGGTTTCAAGGCAACCAGGGGATGCGCAATCAGTCGTAGGAGTCCTTAAGTCGCGTGGCCCGCTCCAGGCTAGCTACCCCAATTACTGACGAACCAAAAACCTAATCGCCGTGCACAGTTTAAGCCTAGAGAGTGGACAGAGGCCGCTTTAACCTAAGTCTTAACTATGTAACCCTTTGGCTGGTGTGGGCATCACTGAGCGCCCCGCTCCCTAAGCGTTCCCTAAGCAAATACACTGGGGGCCTCATCTGGCCCCTTATATAATCGGCTTTACCTATCCCTCGGTGAAGTATCTATTTTAGACGGGCGCTAGGGAACTTAATTGATTCTCTGCCCCTTGCGCTACTACCTAAGGTTTCTTATAACCTTAGGTCTGTAAACGAGGAGCCCACGGTAAAGCATCTCGTTCGAGTTTCCCAACGAAAAGATTTAGTAGATAACTCAGGCCTTGAGGCCGAAGCTCAATGGCCAGAAAGCGTTATTAGGCCAAGACATTCCCTAGTGCAGAATTTCGCGAGACACGAGAAATATTTCGAATCGACTGTGTCCGGGCCACCAAGTGGGAGCGCATAACGGTGTCTTAAAGCCTATTATCCCGAGGAACTCTTACCCAGGTATGTTGATTTCGTGTTGGCAGTTCCTGATAGCCTCCACCAAAGGGATCGCTTGCCGCTCAACACCCGCGAGGTGTAAGCGGGAATTGGCAACGGATTAGCAGCAGTGATAAGCCCTCGGGTGTTTGCCAACATGTCGCTTCTGACACATCAGACGTTTTCTGAACAGACACATCAATGGGTACATACCCAGCAGCAAGAATCTGTTTGAACAAGCTCGATCCTGTTGGAATCTCTGCCGAGATCTAACCATTTGAGATACTACAGAAACCTGCGGTCGTAAACCCCTTCGCTTCAAGGTGACTTTAGATCCCAAACTGGGAGGGTCTGTTGGGTAACGGCCTGGAATCCCACCACGGACCCCTGCTTCTAATCGCCGATCCCCAAACATGGCGCGAGCCTCGAACGACGCCATTTTGCCGAGTGTGAGGTCATCTTCGGCATGGATACGGATGTCACAGTATGCTCCATCCCATGTCCTTCTGCCTACACCAGGAAAATGCCAGACGACCAGGATCTGTCCTAGTTTCGTTAGCGTCAACAGTCTGCAGCCAATGGCGGAATTTCGGCAGACAGGGGCCGTACAAGGTATCATAGGAAAATAGAATTTTACAGGCGCCCTGGTCTGTCTGGGCGAGCTAAGGAAGCATTAATTAGGCGAGGCGCTGTACCGGGCACTTACTAGCTTCAACAACGACTGACGGTACCCAGTACACAGCCATCCGGTGAATGGTCGCCAACGAGTATCGAGTACGAGCTACTGTAGGTGTCCGTTCACTAGCTTGTCCCCGCTCTCAAATCTAGTGCCGGTTCCGGGCGAGTACTTTACCTACAAGTACAGTCCAAGTACGCTGTTCGAAGGGTCCTCGGCTGGTTTGGCTTCTGATTGACTTGTTGCGGGCCCTAACCTTCGCTGTTGGATTGCCCCACCCCAGTATACCCCCTAAGTCAGGGTCCCCTGCACATAAGCTACAAGATCAAACGGTCATCGCCATGGCTTCATAGGCAGCGGATATCGCAGAGCCGATGCAGCAAAACTCGAAACGTCCAGCGCCTACCCAGTACCGTTTGTTACCTCACCTGTTCAGGGGGTTCCAAGTATTCAAGTGGCCAGTTCGACGGCGCGTGCATCCTTTGTCCGTAGGCTTAATTATGATGACTGGTTTAATTCCCCGTTCATCACGAACACCGACCTTTACGTCTGCAGAAAGGGTGGAGTGGTGTTTCCGAGTTAGAATGCTCAGTTGCATAATTGGACGGAATTGAGCCAGGGTCTGCTGTTGGATGCCGTCTTGGTGACAGATTGGAATGGATTGAGAGCCTGGGCACACTGCGATCTTTTCTTCATTTAGGATAGTGTGTCGAGTGCAGCTGAGGCCATCTAAATGCCGGGAAACTGTTATGGAACGCCACAGCCTCCTCGTTCGTCTTGGGTCAATATAGATAAGCCTGGCTGTTCACTCCATCCATCACTCCTCTGCTCCACCTATCCGGATACGTCCTTTCATCCCTGTCCTCTCAACAAGAGCTCAATTATTCATCGACGTGACAGCTTTCGGACAGTCAATCACTATCAGGCTTCTTGAGGCCTTCCTCGAGATCCTGACTATTCCTTAGAATTGAAGCAAGCTGGGTCTGGTAGACTCCGTAGCCTGACGGCCTATAATATCCTCCAATGTCTGCGACAATTCATCATGGGATTACAAACACCAGAGCCAAGGCAGAAAATAACTCTTCTCCATTTCAAATTCCTTGTTTCCGCGCGCCAGGAACTAGTTTTCCGCTTGCTCTACTTTAAAAGGATCGAATATCATAGGCCACGCCGAGTCAACTCCGATGCAACCATTGGCACCGCGGCCAAAAGTGTATCAATTACCATCACCTCACCAGGACCTACATACAACACCAGTTCCTCATCCAGCGGCGCCTCCACTATACTACTGCACCGGCTCCAAATTCTGTGTTCGGGGTAAAAGGAAGGCAGTGCTGATTGGCATCAACTATTTCAACAAGCGTGGACAACTGCGCGGCTGTGTTGACGACGTCAAGAACATGGCCGCATATCTCAACCTTTGTTTCGGATACGACAAAAATGACATGGTCATATTGACTGACGACCAGCGACGTCTGATTTCTCAACCGACAAAGATCAATATACTTACGGCGATAACCTGGTTGGTCAAGGATGCTCGACCTGGAGATTCTTTGATCCTTTATTACAGCGGTCACGGTCGGTGTCCGGCACTCGATGAAAATGATGACATCTGTCCCCTGGATTTCAATACTGCTGGTTTTATTACCAGTGATGAACGCCAGCAAATAATGACGAGGTCGCTACTCCCGGGAGTCAGTCTCTCGATCATTCTTGACACGTACCATCCGGAAAATTACTTCGCGTCCGGATGAGATTTGAGCTCTTGACCTTAGGAGATAATAAATGGAGGGTAGGAATGTGGGCGCTGGAGTTTGCCATAGGCTTTCTATATCGGCTTTAATAAATTAGGCTAATACTCCTCTTGGACGGATACAAGCTATTCAAAAGCGAATTGCCATGAAGTGCCGGGCTATTCTTGGACTTCCTCTTCCGCAGAGACGGTGCATTGCGCCTTCCCAGTATTAAATCTGGCGTCATTTCCTCTACCATCGGTGCAACAAATCCAGAAGTCGTCCTCTTTGTCCCGTGTCGATTTGCGGACCAACTCTAATCTGAAGCTCCATTGAGACCCGCGAAGGGGGGCAAAGCGCTTTTCTCTGGAGAAGTAGTCTCAAATTTCCGTAGGATGTCGGGGAAAGCCGAGCACCAGAGCTTTTTCGACGAATAGAATCACCATTCGCTAACTATTGCGCCACTCAGTCGATCAGGGGCCGGTGTTGAGCTGAACGGGTCATAGGAAGTAAGATCATGTCGAACTATCGGAAAGGAGAGAGCGACCGACAGGGGTGGCGGTATAGGGCCATCTACCAAAAGGGGTGAGGATACGGCGAGATACGATCGCGCAATATGCTTCTGGCTGAGAAAAGAGTTGACATGTCACCGGGGAAATGCCGTTGGAGCACAAAACTGTTGTCCGTTTGCCTGAGCCGTGCCATCTTGGCAGCAGGCCACGTCACCTTTTTTGACCAGCATGCACAGCCAGTATGGAGAGTTAGGCATTCAAAGATTGATGTGCCAAAGGGGGCCGCTGTCTTCCCCTTGGCTTTGGAATCCAGCGGTCTCCAGCATCGTCCCTGTCCAAAAGGGTGGACCCACCGCCGGGGGATATCTCTCTCTCTGAACTTGAAGAGGCTTTGTTAAACCTCGAAATGCGATTTCAGATCGGGCTTTGGGGGGGCACATGGTCCTCGGTCGAACCCTGACGCGAAGAGGACCTGGTCTCGGTAGCTTAGAGGCGGAATCAACCCGAAAGGGCAACCTAAATCTAGCTAGTCTATATCCGGCGAGCGACAAGGGTCATGGATATTGCAAGCGAAGCTTGGCGAAGCTTCGCCAAGCTTCCCCCGCACCAAGCCAAGATAGGCGAACGGAAAGGACCGAGTACCCGATACAAGTAATAATTCTTCCAGCACAGAGATCGAGCTCGGAGAGTTCGGTCATGATTCGGCTAAATCTCGGGGGTTGGTCCCATCCAAGTAGGATGGCTCCGGGGGTTACCTCGTACTCTACCTCAGAATATCCATGAATGGAGGAAGTTCAGAGCAGGACACGGCCAGTGGGCAGCTGTGGGCTTTGCCCGTGCTCCAGTAAGCTTGGCAGGCCCCACCTTCCGGCTGGACCGACCGGGCCCAAGAATGTTTCAAATACTAGTTCCGGTGGGCAGCCTCCCACACCTGAAACAAGGCAAACAGTTTCATTCCGTGAGCCCGGATACGAGGCGAGCAAGGATTGTGCAGGCTGCAGGTTCCCATTCCTGGCCCAGCTGCCGCCTGGAGAGGGATCTACTACTGACCTTTGATTGACATGTGAATATCCCCTCCTGTTGCAGTCTCAGGCTTGATTGTTGACTAGCAGGCAGCATTCGCTTCGCTCAATACTCCGAACCTCATATCGACTGATATACCCAGTATGCTGCGGCGAGTTCTTTGACGCAGGTCTCCAAACTAACGAAGCAGACATCACCCCGAGCACCGTGGGACGTCGGAATCTCAGGAACATATGCTAAGCGAAAGAGTGGTTGGCTGCTTCTGGCGATGGATGTCTCCGATATTGTGGATGCTGTAGGAAATAGACCACGTACTTCGACAGGAGACGCCGCGGACCGACCCACCAGCAAACTCTCGATTGCTTCAAACTCTCAATGCAGCCCATACCAAGCTAAAAGAGGTCTCTGCTCGAATTGCGGAGTGGAACTCTGCCTAGTCTGCTCAGTCTGGAGCGACAAAGTCATCTGTGCTAATCTGGCTCCTCGTCGTCTCCAAAACGAAGCTATTCAAAGAAGAATCACAGAAGAATCGGTTTCACTTAATGAATGTTCTTTCTATGCTGAACATGTGAGTCTTGTGCCACTGCTTCCGCTTCGCTTTGAGCACAGACGCACGAATTTCAGGTGTGGATCTACAGACTACCCGGGTCGAGATGAGCCTATAGAACGTCCTGCTCAACACCAGAGAAACAGCTCACCAGTAGCTTTCAGCCTAAAATGAGCTGCAGAATAATGTCTCTAGAAAATCCGAGGAACTGGATGCTCGGCTGAGTAATCGCATTTCTCATCAAAGGGATGAGGATGCTGCTTCTACTGCAGTCCAAAATCCTCGGTCTTCGACTCGAGCTGTCGATCCCCTAGACGCCAGTGGATGATTTAATTCCGTCGGAGCGGCAAGTGGCTACTTTCAAACCCCTCGTGAACATGCTGGCAAGCCAGTTGCCTTCTACCTGAAGACAAGCCCGCAGGTGGTGATGGAGACCATGGTTGTGTTCATCGAGAATGACTCCATTCTCGAAAAAAGGGATGGTGGGTCGATTCAGATGGAATACCCAAAGCGTATTGTCGCTGACCCTGAAAGTAGTTGAGTGTTGAGTGCCAAACTCTGCGGCAAGTGTCTGAAACCAGATATTACGACAATGACATCGATATACTTGAATTTGGCTGGGCGGATGCCGCCGCTGGGCAGAACATGGCAGCGCCATCTTTCAGCCCTCTGCCCCTTGAGCAAGCAGGCAGCGATGCTTTCTCCAGGCCTGAGGTAGATTTCGCCTCCCGCTGGTACGGGGAAGAGTCCCACAGCACAGCGTTATGGTTGGTACCGTGACATCCTCAGGTTGGTCTTCATTCTCACGCGTCCTTGACTTGACTCTAAAGGTGGTACAGGCAGGGGTACTGCGGTATTTGCGTCAAGGCCACCACGGACCCGAATGCGACGAACTGCTAGGCCTATGGCTGCTATAGCACATTCTCATCGTATGTACCGCCTCGGACAAGCAGATCGGCAAGAACCAACTCTTTTCACTTCTCTAGATATTGTTCGCAGCACGGCCATGATGGGGCAACACAGCGATATCCGTAGTGTCGCTCTTCAAGTGGCGTCATGAGGGGGCGTCGGAACCCTTATGGTCTCCTGCATTGCAGATATTTCAATCCAGTCGCATGTTCAATCCGTCCATTCAACGAACTGATTGAAAACCTGGACTAAAACGACACTTGCTGTATCAAGGTCTTGGTCGGTTGTCACATGTTTCCTTCGGTGTAGGGACTTTTGGGAAGATGGATTGCGTTAAAGTGACCAGGCCGACTCCATGGAGAGTATGTGCATAGGGACTGTATTTCGCAGGCTCTAGAGGCATTCCTTGCCAGCCGCAGAAGCCATCTGTACCAATGTGGCATCAGGCTTCTAGAGAGAGGATGCAAGTTGAATCGCCGTTTCTAATAGGAAAACAACGATGCTGTTCAACGTGACTCGCCTCATTGAGCAAGAACCATGTCATGATTTGCCGGTGGTCTCTCGTACATCCTTACCCCCTGCTCTGGGTATTCGTCGAAGATGCGGTAGCACTTCCATGTCATTCTCTAGACGGACATGAATTCAGCCGTCGGCATTCTGTGAAACCAGCTAATACGGCGGCCCTCCACGAGATCTAGTGAAGCTTAACAACCACGTGCCATGAACCGACCCTGGAACAATGGAGTTCCTCGGGTATCATGTTCCGGCTCATTGGCTGCTAGAGAGTTGATGCCTAGTGTTGCCTAAAGTTTGGCGCCACAATAGTCCAGGTTAGGAAATCCGAAAGAGGCCTAATAGCACAAAGCGGATACGGAGTGACATTCAGTCCAATTTTATACCTGCAAGGGGTACAATGTATTGAACCGAGACAGGGTCTTCAGGGCTGGGATATAAAAGTTCGATATCTCCTCCCTCAACTCGTCACACCGCCAAGCTCAATTCTTGCTTCCAAGTCTCCCGTTCACATCAATCTTTGACAAACTCCAGGTGCATTCAAACAGCTCCTTGATTCGCACCATGGCCGAGAATGACACCAAGCCCTATGGCCAGATCTGCTTCATCGAAGTGCCCGTGACCTCTGTGTCGCGCGCCTCTACCTTCTACTCTTCCGTCCTCGGCTGGATCTGTGACGATCTGGACGGCAAGCCGGTGCCTGGCGGACTCGCGAACCATGCGAAATCAATCCACATGTTCAACAAGGGCGCCTTGCATGGGGGCTTCCTGCTCCAGACGCACGAGAACGGCGTTGCCAGAATCACCGAGTTGGGCCCGCCCGAGCAGGATGTTCCGGTGATGACATTTCTGGTGGAGAGCATCGACGAGACGCTCAAGAAGGTCGAGGCCGCTGGCGGCAAGATGTATATGTCAGTGAACTCCTCTGCTGTCTAGCCTCTATGCGAGGGTCGTTTCTTAGCGTGGTCTGACTGACGTCCATTCTACCACAGCCCCAAGACCGAAATTGGCGGAGGAATGGGCTTCTTCGCTCGGTTCATCGACACCGAGGGCAACGTCCAAGGGATATGGTCGAAAGAGTAGCTCCGGAAAAACCTGGTCCCGCTGGTCATTATTTGCAAGCTTTGTTGGCCTACCAGGCCTGGTTAACGAGCGTCGCTGACGTGAAGGAGACAAGGTTGCTCATATTCGTCATCGAGGATGGACTTATCAGACTGTTTTCACGAACCCTCCCTAAGTTGTCAGAAGACCCTCCAATAAAAAGGGTGGTTTTAGGAGGACCAGATAGATCCTTGCTCGAATGTAATCGGTCCTGGGGCCGAAAGAAATCTGTCTAGTTACTCATTTTCCACTTCGTTGAGGACATGACCCGGAATAGTGAGTTTCCAGTCTTGTCGATTCAAAAACCGATATTCTGGTCTCGTTAGTCCGCGCTCAGGGTTGCACAACCAGAGCTCAGTGTGAATGTAGAAACAGAATTGGGAGAGGGAGTCTTGGCCAAAGGTGTAGTCGTACCCGGTATAGGGTGACTCTTTCTGGTTAGCGAGGCTGCATGGGACCCGCAATTGCTTCCATCCTATTCTGGGAATATCGAGTCTTGATGGAGGCCCCTTTTAGTCTCGAACTTTGGAATGCATCAATTTTGAAGCATCTCCTGTCACACTCGAGCACTATTCGATCGTGGAAGGACTTGAAGGAGAATCGGCTGGCGGCGTGTTCACCAGGTCATCTAGTCACGTCCTTCCTAGAAAATCATGCTGCTTTAGGCACAGGTCCCCATTCTGACGGCGATGAGCAGTGCTTAAAAGCGGCGTGTGAATTGACCCTCGCCGCGTCGACCGCGCCAACGTATGTACCAAGCTCGCAAGTACACGAACGCGTTGTAGCCGCAGTTTTCTTTGCCATCGTGGGAGAGCCAACGGTCTGGACGAGGTACGGAGTAGAGGATCGCGAATATCCCACCATGCCATTAAACATGTCGATATGTCTCCTTCAGAGTTACTGGATCCATTCTCTCCAGACCGAATCAGAGATCTCAGTTCCGCTTTCCTGCCCTCTGATCCAATTTGGGACGGGTTCCAGTTCAATCAACATCTGGAAAGCCGATTCCTTCGGCTAGACGAATCCACACTAGGATCCCTCCCTGTGCTCAAAACAGACGTTTTACAATTGAAGATAGATGATGTGCCCCTACAAGATCTGTCACGTTCGCCGTCCACGGCCACGTCCGACTCCGAGAATGATCAATTCGAGAGCCTCGACGGCGATAGCGTACAGAGAGAATTGGTCGACGTCTGGATCTTGCCAGATATTCAGAAGAGAAAGGGAAGAGGACAATTGTTAACCTGGGACAAATTTGTGGATAAAAGCCATCAGGAACCGGCATCATCATATCTCAGCGAGACAGATCCCGGGGTATTCAACGCCGTACTCGAACCAAACGATCAGACGCGCCCGGGGTGTGTTAAACCGGACATCCTTCTGAACGCATTCTTTGAGTTGTGCATGGGACGAGATTCTGTCCTCTTCAGATGGGAGGAGAAGGACAGTATATTCGTTGCTCAATGGAAACGTCTTTCGGCTCGTGGATACAGTTCGATACTCATCCAGAACTGCTTCGACATCTTTTCGACAATTGGGATAAACACCAGGTACCTTATGGGCTCTTTTCAAGCCTTGGACAACAACTCTCCGCATCTGTCATCCTCTAAAGTAACTTTCCTTTCCACCGCCAGGTCCGTGTTATATTCCGTCCACAAATACCTTACCGAGTTGAAGTCAAGCATTACGTCCTTGCTCCAGCTGAAAGGCATTATGGCAAAAGTCGAGATGGTTGTCGATGTGTTGAAACAATGTGTCGACGCTATGCAGACAAATTGGACAGAACATTTGATCATCCTTAGCTTGATGGAACGAGCTGTCAGAGCGTCTCTCATTCACCCTGGCCTTGCCGGAGTATTGCAGATGATGCTCTCACGGACCTGCCGGCCCGTACTGGCTCTCTTGAGCGAGCAGATAGGGCTTAGTTCAGCACAAGGCGAGAATTCCAGGGGCTCGGTCCCAGAGACTTCACTCGCCGACAATGTAGTGTGGGACGCACTACTTGGATCAAATTTCTCACGTACGATATCTGAGGCACAGAAGAGCCTGAGGTTATTGAGAAGCCACTCTCCGGACTGCTCCATCTTGTCCACTACCGTTCTCGAATCCTCCCCTCTGAGGGCACTCGAGGCTGGATTCACCCTAGCAGTCATTTCCGAACTTCAGGCTCGTGCTGTGGCATATGAGGAGGCCATGTGGTCATTCATAGCGTCGGCGGAATCTTCGACGACTAGCAGCTCCCTCGACACTCCCGCCTCTGAGAGCTTCGATCTGGAGGGGCCTGTTAGCATGCAATCAGAGTCCGCCAGTGCTTTTCGCCTACAAATGGATATTTTCAACTACAGCGTTCGTCTCTTGGACGAGGCCAAATATGACGAACTGGAGGATCAAGTCGTTATATACATCGAGGGACAAGACTTCGAGGACTCGCCTCTCCAGCTGGATTTGGAAGTATCACTCAATTTGTCTATCACGCCCCTCGTCTCCACCCAGCACAGGTTGCTCTCTTACTCTGTGTTGCGGTTGCTCTTCCAGCAACATAACCTCCTCGGCCACCTCAATTTGCAAAAACATTTCCATTTGCTTGGAAACGCCTTCTTCTCCTCTCGTCTCAGCATAGTGCTGTTTGACCCAGACCAGAACAGCGGCGAAGGTCACAGAAAAACGAGCGCCGCTACTGGCCTTCGTTTGCATGTTCGAGACTCGTGGCCACCCGCAGGTTCGGAGTTGAGATTAGTGCTCATGAGCATCCTATCAGACAGCCTGAGCCTAGCAGACCGCCCTTTGGATGATTCCATGTCTTTTGCGATTCGAGATTTGCCGCTCGCGGAGCTCGAGAAGTGTCGAGACGTTGATTCGATTCATGCACTGGACTTCCTTCGTCTTCACTATACAGCTCCCAATGAAATATTGGCAGCAGTCATTACGCCAGAAATACTGGACAAATACGATCGAATTTTCCAGCATCTACTGCGTACCTTGCGAATACAAGCCGTAGCACAGAGGATGCTAAGAGAGAGTTTCAGCCGTCAATTAGACAAGACGGCCATCAACGGTTTCTCAGACCATAAAACTGTTATTGCAATGCATCATTTTGTCTCAAGTATTGCAGACTACTACCACAACACTGCGATTGAGCTCAACTGGAGGAAATTTCAGGCAGTGCTTTGTGCCGCAAAGGCCCACCTCGATAAAAGGGATTACTGCCAGACCTTGCTTGTCGTCAAGAGTCTGGACCATCTCCGCATATTGCACGAGAGAACATTGGACAAGATCATCGGTGCTCTCTTGTTGAAACGAGACCAAGCCGGTTTGAGGCAGATACTGGAAGATATCTACGGTGTAGTACTTCGATCGGCGGCTGAACGACGCAAGCATATCAACAAGGACCTCGGACTGAAGGTGGATGAAAATCAGAGTAGTGGTACTACCACCACTGATGACACCACGACGAAACGACTGCACAAGGAGTTTAGAAGCAAAGTTACACTTTTCAGTGAGGCGTTGCGCGTTCAAGCGCAATCAGCGGAGAAATTGCCCAAGAAGACACTTCTTGACGAATTGGACGCTGATGATGACGATGACGCAGATGTTAATACGTTGGAGTACCTACTGGTGAAATTGGACATGTTTGGTTACTGGGCGTCATAAGATGGCATACCCAGGTATAGGTGTGGTGACTTGTATGTTGAATTGGGAGGGGAGGGTAGGCCTTGTAATCAGCCAGGCAAGGCTTTGGCTCGTATTTGCTGTGATGACCATGATACCCCCGCAGCGAGATTGCACGACAATGCTGTGAAAAAGTGGAATTTCAAAAATTTGCTACCTACATAACATATGCATGCTCTTTGCCCCCGTCGCTATGCAATGGCCCCTGGTCGTTTTCAATGCTCCATTGCCCTGTTTTCCCTCAAAACATCCTCCTCAACAGTGCCGTTGACACTTTAACGCTCAGCCACGCCACGCCAACCAAGACCCCCGTCGCGACTAAGAGCGTATGCAAATTCCGCCTCTCAATACCCCCTTCCGTGCCCTTCTTCTTCTTCTTCTTCTCCTCCTCCTCCTCGTCGTGCTCGCCCTTGGCAGTCCCCAGGCCAAACTCGGGAATATATTTGAATTCAAAGACCGTCTGCTCGCCTCCGAGCCCGTACTTGCCCTCGACAATCAGCGCCCAAAACACCTTCCTGAGCGTCTCGATCTTCCGCCTGTCCAGTGCCGGGACGGTGCGGTAGGTGTAGCACAAACAGGCGAAGAAGATGCACTGTCCCGCCATCAGCGCCCAGTACCACGCGCCGGGATTCCCCAGGCCCAATGCGTCGGCGAGTTCGTTGCCGTTGAGCCAGCGCGCGTTCACCTCGAGGAAGCTCCGGCTCGCGAAGGTGGGCGGCTGGTTCTCGAGGCAGCGGATGATGTTGTTCGCCAGGACCTGGCTCGTGTTGGACGGGTTGATCTCGTTCAGCAGCAGACTCTCCATGACGCACTTGGCCCGCTCGGGCGTCTCGAAGTAGCTCGTGGGGGTGCCCACGTAGTGCGCAATCAGGCGCCACAGCGCGATGTAGTCCTCGATTTCTTGCCTGCGGAGGAATATCCCCTGGCGGGGGAGGGAGAGGAAGATGATTGTGGCCGAGAAGGTGCCGATCGTGGCGACGCAGTCGAGGTCGTTGATGGGGATCCCGTACTGCTCGACGCTGTAGTAGCTCGGTCGGGTCTTTGATAGTTGCATGATCCGCTGCCGCACGGCAGCATGCAAGAGGCGAACTCGCACGGAACTCGCAAAGCCGTCGCCACCAGGTCTTATGCTCTCGAGAGACCGTGTGCATTCGAGGATATGTTGCGTCGTCTCGAACAGGCGATGGCGAGCGACTTTCACGGAGAAGCCACCCGTGCGGGCTAGGACTTCGACCACGCGGTTCGCACCCATGCCCCCGAGGAGCGATTGGTACGCGAGCCCCGTGAGAGTGGCTGCGCCGTAGCGGTAGAAGACGTCCTGCCCGCGGCAGATTTGGGCCCAGTCGACCCAGCTGGGGACGGTGGTGACCTCGGCCCAAAGTTCTTGCAGCTTGGGGTGGGAGGAATGGTGATCCCGGAGAAGGAGGTAAAGGTCGCGTTTGGACGTCGATGGCAGTGTTGGCGGGCGATCGGTTTCAGTAGAGCCAGTCATGGTGGCTGAAGCCGGCTGCTGCGTCGGACATGCCACACTCTCCAATTGAGCATCATCTCTCCTCTGCGGCTTTGATTCATCTGCAACACTGCTGCCTATCTGTTTCAGGATTTCGTAGCATTCTTCTCCAAGGACATCATAAGTATACTTCATAGGATGGGCCTGTTCAGGAGTGAGATGGCCGGAGGTTAACTGGAAGGTATATCCCCAGGCTGTTCGAGTGTTGTCATCTCGCCGCCAGAAGGGATTTGGCCAAGCCATGCCGCTGTTAGATGAACTGAAGACGGCGTTGAACAGATGGAGGACAACCGACAGCAGGAGAAAGCGCGGAACTTGAAAAGCGATGCAAATATAGTATTTGAATATAGATGAGGTCTAGACTTGAATGGGTCTTGATGTCAATGACGATCCCATGCCTTGCCCATGTTGCCCATGGTGCCCATGATCGCCCACGAGTCAGGATCTCGCTTAACCTGTCGCATCACTAGTCATGCAGCTCGATTGGGTCTCTGCAAATTTGGCTCAGGCTTTCATCTCCGCAGAGAAAAGGATGCTTGAAACTTCATCCAAGATCGCCTGCACCACCAGCGTCAGAGGTCTGGGGACGGAATCGTGAAAAGACGCGGATGGTTGAGAAGAGAAGATGTCTCTCAACATACAGACGAGCAATAGGGTCTTGTGGACTGTCAGGATCATCTCCAGACAGACTCCCTGCCGCCCATGTCGCCGCACCCATACTATAGCACCCTCTCCCCTGACGAAATCACACGGTTCATTCATATCATCGTCGAAACCCACCGCATGGCCGATATCCAGAGTCCTGACGACATCCGTGCCCCGAGATTGCCACGCCCACAAGAAGCGTAGATATTCATCCCAAGCACGGGCCGCCGCGCCAGATACCGACAGGCTCTGGGACGCACAGACACAAGCAAGAGAGGAGCGTGATCGGCGATATGATGGGGCAGCATCGGTCGGCGGATATGACCGCAGAAGTGACAGAGAGGGACAATACGAGGACGAAGGGATGATCGTGATCTCGTCGAGGGCCCATTTTCGAGATAGGCATGGTCGTCCATGGGCAAAAACTTCAGAGGGAGGGCGCTCCAATATGAACGCTGGCGTGAGCATTGGTGCTGCTTCAAAGCCGAGGGGCAAATCGCGGCTTGAACTGCGGGACTTGACCGTAAAGTCTCAGAAGAAGCTGGAACCATGGCAGGTCCAAAAGGACACCCTCGCGAAAAAATTTGGCGACGAAGGATGGAACCCACGAAAGAAACTCTCGCCTGACGCGATGGATGGTATCCGCGCCCTCCACGAAGAAGACCCTGAGCGATGGTCCACCCCTGTTCTTGCAGACCATTTCAAGGTTTCTCCCGAGGCGATTAGGAGAATATTAAAGAGCAAATGGCGGCCGAAGGACGAGGAGGAAATGCAGAAAAGGAGGGAGCGGTGGGCGAAGCGACACGATCGCATCTGGGATCATCAGGCCGAACTTGGGCTGAGGCCACAGAGGACGAAGGATAGGGAGGTCGAGGATCCAGATGCCTTCGATGAGGAGTTGAGAGCAAAGGAGATGCTGGACAATGCACGGAAGGCATGATTCAGCTTAATGAGTTCTGCTGATCTCATATGATGCTAAAGCTAAGGCTATTGACAGTGATTGCATATGTACCTGAAGAGGCCTTTGTACATGACAAGCTCTGGCCGTCCTGGGCGCTCTGGTGACCGATGATGATGATGATGATGATGATGATGCACAGGGGAAGAAAAGAGAAACAGGGAAGGGACCGGAAAAGCTCTCTGTCGTCCGTCCGTCCGTCGAAACACCCCTGGCAGAATCCTTTGTCTTCCACCTACACGGTAACGGATACGCAAGCGGTGTAAACAGGTTAATCCTTGGGCTCTTCTGTTATATCCCGTGGCCGATTTCTGCTTGGTGTCAATCCTTCTCTCTTCCTGTCGCTATGTGAGGTGTGTTGTTAATGATGACTGTGAGTTCTGCAAGGCGCGGTCAGCAGGGGGTCGCGATGCCAAGTGTTGATGCCAGACTCACTAGGCTTCTTTCTCTTTTGCTCGTCGACTTCGATTTTCTAGCGAAATCTTCCACCGACTCCCCCGTCGCCTTTCATCGCCCCCATCACGTGTCATCTCACATGCGCCACACAACGACGAGCACAACGGCCATCCAGGCAACGCCGAGGACATGCGGCACCGCTAGCCACTAGCTAGCTGCAGTCCACTTGATTGATCTGTACTTGTCCATCGGTTGCCAGAGACCGGTTTTGTCGTTATACACCATGCTGTCACGACGCTCCGGCATTGTCGGTGGCCAGATGGCATAGATGACTGGTGTGAGGTACAGAGGAATAGTCTCGACAAGGGCAAGGCCAGGAAAACCGACCGAAGCGATGAAACGATGCCAAAACACCTTGTCAGCGATGAAGTTGCCGTCGACAGTTGATGCCTTAATCTCAGCCCAGAATCTGGAGATAACCACACTAGACATGACGAAGAAGAGAACAACATGCCACAAGATACCCTCACGGCGATGGAGATTCCAGAGTCTCTTGAGAAGAGATGGACGATTGTTCACATCTCGTTCTTTGACGGAAGTACCTCCAACACCGCTCACTTTGAACCCAAGACGAAGACCACCCAGCCGCTTTGGGAGCAGCGTCTGTAAGACATCGCGGGAGAAGTGGTGTCCCATCCAGACTCCTGTTGCAGTGCGACGACGGATATTCAGGTAGTATTGACCAAAGACCGATTCGACATCGCCAATCAACGCCAGCAGACGAACGATACCAAGGAACATGACAGCCCAGTATAGTGCATTCTGAGTCGGAGTGGCAATGATAGGCCGGCCGCGATAAAGGCAGACAAAGTTAATAACGGTATTGGCCAGCTTCGTTACCGTCATCAAATATGGTCGACAGCTATGGTGGAACATCGCGATGCGTTGAAGCCGCGTTGCTTCCTTAAGACGAGAGTCACACAAGGTGAAATTCATCTTGAGAGCGTCACGGATGTGTCCAGTCCACTGCCACCGTATCAGTCATCGATAAAGTTTCCAAGGGTTATGTCCACACTTACCCAGCGTCGGCGCTGTTTGAGATGCGTCAGGATGCAATCTGGCTGCAATCCCCATTGCAGAACCTCATGGACCAAGATGATCCTCCAGCCTTTTCCATGAAGGAACCAGCTGGTGATGAGATCTTCTGTGATGGTGAACTCCGGGAAGCCACCAATTTCCGACCACGCCAACTTGCGCAAGATAAAGCCACTGCCCGGACACCAGGCGACGTTGACCGAGTCTCGAATTCCATCATCAGCTGTAGTTCCAGTCATGTTGGACTGGTATAAGGGATCATCATCCGGAATATTGTAGTGGTACTGTTACTGTCAGCACATCAGAAACTATATTGGCATGGAATGTCATACTTGAGCAGCAGTGACCATCCCGATCTTTTCATCTCCAAGGGCATGTGGGATCAGAGCTCGGAGCAACTGAGGTTCGGGCATCATATCGGCATCAAACACCGCCAGGAATTCATTCTGGCCTCCAGGAAGGTCGACAACAAACTCGCGCATAGTTTGGTTGAGATTGCCAGCCTTGTACCCATGGTGTCTATCAGTGGGTTTCTCGCGGGCGTGGTAGTGGAGGTTATGATGTCTCTGTTGCAGCTTCTCAACTTCAAGACGAAGGCTTTCCATGTTCCCGTCGTCGGCTACGATCACTCTGAACTTGTCCTCAGGCCAATCGAGCTTGCAGACGGCTTTGACTGTGTCTAGAACGACATCATCCGGTTCTCCGCAGCAGACAACGAAGACGTCAACTCCTGGAACGTTGGTACCGAGGATGCGGAGGCTCGGTCGTGGTTTGGGATCACGAGCAAGCCCGACCATAATACGCCAGACTCCCTCCGCGATCGGTGACACTACGACAGCGTTAGTCGATGTCGTCTAGGAGAGGAGTTGTACTTACAGCCGTCATAGAACTGTCCGAGGGCGAAGAGGTAAGGAGTCTTGGGAAACCCTTGACCTCGCCACCATGTCTGCAGCACATTACCAAAGAGCAAGCCCAAGTAGGCAGCGATGCTGATGACATTGATACCAGTGAGAGCAAGACCGAGCATAGAGATTGGCTGTGGGTCTTTCTTCTCGACCTCCACAACGCGGTACGGCGCTTTGACTTTGGCGGTGCCCGGATTTTTGCCATTCCTGGTGGGCTGTACAGTGACGGCTCGGTGACGAACAACTGAACCGGCCTGCACGACGGAGACAGGGTGGGGCCCAGCCATTGTGGAGACTTCTCAAGCTTGGGCAGGATGTCTCCAGGTGAATTGTGGCAAAGAGGGGACGTAAAAGGGCAAGGTGGATGAAGTGCGAGAAGAATGAATGTGATGTGCGCAACACGGTCCAACGCAGTTACCGCCGAAGCTGCCACCAGTGACAGCTTTTCACGAAGACTACGGGAAGGTGAAGACACACGATGCTTGCAATGGCGGGGATCTGATGAAGGATGATCGAAGAAGGGAGGGTGATAATCACAGAGATGATGAAGGAGGGAGAGGAGAGGAGAGAAAGAGTCTTCACAGCCAAAGTCGCCAGTCCCAAGTTGGAAGGGGTGCCGGGCTGCCTGCGCTCTGCTCTCTGCTCTCTGCTCTCTCCTCTCTGCAGCCTGCATTGTCACGCAGGGACGCAGGCAATTCTTTGGTTTCGGACTTTCTGTTCTTCTTGCTGTCTTCGAGACAGAATGGTCCTGATTTGGTTTGGAAGGGCAGCAATTCGGTCCTGGTCCTCTGCTTTGTGGGTAGGTCCGCTGCGAGATTGCAGGGCACAATGTTTCTAAATGCTACAGGAACTTCCTCCTCTGCCGTGGACAACGATGACCCTTGGCCAGTCTCCATTTTCATGTCTATCATGGCTGGTGTTTTCAGGTGGACAACCGACTCCTTGTCTCTGCACCACTGGAATTGATGAATAATGAGTGTTCAGGTCCATCCATAGTCCAACTTCAGTGGCATAGCATCTCTTTGACATTTCTCTTCTACATCTTTTTTGTCCTTCGACCTTTCCAACCTTTATTTCCTTTTGTCCTCTTAGACCATGGACGCTCTGTCGTCTCTGTGCTTCTGCATCCTCAGACAAATGCCTTTGGACACTTCAATGCGCCGGATTGATGTTGTCGTCCGCGATGTCTTCCTCAAGCTCCAAGACCGCACCTCAATGCCCTTCAAAAGCACACAAACAAACCCCCGCACTCGAGGCTCGGCCCCAGAACTAGCGATGCTGTTTCGACAGCCCACGGGAGCTTTTTAATTCGACAGCTTACTCATAAGAAAGCAAAGAAAGAAAGAGCTCTGATCAGAGACGGGAACCCCGCCATACAGCAAAAGCAAAGACCATCTTCCAGACCCTGCAATGGACAAGCGCCTGGAGACTGTATGGTGTTGGACAAATGGTCGCAATGCTTGACTTCCAAAGTGGAGAAGACTTAACACACGGTGTTGCAGATCCTGCTTCACGTTGGAAAATTAGCATTCAAAGCCTCTATGTCAACCCAGGAAGCAACCCATCTTGAAAGCAACGATGTTCCTGAATCCAGAGTACAAAGTTCAACGAAATTGAACACCGCATCTACCTCCCCTCAAAAAGCAGTGATGGAAAGACACATACAGGAGCAAGCGTTAGAGGGATCACCTACATAGACTGAGAAGAGGTATGGGCCATACATAAACATCAGTCAAATCTCCCCACACTCTCCTGCCGTCTTGAAGAATGACGGCTTTGAAGGTTTCGAAAAGCTCTTTGCTTCGACAATTTCACATACCGCACGCTGGGCCGCCACAAGGTAGCATAGAGAACGGACACACATTGTTCTGCCAATTCACAGATCCTCTGACAAGATTAAATACACATCGATTTGCGGTGTCTTCGATAACCTTCTGAGGAAGACACTTTGTCGCAAGGCATCATCACGTCCTGTCAAGCTTGTCTGCGATGGAAAATCCCGATACTCAGGCCCCATATATATCTCACAAAGGCTGCACCATCCTTACGTCTTTTCAAGCCTCTCCTCGCTTTGGGAAACCTGACCAGCACGCAACAAGCAACCCCTTTTCAGGGAGAGCCTCGTCGAAATAGAGTTCGCACTTCCTGCAGCAGACCCGCTATATGACAAACACGCCGAGCCGCAGCCTTGTCTGGGCGAGTTTGTGGCAGGATTGAAAGATTGCCAACTTTTGGTTTCCATGTGCTACATGCAACTGGTGGGTTTATTGCAGGCCAGCTAGCGGTGGCATTTCCTGGACAGACTGTGGAGCTTCTTCTCATTTTGTTGTTGATCCTTGTTCTATTGCGCCCCCTTTTAAGCTTGAGTGAGAGCCCTGAGAGCTGCCTCAAAATGGTGAACGTTCTGAAGCGTATGCGCGGTCTTCAGCCTGTGAGTTGTTTCTTTTACGCAAGGGGGAAGAGTCGCTAACGATTTGTAGAAAGTGAGTGTTTGAGATATCCAGCATTTTGTGTCTCTACTCACTCTTTCAGCTATTCAAAATCCGTCATGGCGAAGGCGCAGCTATCCTTCCTCCTCCGCCTTCCCCTCAATTAACTCGTCTAAGCCTACGATATGACCGGAAGCAATGGAACAAAAGCACGAGACCTGCGAGAATATTTCAAAAAGATCACCTACCGCGATTGAAATACCACAATCCAGCCCTACCCATCAGGGTAGAACAAGGACCCAGCCGATTACAATTGACTTTTGAGAGTACCGACCAGCACGCGTTGAGGGAGATGGAGAGGACCTCTCTAGAAAGAAGCAATGACGGCGAATACAGAGAAACGTGGACCGAGATAGAGGCAAAATCCCAACCTGTCGAAGAGACAACCACATCTACATCGTCATTAACTTCTCCTGCGACATCGATTTTCACCAGGAGTGTGGAACTGCGTTTAGGGCCACACCAGCCCGGGAGCATCTGGACATGGTTCCAGAACGCCACAAGATGCGAAGATTTCCCAGAGAACCCTGAAGAAAGTGAACAGATGGAACGACTCAATGAATTTTTCGTGAAGGCAGAAGAAGACAGGCAGCGCGTCAAGGCCGGCATGGATGCGATCCGGAAACAAAAAGAGGATCTGAAAAGAGCAAGAGAAGCCGCCGAGAGAATGGTAAATGAGGCATAATCTCTGGGATATCATAAAATTCTCCGAAAAATTCTGTACATTACTCGACACACTGTACACCGGCCTGTTTGTCAAGATATGGATTCTATGAGGCCAACTACAGCTTTCTCCCCATTGGTTCCGAAGTCATCCTTTGGTCTCTTCATTGCCACCGTTCCTTGCAGATTCACACATGTCCGTCACGTCAGCAGGTCACGATGATCTATCTACTCTTAATCGAACGATATCAAACAGCAACGTGACAGTGCTCTGTGAAGTTGACATGATCCGAAACTCGCTTGTCCACGTCCGTCGTTCTGTGCCTCAAACTCCCAGTGCCTGTCACAGTCACCTGTGGGACTTCTCAGTGTTTGTCTCACCTTTCAACCGGGTACATAAGCATGGTCTTTCCTCAAATCTTGTATCCGCGCGATTGGTCTCTCGTGTGCCCAAGGGATCAATTCTGGTCCGTGGTTCAATATGGTAAAAAATTCAAAACAGCCCCAAACACCCTCTGAAGAGGCAGGTCCCAGCAGCAAGCCAAATTTCCAAGCAGTATCTGACTCGCCCCAAACTCTTGACCCTGACTCTTTATCCTCACTAACAGGATCTCTTTCCGTTCGCGACCAGGAAATTGGGGAGCACGGTCAGCCGCAGAAGCCTGGCAATCCTGATCCGCCTCGGTCTGGTTCTGGATCTCACCCAGAGACGACCCGGGCGCATCCTGCCCCAGCATCCAGAGAAAGCCCCACAGACCGATCAGGGAGGATTCGAAGGGAACAGATCAGATATCAGGTGCACAGAACTCTTGACCTGATGAGCATGGTCTGCTGGGGTGACCCGCAAGCAGCAGTTTCTGCCTTACGCCGTTCATTCTTGCACGCATTGCGTCGGATCGAGCGTGGCGACCAAAATACACTGCTTTTTGATCTCAATGATCCCGACCTCGACATTTCTCATGATCATCCCCGTTTTACCGAAGAATATCAGGACTGGGTGTTTCCCGTAGAAGATTACAATGTTGGCGCACGCTTACCGGGACGCGTTCGCAGACATAGACGTCGTCGGGGCGGAACCAGGATGGTCATCAACGACCGAGCCTTCCCCTTTGGTGAGGCCATCGTCGTTAGGCTTCATGGGCCTCGATCAAGATCTCGGTCTGAAACTGGCCGGCGGGGTCAGCCTCGCTATACACAGGCTCAAGGACACCGTGCTGGCCACGGCGCTCGAAGGAGGCCCGCTCCTCTCCCACGAGCTCGAGACAACCACCTTCACCGGTCTTTCCACAACCTTCCTGAAGATGATACGGTGGGAAGCGCGACTCACCGAACCACTGAGCACCACTCACAGGCGAATTCCGCCACATTGCCTCCACGGGGAGATATGCCGCGTGCCTACGAGCCCCGTTCTCGTTCTCGTAACATAATCTCTGGGACTGGCCCGAATTCACCGCACCACACAGCTCGTTATCGCCAGGAATGGAACAATTTCATCAGACGAGAGGCGCACAACAACCCTTTCGTACTGCTAGGAACGAATCCGCGCCGGCGCAGAAATGCAGCTGCAGACGGGCTATTATCGATGCCCAGCGATCAAGTTGACGAGCCTGGTCTCGAGATGGAGCCGGCATTCTTGTCTAGGACCTCTTCTGCTCTCTGGACGCAATGATATTGCGGAGCTGGAGCTAGGTCAAGGCCACAGAGTTGATCGGCGGATAATGCTCGGCTTCAACGACGACATCGATGGTGGAGCAGGACTTTGAAGCGAATTTGCGGGGGCCCAGGGTTGATTTCAAGCGAACGGACTGGACTGTGGAGTTTGCTTTGGTATTCGGGATATCTTGCCAAGGGCGCCGGCTGTTGAGTACCTGCACCACCTGTTAGGCTAGGTGATTGATGGTGGTGGTCGGGATGCCACGCGAATACCGGATTTCGGAAAGTTGTATCTGTGCTCCGTATGTCCACCAGCCTGGCTGATGCTGTAAACATATAGGTACCCCATACAGAGATAGGCTAGGTAGCTTACTGACTGGGATCAACACCGAAGCATCGAGACGAAGAATATTCTTAATTATCGAACGATGCTGCGGAGGTGCTACTCCAAGGATTCCAAGGACTCCCCAATCCTCCTTGAAGCTCCCTAGCGGCCCTCGAATCTGTGAAATTAGAAACACCTCATACCCAGTGGAGATATAAACGCAGGATAAGGATGGAGTCGGTAATAGCCAGTAAGAGTCTTTCCCTTTGAACCCTTCTTTCTTTGCGTCGTTACAAAAATAGAGGAAATGGGGAGGGGGTTGAGATGGGGGGTTTTTCTGCTCTCTCACTCTCTTCTTCGCCTGGAGACCAATTCGAGGGCATAGTCTATGGATCTAGAGCAGAGTAGAGTAGAGCATAGTAGTCTGTAGAAAACGACCTGGCTCACGGCTCATAGTAAATCGAATACGGCAAGTGCTGAATGGTATACGATAAATACTACATAGCGTAGTGAACCTATCTTCGAGCCCATCCCACCCATCTAGCTTTCGCGTTTCGTCCCATCGATCGCCAATCGATCGCACATGCACTACTGCTGCTGCTCGTTGTTGCCATCCACGTCCACTGCTCTCTAAAAATGCAATGCAAGGTAAGGTAAAGTAAGCTATTGTGATGCCATGCAATGGTACACTACCCTCGACTGGGCTGCACGACTCCCAACTGCTCCGCGGCCCGTAACCCGCCCTGGACAATCTTGCGAAACAGATCCTCATCCCCGTTCACATCCGCCTCCCCGCTCCGGGATCCATCCCCATCTCCGTCGTCGTGTGGCCCAATCCACTTCACCACGCCGCGAAAATCCGCGCTCCTGCCCACGACGCCCATCTCGACGCCCCAGCTGAACAGACGCACGTCCACCATGGCCGCCGCGGTCATGTGCACGTGCAGGTGGCGCGGATCCATGAACTTGTCGTAGCCGGTCCACAGGATGTCAACACCGGGGACGGCGCGGTGGCGGATCACGCTGGACTCCTTGTCGAGACGGCCGCAGCGGTCGTTCGGGGCCGGGCCGCGCGGGTCTGGGTACCTGCTATTGCCTCGGCGCGCAAGGTTGGATCTGGAGGAGCCGGAGGAGGAGGGGGGAAGGCGTCGGACGCCGCGCCAGCCGATTTCAATACCCCCTGCGGGCGGTCGGCGGGCGGGGGACAGGTGCGTCACGTCGTGCATGTGGTCGTGGTGCAGGATGTGGCGCGTAAACCCCTGCTGTGCGAGCAGTTTCCAGCTCAGCTCCGAATATTGCGCCCCTGGAGTGTACAGGACGTTTGAGAGCGTCATCACGCTGACGTCGAATTCGATCCGGCGCCTGGGACCCGGCATGATGGGGAGCACCACTGTGCCTCTCCTCCGCCTTCGCTGATCCTGTGGCTGTTGTTGTTGTTGACGTTGTTGAATGCCGCGTCGTGCAGTGGCATTGCCGTCGCGACCACCGCCACCCCTCCTTGGTGGCGGTTGTTCTCTGGGCTCCGGTCTAGGGTGCCGAAACAGGTTGAAATCGGCGCACTTGTGTGTCTCGGAAGTGAGGTTCAATATCCACGGCGTGAACTTCATGCTCTGCTTGTGATGGGTCGATCCGCGCGGAGGAGTAGGGAATCGCACCGGTAGATTGTAGGGGGTGTGTGGATCGGGCCAGAAGCCCGGCAGTGGGATGTCTCGCTGGATGTCATTGATAGTCGGCCGTGGGAGCAGGACGCCTGGAGGTCTTCTTTGTATGGGCAATGGGTAATTGATGTCATCCTCTTCGTCATAGAACCCGCCGGCGCCGCCGTATACCAAACCTGAAGGAGGAAGAGGGATCAGGTCGCGACCGCCCAGACGTGGCATTGTGAACAGTATATCACCGGGTGCTTTTCTTCAGCTTTGATATTGATATTGACCTTGGTCTGGAGATGAAGTTCAGCGCAGGGAAGGGGGAAGGAGAAAGGACGGGACAGAGGAAGATAGGACGGCTCGTTGATAGACAAGAAATGGCCATGAATGAGGAAAACGATGGCTGGATGGATAGAAAGATAGAGATGGGAGGATCGAGAACACGAGGTTGAAATACTGCGATGCACACCTCTGGTGACTGTCTCCATCGTGAAGTCTGATTGTAAACGGAGTGAGATTGAGCAGTGACAGCATGATAGATGCTCCATCCATCTCACTGTGCTCTAACCCTCTGTCACTTCTCCTGCTTATCTCGATCAGTGGCGCAGGTTGACGAAGGAAGATGCTCCGTTCTGCTTGAGACATCGTCAGCAGAGTTCTCCGTTCACTTTTGGAGAGCCCATCTTACCCTTCGAGATGACCTGATTTGTTTTCTCATGCACTCGCTCCCCATGTCAGTCAAGTTGTCACAGCATAAATATATGTCCCACTCCAAAAGCTGCTGGCGTTATGTGGCCTTGTCGAAACAGTACAAAGTGCACCAGCAGAGTCTCCGACATAACTAACCTCGATTTCACCCACTATCGCTCCGCATCGTACTCATCGACAATCAGCAGCGCCTTCCCCGGCTCATCAGCATGCTCGATCGCCGTGCCGTAGATCCCGATCCTGACCGTCTGACTGAGGCGCAACTTGGGATAGTCGCTCTGCAACGACTTCAAGTTGATGATATTTCTGGGCTCGTGGGTTTTGTAGTAAAAGACATCCCTGAGACGGATGGCGGTGAGTCTCTCGCTTCCTGTGACGGGGATCACGACGTCGCCCTTCCCCAACACTACGAATTCCTTGGTTCGATCGGCTGACAGGTCTTCGTCGAGGTTGAAGAATAGAGATCTGTCGTGGCAGTAGTGATGCGGGCTGCCGTTCCAGACCATCCATCTCTCCTGTGTTGGAGGCATTGAGAGTGTTGATTTTGAGCGAGATGCGGGTGTTGTTGGATGTAGTTGTGCGCTGGCCTTCCTTGAAGGACTCTTGGCTTGTGCGGGAAGTGATCGAATGGTGTAGTATGAACAGAAACCCGGTATAGCAGGGACGCCTTAGCGAGCTCGCATCAAAAATTCAATCAGATTGATATAGGATCATTCAGCGAAAGCCGGAGAGTCAGAGGATCATGCTACCTCAGGAGCCAGAGTCATGCAGATCCCAATCCTGCACTGCTTGACAAACGAAATCTGGGTCTTCGGGGCCATCACTGGCCCATCACTCGTCTTTGGGTTTGACTTGTTGATACTTGCACGTAAAGTCTCTCCAATTCTCTCTGCAACCTAATCAGTTCTTTTGTCGAGACATCAGCATCATTGTAGAGGACCAAACAGATTTGGGCTGCTCGTTGCGCCACCGGTTAGGTTGGCTGAGGCATGGGAAATACTTCACAACTCCTCGGCTTTCATCAGTAGCTCTCTGCCCAATCTTTGCAGGTATGCTTTGGCTACATCCTTTGGAATGTTTGCAAGTACGAGGTCGGAACTGGCAACAGACTTGGTAGGAGTACTTTGTCCATTCAGCACTGGCGCAGAATGACAAAGGTTCGAAGTGAATCTTTTCACAACATTTTCAAGGTCTTGTCGGCTCTCATCGTAGGCTGCGAGATCGGGCGATGCGTCATGATGGCGATTGCCAGTAAACATATCAAGCGGCAAGTTACGAAACGCGAGCTTGACAGTTCCGTCGACCCAAGGATCCTGGATATGTGGCGCTTCATTTGAATCGGACACAGATTCCCGGCCAGAGATTGAGCCATTGTTGCTGAGGCTAGAGAGCTCCTGCCTCGGGGTGCTCGACAAGAAGAGACCATTACACGGACGGTCTTTTCCATTGCTGCCATTGAGGAGCATCACACTGGCCACAGACCAGAAAGGTGGAACGAACAAGGCATCTCCGGGCTTTTGTATGGCTATGTGGGGGCTTGTCCCTGGTGGGGCATAGAAGATGTGGTCCTGTAACGGCGTCTTGTCACAGAATATATCAAGATCGCTCGTGGTCGCTCCGGGTGGGAAGTCGAGCTTGCTTTGGTCGCTTGGTGGAAACAGGAGCAGTTTTCGGGTGCCGTAGGTTTGGAACAGAATATGTGCCATTGCACTGTACTGGAGCTTGGTGGAGATATTCTTCGATATAATCAACTGCAGCGAGTGTATAAGTGGACTGACGCCGCTGAGATGTACGGGCATCCGGAACTGATCACCAATATCCAGTTGGTACTTGTGGAGGGACATCGGATTGCTGTTTTTGAATTCAGAACTGCGAAGGTCGAACGCTGTCGATGACACGCCGAGCTCGTCCAAGAGTTGGACTAGTGACATGTTCTCAAAATTCGAAGGACTGAGTAAAGTGCTCGTTTCTTCGCGCATAGTGTTTTGGAGGAGTGGGTTCTTAAGAAAGTCGCCTGGACGCGACCGACAGAGGCCCGCATCAAGCCCGCTCATGAGCAGAGGCCGCGACAGACGCACTGCGGCATGAAAACCCTCAGGATCGGTTACCAGGGCTGGGGCAATTAAAACGCCCTCAGGACACCTCTCAACTGCGGTGTAGCTCGAGTCGGAGTTTGCTGGAGGATACTTCGAAGCCTTACTAGGCACAATGACCCAATCAGCCGCAAGTCCGGCTTCTTTCTCATAGAGAACCCATATGCCTTTGTTGAAGTACTCGCCGTGGTTGAAGCAGTCGGCGCCACCACCGAGGATAACGTACATCCCTGTTCGTGTTCGAAGTGTAGAATGGCCGATCAGGAACGGCCGCGGACAATCTTGCGAGCACATAGCCTCCACGGCCACCACCCGGAAGCTCGGCTCCTTGCTCTCGTCATGCCAGGTCGAGAATGTCCCCGTGAGAGACAGGATCTCGTACGTTCTGGGTATGCATCCCAACCTGGCTATGCCGCCAATGATTAAAAGATAGTCTTGCACAAAGCCGTAAGAAGCACCGAATCGGGCAAAGTATTGGTATGATCCAATGCTGGTATCCAATCCGTGGGACGGGCGGAACCTCAGTGCCTGTACGGCATTGTCGCGTATCACAAGTCGCCAGCGCCAGAACCCCTGGCAGATAACGCCGTCCTGCCTCATCCCGCCAAACAACAAGCCGTGGTTGAAACCCAGACACACAAAATTCGGTCCGAACCTAGGTTTCGGGTCTTTGCCGAAAATCCGGAGCGCGCGCCAGCCTTTGTTGGGCTCCCACAACAGCACGTCGATAGCAACTTTGGAAGGGCTTACCTTGCCACCAAAGCAGATGGCACCGAACACATTGTCGGGCAAGGTGACAGGCGCTATTCGGTGTCGATATCGTCCTTCTGGTAGATCATGGATACGATACCATGTATTTCCTTTTTGGAGCCAACAGTCCTTCAGAGGTTGAGTTGGCGAGAGGCGGCCACCGACCAGAATGTTGTCTCCATTGTTCAGAGCGGTGATGACATGACAACATCGTGCACCGACTTCAGGCGGCAAAACTATGGGTGTCTCGTCGTTCAGATGGCGTGGTCGACAGACAGCACTTGTAGAAAGGCACGACTTTGATCCAGCACCGCCAAAGATGGCAACAGCGTCCTGGTCGGGTATGGGATAGGCTGATCCGTGGTGACGTTGACAGAGATCGCCCGGATCGTTGTAGTATCGAAAAGCGAAATGTTCAGAGTCGGGATTGCATGGTGACGAAGTCCTCGCCGAGATATCGGAAGCTTCGCTGGAAACCGAGTCGGCACGAGACTTGATCATTTTCCCTGGAAGGACAGGATGAATGCCATTCTGTGCGACAACCAGGCAATAGTGACTTGCCCAGAGGGCAAATTCTTCCCAGTCGTCGAAAGGCTCAACGTGATCCAGCTCCATACGCTGGGAAGGAGACAGAAAGCGAGCATCGGCCCAAAGCTCCCATAGTGACTGGTAATCAATCTGGGTGAAGCCTGCATTGCTAAAGCGCTGAATTTGAGAGCGATCATCTGGATATTCGAAGATGGATTTCAAGGGCGTGCCGAGGGCGGCATAGTGATCGGTCATTTTCCTTGTAAAAGGGTTGTCTGGTTGATCGGGGCTACAAGGCTCCAGGAGACAAAATGTGACGTCTAACCATCATGGGCTGTCAGAACAGTGATGCAAACACCAATTTCGCAAAAGACCGGAGTATCGACTCACCTTTCGAGAGCCTTGAACACCAAGAGATGAGAGTATCGGCAGCGCCCACAGGCATGAACGAGGTAGAATCCTCGGCTATGCAAAGGACTGAGCTTCCCTCCACACTGACCACGGACCTGAGCAGTCTTTCCAACCTCTGAAGGTTGCGCAAATCGCACCCGATTGCGGCATATTCTTCGCTGTCAATCAACACCGAAGGGTCGCTGCCGACGCAAGTTGACCGGGTGATTGACCGGGTGAAATGCAACAAGTCCCTCATCTCTGGTGTGCTCGTGACGATGTCTCTCTTCGTCTCCATCACCAAGTCATAGTCGACATCGACGAATTTGACATCGGAACAAATCTTGTTCTTCTGCAACAGCCAACCGAACGGCAAAGGATCACTGTATTAGAAGGCGCCGCTCTTAGCGATCAGCATTTGCCGGTAAGGAACCTTGACTCACTATCCGGCACCGAGATTGAGGATGACTTTCTTCTGACCCGACGGCCTCTCGAGGAACTGCTGGATCACCCATTTGATTGCGCGCATTCGAAGCCAATACCCCCGATGAACCGCGGGTGAGGCGCGTCTCACCTTTTTTGCGAAGAATTTGTGGAAATGCGGTTTCGAGAGATAAAGCCGCTCAGCGCTGGCTTTGAATGATATGGCAGCATTGTTGGTCTTTGCGCACCGCTCAGTACTTTGATGTCTTTGATAACCTGTTAGATGATGTGTTCCACGTACGGCCATAATGAGCCCAGCATTCCGTTCAAAAGGCAATATATCCTCGTAACCGCCGACGCCGTTACTTTCAGATAACAGCATTGTGCCGAGAGGGGGTTAAATCTAGGCGCAAAGAGGCCCATCAAGGCCCGAAAAGAACAAATGAGCCGCCTTCAGATGCGGCCCCCTGCACAAAACGCCCTTGACGAAGGCCAACAAGAAGGGAAGCAACGGCTACAGGAATTCTCACCATAAGATGGAATAGAGCAGTAACGTCGTTGACATGTTGTTTCGTGGGACGAAGATGAAGATGAAGGAGACGAAGATGACTAACTCACTGGCCACGCCACTGAATAAGCTTTTGGATGATATCGGGCCAGTGTATCCAGAATCCATCCGATATTGACGATATAAATACACTGTACGCCACCAATCGTGCCGTCTCACGCTATGCAAAGTGTAACCCCAGCCTCGTATTGATGCAGGGTGTCGTGCGCCGCGCCAGTAAATATCCCCAGCCAGTATTTCAGAACTCGGCGACCACTTCGTATCTTTGCCCGCTGGTGGTAATGCTCCATACACCAAATTGCCCCAGTGCCTGCGTGCAGCATCTTTCCGCTTCGGCTTCGACTTCGGTTTCGCTGAGGCACCGCCTTGCAGTGGTTCAGAGAAGTTCTTCCCAGCCTTTGCACTTGGCTTGCAGACCGCATGTGCCAATGGCCTTACCAGCTTTTGCGCGACCGGTGCAGTCACGCTTCCAGCCGGATCCTGCAACAATCCAATTGACTTCCCCGCGCCTCGTGCGTTTGACCTGAGTATGGCACCCTATAGCTCTCTAGCCGTTTCTCTTCAGCTCGCGGAGATCTTCTCGCGATAGCGCCCTGCAGGTGTTGAGCGACTCCCAGATTTTGACTGCATCGGACAAGTAAAGCAAGCACAGCGCGCATTTGATCGGCCGGGAACACCGAGTTCTTGACGCTCAAGAGCAGAAAGTTTCCGCCGCGCCTTACAATCCAGTTGTCACAAGGATCGACCTCCATCGTGCAGCTGGCACCCAAGAGTCTGGGCGGACTGACAAACACTCTCGCGTGCCCCGTCGGCACACCAGCGAAATCAACGAAGTAAACGACCTCGTCCAGAACAAGTCGCTCATTCACTGCCAAATCCAATTCGATTCTCCCTAAGCCAAACTCGTTGCCGATACCGGATCGAATTGCTCGAATTCTGGACATGCCCGAAAAGTCTGGTAGAGATCCGTGGAAGTGCAAAAGTGGTTCGTACGGTGGTTCGTGATGACATGATCGGTATGAAATATGCCTTCAGGTATGGTACCAGCTACTAAACTAAAAGAGAAGCGTACGAATTGATCGTGGACCCTCGAAAAATTAATAACATTCATAATCCGTGAAGCTTGGTAATCTCATGTCAGAGGGAGAGATTAGGAAATGTTCCAGTGACGCAGAAGATCTGAGGTGAAATCAATACCTATCCGAAGGCTAGCCTGTCATTGCTCAGGTTCCTTTTCATTTTGGAACTCTGAAGAGCGATGATTCTCTCCTTGCGGGGCTGAGAAGTTGCCTTTATCCCTGGCCACGGGCGCAATCATCACCATCATATTGATTTCCACTAGAACTGTGATGATTGGGGGAAATGACCATAGCGGTTATAAGCCGGTCATCTTTTCATCGCCATGTCTGGGCAGGAATAGTGACACCACCCCCTCAGGATCTAGTCCCAAGCTAGGTAGAAAACTCTCGTGAATGTTTCGTGTGTGATTGAGGAATGATTTCGAAGGAGAGTCTGGCCAAAAAGACACGGTGCTTGTATCTGAGGCTTGCAGCAAGGGCGTAGTTGGGCGCCCGAGTGCTTCGTGTAATCTTGAGATCACTCCCGTCATGAGATAGCGTCCAACATCTCGATCTTGCTAATCAGAGAACAACGCACATCCAGAAGCTTTGGCATTGGCGGCAATCTGCTTCCAGGCTACCAGGCCTTGGATGATATCGTGAGTCCTATAATCCACGAAGTTCAACTGCGGGACTTCGCTCGCCGTCAATCTGAGGCTCGACTGTCGCTCGAATTCGTGCAGGAAAGCCCGCTTCACAGTTTCCAGAGGGAATGCGACTAGCGAGCGTCCGATATAACCTAAACTGGACTCTGAAAAGTACGGCAAAGACCGCAGGAGAAGCTTTGCGGTCTCGAGTAGTTCTGAGCGTGAGAGCATTATCTTTTCATGAGGACTGTTAAGCTGGGCGTCAATCGTGCCGCACCTGTCCTCGTATGGCTCGACTTTGGTTGCGGACGGTTGGGTCAACGTCATATACTCGAGCACGGAAATGTAAGTTTCGAGGGCGTATACTTTGAATGAAAGGTAAAACGTCCAGGCTGCGACTACATCAAGGCTCGGGGGTTCGAGATCGCCGTGCCCAGAAATGTACGACGTCGACTTCATGACTGAATGAGCGTCATTTCTGAGAAAGTCTTCAGACCACGTTTCCAACCCAGTCTTCACATCTGACAGCGTCTCTAATGACTCGCTGATCCATCCACGTTCTTGGTCGCTGGTTAAAGCGCGGGACTTCAACTCGTCCAAGTAGACCATGATCGGAGGGACATGGCGGGCAAGGTGAACCAATTTACTGAATGGGCTCATATGGCAATTTCCCAGATCTGGTTTGCTGGGACCTTTGACTTCTCTGCATAGGGATGTTCCGACAAGCACCGATTGTTGGCGATTGATGAGGCAAAATACAGTTTCGAACAGTCGATATTCTTCCACCAAATCGTACATCTCTTCCGGTATTGATTGTGACTGAAGAAAGCGATGGACCAACAAGGAACCAAGGCCACGGACATGGCGAAGCATATCAGGCATCGACTTGCTGACATTCATCTCGAACATTGCGGTGGCGTGGCATGATAGGATCAATGCCAGGCAGTCGTTGGAGCAGCGGTTGTAATCATTCATTAGGAGTTGCAGTTGCCGACTGACCGCCGCAAGTGTCGTCTGGTAGGTGCGCAGCGCAACCCGAAGGATGTCCTCGCGCTGATGATCGGCTCCAAGCAAGGCAAGCCCTAGCGCATGAAGCATGCCCATCACGAGAGGATTCTCCTTGACAGCAGCCAGCTCATAACCTTTCACCACCCAAGGAACGCATGGGGTTGTCAACCGCTGCCCTGGAGGTCCTGGACACGGTAAAGTCACACGGTCTGGCAAAAGCCTTGATCGAAACAAGGCCAGAAGGGCGAGCGTGTATTGTTTTGCAGGTCTTGGATGGTTCGGTAGAGTGCACTCGAACTCTGGATACCTCTCATGGCGTGGTGTCACAGAGCCCTCCAGTTGACTCTGGTCGCGGCTGTCCGTTGACTTCTTCGACTGCCACTTTGTTTCCTGAACCCAGCGGAATCTCGGCTGGCATGGCGTACCGAGGGATTCAAGCTGCTTCTTCAATTTCTGGCGCTGTCTGTGTGCCTGGACATTTAACCTGACCTTCTCCCGTCGAATGGCCAGTCTGTCGCCCTCGGTGCACTGGATCGGTGGCCTTCCTCTCCGCATGACTGTCTCTGGAATGGATGGATCCGAATTGAAATGCTGTGGTGGTATTGTCGAACAACTCATGAGCCGAATCCTTCCGCCTCTTGTGCTTTTGATTTGTGCTGGTTCATCTGACAGGCTGATATGTCATCATTGTGTCACCGGGGGCGTGTCCTGCGACGTCTGCGTATCGTGCGGTTCTCGGTGTTCAGCCTGAAAGAGAGCCTGGGGTTCTCGGTGCATGTCAGAGCCATTGAATTCTGGAGACATGGTTGAATTGAATGGTTGGTGGTGGTTACGATTGGACGCCCGAAGCACAACCCGCATGGTTCTGGCCCGTCGATGCTGACTGCTGCCGAATCACCAAGATCAGGCGCTCTAGAATGTCAGCCGCATCGCCACACTCATCTGAATTTCAGGCTGCCATGTGCTAAAGGCGCAAGGATAGAACAAGGAAGGGATGGAGAAATTGCGACGGGGGATGGGCCTCGGTCCTTGTGGTCAGAATGTAGCCAGGGGCCCAGGCACGCAGGTCCGTGTCCACGTTTGATCACGACAAAACCGCTATTCACTTGTACTCCGCCCTCCATATACATAACGGTTCAGTCCACATTAAGTCCCGAGTATTTGTTATTCGGCATGCCCATGTCCGCTACGACTCCTTCAGCCTCGCCAGGGTAGCCTTCCCAGCCCTTGAATCATTGGGTCTGCCAAGCTGTGCGGTGATCCATTGCCCTATCTCCGCCATCTTGACCATGTCAACACCAGTCTCACAGCCCAAGCTATGCAGCAGGTGCAGCAGATCCTCGGTCGCAACATTGCCTGTTGCGCCCTTGCTGTAGGGGCAACCGCCCAATCCCCCAACGGAGCTGTCAAATACCCTAACGCCATGTTCTAGGCCAACAACAGTATTCACGAGCGCCATGCCATAGGTATCGTGGAAATGGAGTGCGAGGTCCTCATCCAGAATCCCAGCTTCCTTCAAGGTCTGAAGGAGCTTCGCTGTCCGAGGCGCTGTCCCCATCCCGGTGGTATCAGCGACAGAGACTTCGTCGCAGCCCATCTCCAACAGCGTTGCCGTGATTTCCGCCACCTTATGGGGGTTGACATCCGGCCCTTCATACGGACATCCTAATGCCACGGACACGTAACCGCGTACCCGGATATTATGCTGCTTTGCAAGCTCCAGTATTGGCTTGGACCGCTCCAGGCTCTCTGCAATGCTGCAGTTTGTGTTTTTCTGTGAGAACGTCTCTGTTGCTGCTGCAAACAACGAAATTTCCGTCGAGTTCGCCGATTGAACTTCAACCTGGGAGGAGGGGGTTGTCTCACTTTGACCTTGAGCTTGTTCGGGGCGCGGAGATGGCGGTGGGGTAGGATAGCTCGAGGGATTTCGTGCGCTCTTTGCTCGGAATATCTTCAGTAGATTCTCAAGCCCGCGAATGTTGGGCACGAGGTAGTTGTATGCGATGCCGTGCGGTGCAGGAGGTGGATGCGTCAGTATTGACTCTAGTATCTCTGCTGTTGACGCCATCTATCAGATATTATGTCAATTGTTCTGTCCCTGAACTTCCCTGTTACAGATGGTGACACACCTGCGGGACCCATTTCGCAGGCACAAAGGAGCCTGCCTCCATGTGCGTGACGCCGGTCTGCGCCAGCCGCCGAATAAGCTCGAGCTTTGTCTCCAGAGAGATTGAGCTTTTCTCATTCTGCAGGCCGTCTCTGGGCCCAACTTCAACTATTCTCACGTGGTCGGCAAGGCATTGTCTTGAGGTGCTGAAGCTGCGGAACAAGGCCCTTGAACGAGAGCGTGGGAGGCCGCTGATGAGTCTCTTCATCGTGAGGGACAGCGCGAGAGAATCGCGACGTTTGCTGGCAATGTGCGCTCCAGGGTTTAAACAGAGTGTACTTATGTGCTCGAGGAGACCGAAAGCAGAGATATTATTGAACAAGTGTCGAGCAAGTCGAGTTTGTGGAGTGGTGGCAGGCAAGGAGGTGAGTGTGGAGAACTGGTGGCAGCCTCCTCACGGCTAAATACGGCAAAGTGCGGGGAAGCCTTGCCGAGGACAAGGCTGAGGAGAGCGATATCGGAACCAAGTTTTGAGTCGGGATTCTCGCCACATACCTGGCATCTTCCGTACACTGAACCATATCGTTTACATGTAGGTACCTATCGAGCTATCAAGCTTTCAGCTTGAACTGGCCCTTCTCCGACGCATCGAGCCCACGGACAGCCATCACACAAATGCTCGACAGCATCAACAGCCCAAAATCATACCAAATGAGGGTGATAAATGCTTGCGGATGTTTGTCGTCTGCGACCAAGGCACCACCTACTGGCGAGCCCCAGAAGGCGCCTAACCCGCGGATGAAGTAGATGAAACCATTAACCGAGGCGTATGCCTGAGCGCCGAAAACTTCGATCACCGTGGTTGGGAAAAGCGAGTTGTAGCCTAACGACATCTTATGAGAGCGGTTTTCATGCTTTGTTGTTGGTGGAAACGTACCTCCAGCAAAAAGGCCATAGGTCACCACAAAGGTGATCCACAACCCCATGTCATCCCCATAGGCACTGGAGAGCCAGAATGCCACAACAGTTATAGCACTGCCAAGGACACTAAGAACCAGGGTGTTTTGTCTGCCTGCAATGTCGGCGATGAAGCCCATCGCTATCCGACTTATGGTGTTTACTGCATTGTTGATAGAAAGAAGGGCAGCGCCACTAACACAAACAGCCCGTAAGATTTTGTCAGTTTAACCGTGATGATACTTACAAGGCAGCTGTATACCCCAACCTCGTACTGAACTCGGGGAGAAAGGTCAACGGGACCAGATTCCCTGCCGCTTGAGCCATCGCAGCTGTCGCCTGTAGAATGAAGGTCGGCCTTTTCGCAAGCCTAATATCCACCAAAGTCGGTCGCTTGACGAGACTCCGCGAAGGGGGCGTTCCCAACACAATGGGAATGCACAATGCAAAATTGACAAGACCAAAGATGCGTAAAGTCCAGGCAGCACCCATCTGCGCCAGTAAGGCGCGAGCTGCTGGTGCGTAGATGAGGCCCCCTACTCCGGCTGCTGACAAGATAAAGCCCATCGCGGAGCCGCGATGAGCGTCAAAGTACTCTGGCGCTACGGCGAGGACTGGGAAGTACATCAAAGAAGTGCCGATGCCATAGATCAAGCCCTGTGTAAGAAGGAGCTGCCATACCTAGACAAGAGTACAAGTTAGGATCAGGATAGTTGGGCGATAGATGCAAAAGTGTCCCGGACCTTGTGGCAGAAGCTCGCCAGCACATAACCAATTCCAATCAGCACTGCCCCTGAACCAGTAAGCCACCTCGGATCCTTCACTCTCGCCATGAGCGGGTTGACCACGATACTGCCACCCCAGGTCAGGCCAGCAGCCAGAGTGCCCACAAACGCCAGCATTGCTTTACTTGAAACCTCACCTGGCGGAAGGAATGGATCCTTCGAACTGCTTCCTTCGGCGAGATAATAGTTGAGAAAGACCCCGTAGGCCTGGTTTAGGCCGATGGTGATGAAGACATCGAAGAAAGCACAGAAGAGGATAACTGTCTGTCGCTTTCGAGAGACTGGTCGCATAGCAGGTTGAGCATTGGCCGGCACCACCATGCGTTCATAGCCAGACTCATCGTCCGCTGCGTGTAATTGAATAGACTCTCGTGGTTCAATCCTAATGGATATGGTTGCGGAAGTACTGGCGGTTGTTCCAGCCATGATGTATCATTTGCCCGCGATATGGCCTGCAAGGAGATTAATTAAGTGTAGGAGAGGGACACAGGAAGCCATGGGCTGAGAAGATGCGGAGAACGAAGGGGGCGCTTGCTCGTTTACCAATTTCCAATGTAACTACAAGGAGAAAGTCGGAAGTCAACCGTAGATCCCTGTTCTAAACCGCAAAGCCGCGAAGATCCCGATGTGTCCTGCCCAGATGGGAACATCACCGCTTGTTTAATACTGTTCATATTACTCGGTACTCGTGTTCGTATTCGGAAAACCATGTTTCTTTTAAACCCATGGTCTTCTATGTAGGCATAAGTGCCCTCGCAGAGCATACCTAACAGCCCCGACCTATTTGAATTGTTGCATGATTGGGCACATCCTCATCCAACCCTGCTTCCCTTTGTTCGACCTTGGCTTTGTCCCACTGGCTTCTCCTTCAAGTCCGTGCTGGCTGTCGCACTCACCTGGTGCGCTTTTTTGCACTCGCTTCACGCTGTTGACGTTGTTCGAATCTTCTTCGTAGCCGGCTGCTTCGAGGCCTGGTCTGTCCCAGCCGATTCGTCCCTTTCCTCATGACGCCGCTTTCGACATGCTTGTTCTTTTTGTACGCGTCCCTCCCCCCCTCCCTCCCTCATCTCGCTGCTTCTTCTCAACGTCCTTGTCTGGCTTCACACTGCCTGCAATTCTTTCCCATCGTGCCTTTAATCTACGGCGGGAAACCTTCTCTCCGTAATCTCTGTAGGTTCTCTTGACGGTCTGCGACAGCAGGTCGTCAATCTCCTCCAGCGCTTCCGTCCTCGCGTTGATCAATCTGTTCTTCTTCTTCTTTCTATCCGAGGTGATCTTGTATTTCATGTCCCCTGGCCATCTTTCGAGCCAACCGGGCGGGAACTGAGCAGCAGGCCAGTTGGAGAGGACAGAGAGGTGGGAACGAAAAGCCAGACTTACTTCGAGTTCTCCAGTGACGGCAAAATGTTCCTTCAACTTGACAAATCGGACTATCAAGTTGCCCCTGTCAATCGTTCTCCAGCCAACCGTGCCCAGTCCTTATGGAGAGTCTCATGCGCCACACCCTGGAGCTTCCAGTCCCAGAGCATTTTATTGCATTCGTCCGCGTTGGCATATATGTCTGGAGGCGGTTTGCTCGAATATTTCTCGGGCCCTATTGTAGGTGGAGGGTTACTGCGGCGTTCAAGCAGGTCTTCCATGTACTTCGCGAAACCGGGTTCACCCAAGCTGTATCCGTCTATCTTCTGCTTTTTCGTCGTCTTTCTTCTTTCTTTGATCGTGCCGGTTTTCGTTGTGGCTTTCATTTCCTCTTGTGCCTCTCCCTTCTGTGAAGCGTGAGGTGGTCGACTAGGGGGACTACGACGTTCGATGGCTGATTCAACAAGAGCGAAGAGTTCTGGGGCTGGACTATTTTCCTCAGTGCGGATTCGTGGTGGAGGGGCGGGTGTCATCAAGGGCAAGTTATAAAGAGAAGAGTTGACGCCACGGGCACGACTAGTTGGTCTGTTTGATGACGAGGGTCGAAAGCCCTTAGCAGCAACTGCAGTCCCAGTGTTGCTGGCGATATCGGTTTTGATAACTGTTGGTCTTTTGCAGCCAGGCATGGCTCCGGATGAAGAGAAAAGCCTCTTCATGGAGGGAGGTGGAGGTGGAGGCTGATCTCCTGGATGACCTGAGCTCGCCATCGTACCTAGTCGTAAGCTAGAAGCTTCGAACAGGCTGCGAAATGATATGTATAGGTCGCGACGGAATGTTGAAGTAGCAGAAGAAAGGAAGGGTGGGTAGGGCATTTATAGAAATGGCCAAAGATCGACCGCGTGATCTCGACCGTGTGATCAATGTTCACGCATATGCAAATGTGTCACTCACAATCGCGGCACGCCGGCGAAGCGGAAGCCGTGAAGTGGAAAGTCGCGGCGTGCAAAGCCGAGGAACATACAATCCGGAGTAGACAGGGAAGTAGACAGTGATGAAGTGAATAGTGGTGAAGGGAAAAGCTGGGGAAATTCCGGGGTAGATCGTGAAGTGAATAGTCGTGAAGTAGATAGCTGTAAAGTGAGAAGCTTGAGCTCTGGGCTGACGCCAGTCCAAACGGTACTAACCTGCCGCTGCATCATTAAAGGACGCCACTCACAAGAGTTTTGCATGGTGTACGTGTGCACATGGCATGCAGCCAGATTTCAACAGGGATATTTGGCGGTGACAGCGGGGTGTGTCCCTGTGCCATTTCCAGAAGCTATCAAGGTAGAGGGTAGTATCATAGTAAAGGTAGATATTGGGGCAGGCCTGCGACCATCTCCCCAGGCACCATGTCCGCGTGCTATTCGGGAGGATAGGGCTCTCAGATAACAAGTCTTCGCAGCAGCATGGGACGTGGTTGGCTCTATGCTCTAGCTTGACATCTGAGAGGTTTCATCCGATCGTGGTCTACCAAGGCTGAGCTGGATGCATCCACAGGACACGCATCTTGACTCATAGTGTGTGGTATTTCTCTTGCTCCTTTGCTAGATCAAGGCAGCCTGAGCCCCGCCTTTTCCAAGCCTCATCCTTTGTCGGTCCCCATGTTGCTAGTCAAGGCTAACAGGTTGGGCTGAAGGGCATCGGCGGGACATAAGGACCTTTTGTCGAGAGAGCAAAACAGGAAGGGGGTGACTGTGCATGTGCCAATATGAGCTGTGTTCGCTGGTGGTTTGTATCATTTGGCGATTGCTGTGGACAGTTCGACACTTGGTCTGACTCTGTAGCAGCTGGTCTCATCGCAGTTCTCGTCGCAGGTCAATGGGAGTCGTCCAATGCCAAGATAATAAAAGCGGCGTCGTCAGTCTGGCCAATCAGCGTAGTGGGGCATTGCTGGCGCTTTTGACCAGTCATTTGCTCTACCTTGTATTAGTCCATGTTTTCCAGGTTGCTTCGCCCACTCCGTGCCTCGAAGTGCTCAACCAACTACGCCTTGCTTCTGCCAGAGAAGATATTCAGCCTCACTACATTTTCTCCTCCCAATCGTAGATAATGCATTCCGTTCTCTGCTCTGGCTGCCCATCCTCTTTGGCTTTTCCCAAGCTCTCCCAATAGCAAAATTACCATCCTCAGACGGTTTGCGCCGGCCCCTAGATCGGGGGAAAAGGAGGACGAAATTGCAAACTGCACAGCCACATCCTAATGGCAGCTCTCACTCTTCGTGCGCAATTCAAGAAAAACCGGTGACTGTCTCCTCGATCTGACTTTACGTGGGAGTCACCACTGTGGCCCCCGTCAGCAAACCAGATCGCACTTGATCATGCCATTAATCGCAAGTTTTGGTGGCGATAGAGAGTATCTTCATCTTTCGAGACTTGTGCGGCAACCCAGATGACGGCCGAATTTCAGCCGATGTGTTCTCTCCAAGAGACCATCCGTACCGGGAAGTTTTATTCCTTGGACGAAACTACATTTCTGCACCAAATCAAAGACGCTTTCTCCCCAGAACTTGAACGACTGAAGTGCGTGAGAGCCGTCGAGGGCACGGAACAGCAACGCGCCACCGCAAACGGAACGGTCGATGGTTTGAGCCCCTCGCAAATACTATATGGGGGCAACTATGACGAAGTCAACCGAACGCTCGTGGGTGTCCTTGCCCTTCGATGGATTCACAATCGTGACTATGAGCGCTTCACTGGGCCTCAACCTCCCGAATCGCGCTTAACAGAGGAATCGTTTGAGTGGCTGCGTGACCTCTTTGAAAGAGGGCTTGAGGACTCGGACGACCTTTTTGCCCTGGTGGTGTCGATGGTCATTAATGACCTGGGAAAAGACACCAACCTGGAAGAAGACTATTACTTCCAAACTCACCTTCGCTTAGAGGATCAGAATCATGATTCCGTACTGCTGGCAGCAGCTAAAGTTGGAATGATCCCCGCTCTACACTATCTCACCCTGGAGAAAAGACAGGAAGTAATGCTGGGCCTGGAACTCGGATCGGAGCTGAATGCAGGGCAACTAGCCCAAGCCGAAAGTGTGCCTGTGAATCTGGAAGGACTTCTAGCCATGCGAGGCCATGAACACGCATTCGAACTCAAATTCATGGAGCAAATCCTCGACGTCGCAGGTGCGCTAGGTCATCTCGACCCTCGTGGCTCCAAGAACTTTATCGAACCCGTCTTTCAAGCCTTCAAAACTGTGCACGAGGTCTCTCTCGATATAATCGCTGGAAAATCCAACCCTCGGCAGGGGTACGATAAGGTTCTCACAAAACGCGGAAATATGCTTTACATCAAGGGATTTCGCAGACTCAGCGTTAGCGATCGAGAAGACCGGGCACTTCTCCGGTTGTTGACCATGGGCCGGACTACAGACAAAGAACAAGCAGAACTATTCTCTAAAGCGTTCAACGCCCTAGATAAGCGGAACAAGGAACAACTTGTGGCAGGACTTAATGTCGACGGCAATGTGAATGAGACAGCAGTCTTGCCGTACTATATGCCCGCTATCATATCCACCACTTTAGAAAACACCAAAGATTGCAACGAGGAAACCAAGCGCCGAGCACTTACATCCCTCATGAGATATCTCGCCAAGGTCTTGGGCAGCCCGGGGAATAACCTGACCGGTGTCCGCGAGTATGCGGTATATGACGGCGAAGTGCCTGGAATCATCATCGAGAGGAATATGTCAAAGGCGCAGGATGTCATTAACAGCCCAGACTTCAAGACTAATCCGGATCTGCTAGATGCGTTGGACATACCAGATGGGCAGATTCTGCAGCGGCGGAGGACCAGTCAGTCTTGGTGAGAGAGGGCCAGCAGCGAGCAGCCACGATGGGTTTACAGCCCTCGACGCATTTGGTCTATCTGCCTTCCCCAAGGCCTAGTGGAAATAGACCTAAGGGGCCACATTCAGAGGCCCTGAGAAAGTCTCGCAAGGCTGATCGCGAGAGCTTGCCAGGCATGGCAGCAAAAGATTCAACTGGACCGTCGGTTCAAATGCTAGTACCAGGCAATGTTTCAGACGATCCCGCCTTTATGTCTGGAACGTCTCCAGAATTCTTGCCTGCCCCAAACTATCATCGACACATTTTCCTGGTCGTGTCCACATTGTCCTTATACAGACATGCATGCAAGTATAAAGGACCATGTCCTTTGCCATGCACCTGGTTGCTACTTCCTTCATCTCTCGAAGTTGCACATCTCGTTCGCAACCCATTCTGTCAGTCTTACATTTTGACAGAAAAGACAGCATTTCCAAGGACCCCTGGGCTGCATTACGTCCCCAGGACCGGCTCTGTTTGCACGATTAACTGGCTTCTACTCCGAAAATTAGCTCGACATTCAAACATCAACAGTTCTCTGGCCACAGCCCTCGCCTTTCAGGGTTTTCTACACAATCGTCGTTCACTCTCGCCCAAGTCTCCCAACTCCAGAGACATGTCGCCCCTCAGCCACAGATCCCCCTATGTCATTTCATCAGACTACTCTCTCCCATCAAATGACAACTCAGGTCCACACTACCTCGTTGTCCCTGTTCAACAGAACACGCCTCGTAGGGCGTCTAGTTTTCCCCCTCCGAGCCAGACGCCTACAAATCTCAATCTTCATCTCAACTCGCGCAATGTCCCGGGATACAAGTACCTCGAGTCCAGCAGTCTCCTGCACAACGACCCTTCTCAGGCCCAGATCGGTCTCGAAAGCCACCAGAGTCCTACCATCGCCTCCTTTTCTAACCTTCCTGGGCAGCAACTTGCTCTGACGACCAGCAGGCCATGGATATACGGCAAGGACTACGCCGACCAGCACGACGAGCTCACCCTACTTAAACCATGGGACTCCATCTTTGCGATAATCTTTTTATTATTGTTCCTCGCTGGGGGGATCTGTCTAGCGCTTTGCCGTCACGAGACCATATACTCCTCCCCCGATCCCTCCTACTCCTCCACCTCCGCGCAGGCTTCCTCCTCGTCTGCTCCCACTGTCTCTTCTACCACCTTTACCTCCGATGGCGATCATCCAGACGGAAGAGATAGCGCAACAATTCCGGGAGGGAGGGGGATCAACAAGGCGTCGCCGTATCCATATCTCTCGGCAGCGCATAAGTGGTTGTGGGATGAAAGGAGCCCCCCACTTCAAACGAGGCGTGAGAGGCTGAGCCTGGAACTGGAATCGGAATCGAGTCATCAAAGAATAAAAAAGGGCGAGAGGATGGACTACGATACGATCTCGACCGCTTCCTCGGTGGAGGAGCTTTCGGATGAGCTTTTTTAATCCATCAAGCCCTGCTCCCGTCGATCTATCTATCAGACGGCCATGTAATTGACTGGGCAAGTGAGTCCAACCGGACAAGGACAGAACCTCCGAGGCTGATATAGGTGTAATTTTCTGAGATGCAGGGGGGAGATGTTGGGGATTGTGGTACCCGTGTTCTACGGTGATATGCTACTATGATATAAAAATGCATACATGGCCCTCGATAGAAGCACGCGTTGTTGGACGTATCGATTGGACGGAATGTGCGGAGAAGAGCTGGCGGCGAACCTCGTCTCTTGAATCGCATCTTGACGTCTACCACTTTCTTCTCATCTTCCTTCCTTCCTTCCTTTCTTTCCTTGCTGTTGTTATAGATCTTGTCTTCTTCTTCTTCTTCTTCCTTTTTCATCACATGCAAAATGAGCAGTTCCAGCTCTCAGCTCTGGACATGTGCGCGCTGTCTCCGGGCCCAGATGCCGCGGGGTCCCTCGCTCGAATACAGTGCCCGCCCGATCCCTCGCCGGCGCCGCAGCCACCCTTTCAGCACTGCCGCAACCCGACCGGACGGTGCGCCTGCAGATCAACAGTCCGAGAGCTCGCACGCTACGAAATGCGCCGCCGATCAGGATGCTGAACAGCATCAGGGGGCCATGTCCCGCAGACTGGCTGAGATGGCGGAGGAGACGATCGACACGGGCAGCAAGAGTGATCGCAGGCTGATGCAAGATGCCGGCTTTTCAGAAGAGTTGAAGCAGCAATTGGAAGGAAGGATTGCGCAGACGAGCTTTGCGGCGCAGAATCAACGGGCCGCGAGCCAAGTCAACATGCCTGTGCGAACCCCCTCCATAAGTTTCCGCCCTGTCGTGGCAATAGCAGCAGCAGCAGCAGCAGCAGAACAATCGGACTAATAGATATGTGCACTTGACAGAACGCCGCAGGCAAGGGCACGCGCGACATCGCGGGCGCAGAGCCCTGGAGAGGCACCGAAGCGCTCCAGGACTCGGTGCTACGCATGCTGGACGACAGCCACAGGAAACTACGCCCTCCCTCCCGGGCGCCGTCGATCCCTCCAAAAGCCAACCTGCGTCCTGCACCCAAGAAGAATATCTCGGCGGCTGACCGGCTTGCCAGCGCACGGGACAAGACCTCGATCTACGCAATCAGCCAGCAAAGTGACATGACGGACCAAGAGCGCGAGAAATGGCGCAAGGAGCTCAAAGACCGCTTCTCACCTGGGCCCCGGCCAATGCCTACGAGCATAACGGGACTGACGAGCCTGGCGAACGAGCGGATCGAAGACGCCATCGCCCGGGGCCAGTTCAAAAACATCAGCCGTGGCAAGGGCATCAACGTGGAGAGGGACTACAACGCCAACTCACCCTTTTTAGACACGACCGAATACTTTATGAACAAGATCATCCAGAAGCAGGAGATCGTCCCGCCTTGGATCGAGAAGCAGCAGGAGCTGGTCAAGGCCGTGGCGACGTTCCGGAGCCGCTTGCGCAACGACTGGCGCAGGCACGCCGCGAGGGTGATTTCCAGTCGGGGTGGGACCGTGGACGACCAGGTGCGAACGGCCAAGGGATATGCGCTGGCAGAGGAGAGAGTGAATCCTCGGCCGGCCAGGAGGGTGGAGAATCTGAGCAGCATTGCGAGCGATGGCAGTTTGATGACGGTGAGTGTCGAGGAAAGGATCGCCGCTGGAGTGGCCGCTGAGCCCGCCGAGCCAACGCAGCTGCAAGAGGAGGTCGAGATCAAAGTCACCGAGCAACCCGCCGAGAGTGCTCCGGTCTCGGGCTCCTCGACCACGGATGCTCCTCCGTCAGCTCCTACGAGTACAAATGCCACATCATCTACACCCCCATCGTCGTCCCCACCCTCATCACCATCCACCTCACCCGTCCTCCCAATGCCCCACCCCTTCCGCGACGAAGCATGGGAAAAAGCCGAACTGGCATACCACACCCTGGCGATCGCGAACCTGAACGCCCTGACCCGCTCATACAACCTGATGGCGCCCAAGATAGCGCAGAAGCCGTACTACACGCTCGAGCGCGAGCTGAGGCGGTGCTTCGCGGACGTGGCGCCGCAGCTGGCAGACGAGATCCGCGAGCGCAGCACGCGCCCAGTCAAGATCCGCGTCCAGATCTCCCGCCCACGCAACACGGACGGCAGTGGCGGGGGCGTGTTGGAGAGGCTCGGCGCGGACGAGTGGACGGGCCACGAGGGCACGATCCGCGACGAGAGCGGGGAGAAGAGTTACGGCTTTAAGCAGTTTTGGAGGGATTTGTTTGGCGGTGGTGGAGGACAGAAGAACACCACGAGGGAGAGGGAGAGGGAGAGGGAGAGGGAGAGGGAGAGGGAGAGGCATGTCGCGTGAGGCCCAAGGGGATAAAGGGGAGATGAGATCGACGGTGGCCACCGGTGAGGACACACATAAGATAATGCTCCGTATTTACCTAGCAAGCTAGAGACGTATAGAAATGAGCCAGTCTATCACAGGCGAAAGAGCCCCTGTCCATGATATCATCCATGCCATTGGCCTAGGCCGTGTGTTGTATACGAGGCACGCAGGGAGTAATCAATCGTTCGTCATTCTCTATGCATACATCAACTAACCACATAGCTAGGTAGCTAACCAACAGCCCTTTTAATTTGCAAGTATCTCTTGTTCGGCCGTTGCGTGCCCTGCATGGCTCCTCACTCCTCGCTAAAAGTCAAGAACAAGAATACCCAGCTTGCCAGCTCCCCCTTCAGTCCGACATCCGACATCAATTTCGAATTCAAATGGTTTATCTTTTCCATGGTATATGCTCATAGCCAAATCGTAATCGTGTTGCTTCTCATCCAGGCCTTTGGGAGAATAATGTAGGAACAGCACACGCTTAGTCGCACACAAAGCTCGTGTCATGCCCAAGCTGATGCAGGAAATCTAATTGGAGAGCCGAGAAAAACTTCTTGCAAGGGGCAATCATGCCCCCCCCCCCCAAAATCAGAACAGTGGGATATCGTCCAGTTTCAGGCCCCGCCTGCGAAGCCGAGCATGAAGAACGTCTTCATCAGCATCCAGCCAATTGTCGCCCTCGTAATCGTCCTCAAGTTCCTGTTTGATGCGCGGTGGGCGACCGGGATCGGCTTCCTCTTGTTTGACGCGACGGAAACTGTCATGTTCAATCGACGGTATCGCGACATCTGCAGCGACGAGAGATCGATGATCGTGCTGCTCGGTACGCCTTCCACTAACATACAAAGCAGTGGTAGCCATGCCTGGGTTGTAAGAAGATCCGTAGCCCAGCTGTTGGTATCGACGCTGTCCACTAGCGTCCTAAGCAGTGGCGGCGACGTCGTTGAGCTGCTTGATCCATGAGTCGGGACTCTGTCCCACCCCGTCAAGCTTCATCATCTCCTCCGTAGCGGTCCCCTGGTCTCCGTTGGCCCCGTTCTCTGGTGGCTGTCCCGCGTTGTTTTTGATAGGGGCATGGTTCTCCTTTTCTTGTACGACCTCATGTAAACGATCAGGGTGGGCATTGGGCCCCCAGATCCTCTCATCTGTCCTCCGAATCGAATTCCCACCGCTGAGCTGCGGCTCTTTTCTACGGCGGCTCAATTTTGCCAATCTCTCTTTCTCCCTTGCTTGCGCTAGAGCGATCTTTTCCTTCATCAGCTCGAGCCCACGCTGGCGATCGGCCAATTCCTCTCGCAATCTCTTGCGTTTCTCCTCGCCTGTCCGCCCTAGGCGCCGGTTCATCACGCCGTCATCGATGAATTGTGTCTTCAACACCATAAAACTCACACCGTCATGGGCCGCCTGGTGTTCTGTGGAAGACTCCCCAATAAGCCCAGGCCAACTGCGACTCTTGATCCCAAAGCGAACGCTGTCAGCGTAACTTTCCAATTGAGGAAGTACAACCAGAGTGATGTGCAGATCCTTCCCCTCTGGCACGGCGGCTGGCGTTTCCGGCGCCGATAGACCTTCAATTCTGGGATTTTGCTCGTCAATCAGCCTATTCAGGAGAGTGTCTTCAATGTGGGCAGACTCAATGAATCCAGAATGCATCGCAGCTGCTACAGGATCGGAATCATCCGTGTAGATACCTGATCCCCATAGGTATTGTTCAGCGCCGATGAGATTTCTCTCTTTCCGCTGGAGCCACATACTGGATACCTTGACTGTATAAGTGCAGTTGATCTGATCCGGGTCCTTGAAGGAAGGCAGTAGATTTGGTCGGATGGAGACGTCGAACTTCTGCGGCTGCGGCCGGCTGTAGTCGGGCACACCTACCACAGGTTCGTATTTGAAGAATCCGAGATGACGGCGTGGGTTTCGTCGAGCTTGCGCTACGACCGAAGATATTCTTATAACCTTCTTGGGTTTGAAAGTAGAAGATCGTCCTACTGCCGAAGACGGTCGCTGAGTCTGTGGGTTTTGAGAAAGTTGCACAGGATTGGATGTTGGAGTGGCTGTTCGTCGAATAGGGTTTGATGTGGGAAAGGGCCCGTTCTTCCGCGGTGCCGGAGCGGTAGTGTCTTCAAGCTCCAATTTGTAGGAATGTGAGTACTTGCTTCTTTTGCCTCGCCCTGGACCCGGCTTCTTTACCTCACCCACGTCGCTCTCGGCTCTAACCTCTTCGTCCAGAGCCTTGCGATTGCGTTTGCTAATTCCCGATGTACTTCGGGACATCTTCATCAGATTCTCTTCACTCAGGCGAGCACCACCCTCGTCCCGCTTGAACGGGCTCGCGGGTAAATTCTGGGGTGCGGGAGTTAGTCCAGAAGAAGTAGAACCCAGCCCACTCCCGATACCAGCAAAAACTCGACCGTGCTCACTTTTGATACCAGCATCTGGTACTGGAGTCTGGGCTTGGGCGCCCTGCACTGCTTGAGGTACAGGTGAATATCTTCCGCGTTTTGATTCATTTGCCAAGCCGAGAATAGCTCTGTGTTGCGATAATTCTTCGCTGCCTTTGCGGACTTGTTCATCCAAAGGCCCCGATGCCACCGACCCTGCAAAGGGGGAGTAGGCTCGGTTAGTACGCAAGCGGTCGCCAAGGACCGATCGATCGCTTTGCGACTGAACCGAGTCTTGTCGCATCATGTTTGGCGCACCGTATATTGGCTCCCCTTGTTGATTTAGTATCCCTGCCAGTCGACCCTCGCCGCCGTTCACGTGAGGGCGTCTTATTTCTGGAAAGAGAGATTGGGTGGAAGGCCGTTCGTGCTGAACAGACACTGGTTGCGATGGAGGCCCCGTCGGTGGAAGACGAGATAAAGTTGACAAGCCGGGTGGCCGAGTGTCATAGGGCCCGGTCAGCCCGGTTGAACGTGGAGGATCGTGGCCGCTCATTGGTTGTCCCCCGGGGCGATCGATCGGTGGAAAGGAGGGAGGTATACTCTCTGGTCGAGCTGGTGGATGCGACGTGGGCGGGAATGGCGGCGAGATGTTGGTCGGCGGAGGCTGACTTTCCGGTCGCTGCAGAATGCCACCTAGACTAGTGCGACGGGCGCGATCGTCAAATTCATCCTTGGGCATTACTGCAGGACCAAAAGGGGGAGTATATTTTGGTTCGGGAAAAGGATTCATGTTCGGTTGGCTTGGTCCTGAGCGCGGAGGAGGTTCGTAGAATGGCCCAGGTCGCTGGGTCATGGTTCCCGAACTTGAACGATGGGGTCTTCCCCCCAGTGCTGTTCCGGCCATTCTGTCAGGTGTTTTTGATCTTGGCTTATACGAATAGTCACTCGTGCTCTGTTTAGTCGGGTATTGGGGCGGTGACATGACTGCACCCAGTGACATGGATGGTCCTGGATGTGAGAGCTGCCCCGAAAGCGGTCTGGAGGGCTGGTTATGGTTGTGATACTGATCATGAGCCGGCTTTTCTGGTTCAGAGCCCAACATGGACGAAATTGACATGCTACTTCCTGGTCTCTTGTGCGGAAGTGGCGCTCCGGTATTCGCAGCCATCGCAGCCGAGTTCGCTGGTAAAGGCGGTTGAGAAAATCGGGGAGGAGGGAAATGTTGTGGAGATGGCGGTAACATTGTGCGAGGGAGGCCGTACATTGTCGGAGGCTGCTGAGGTTCAGAGTAGCCTAGACAATCAGATCAGAAAGGGGATGTGGAAAGCAGTGAAGTGTGGTAGTGCGAAAGCATAGCATGGAGGAACAGGTCGTCGCATGATCACTCAGACCTCAGCGCACCCTCATTATTGCAGGAGAGATGGATCCATGAGAAGTGAAGGCATACCGGTGAAAGAACGCGGAGGACTCGACGGTCCGTTAAACGCGGGTGAATGGCCTGGCATTGCCATGGTGGCCGGATGGTGAAGTCGTGGTAGAGGTGAAGGATGGAGGAATGCGAGATGGTGGTGATGATCAGCAGGGAGCAGACGCTGGTGCAGCAAATAATGATGCGGAGGCTGCGCAGAATTCGAAGTGGATACTGGCGCGACTGGAGTTGGAGAGCAAGGAACAAGACGTTTAGCGATGCATGAAGATGACGCCTATTGCGGCTATGGCAAGCCCTAGCATAGCACGATGGTTTGGTTAGATGGCGGATGCGGAAAGGCAACAGTGTGGAGGATGGTGCATCATTTGCCCTGAGGGTGGATATGGAGATGGAGGATGAGAACAAGGACGAGGATGGAAGGATGAAGAGGGAGGGTGATGAGGTGGAAAGAATTGAATCATGCGAAATGTGATGGTGGTGGATGGTGGATGGTGGATGACAGATGATGGATGATGGATGGTGGACGGTGGAGGGTGGATGCGGTGTCGCCAACGAGTTTGGAGTGGATTGGGGGAGGGGGGTGGATCTATCATCTGGCGCAGGGCCTGCGCAGGGTACTCGGTACAACAACGCCTACCAGTAACTAAGAGGCTAGGGGCCAGGGTGGGAGGGGGAGCTGGAGCTGGAGCTGGAGCTGGGAAGCCCAGAACACCGCGCCGACCGCTTTCCGGGGCAAGCTTCAGGCAGGAAAGCAAGCGGCAAGCAAGCAGCAAGCAAGCAGCAAGCAAGCAGCAAGCAAGGGACCCAGCAAGGAACCAGCAGCCCTGGAAGGAGCTTAAGTACTGGGTACTCACCTAATAGGTGCCAGCAGTGGTACCTAGGAGAGCCAAGAGAGCCAACCTGGGGCCTGCTAGGGCCCTACCTACTGTAAGTAAGTACTTAGTACAAGTAGGTACCCATGCTCGACCCGCTTCCCTCCAAACAAAGAGTCGGGCTGCAAGTGCCCAGGAGCCCCTCGGACCACTCACACACAAGCCCTTTCGAGAGGTCGGCTCATGCACCCAAAACAGGGATCCAGATCAAAAAGGGCTCAGCTGCAGGCGGCAGGCGGCCTACCCTGCCTATCCAGCCCAGCCTGCCCTATCCTGGGCCCTGATGACTGCTCGAAGACGGTCATGATCGTTTGGCGTCCAAGGCTCCAAGGGGGCGTGCCGGCGTGTGGATGCGCCTCCTCGTTAGCCAGAGGCCACCTGCCCAACCCATTCAAAGTCTATCTTGCCAATGACGTCGCTTCCTCACCAAGGGTTCTGGGCCCTGGCAAGGTCGTGGCCAGGGTCCCTGTCGTTTGAGAGGAGGCGGTGGGCAATGCGGTATGCGGTTTACGGTTTGATGGCGGTACGCGGTACGCGGCGAAGGCCACATCCTCGTGTCGGAAACACAGTGTTCTGATACTTAATACAGCTGATAGATCGCTTCCTTGGGATCGCAGTCCAGTATTTGATCTTGGACATTTGTCTAAGCTGCTGGTCCTGCTGCCTCCGCCTCCGCCTCTGCTTCTGCTTCCTTCTGCCTCCTGCCTCTCCTGTTTTTGCCTTCGGTCCACCATCCACTGCTCGTGGCTGCTGCTGTGGGTTGCATGACATGTCCAGCGTCTGCACGCTGACAAAACTAGGGGCACCAGGGGGTCTGCGGGAACTTGGGGGAACGTGCACGGGATGGCACGCATTGGGTTGGACCAACCCCCACCCCCCCCCCCCCAGAGTAAATATATCTGCCCTCCTATTGGTACAGGATCGAGGCCTGGGACGCTGACAATCTCACAAAGCACAGCATTTTGCATATTCACTCATACACAACGTACCTGGTCCTGTATCATCGTCATCATTATAATCATGTCGATCACCAAATCAGCTGTTTTCTGTTGCTTGTGCCGCTTCCTCCGAACTCTCGATTGTCCGCGCTGCTGACGATGAGGGTGTGGTTGCAGTAGTCGCGTGTCGTCCAGCCTACTATGTCGTGGTGTCAGGCACGTAATGTCTCCGGTATGGAAGGGAGGTCTGCGTCCATGGTCACAGCTCGTCCGATCATACCGTCCTGTTCTCGGACCTCTGACTCTGTCTCGGTTGTCGCGCCTGAGATCCATCTCGTTGCCTTGCGCCACAAAGGCTGAAGTCTCCGATCCTGGGTCGATGGCGATCCCAGATTTGATTCGTTGCCCAGCACAGATCCCGCGATTGGTGTCTCTGCTCTTCGTCCGTCGCATGCTAAGCTAAGCTGCACTCTCCATGCCACACCGGCGTTATCGATGTTCCTTTCTTCTTGTACTCGTGCTTCTTGGCCAATGCCCTGGTTCAAGGAAAGTTGTTGACAACCGAGTCGGTCATATCCATTGACGGTGAAAGGGAAAATGTCGCGTGATAAGATGCATAGGGCCGTACTCAAATAGAGCGCAATCCTCGAGCCTATCGCTGAGCAGTCTGAGACGAAGAGTGGTGGACAAATGGTGAGAGGTAGTCAATATTAAGCACAAACCCCTTCAGCAACCTGGAGAAGAAGCACTCTATTTTGTACTGCTGCGGCGCGGCATGTGACGAGCCGACAGAGTTAGTTCAGTAATGGGTCCTGTGCTGGATGTCAGTATCAATCGTTGTGATCTTGACGAAATTTTAGTCCTGGTGTGGCGTTGGGATGGATGGACCATGATCATTGCGGTTTGTGGCTAAGATCGCATATAATCGAGTTCATTTACGGGAATGACAGGAATGGTCCTAATCCAGGTCTCTCAAAACAAGTCAAATACGCCTGCCGCCCAATCGGCCACTCACTATACGAAATGGCATATCCAAGACAAGCATCACGGTAGAAGTTCGTTAAGGTAAAACCGACCTGCCCATTCCATACCCTTTCTGACTTGCGTCACAACTTCTTGCAATAGTCTTTCCCATGTTGAACCTGCCAGTTGCATAACCACACTTCAAACGCCATGCCGATGAACCCGGCAATACAAATCCCACCCGAGTCACTCACCGTGGTTGCCGACAAGGAAAATTCACGGTCCTCTTTGGATACCGTTTCGCTGATCTCCGCAAAAGTGTTGACATAGACCAGGCCGCCCAATAAGCCTTCCCAGAAAATAATTGCAAAGATCACATACACGTTTGGGATGAAGTCGAACAGCGCATGTAGCGTCAAGATGACCAAGTTGACCACTTGCAAGAACGACGGCAGATATAAATTGTGAATGCGGAGAAAGGGCGTCGAGGACCGAGATATGAATACCCCTGCTTGGTATATCGCATTATAGGTCGGGTAAAACGCTCGGAAATGTTTGAAAGGGCTCCTCTCGCGGGGAAACAGAAGGGTCGGCGACACTCCCTGGTTGATGGTATACTCGGCCACGTATACCATGAGTAGGGGTAGCATGTATGGGAAGAATAGCCCTTTGGCTCGGGTCAAATTATATTTGAACAATGACCAAGCGGACATCTTGGATTTTATGGAAAAGGGCGGCTTAGCGGCATCTGGCGAGGAAAGAAGCCCCTCTCTTTGCTCTTGGTCGACATTGTCGTCATCCCGGAACAGTAGTGCATTGCCGCCGTGGTGGTGCCTCCTGGATTGTGACCGGAGGGGCTCTAAAGGGAGGATAAGGAAGAAGCTCACCAGCATAACGGCTGGTAGGCAGGCGGAAGCCAATAAGGTTGTGCCGACACTGAGGCCGAGGGTTGTGGTCGCGAGGGCATATGCTCCGGCTCCTATCAATCCAGCACCCCCAGTGCCACTCCCCCACGCTGCGAGCCCGAAAGGACCGTAGTAATGAACGAGACCTAGAAAGCTCAATTCACCTCCGCCACTGCTCAGCGATGCCAGAACCACCCCAGCCAGTTTAGTGGTTATTGTTCCCCCATCTGTGTAACCGGGTGTCAGGGCGATCAACAGCATGCCCACCACTGACAAAGCCACAAAGACCAGGATTCGGATCGAGTAGGGGACGACATGAATGAAGTACGGGGCGCACAGTTTGACCCCGAACGAAGGGATCACGTCGGCAAGAAGGACGACTCCTTTGGGGACATCGGGACCGACGAGGTCAAGGGCTGCGGAGAGGATGATCACGTAGAGGACATTGTTGATCAGTCCTACGCATCTTTAGTCTCTGCATATGAGAAGCTTTTGGCTCTTGTTGACGAAATTGAAGTACATAATGATAGTACTGTTGCCGATTAAGCACGAGAGAACTTACCAAAGAGCCAGAAAGCGACACAGACCCTAGGGTCAGCACCGCTGAAGCTTTGCTTGAGGCGTCCGAGGAACATCGTCCATGAAGACGAAGGAGAGCCCGGGAGAGGCAGTGCCATCTGGTCTGGAGGTCGATACTATTTCGCCATAAATAGATGCTGTCCTGAATATGGACGGGGACGTTGCGAATGCTGTAGTGCGTTACAACACTGCTCGAGATAAGGTGCGTTACGGTGGACTCTGTGGTGGTCTGTGGCATGTCGAGGCTGGTGACATGTAATTGCACCCGACTCATCCTATCTGGGTACCAATGCTCGCCGCCCTATCCCTATACTACTCACGTGACCCAGGATCTCGAGATTGCTGAATGAAACTTAACTGAATGTGATTTCCCTGCATTGGGGTCCACCTTTGGCCGCTTTATTTCCAATCTATGTCAGTTCAATCTCGGCTCAGCCTTGCCTGGGCTCCACAGTGACCAGGGCGACTTCGGTCCGTTGCGAAGATACGGAGTGAAACCTGCGCTCCGCATTCCCATCGCCTCATCAATAGACTCAACATAGAGCGTGAGAAAAGAAATCTGGGTTTGGATCAACAAGAATTCGTGCAACTTTGGCAAAAAGCCTCATAAACGGTATAGAAAATTGTCAGGGATGTGTGTCTAGAAGCCTGCCATGAATCATTGCAATCAACGTCGAGTCTGAAGACCAAATTTGATCAGAGACTGAAAAACCACGGAGTTCCTCATGCGCCAGTTGATTCAACCACCCTGCACTCCCCCAGAGCAGCGGCAGCAGCAGCGGCAGCAGCGGCCTCACGACCGGCGATACGGCCAAAGACGGCGCCCTTGGTCAATCCGGATCCCCCTGGGTAATTGTGATAGAAGAGACCGCCAACAATCTCACCCGTGGCCCAGAGCCCTGGCATCGGCCGTCCTTCGTTGTTGAGTACGCGGGCCTCGACGTCAGTGGCGATACCCCCATATGTGAAGGTGATACCACAAGCCACCGCGTAAGCGACAAAGGGTGCCTTCTCGATCCTGGTGGCCCAATTCGTCTTGGGAAATGGCAACTTCGCCACGAGAGACGTGCTCAGTCCATCCAACTTGGTGGGGTTGAATTTGCCGACATCTACAGAGCAGGCAGCGTTGAAGGTCTCGACTGTCTTCAGTAGGCTGGTGGCATTGTTGACGCCCGCCTTCTGAGCGAGTTCTTGGATCGTATCGGCGTAGATGGGCGTCGCGGTCTGGTATCGCTTTGGCAGTAGGTAGGTGGTTTGCTGGTCGAAGATCTGGAAGGCCCGGGCTTCGGGCTGATCGGCAATCTTCTTGCCGGTCTTTGCGTACGTCTTGCCAAAGTCGTCTTCCCCTTCATCAAAGAATCTCTCCCCGTTGATGTTGACAGTGATGGCGTACGGGTACGCGTATCGCGGCATATGCACGGAGACGTTGATCTCACCCGTCAGAGGGCCATTAGCGTCCTGGGGAGAGGCATGGGCAGCGCCCCAGTGTCCGACAGGACGAGCACCTGCGGCAATGGCGCGGTTGAGCATCGTGCCCATGTTAAATTTGGTTCCACGCACAAGAACCAGGTCCCAGCCTTCTCCGAGGTATTGGCGGCGCATGGCCGGGTTGGATGAAAAGCCACCGCTGGCGAGAACCACCTTGCCATAGACGTCGGTGAAGCCCTCGCGGTGCCGGACTTTGACCCCGTGCACTGTATCCCCAGTGGCGATGAGGTCGTGTGCCGGGCTCTCATACCAGAGGGTCATTCTCCCTCCAGGCACAAGGCTTTCAGCTGCGGTCCACCATGCATCGGTGAGACCTACACCACCACCGACGGCCATGATGGCGGCGCCGGCGTTCACGTTGATAATCTCTCCTCTGGCCGCCAGATTGTCCACATTGAGGTACTTCCTTATCATCAACTCCCACTTGTGACCCTTGGACTTCATCCATTCCAGAGTTTCCCAGCCCTGCTTGACCATGACCTCAGCGATATCCTTGTCCAGACGGCCGTGGGAGGTCTTGGAAAGATCTTCCAAGTACATTTCTTCTGTGTAGGGACCAATGGTACAGAGCTTCGTGTCGTCCATGGCCTCTTCACAAAGTAGGGTCTTGACATGTTCCAACCCCTTGTGCGGTGCCCGGAAGACTGTGCCTGCGAAGCGACTGTTGCCGCCACGTTCTTCCTTGGGCGCAGCTTCTAGGACAAGCACGCGGGCGCCACTGTCATGTGCTGAGATGGCCGCGGCGAGAGCCGCATTACCGCCGCCCACGACAATGACATCGAAGGTCTGGACGGAAGCTGGAATGTTTGCAGGCGTCGCGCTTCCCATGACGGATCAATTGTAGTACTCCCCAGCAGTCCGTGTACACTGTTCGACTTCTGTATGATTTTGAAATCGGCTTGGAACCGGATGGCCACACTGCTTGCGTCTGTAGAACTTGAGCTTTTCAATGGAAATTCGGCGTCTCACCTAGTTTTCTTCGTATATAGCTCATTCAATCAATCAATCCGCTTCGCATTGGCTTTGCGGAATGCTAAGGAGAACATGGCGCCTCAGAGTGGAACCGACAGTGGATTGATCCACATCAGTAGAAAAAGAATAGTCATTAGCCCCTTGCTTCTAGGCCTAAATCGACTGGCTCTGGACCTCGACTCTTGGATTGTTCCCAATCCCCTAAAAATCCCCATTCGTTCAGAGCCGTGCGAGTCAGTGAGCGGGGTATCAATCAAGTGGAGAATATTTACATAGTTGTGTGAGTATCCGGAGCTCCTAGCCGCGGTGCGGCCTATATTCGAGCGCTGCACGGACAGCGTCCGCACCCGTGATGCGGACCGTTACCGGAATGTATAGGGCGGTAAAGCTTGACTATCCGTTGCATACCACCTCGAAGATGTATTTATCGGCGGTGGCGAACAAGCGCGTGCGCAGCAGGCAGGCGGGACTAAGAGGGTCAAGAGGGTCTGGGCTTCCCTGATATCAAATTCAGACTGCCGCATTGGACTTCTTTTAGCCGGGAGTAAACGTGAATCAACGTCTATATCATGAGACCACAGCAGCAATGTTCAGGCCACTGTCTTCTCTACACCTAGACACTAAAATTGCAATGACTACAAAGATATCCTACTCCCATCAAAGAAGACACATTCTGTTCATATCTTTGCACAGAACAAGGGGCTGTGGTTGGTCGGAAGGCCATTGTTCTCATTGTTGTGATTCCATACGCCTGCGCTGCAGTCTTCCTGATTGCAATTTGCTTCCTGTCCGACAGATACAACACCAAAGGCCCGTTTCTCATCGGCACCCTCTCAGTCTCTTGCATAGGCTACATAATACTCCTTTCCGTGCGCTCCATCCCGGTCTTGATCTTCGCCACCTGCCTGATCACAGCCGGTCTGTACCCGAGCGTGATCCTGCTGACTTCGTGGCTCGGCATCAACACCTGCGGCTTCACCAAGCGCGGCACTACCTGGGCCATGGCTGAGGTCTTCGGACAATGTTTCTCCATCATGGGAACGCACGTTTACGACCACCCACCACGCTTCGCCAAGGGACATTCCATCGTCCTGGGTATGCTACTTGTTGCCATCATCATGGCCACGTCGAATATCTTCTGGATGAGATATCAGAACAAGCGCAAGGAAGCGGAGGTGGAGCGTTACCGTTCCTCTGGCGAGCTTCATCCACACTTTGAACGGAGCTTGGAGGACGAGGGCGACCAGCATCTGGCATTCAGGTATATTCTGTAATGGGATTTGACTGAACGAGCAGCGAACCACAGGTGCAGCCATTCAAAGGTTTGATGCATTCAATTGGCCCTGAAACGGTAGTATGTCGCCGCTGGAGGCACTAAAAGGAAATATAGTCGATATCTGTGTTGTTGGCTGACGAGATCTGGAGAAAAGTGGAAGAAAAACCAGCTATTTGTCTACACAGAGAAACGCAATCAATACCGATCACCTTTCTTACTGCTCTCTAGCGAACTTGCAGAGTCCATGAAACTTCCCCTAGTGACCTTGAGTGAGCCCTGTCAAACGATCGCGAGAGGAGATCAGCTCGGATCGCTATGTTCAACGAGACATTACCAGAATGATAACAAAGCTAGGGTAGGATGAGTCTGTGACAAAGCAGGGATGTGAAGGTTCTGAACAGGAACGCAAGAGGGCCTGTTCTGCTCCAAAATGAGTTCAAAACACCAAATCGGACTCGCTTACATAGAATTTATTTATCCACGCAAGATACCACGGCGGGTTCTCTTCTTTCTTTTCAGCGCAGAGATAGTGCAATAGGAACAGCCCGACATTTCAAACATCAATGGGGCATTTGACCGGCTGTTCGAGCAAGGCGGCCAGTTCTCTTACATCAGGGACTTGTTCCAGAGACAGGACGCACCGCTCGATCGCATCGCGTCTCTCCGAGTCCAGAATTTCCGCTGTTAGCTCTCGCCACTTGGTGATGATGTCCTCATTGCTGACCGGTGGCACGATACCCCGAGGCGCCTCGACGCGACCCTGCACCTCGGTACCGTCCGCAAACCGGACCGTCACGACCGTCTGCCACCTAGCCGCCTTGGTCGCGTCGAACGCCTTGTTGTGCGTCGGCGTGGTCTTGCCCATCAGCTCGCGCAGCAGAGGCCGATTGAGGCGCAACATGCCAAACTGCGCCATCGATACCTGGCGATCGACGAGCTGTGCGGCGGTGGCGTACTGGATCGACATCTGCGCCGCGACGCTCGACAGCGGCTGCGTCGGGTCCGCGATCCAACCGCCGTGCTCGAATGTGGGCCGTGCGTGCTCCGTCACGATGCTCACGATATTGGTCAGGTTGTGCGGGGCAAAAAGGTCCGGATGCGAGCGCTGTAAGCCCGCGACCGTATCTATTGTTCCATGTAAGCCGGCCATGGCCGCGTGGAGTTTGACGCGGATGCCTTCGAGTTCCCAGCGCGAGCCGAGGCTGTTGACCAGCTCCTTGGGAAAAGCCTTGGGCTCAAAATTCGCGCCCTGACTGAAGCAGCTTAGGAAGCCGCCGTAGGGCACCTCGTAGACCTCTTGGATTCCTGTGTAGTTTTCCTTGGCCATGAGCGCGGCGAACAAGCCGTTGCGCGCCGCGAAGCCGTGTTGCATTCGTTTCGCCATGGAGCCAAACTGCGCTGACATGAGGCCACCTGTTTGTGTACATGCCATACCCAGCGCCCACTCGGTCTGTGCGCCTGACAGTCGAAGCAACGAGGCAACGGCGGCCGCCGTTGCTGAAGGTCCTTGGATGGCGCCGCTGTGCCAGCCTCGGCTGAGCAAGTCGGCACCATGTAGTGCCAACCCAACCCGGGGTCCAACTTCGCACCCGACGATGTACGCCAGCAAGAAATTCGCACCTGACGAGATGGATGGATCGTGACCGTTGCTGGCAGCGGAGCTTGAGGGCACGGCCTCCACTGAAGCCAGCAATGCCGGGATCAGCAATGCATTCGAGTGTAAAGGCGCTGCGGAATGATAGTCGTCCAGCTCAAAGCCCTGGATAAAGGTGCTGTTCAAGATGGTCGCCGCCACAGGGGGCAACTTCTTCTCCCTGCCCCAGCCGATGAGCGTGCACTGGCCGACTCCCGAGGGTTCCATGGTACACACGCCCTTGACTGCGGTCTCGGACCACGGAAGATGTGCTGCGATCAGGGCACAGGCAACACCGTCGAGGATCAGGTATTTGGCGCGCTCAATGACATGGTCGGGAATATCAGACAATTCGGTGCGCGTGATCCAGTTGCATAGTTGGCCCGTGATGCCGTCGGGCCTACTGGGTTCAGTGGCATTGGCGGGTGACGATATCTTAGCGTTCAGAGCCATGAGTTCCTCTTCGATGATGTTGACCTCTTTACCGATCTCGCTCATGAAATAGGAAGCCCTTTTCAACGCGAAAGCCTTATGCGAACTTCTCCGATAGGTCTCAGTTTGCTCAGAACCAGACGCTTTCTCGTATTCTTTTTTGGCCACAAGAAACAGTCTCGAAAGAGCTGCTTCCTTATTGAAAGAGGTCGATGGCGTGTTGAACCATTTTGAGTTGGTTTGCCTCCAGCAGAACAGTGCCCACGAGGCCGCAAGCAGCATGCACTTCGGACCGTCCTGTAGCTAAACTCCTGTTAGACTTATCCTTACTCTAGAACTGTCAAATGCCTCAATCATAACAACTCCGTCCTTGCGGGGAGTGGCGTCAGCAAGTTTGGGCGAAGGAGGGAGATTCTCCGCATATCCCAAGGTGAAAAGGCAAGAGGTCGGTAGCTCGGGAGTGAAAAGGGCGCAAGGCTCGGAGGTAGGGGGTAAGTGGGTCTGATCTAACGGCAGAGCAATAATTGGTTGAACTGATATCGGCGCCGATTGCGGCCCGGACAAAGGCTGTTGGTTGATTGGTCTCCAACGCCGAGCATCGGCCTTGCTTCTCCGACTGCAGCTTCAGTGATCAAAGAGACATCCGCCTGATGGCGTACGAGGTACTAACATTGAGGTGGGTAGAAAGGGTGATTGAGTCTTGAGGCGTCACATGTCGGAGGCTGAAGAGCGCATAGTAGTTATATAAATGAAACCCCTGTTTGCCACCTGTTCTACAAGCGATGGAACCACCACAGCACTAATATGCCCGCTAAGATCGCGTATGCTTCCTCATTGCCGGCCACATTGAGATCGCGCGTAAACAGGTTATCTGCATGACGAATATTTGCTCGCACGCCACTGTCCTTCAGAAAAGACTTTATCAATTACGAGCACATTAGATCTTTGAGAAGCGTAGTGGAGGACAGTTGTTGAACACAGAATGAGAGTGGATTCATCTGATTGATTGTGTTCTGTCCTCTGGCTTTTCAGAGAGACTCTGCCTGTCTATATACTATTTGCCCTGTGGCAAGAAGCGATCCACTGAATAGATCTGGACCTGGCCAGATCTGTCCAGACCTCGTTGTCGATCAACGGTGGCACCGAGGCTATTATAGAGAGGCCTCGTTGAAGCATTGGTGGATGGTTTGCCACAGTGGCGCTCTCTGTCAACAACAGTCATTCCGTCACAGTCGGCCAGGCTGGCGTCGGCATCATACTTGAACGGAAGGGCGTGGGATCATAACGACGTGGTGTAACCGTGTTCTTCTTTTTTGGTCGTGAATGTTGATATTCGGATTGTTGCGCTGGAGTTCGGTGATGATGTTCTAGGCAGCCTTCTCCGCGGCAACATGGAGTGGTGTGAGTCCAGACATGTCCAGAAGGTCGATGTAAGCTCCAGAAAGGAGCAACCTGGAGAGTAAATTTCTGTTTTGCGACCACACGGCGTAGTGGAGTGCCGTCCGCTCTGATGAATTGGCTGCATTCACGTCAATATCGACATCTGGACTGGGGAGTTGCGCCCCAGCTATTTGCAGATCGAAGGTGCACTCAGACACACTCTTTTGTGGCTCTCCCAAGAGCCTGGACCTGGCCTACGCCGCTAGCTTACTTCAGGGAGCGGCATCCTTTTGCAGCAATGGACCAAGACTGAGATAAAGATATACATTGCTGGACGACTATCACGACAGCCGAAGAAGAGTGGTGCGCCCCCAACCGTGCGTGAGATTGAGCGTGACATTGCAGAGCACGCTCAAGGGGTCTTTTTCTAGCTAAGACTTGTCGTCGATGAGCTCGTAGAAGGAGCTCTGAGATGGAATATCACTTCCAAATTTTCAGGGAGGTTGTGAGGAGGTTCCCTGACACACTGGCAACACTTCCGACTTTTATTGCCTCTTCGTGGTTCCAGGCGCCCACCACTGTGACGCTTCTACTTCTTACCCGAACGTTCCAGTGACCGACCACATTTTGGACCTGTTGAAGCCCTAGGTTGAGAAAGACGTCGCCATGCAGAACCCGAATCCTAGTGGCATTGGACAAAGCCTAACCCTGGAGGGTAGGTTACCGATTATGTGTGCTGTTTGCGGGCATGTCTTGGGCACTGCAGAATCGCTCCATGAAATGGCTTTCTGCCACTATCCAGATTTCTCTTCTGTATTCAATCAATCATGTTATCGGACCTTTCTCAGTCCATCAAGTGGAGCCAAAATCATGAGAAAGCTGTGTCCATGGGCACGAAGCGCGAAGCTGGTGGGTTCGAACCAGGACCGCTGGCCGCCGTACGAGTATGAATAAGGGACAGAACGGGCACGGTGCTCTGGAGCTGGGTGATGAACATTGTAACGTCAGGGAGGAGGAAGAAGAATTGTGTGGCACAGATGGCTATGGTAACGTGGGGCAATGGTAGTGAGTAACTGACAGTGATGACAGCCAAGTAGTGAACTCAAGTGCCAAGGCGCTAAATATACCTCACGGTTTGCCGCATCCGCAAGTTGTTGGGATATGAAAACCGCAGGGCCTAAACCAGATACGGCCATTAGGGGGGATCAAAGATTTTCCGAGGGTACTATATTACTAATTCAACTTTCACTTTTCTTCCATCACAACGGCAAGCCTTTCATAACCCGCGGTCCGGCAACGCAATGCAGACAATTCCGATGCTGATGCTTGCAAACCCATCCAGAGATAGGTGTATCCCTTGACAAACCTGCCGAAGATCTCGTGCTAGGATCATTCCTACAACCCCTCAGCGGGGCTGTAATGGGTAAATGGCGACTCGGTATATCGCCTCAGGGGGTGGATGACGAAAGAAAAGAGACCTAGGTATAAAAGCCTTGTGCTCTGGAGTCTAACCTCTCTCCTTTCGATATGTGAATTCAAGCTTGCCGCACTACCCTTACTTCTCTACACGTTAGCCTTGTTCCAAATTGTCAAAAATCTATCCGGTACGATCAATGGCGACCTCTGGCAAATCCGTCTTCCTCATTGGCCCCGGGTTCATTGGCCGGGAAGTCCTCGATCTCCTCCTCCAAGAGAACTATGCGGTGACGACGCTGACCCGTCGCGAAGCCTATGCGACTGAGCTCCAACAAAGCGGCGCGAAGACCGTGCTTGGTAGCCTGGACGACCAAGACATCATCGTCAACCAGACCCTCATCAGTGACATTGTCATCCACACCGCCACGGCAGACCATCTGCCCTCGGTTGAAGGCGTGATCGCAGGCATCGATCAACGTGCAAGTCAAGGAAAGCAGACCATTTTCATCCACACGAGCGGCACCTCGCTGCTGAGCGACGACGCGAAGGGCGAATACAAATCCGACAAGATCTTCTACGATGACAAGCCTCAAGACATCGATGCTCTCCCCGACAGCGCCTCGCATCGCTTGATCGATCTCGCAATCATCCGCGCACGCAAGAGACTCGGCAATAGTGCCAAAATGGTCATCATGATTCCGCCGTTGATCTACGGCGCCAACCCCAAATATAAGCGTCTATCGATTCAGTTGCCGACTTTGAGTCGGTTCGCGATGAAACACGGCTACGCAGGCTATGTCGGTAAGGGTGAATCTGTGTGGTCCGAAATCCACGTCGTGGACCTCGCTCGGGGGTATCTCACACTTTTACATTGGCTCGAACAAACGGATGCCTCCAAAATCCTTGAAAACCCTTACTTCTTCTGCGAGAACGGGCAAGAATTCGCATGGAGAGATGCAGTGGCACAGGTTGCCAAGGCGTTGCATGCTGCTGGGCGGATCGCATCACCGGAGCCTAAACCAATCCCTGAGAGTGATTTTGATGATCTCTTTGGGAAGTACACGGCATGGGTGGTTGGGTCGAACTCGAGAAGTCGAGCGAACCGGCTGAGAGCGCTGGGATGGGAGCCGAAGGAGAAGGGCCTGATGGCCTCCTTGGTGGAGGATGAGGTTCCGATTTTGTTGGAGGAGACGGGCGAGTTTAATGGATATGCCAGTGTTGCTGCTTCTGGCGGATCGTAGACGGACACGATGGGCACGATGGAGGCATTGTTGTTTGGCTCGAGAAGACAAAATGCCACATTATCACTTGCATGTAATATATGAGAACGCAGCTCGCCTTGACGGGCGAGGAGTATGGAGTCCTAATAATACTCCAAACTCTCCTCGCTCCCGTATATATCTACCAAAGTGGAAATGATCGACTGTGCTCGGCTATGTTTCTCTTTTTGCAAATGCGGAGAGAGTTGCTCGATGCGTCATTCTCAATGCTACTGTCACGTGCCTTTATATCGAGGTAGAGAGCGTTGACATTTCTGATCTTCTCTGCAACACGTCAATAGAGCTCTCTTAAATCCTCTCCCCGCCCCAGACGATGACTGTACCTAGTCTGACACAATGCTGAAAACTGCTCTGCGTCGGCGGGCTCTTCCCCCATCATTCCTCCAGCGACGATGGGCAACACAGGGTACAGAAGAACCATTTCCTCCCGATATCAATGAGTGGTCTCATCCCCCTTCGAATGCCACCATCTCAGACGAAGAAATACAGAGACTAGCGGCACAGCCTCGCCGGCCTCTAACTCTAGCAGATCTAGTCAGGTATATCACATATGCTCAATCGGCTCACCTCCTGTAACAGATGGCTTCTGACTACGACGACACACAGACATGGCAAACCTCCCTTACGAGATTCTGCTCTCCTCTCCTCCGCAAACTTCACCTTATCCCTTCTTCCGGCGCGCCTCGCTCATCGCATTCAAGCTCTTCGAAACCTCCCCTTCATCGTGGTGTCCAACCCAAATGTCTCCAAGATATACAACAATTACCTCCATTCTCTCTCCACCCTAGAACCTTTCTACAAGAAACCTATTGAGACCATTGAGGAAGAGATGAAGTTCACAGAAGCCATGGCCGATCTTGTCCGGACCCATTCAAACACCATCCCGGTCCTTGCACAGGGGTTTCTTCAATGTAGGAAATACGTGGATGCTGCCGAAGTCACTCGGTTTCTCGACCAACATCTTCGCGCAAGGATAGGTACCAGACTCGTTGCAGAACAACATCTGGCCCTGCACATGGCTTCGACGGGAGACGCGGCCAAGCAGAAACCCGACCCAACTCACGTCGGCGTAATCGACCTCGCGCTCCGCCCCGCAGACATCGTCCGCCGATGCGAAGGGTTCGTCAACGAGGTCTGTGAGTACAAATACGGCGTTCGCCCCTCATTGATCATCAACGGAGACCGAGATGCAGAATTTGCACACATCCCCATGCACCTGGAATACATCATTACGGAACTCTTGAAAAATGCATTCCGTGCCACGATTGAGAGCGGCAACGAGAAGGAACCCATCGAAGTCACAATTGCATCCGCTCCCGACGTGCAGACCACGAAGCTCGAGTCCCTCAAGAAGCTGTCTGTAAGCAAAGACAATGCGTATGATTTTTCCCAGGAGGGGCTCGACGAGTACTGCTCTGCATCTGATGAAGATGTTCTTGGTCCCCTCAACTCGGTCGCCCCCTGCATTACCTTGCGCATTCGTGATCGAGGAGGCGGCATCCCACCCGAAGCCTTGCCCAACATCTGGTCATACAGCTTTACCACTTTCAACAACGAGGAAGCCGCCGCAGCGGCCAATGTCGGCAGCGACGGCTCCGAGGGCTTAAGTGTCATCTCAAACAGTGGAACGAATCAGTCTTCCATTGCCGGGTTAGGATATGGACTACCCTTGGGACGTGCTTACGCCGAGTACTTTGGCGGTGGAATCGCCGTGCAGAGCATGTATGGTTGGGGCACGGATGTCTACTTGACGTTGCAGGGGATTGGGAATACAAAGGATTTGAAAGACGCACCCAACGGGTTGGAAGAGTTGGAGAGGAAGAAAAGCGATTAGGGTCCGAATTATCTATCGTCTTTGGCCCCTTTCCGGTATCATTTCTTCCTGGGCAACGTCTACCACTCAAGAACTCGGCGGCCTGGCCGCGCTTCTGATGCTGGAGCAGCGGTCAAGTTCGTCAAGTAAACACCGCATGCAGCTTGCCAGACGCCCTATCTGCCAGCCGTTCCTGCATGGGCAGACCGTACATCTCCTTGATCCAACGACAACAGATCTTCCTTGTGTCCTTGGGGTCCACAATCTCCTCGACGTTGAAGCACGTCGCAGTCCTCACCGGGTTCATCAATCTGATATACTCATCTTCAAGCTCCTTGTACCGTCTCTTCCACCCTTCTTCGCCCTCCTTTTCACGAACCATCTTCAACTCAAAACGATGACCGACCTCGATCCCGCCGTCCAGCGGCAAAGACCCCCAATTGCCCGAGGGCCAAGCGATCCGCATCCAAGGTTCGCGGCTGTCGAGCATTATGCCACCGGCCACCCCATATACGCGACGAGTCACCACGCTGAAGATCGGGGTAGTGGTGCTGTAGTAGGCTTTGCCGAGTTCGACACCCCATTTCATGGTGGCGGTGCGTTCGGCGACTGTGCCGATGGCGTAGCCAGCTGTGGCAGATATCAGTATTCGGAGTAGAAACACCCACAGTAATGCTGGTGACTGCACAATAGAAGTCTTGCAGAAGCAGCAAGAAACGCACGCAGAGACGGACATGTGATGGCAATATATGCTTACAGAAGACGGACAAAAATGGAGAGGTAGGAAATAAAAAAAAAACCAATATATATACTTACGAACGTCCACAAACTGCACGACGGGCAAATTGAACACGTCGCAAAACTTCAACATCTTCATCAACTTCTGGCTCCCTATGGCGTCCAACGCCCCGGAGTTGACTTCACAGTTCAAACTCAGGATGCCGACAGGTCTGCCTCCGAGGCGCGCGAGACCTGTGATTCCAGTGCGTCCCCACAGAGCACCGATCTCGAACCACGACCCCTTGTCCACGACGGACAGGATGATGGTGTAGGGGTTGTACATGCGCGACTTCTTGCGGGGGATGATGGATCTCAGGCTCAAGTCTTCGCGATCGACGGGGTCGTCACTGGCTATGATCGGCGGGGCTTGGAACTGGCCGCACTGCGGCAGGTAACCCAACACGGTGCGGATCTGGTCGAAGCATTCCTTCTCGTTGGCGGCGAGATTATCAATGGTCCCGTTTGTGCAATGCACGTTTGGCCCGCCGAGGTCACTAAAACTCAGCCCTTCTTCGAATGTTGCCCCTTCGACAACCTTGGGCCCCGCGTTGAACAAACTGCCTATGTCGGCGGCCATGACGCTGAAGTGCGTCGCGACCACACGCGCGGCGCCCAGGCCTATCGCCGGACCCAGCACCGCGCCGATGTTCGGGATGCCCATGTTCAGCTGCTTGATGACGGTCGAGAGAACCGTCACGTGCGGCATATACGAGTATCCCTGGGTCATGATGGTCGAGACGGAGCCGCCGCCCGAAGAGCCATCCACAAGTTTGACCACAGGCACCTTCAGGCGGAGGGCCAGCTTCTCGCCGTACAGCGTCTTGATAGCCACAGATCCATCGGCGTGGCCCGCCCGGACCGAAAAGTCGTCCGAGGTCAGGTAGATCTGCCTCTTGAGCCCCGTGCGCGGACACGTCACCCGTCCAAAGCCCTGCGGGTTGTTGCTCGGCGTGAAGGCCCTGACGTGCTCGGCCTGCGGGTTGACGCTGTCCTTCTCCCACGTCACCGTGCCCGTGACTGACCCGACCTCGCGCCACGTCTGAGGGTCCAGTAATGTCGCGATGCGTTCGCGCGACCACAGCTTCCCGGACGTCTTTTGCCGGATGTACCCGCGGGACGAAGTGTCTGGGGTCGTGGCGATGGTGCGCAGGGTAGTCAGATGGGTCAGGATATCGCTGTAGTCGGCGGGCAGATCGGATGAGGGGTCTTTGGAGCTCTTGGGTTTGCGCGCCCGTTTCGTGTTGGGTTGTTGGGGTTCAGCTTGGGGCGGGGAGATCTGCGACGTGAGTTGATTCAGGCGGTTCGATGCTGCTGATGAGTTGCTGGACTGTGGTTGGGCGGACACAGGGTCGTCGGACGGAGGCGTCTGGCCTATTCCTGGTCCTGGCGCGGGAGAGTACGAAGGCGTTGACGACACAGATTGTGGCTGTCCGTATACTGGATCGTTGATTGTTGTCGCCGAGGAGGAGGACGGCCCTTCAGAGTCATCGTCGGCCCCTGATGACGAGGGAGGCAGCGGTGGTGGTGGTGACGGACTTGACTTTTTTGAGCCCATTGTTCGTTTCCTCTCGGAGTTGATTCGAATTTCCTTTCTTCTTTTCTTTTTTTTCTTTTATTTTTCCCTTCTTCGCGTTTCTTCAGCTTTTGTGTTTTGTGCTCTTGCCGTGTCTTCTTGATCTTGGATCCGTGTTTTCAGGCTGACGGCGTCCTGTACAACTCAATGTCTCTCTCCTAGCATGGACCGTACCCAGTACTGGGTATGGCTCTTCAACCCGCGTCGATGCCTCTCTTTTCTCTTATTCTTTCTCTTCTCCGTCTTATTCGACCCTATCGTCTAAAACCCGAATGAACAGGAGCCTCTCGATCCTTGACAGACGAGTATGTATCGGAGCACGAGGTTCGGGAATGCCTAGGTACATACGAGGTACTATAGCTGGCAACTATCTGGGGTAGTTGGGACGCCCTGGACGCCCCCAGTGGCTAATTGTCGGGCTTCTTCCCCCCCACAAACTCCGGGACAGATCAGGATCCGGAGAACAGCCTCGGTTCACGGTTCACGGTTCGACGTCGTTGGAGTAGCAAACCTAGCAATAGGCTGCTTGGGGATATCCGAGATGAGAGTGAGTGAGGACGAGCATGTACAGCACTCCGTACACCGGACTACGTCTTTGTCTAGATCTCTTACTCTTCGCGCCGAGTCTCTGAGGGGCGTCTTTGGGTGTGAGAGTGTGGAATAAATCCCTGATAGAGCTTCCCTGGAACCTGCCACTGAATAGGGAGTAGATAGCAGGGCACCTCTAAGAAAAGGGTCAACAATGCCGCCTCGTCAACGCCCAATCTCGCGCGTCCTCATCGCCAACCGCGGCGAAATCGCAATCCGAATACTCCAATCATGCCACGAACTGCCACAGCCCCCGACAACCTTTGCAATCTATACGGACAACGACTCGACGCACATCTCGCTGGGCCGACCTCACCACGCCATCAAGGCCGCTCACGGCCCGGCGTCGTACATGAACGTCGACTACCTGATTGGCTTGGTCAGGGAGAACCAGATCGACGCGGTGCACCCGGGCTATGGGTTCCTCAGCGAGAGCGCAGAGTTCTCCAGGAGGATGTGGACTGAGGCCGGGTGTGTGGTGGTCGGGCCTGGCTGGGAGGTGCTGGAGAGGACGGGGGATAAGCTGATGGCCAAGGCATTGGCGGCCGAGTGCGATGTTCCCGTTCTCAAGGCCATGGAGAGGCCAACGGGTAGCGTGGACGACGTCACGAGGTTCGCAGCCAGCGTTGGGTACCCGTTGATGATCAAGGCTGTGGACGGTGGTGGCGGGCGCGGGATTCGCCTAGTCAAAGACCAAGATGGGCTGGAGAACGCTGTGCAGAGGTGCGTGGCTGAGTCGCCCAGTCGTCTGGTCTTTGCCGAGCAGGCAGCTGTCGACGGCTACAAGCATATTGAAGTCCAGATTGTCGGTGATGGACGAGGCGGCGTCAGGCACTTGTGGGAAAGAGACTGCAGTGTCCAGCGCCGGTTCCAGAAGATTGTCGAGGTCGCTCCGGCGCCGGTGCAGAGCAGGAGAGTCATTGCGCAGGTCATCGACTCGGCCGTCAGGATGGCAGGGAAGCTGAAATACCTGGGCCTGGGAACCTGGGAGTACCTCGTCAACGTCGAGCAAGGCAAGTTCTTCTTCCTCGAGATCAACCCCAGGCTGCAGGTCGAGCACACCATCACCGAATGCATCACCGGCGTCGACCTGGTGAAGGAGCAGCTCCTTCTCGCTCAGGGCCTGCAGAAGCCAGCAGACACCAGACTGGCAGAGTTGCGCGAGGCCGACAAAGCACCGCCCGCAGCATCAATCCAACTGAGACTCTGCGCCGAAGACCCTCTCTCGGGCTTCTCACTGAGCATCGGCAAGGTCACAGACGTACAGTTCCCGTCTGGAAACGGCGTCCGGGTCGACAGCCACTTGTCGCGCGGAGGCGTGGTGGGATCCGACTTTGACAACATGATGGCCAAGATCATCGTCACAGCACCGAATTTTGAAGAATGCGTCGCAAAGGCGCGCAGGGCGCTGGAAGAGACAAAAGTCTTTGGTGTGAAGACGAACCTGAATCTCCTCAAGGCCATCCTGACGGACACGGCCTTTGCGGCCGGCAGCGCAGACACGAGCTGGTTGGAGAAGAACCTGGACCGCCTCGTCCCGGCTGGGGAACAACTCGCCAGCATCGCTGAACAACGGGACTCTCTTCTCCCAGCCTTGTCATTATCAGGCCACGCACAAGGCTCCGCCATAGGCAGCTCTTCGACGCTGTTCAGAAAAGGCGATGCCTGGACGCTGGTGCTGGAGAATCCCTCTGACAGGCAATCCTCGAGCAGTAGCCCCATCAAACCACCCGCGCACCACCTCTCCATCTCGCGCGTCACGCGCAACGAATTCCCCGCGGCCCTCATCGCCGACATCGCCTACACCGTGCCGGGCTCCAAGACGCAGTCCTACAAAATGACACTGAACAGCACGACGTCCTCGGCCGACGCCGCCGCCTCGACGCACCGGCGCGGCGACCCGACCAAGAAGACGCACATCGTGCTCCCCATGAGCGGCAAGCTGGTCGAAGTGCTGGTCGACGTCGGCGACGAGGTGCGCGAGAACGAGGTGATTGCCTTCGTCAAGCAGATGAAGATGGAGTTGGAGGTCAGATCGCCCCGGGCCGGCAGGATCAAGTGGGTGATTGAAATGGAACATGAGGAGGAGGGCGACGACGTCGCCGAGGGGGTGTTACTTGTTGAGCTTGAAGACGAGGCGGGCGAGAGCAGCGCACCAAAGCCCGAGGTTAGATCTAGATTGTGATGATGACAAGCTCAAGATCGATGAACACGAACGGGGGGGTCTATTCATACATAGTATACAAGAAGACTAGAATTGTCATGGCATCCATCTCCAAGGTCGGACAAGTTCCAGAGTCACAGAACAAGCATCGAAGCATCCAAGGTGTCCCGCCTCCTTCTTGTCCTTTTTTTCTGTCTCCCAGATCAAGTGAGTTTCGTCTAACAAATTCATCTCCGCAGGAATTCTTCCACCTCGAAGCCAACCCTCCTCTTTGCCTTCCCCCAATTTTCCATCTCCTTGGTCAGTTGTGCCCCGGTCAGTGTCTTGTTTGTTCCCTTCACGTCCTCCCCTGCTACCATATTCAGCGTTGACGATGCATTCGACCCAACCATACCCGTCTTGACAATCACGGCCCTAGCATCATGCAATCGAATTTCCACTGGGCCCGTCCCGCTGGTGTGCGATTGTGAGGAAGCTACACTTGAGATCCTATCCCTGCCAGCACCCGTATTCCCATGCGCGCCTCCCAAAACACTGGCATGGTTGGCCTGTATCGGCGTCTGTTTGACAGTGTCCACACCTTCGGCAAGCTCTTCGTCCATTCCTCTTATAATGATCGTGATATCTGGCCCCACGCTCCCGCGCCAAAGCGTGGCAAACCACTGCCAGTGAGCCGGTGGAGAGAATCCGTCATTTATGGGCATGCTGATGGAGCCCGCGTCGACTGTAGTGAGCTGAAAGTGTGGAACGATGGCAACAGGTATGGCTATGCTGGGATTGGTATAAGATGTCGTGCTGGTGGAGGTTGAAGTTGCCGGCGGCTGAACAGACGCTGGGCGGGGCACCGAAGAAGCCGGCAGAGGGGGTGGAATTCGCGACAATGGGTGAGAATTCGACGCGGCTGGAGGCGGAGGCGTGGATGGCGGAGGCGTCTCTGGCGGAGGAGGAACGCGCTTCGAGTTAAGAGGACGGGGAAAGGTCAACATTGGTTGTGGTGGTCGTGTGTCCAATCCTGCTAGAGTTAAGTCGTTGTTCGCCCATAGGCCAGGTGTGCTTTGGCTTCTGCCCTTGTGTCCTACTGGAATAACAGGCGGCGACGCGATGGACATATCAGCGGCTTTGCTGATTGTCTTGGGTGAAATGGCCGAGTCAAGCCGGTCTGCCCTGCTCTCCTGCATCGCACTGGATGATTGAGATGGAATCCCCACCTGCAGCGTTTTTTCTGACAACATGGGTGCCTGCTGGTGGTCTTCCGCTCCAGTCATGAGATGGCCATCATCTTGATGGTCGATCGTAATGGGGGATGATTTTGACCCAGTCCTCGGCTTCGAAGTAATATACTCAACCATGTCCTTGTTGATTTTGTGCCACTGGCTCATTAGATCCAGGTACGCATCCGGAGTCATGCCTTCCTTCTTTCCTCCGCCAGAAATGGCCTTTGCATCACGTATCACAGAGTATGGGTCTGGGCCTCCGAAGATCCTCACGGCAAACTTGCCCTCCTTTTCCAACTGTTCCGCTAGAGAGTTGGTCATGCTATAGACACTGTCAGCGTCCATCCCCTCCACGGCAATGATAGCTCCTCGAACTTCTGGTCTTGGTGAGGTGACGCCTGGCGCCGGCAATGGGCCAGAGATCTGAGAGAGGACCTTGATCTTATTTAGCACTGGAATGGACATAATCATGGCCTCAACTCCCGAGCTCTGAGATTGCGTGGAGGGCGTCTTGACAGGAGTCTGCGTGACCATCGTCTCAATAGGAGGTAAAGCTACACTCGATCGATTTCTCTGATGGGGGGGAGGAGGTGGTCGAATGGGTTGCAGCTGCGGCGGACGAGGGTATGCTGCTCGAGGAGGCGACACCATCTGTGGTTTGGCAACTTGGACATGTTGGAGGGGGATCTGTGGGGGATGCTGCAAAACCTCTTGACGGGCATAAACACCACCGCCAGTGGGAGAATGGGCGTATGAATATGACCCTTCAGGATATACTTCCCGACCAGGCAAATAGACCCCGTTGCTGTTGAATCGCCGTCTCTTTGCGTCCTGTGATTCTGCCGATGGGGGAGTGGGCAGGGTTTGAGGGGGAGGCGGGACCGCATAAACCAATCGAGAATCGACTCTCTGGAAAGTGACATGCTCAGGCGAGAGAGCTGGCTGTCCATGGATTCTCGAACCCGGCGGCGCAGCACTGACGACATAGCCACGCTTTGCAGGGACCGTCACGGCCATCGGTTGTCGCGTAGTAGACAGCGGCGGGGTATAAACGGGAGTCGGATTGGTGTAATAGTTCATTGGCTTCCCTCCACACTTTGTGCAAGAATCTTGCGGTTCGACAGATGGAGGCCCAGATAGAGAGGATTGATTGCTGACCCGGCCGTTGCGACGCGGATGGTAACGATAACCGGGATACTGCTGTTGATGGCGGGCTTTCTCTTCCTAAAGAACGCGAGAAGTCAGGGAAACAAAACTCTTTGTGGTTTTTTGTTGATGATAGAAGTCTTTATCTCGACGTACTTCCGCAAGCAGATTCCATTCCTCTTTGGCCTCAGCGGACAGACCACGCCATTGTTCGCCAATGATCTTTGATACTTCCGGATTCGGAATGCCTGGATTTTGCGCTATGATACTGGCTTGTTGGTGTTGACGGAACAAAATGAAGGCTGTCGTAGGGTTAGCACTGTTTCTTTCATTGGCGAAGAATGAACGCAGGACAGGCATTCTCACAGTTTCGAGGTCTGGGGATCTTGGGACTCGCCGGACACAAGCAGATATTCTCTCTAGGATTGGAACTTTTTCTCACAGCAGCGGAATGGGGCTGGGGTTCTGCCATTTCCAAGGAACGACCTCGGCGAGAGGGAGAACTGGATCCAACGTCACCATTGGCAGTTTTCTGGGGTCCTTCTATATACTCTTCACAACTGGCACCAGTGTGATTTGAACGCTCAGGCACATGGGCTGGGGCACCATCCTGGGGAGCAGCACGGCTGGTGGGAGACCGGTCACGGAATAAATGATGCTGCGCGAGGGATGAAGTACGTCGCAATGCCAGGTTATGCCCAGTGGAAGGCTTGGGGAGCAAACGATACCATGCTGGAAGGTTGGGGAGGTGATGGTCACTGGCAGCCGAAGTCATAGCGCAAAGAAAGGAATTCTTTGTACTCTGGCCATCTAAATTCTTGTCCTGGAGGAAGTGGGCGAATGGCAGATTGGGGGAGCCATAGGTCCTTGTAGAGCATCGCAGAGGGCATCTGCCATCCGCGCACCACCTTCTTTCGTGATCCTTTGTCTCTGTGTATTGCGTCTCTGACGGGATACATCATCAGTAGCCCTGGGCGATGGGTGACGAGCGAACCTGCGAGGCTGGCGACAGGATGGGTTGTCTTGGTTTGCTTTGTTCCCAGACGACCCAGGGCGGGAAAATGCGGTACCAATCACCGTGCACCCGAAACAATAAGGAGTGGAATGTAGAGGAGACAAAGAATGAGTTCATTGCTGGTGTCGTTGGGGTGGAGCATCTGGGGCTCTTAGGGATGCTGGAAGGCTGGATGGTCAAATGCCTGTTGCACAGCTCGTGTTTGATGGGTGCTTGAGGTGCCAGTGCTGTAGCTGCCTGAGGAGCGAGAGAAATTCTCACTTGGTCTGTTTCGCAATCGGCTGGAATGCCCACGGTTAGAGCCCTGGATACCGCAACGAACTGCGAAATTTCTCAGTCCACTGAAATTGAGGGTCGAGACTGAGACGACAGCCGAGAGACTGCGATGCTTGTTGAGTCTCTTGCCCCAGAGACAGCGCGAGGCTCCCCAGATGATGATGAGAATGGTGAACGAGCCATCTGGTCGTCAAGACATGACCAGCAGTTGATAGGTTGAAGAGGCCAAGATTGTTTGTATCCACGACACCAGCCGGCTCTTCGCCAACCCGACGGCACGGGCGGCCGAGTCTATCGGGGGAAGTCATGGAGAATTTCACGCTGGTGATCATTGCCCAAGGCCATGTTCGAAACGAGAGCAGTTGGTGTCCATGGACAGGAATCTTGTATGAGGTGGTGGAACTGGAGTTGTCCAAGGTCCAAAGTGCAAGGCAGGCAGCCCCATGCAGTGCCGGAAGTGAAGTGAAAGTGAAAATGCAAGTGAAGCGGCTGGTTTCATATATTTCGTTACTCGTACTCATACACTCGTCCTAATTCATCAATTTTGTTCTACCATCCAACGCGCCCCCAAGATGCATTCCTGCTAGAAAACGCCTCTGTCCACTCCATCTCTCTCTCTTGTTCATCCAGCAAAGACACGGACATTCCAGTCGACGCAGCCCGTGGCAATAACACAGCGGATCTTGCCTCCTCCACCACTGTCCTCCTTCTTGACTGCAGTTGCGACACCGTTGGTCTCTCCATTCAAGCTTGGTTGAGTTGGGAGATCGGGAGCCCACCGGATGCTGGTGATAAAATGCTGATGAGCGTCATCCAGCACCTTGACACATTTGCACTCCTGGGAGAGATCCCAACATCGAATGGTTTTGTCGTCAGATATTGAAATCAGATAGCGGCCCGCCGGGTGGAAGACCAGCCCCCTTACCCAATTATCATGTCCCACCAATGTCTTGTGGCATGTTCCTCGATTGTCCCAGATTTTGATGATCTTGTCTCTTCCTCCCGTGGCGAGAAATTCTCCACTACTGCTCGCCGGAGGCGGCTTCTTGTAACCTGCAATACTCGACAGGTGGCCGTAGGACGAGCTTGGCGCGAAAGCAACACATTCTACCACATGCTCGTGGCCCAAGAAAGTGATTTTGACTTCACCCGAGCTTGCATCCCACAGCCGGGGTATTTGATCGTTTCCGGCGCTTAGCAGCCATCGACCGTCGATTGAGGGGACCACTGCCCTGACCCAATCTGTATGCCCCTTCAATGTTTTCAGGCAGTATCCGGTGGTGACATCCCATATGCGAAGTGTTTTGTCTCTTGATGCAGACACCAGTGTGTTCCCCGATAGAGGCGCACCGGCAGCACCCGAAGGAATAAAACGGATGGAGGAAATGGAATGGTCGTGGCCTGGCAGCGTCCGGATGTTCTTGTACTCGTCGCTGGGGTCCCACAGCCGGATGGTCAGGTCACTGCTGCAACTGGCCAGAAGAGTGCCTCCTCTTGGACCACCAAAGTCGACATCCAGCACTGCCTTAGTATGACCCTTTAGAGTCCTTTCGAGCTCTCCCAGCTCCCAGTCCCAGATTTTGATTGTAGAGTCATCTGAAGCGGAAGCGAGTGAGGAGAATATCGGATGGAATGCGACAGCGGTAACAGGATCCCGGTGACCTTGTAGGGTGTGTCGGGCAGGAGCTCTAGGCAACCACGTCTGGGGGTCGATTTTCCGATTCGAGGAGAGCGGTGTAGCAGTCTCTATCTCTTGTTGAAGGGCCACATTCTTGGCTTCGAGATCCATGATCTTCTTCTGGAGGCGAACCACCGAAGTCCATTTCTTTTCGAGGAGGGTCTCATACTTTTTGGCGGTGACATCGTCAAAGGTGTCGGCCAGGTTCGCTTCTCGTCGCAAGGTGTTTGCACTTTCGGTCATGCCAATCGAGAGCAAGTAGGCGACCATGGACTTGTGTCTGGGAAGAGCAGCGTCAGTCTCAAAGTGGGGGAGGATTTCGGCACGAGACCTACAATTCCTCTGCTTGACGAGAGGTTAGGAGCTGGCTCATTGTGGAACTGGTTGGGCGCGGAGCCCGTGGTTGAACCTCTAACGCTCTAGATGCTCATGCGATAGCCAGATCAACGCCTTTCTTGGAGCAATTTGTGCGTAGATTTCATCCAGACTGGACGGATGGCCCTCCCTGTTGCCGAAAGCGGTCACCGGACACCAGTCACCAGTCACCAGCTTGAGAGTAATGCCAGCTCGCAGCGCCGTAGAAGGAGAGAATGATCCCAGGGCGAAGATGTCTCAATGGAAGCCAGAGGATGGGCGTCCGACACAGGCACAGTGAAGAGGAGTGAAGAGAAAAAGCGAAGGGAGACCAACCTGCGGTGGCTGTTGTGTTGTCATAGGCACAAGCCAATGTTTATGTCGCAAACTGCAAACTTACTCAGTCCATCTCCAACACCAAACACCAAACGCAATTGTTTTCCCACATGACACTTTTCCACGCCAGCAACCCTCAACACACAGGTCATTGCACCGAGTCGCCTCTCGTAACTCCCCTCAGAACAAGTCATCGACGCGTCGCATACCTTCCAGACTCCCTACAGGCACTTGTAGAATCCCTCAGACCGCAGTCGCGGCTGCATTGTCGATTGAGAGGACCGCCGACCGCATGACGCCAACACCACAATAACGATAGGTGAGTGTCTGTCGAACCAAAGCACCATGCTCCTGAATATCGTCCTCTCGCTATTATCCTGTGAACCTATCTGACTGATGTTCTCCGACAGCCCGTTTGCGCGATCTAGGAGAAAGAAACATCCCGCCAACTTCTTCTCACGCCTACGAATCTTCTCCCCCACAACCATGGCTGACCAAGAGGAGGACTTCTCGCAACTGCCGTTGGTTGATAGATTTGTGCACAAGAATTGGAAAGCCCGCAAGGGAGGATATGAGGCCGCCGCCAAAGTGTTTGAACTGACTCCCGACGAGTCGGACCCCGCCTTTCGTCCATTCTTACAAGACCCAAGTCTCTGGAAGTCGGCTGCTGGTGATTCCAATGTTGCTGCTCAACAAGAAGGACTGGCTGCACTGTGCGCTTTTTTGAAATATGGCGGTCAGCAGGCTGCCGTCAAGTCACGGAACTACACTCTGCAGCCCCTCTACGAGAAGGGACTGTCTTCAACGAGACCTCAAGCCAAAGCTAGTGCTCTAGAGGCTATACTGCTCTACATCGAGCTTGACAAGTCCGACCCGGTCATCGAAGAACTTTTGCCAGCGCTCTCCCACAAGCAGCCTAAGATCATCGCCGCAACTCTCAATGCACTCACTTCCATTTTCCACAATTATGGTGTTAAGATTGTTGAACCCAAACCTGTCCTGAAGGTCCTACCCAAGGTTTTTGGTCATGCCGACAAGAATGTCAGAGCCGAAGCGCAGAATCTCACCGTTGAACTGTATCGGTGGCTCAAAGAAGCAATCAAGGTCATATTCTGGAATGAATTGAAACCGGTACAGCAACAAGACCTGGAAAAGCTATTCGAGAAAGTCAAAGAAGAACCCTCGCCTAAGCAGGAACGTCTGACGAGGTCGCAGCAAGCCGCTCTGGCGACAGCAGCTCCAGCAGCTAGCGGTGTGGAATATGATGCTGAGGACGTGGCTGAAGAGGGAGAAGAGGAGACCGAAACGAATGCGTTTGACTTTGCAGAGCCGGTCGATGTCTATTCGAAGATCCCTTCAGACTTCCACGAAATGGTTGGCTCAACGAAGTGGAAGGAACGCAAAGATGCGCTTGATGCACTCTTCAGCATCCTGAACACTCCAAAAATCAAAGAGGCACCATTCGATGATGTGGTCCGTGTGTTCGCAAAGTGTATGAAGGACGCCAATATTGCTGTGGTGACGGTGGCCGCCAACTGCGTCGAGAAGTTGGCGCAGGGCCTGAGGAAGTCCTTTGCGAGATACAGATCCACAATCATGTCGCCAATGATGGAAAGATTCAAAGAAAAGAAGCAGTCCGTGGCAGATGCCCTGGGAGCTGCCCTGGACGCTGTCTTTACTGCCACATCTCTTAGTGAATGCCTTGAGGACACTCTGGGCTTCTTACCCAACAAGAATCCCAATGTCAAAGCCGAAACCATCAAATTTCTGGTGAGATGCTTGCGGACTACGCGAGCTGTACCTTCCAAGGAGGAGCAAAAAAAGATCGCCGACGCAGCCACGAAACTCTTGACTGAATCGACAGAGGGTATCCGATCCGGCGGTGCTGAAATCCTGGGGACACTCATGAAAATCATCGGCGAACGCGCAATGAATCCTTATCTGGATGGACTGGACGACATTCGAAAGTCCAAGATTAAGGAGTACTTTGATGCTGCCGAAGTCAAAGCGAAAGAGAAGCCAAAGCCTGCTCCAGCCCCCGCCAAAGCAACCTCTGCCGTTGGAAAGAAAGTTGTGGCAGGTTCCAAGAAACCTGCATCTGCCGCGAAAAAGCCAGCGCCAGCCGCCGCACCTGAACCGGTGGAAGATGTCGCACTTCTTCAACCCAAACCTACGGCGAAAGCTCTCCCCAAACCAGGCGGACTGGGTCGACCGGGACTAGCGCAGCCCGCTGGCCTTAAACTAGGCGGACTTAAAAAACCTGCACCTGGTGGCCTCTCAGTTGGTGTCGGAAGTCCACAGCGAAGAGTCATCTCACCACCAACCAGTACAGATGGCGACGAAGAGGCAACGGCGGCGGCGGCGGCGGCGGCGGCGGCGGCGGCAGTACCATCGCCCTCAAAGTTTGGCATGGGTCGAGGTGGACTCGCCGGCCGACCTTTGTCCAGACCGACTGCCGCTCCATTGTCGCCTCCATCGACAGCACCGCCCTCAAACGCCCTTTCAGTAGTAGAGCGAGCAGAGCTGGAAGAATTGCGTGCCGAAAAAGAAAGACTCACAGCTTTAACTGACAGTCTGCGAAGCAGCAATGCCAAACTCACCGCGGAGATATCAGAACTTCAGAATCAGAATGCGCAGCTGATTGAAGATCACACACGCGATGTTCTGCAGATAAAGGCCAAGGAGACACAACTAGTCCGGGCGAGAGGGGAATGCGATGTTTTGAAGGCGGAGGTAGAAAGCGTTAGGAAAGAAAGCGAGCGTTACAAGCGAGAGGTATCCAGACTCGGTCGTGAGAGTATGGGTCGAGAACGAGAAGATATGATTCGCGGCCGAGGCCTAGACGAAACCTCCAACTTTGGCAGCGAAAGTGGAGCAGGAGGCATATATGAAGACCCTTCCTTGAGCAACCGATTCCCAATAAACGGCAATGTTCACTCATCGCGACCCACCAGCACAGCTCTGCATCGGACTGGAAGCTCAGCCAGCACACAGAGCGGACGCGCACAGCCGCAAACCAGCGCCGCGAAACCCAGACCCCAGAGTGGATATACCCCACACGGCAATCGCCTCGACCTCAGTCCCAGTGAGGAAAAAGAAAATAATGGTCTGGGGATCGACTCGCTCGGAGCGTCGAGGAGGAAAATGAGTCCACCCATGCTATCTAATGGGGCCAGCGGGAGGACTAGTCCACAGCGTCCTGGGCATACGCCGGCATATTCGATGAGCAGAGAAGCTAGCGACTCTGGATTATCCGCAGGACCAGGTGCAGGATCGCGGGAATCAGGGAGCAGACCGGAGGAGAATTGGAAGCGGGCGGCTGAAGTGACAAGCCAGTTGAAAGCGAGGATTGAAGCTATGAAGGTAAGTGGCTTCCGTTAGCATTGGTGAGTTCTTGTAACTGTGGCTGACATGGACTCTCTTCAGGCACGACAAGGCTTATCACGGCATTGAGACAGAATGATCACGGGAGATGGAGAGCAATTCGACTTAGCTGGTTAGGATCACTGTACCCACGATGGAGCAAGCGAGAATATCCTGTTTGGTTTTCGTTTGGTTATTAGGAGTTCTGCTCTGTAGCGGGCGGGCGTTGCATACCATGGCGGCGTGGACTTTGGAACCGTGGACCTACTTTTGCTTTAATGTACAGAGCGCTCATTACGGAGTACCCTGCTCTGACGGCCGAAGAGTTACTCTTTGCGGTTTTCTCCCTGGAATCGATGGACGACCGAAGGCTTTATTTCATTCAATCGTTGCTGCGCGCAAGGCCTTTATACTTGGCGGCCTGGCGACTGGGAGTGGGCAGAGAGACAGACAATCTTACAAAGTAATGAAAGTTGAAACTTTCCCAGGAAAGGATCAAGCTCGAGTTGGATGGGGATGAGAAGCAGAAGCAGAAGTAGAAGCAATTGATACCCTGATACCCTGATGCCCAGTGTGCGAGCCGTCGCACGTTGTGAATTTCAACCTGGTCCGGCCCTCTCTTTGTATCTATCTACTGGAGTACGTAATAGCGCTAACTTGCATATGTGCTTCTTAATTCCTCGTGCTCTGTTGAAAACCTGTGCAATGGACAACGTGCAATGTGCCATGGCCGAAGGACAAGGAGGGAGGATCTTTTTCTCCCCATGTTTTTTTCGGTCCTTTGTCTTGGACTCTTCCCTGTTAACCCTGCTATGTACCGAGCATGTAGATAACGCCCGCTCACCAATTCCATTTCCAATTTCGATCCCGATTTCCACATAGACATGGACGCGTGTGTACGCGCTTTGCGAGAAATGAAAGAAAATACTAACCACGACCGCCTGCTGGAAGCGAGGGAGGAAACCGAAAAAAAAAAAAAAAACAAAACAAAACAAGAAAAACAAAAACCAACGAATTGAAAAGGAAAGAATAGGAATGAAGAGGGGAAAGAAAAGAACAGCGAACGTGGCTTAAGAACATATAGACCGGACATGACGGGATTGAGCAAGCACGGTTTTAAGAATCCCGTGGGGCGAAGTGGGTGGCACCCAGGCAAAAGCTTACGTGCAATTTCCAGTCACAAGAACATACATACGTTGGTAGATACGTAACTTGAAGGTGTGTTGGGCACGGAATATAGAGGACGGAGGACAGAGTATGGATTGAGGAGGGAACAGGAAACGAAATAAAGACGGAGGAGTTTGGCCGGGAAGGGGGAGGGATGAAGAGGAGAATATAAGTAAATGATATGAAGGAAGTAAAGGGGGCAATGGAAAGAGAAGGGAAGGCATTGAGAGGGAAGGTCCACGACGACGAGGAGCAAAGTCAAGATGAACGGTGCTGAAGAGGAGGGAGAGCGCAGGGGACAAGGAAAGAAGGCGGGAGAGAAGAAGGCCATCGTTGTTCAGCTTTGGCCGACATGATTTGGGTTTTCTTCCATTTCAGAACCTTTTGACAAGCGCCGCCTGCATCTGCAACTGTGATCATGGCGATGACTATCACCGAGCAGGGTGCCCGCCCGACAGCACACAACTAGATACAAAGATCATCGAATCCGCTTGCTTGCTTGCTTGTGTACATCAGGGAGTCGACACCTGCTGGTCTTGGACTGTGGTGGCTCGCCATTTCGGCCGTTCCAGTCGCGAACCTGGCTTGCATAATCCATGCTGATCATCTCCGGCGTCATCTGTCGTCAACAAGTAGTCATCTTGAATGCCCGCTCTCTTTCAGCAAAGGTGACATGACTTGAGTAGTCGAGGTCATCACTTCAGAAGTTGTGTCTCCGTTCTCTTCGCACTGAAAGAACAGTAGAGAGGGACCAAGGCACTTAGATCTTGATGGCACTCTCAATCGCCTTCCTCTTCTTCTCCATCCTCGCCACGGCCTTGACACCCATAATTCCACCTCCCCAATGTCTCCTATTCTCCTCGTACTTGCTGGTATAACCCTCGTTGATCGTGTTCACCAACTTGGACAATTCCGATTTGTCCTCGCCCTTGACCTCGCTGAGAGCCAATACAGCAGCAGTCTTCTTGTGAACTACAGTTCCCAGACGGGCTTTGCCCTTGATGATGGCATACGGGATACCCATCTTTCGGCAGAGAGCAGGGAGGAAGACAACAAGTTCGATTGGGTCGACGTCGTTAGGGATCAGAACGAGGGATGCCTTCTTGGCTTCGATGAGGCCGACAACGTGGTTGAGGCCGTATTTGACTGTGTAGGGTTTCTGTTGCGATATGAGTCCCCAGATAGTATTGCAGGGGGAATTTGAGATACCCACCTTGCTCACGTCCTCCTTCTTCTTCCCCTCTTGCACAGCGGTCGCCTCCTGATGCAGTCTCTCTTTCTTCTGCACTTTGGTCTCAGGACGATACTTGTTCAACAGCTTGAAGCACTGCGCCGCGGTATTTCTATCGAGCGTGTTTTGGAACTGAGCGATCGCGGGCGGGACTTTGAGGCGCATGTTCAAAATCTTCTTCTGGCGCTGCAGGCGGATGTACTCTGGCCATCTACCAAAATGTCAGATCATTCTTCGCGACAGGAGACGTATCGGTGGGAAGTTCGTACTTGACCATGCGAGACAGATTGCGCTTGGGCTGGACATCCTGACCGATGCCGAAGTTTCGAGGACGCCTCTCGAGGAGAGGATTCTACAATGCCGCAAGTTAGCAAGTCAGCTCAACCCGCCCTTACCAACAGCACTTATACACCCTCTCTTAGGGAAACGAGATTTCAAGAACAATACCGAAAACAGGGACGTACCTTGGCAGCCTTCTTACTAGCCCCAGCCTTCCCTTGCGGGAAAGGCGCAGGCGCGGGTTTCTTCCCCTTTGGTGGCTGTCATTGAGCAAAGAAAACGTCAGTAACCATCCTCTCACTGACGCAAAGCTTTCTTTGAACTCTAAGGAGAAGGGATGCCCAGAGCGGTGGCTAGCTGCATCTGGGATTCTCCTTCTCCAGCCGGAGTCATCACCAAGAATCGAGTAAAGGAACAAAGCAAGCGTGCAAATTCCATGGCTGAGCTCTCAACAAAGCGGTCGGCCACTTCACAGGCTCACGATGCGGCCCAAACAGATTCTGGCGGAAAATATTTCTGCGCATCGAGCGTCGTCTTATCCGCCTACGGCAGAGCTCGAATTGCAGGCCGTAGAATGGCGGAGAAGGATAGGTACAGTGGTTTTAGCTTACCATTATGTTTGTTGAGGGAGGGAGATGGGGCTTGCAAAAAGGATGAGGGAACAGGCGGTTTCAGAGGGAAACGCAGGTTGAGGAAACTCTCAATCAATCTGCAATTCGAAAATGTGGAAAGTTCGAAGTGCGGGTTGTCCTAAAGCGGGAAAGTTAAGCCTTGGCGACATATCCTAGCTTGGCGCAAATGATTGGCCAGCCTTGCGGCGCACAGCCTCGCGAATCTAAGGGGACTCCGAGGCACCCAAGCCGAAGTATTTCCATACCCATCTCCTGTGAACAATAGCGAACCTTTGAGTGGGTCATTGGGAACGACAAATGAACATGAAGCATGCGTGAGCAGGCTATTTAGACTAAGGACGCGACAATCATTGCAGATGCTTTTTTTTTTTTTTTTTTTTAATATCAACGAAGCTGAAACTAATCTATCTAAGCATATTTTGGCCGGTGACGATATTGATCTGGAATCTGAGATCTGCACATCTCAGCCATGTCAAGATCACCACCGAGTAGCCGGAAGCTCTCCATTGATCCATCATTTGTGATCGCCATCGTACTCTTTCAATTTGTGCGTATCTTTCCACCAGCCTGATCCCGACGATGTCTTTTGATGGTGCTCTGTAGACAGCATGGTTGAACCTGGGAGAAGGAAATAACCCTAGAAATGCCTCGCATATCCCTGCCCGACCTTGTTCACCATTACATCCTGTTCCAAGCTCATTTTGCCTTCCCCGTATCACACCATGTAATTTCAACCCATCATGCGAAACCGAAATAATCAGCACCGAGATTAATCGCGGTCATCAAGCTGTTCTTGAGGGTATCGTAGTCATCGTAAGCAGGCAAGTCAAGCTGATTGAAGCAAGTGTGGCTCGTCGGCAGGCGAGATTGACTCGGATCCCTATGGCAAACTCGTTAGTATCTGCGCAAAAAGCTCGCGAGGATGATTGTCAAACTTACTTGTGAATACTGAATCGAGTATTTCCTTGCATTCCTTCAAGATCCTTGAAGCCATTCAGAGGAACTTTGCTCGTGCCAGTGACGAACTGTAATAATTTCGCCCGTTCTTCATTGCTCATACCGCGGACAATCCGCCAAAACCAAGTAACTTGAGGACTGTTGGCATTGTAGTTGTGATATTCAGTATGAGCTCTCCAATCGTCCACATCAATCTCTGGCAGACCAGAGATGAGCAGCTCGAGTTCCTGTTCATCGAAGATGGCGATTAGCTCCGCCGGGATGATGTCGTGGAAGCCTTTGACAAAGTTCTCAAGCTGCTCTTTCACTGACGTCGTGAGGCGATAGCGAACCTGAGCATTAACATATTCTCTCTTGTTCTCCTCCGTCACCGGGATATTTCGTCCATTCGGAATAAGATCCACGACCTTTTCTTCACCAAACTGCTCTTCGACAACGGAGAAGTCTTCCGTAATAACGTCGGTGATGTCGTTCTCCAGAATCCAGACCAAACTCTTGTAGTAATCAAGATCCATGGACTCGAGATCTTTTAGATTGGGTTCCTTTCCGAGAAGACGCTTATAAACAGCCCGACTGAAGTGGCAATCAAGCACACGTCCCTCATGCAACGCCTTCCCGATGATACGACCAATGAATTTGAAGTAGAGGAGGTGTTCACCATTGATCCAGCTGAGAGGGTTAGGGTGGAATGTGGTGCGATCGGCTGCCACAGGTTGCCACAAAGCCCAATCTGGGTTAAACATGCCCCGGGCAAGAACCTGGAACCACTCTCGGGTGACACCTCCTGCATCAACACCTTCTTCGCCGTTGAAACGGATGTTGAGCTTGCCATATTTCATTTCATCGGCGGATTTGTAATACAAGGCCTTATAAGAATCTAGGAACACTTGGCTCCGGCGGACATTGAGCTGCAGGGGCGGCTGTATTTGTCGTTGCTGATGCAGTCTAGAGTGAATCTGCTTGGTGAAGTAGGCTCGTTTGTTGTCGAAGTCGAGGACTTTCGGATTCTTTACCAGCAAGCTGAAACTTCCATTTCCTTGCATTAGCTTGGGGGACTGACGTATAATGTCATTGAGAATCTTGCGATGCTCGGTGGTGAAATTGAAAAAAAGCTGCTGAAGGTCATCCATAGCTTCTGGCGCCGGACTTCCAGGCACCTGTTCTCTGATTTGACGGGCCAGAACTGAGTCTTTGAGAGACGTGTTCTTGCAGACCACCATCAACGACTCAATGAGTGGAAGCAGTATGGTTGCAAAACTGGTAATGTTGTCCTTTTCACGGACCGTTGTCAAGCATTCACTCAGTTTGGTCCACAGCGGTCTCAGAGCAAGACTATCGTATGATGATGTAAGGATGCTCTTTGCCATAGCATTTCCCTCAGATTCCTCATTCTCGGTTTTGGGTGCAGACAGATAGTCCAATGCCTGCAGAACTCGCAAAAGCTTGACTTGATCAGACCCCCCATGTGAAAACTTTGTCGAGGAGAGCACATGGAGATCCGTGATCGACTGCGCCTCCTTCAGCTGCGGAATCAGCTCCTCAAGGTCTCTGCAAATAGATTGGGAAAGTTCTTTAACGTAACGAATCAACTCCTTGCTGAACACAGCAGAGGTGCCGGGAATGCATGACAGGCTCGATAACGTCTCCAAAGTCGAGTGGAAGGTGTCGCTATTGCATTCAGGAGCAACAAAGATGCTCACGACGAGTTGTAAGTTGTGCTCCGAAATCTCAGGAGGTTCAAAAGCCTTCTTAGACTTGGTCCCATCAGCAGTTAAGTCTTCGTTGTTAGTGTCAGCGTTGTCATTAGGGCCGGTCTCTGCTGTCTCAGACTGTAGAGCTGCACTCGTACTCGTAGAAGCTTCATTCTCTTCATTGTCAGTGCCAGGCGCAGGAGCATCTTGAATCTCCACATCTGCGTCTAGTTGAGCTGATGGGCCAGCGTCAGTATGTTCACCAGAAGAAATCGCTGCTTCCGTACTTCCAGCTTCAGGAACCGTCGGCTTGCCCTCGTCGGAGCCTTTCTCCTTATCCTTCTTTAATAAATTTGGCAAAGGCTGAGTAACCGCAGACAGGAGTTCAGCAAGTGACTGAAGACAGGATGAACTTTCCACAATCAATTTTCGGTCGAGAAGGCTGATCAGGTCGTTGATAGGGTATCTGACTGCTTTGACTTCTTTGGCCTTTCCTTTGCCTTTCTTCGAGGCTACAATGCCGTCGCCCTCGCGGATAAAGATGGTGCGGGTGTGATAGTTGCTCTGGCATAGTTGCCTCAGTGCATAAAGACACTGCTGTACAACCACAAGAGGAGTGACTTCATCGCTGATGCCATTAGCAGGCTGCATCGAAAGCGTGCGCTTGAGTGGCTGAGGTGTCTTCTGTCCAACCGTTGCTTTCGCCCTCAGGGATAAATTGGTAAGACTGCGCTCAACCGCCGTCACATCCGTTGAGCCTTCTTTAAGAATGACGAGCAGAAGATTGACAACTTCAGATCGAGTCTGTCGATTTCCACAGATATTACGAAGGATGTGCCACAAATTCGTTCGAAGCGAGCCCTGTTGAGGCAAGAACATGAGGCGCAACAAAGTAGCGACCCCGGACTTGTCCACCATTTGGATAATCTGCCGTTTGCCGTCTCGTTGAGCTGCATCCTCGGCCGGACGGTCTGGACGAGCGGTGGATTCAGTTCTTACATACTGATACAGACGTCTTGCATGTGCCCGGCCTTCTGCAGCGTGGCGGGGATCGAGCTGACGCAAGATCTCCGGTGGTTGTTCCGACAGGATGACCTGACGGAACGCAGGGTCGAGAGTAGCCAAGAAATTATCATTGTCCATCTCTTCCGCCTGGGCGTGTCCTGCCCTGGCAGCAGCTTGTCTGCGAGCTTCTTCACGCTCTCGTCGACGTTGTGCGTGTGCCTCTTGTTGTCGTATCTCTTCTCGAATATCTTCTGGTAGAGCATCGAGGAAATCCGGGTCAATGCCAGATGTATCAGTCCTAGCAGTTCCACCAGTGCCTTCTTGACGAGCTTCTTCACGCCGAGTAGCATACTGTTGCATGATGACCTCTTCGCGGAGTTCCTCGGGCAGGGCTTCCAGATAGTCGACATCGATTGCCAATCCGGTGATGTCGATCTGACGGCCTCGAATGGTAGTGAAAACTCGAGGCTGCGCGTCAGGTGCCGCTGACGTCGAGGCTGTATTGTCGGTGGTCTCTTGGACAGTCGCTGCATCTGTGTCCTGTACATCCTCCATGGGAACTGTGTCGCCATCTTCATCATGCTCGTCATCCACTTCCGGG